TTACAACATTCCCATAACAATCACTCCCAACAACATGATTTTTATCATTTCCGGAACTCTTATTTTCATTCCTTCATTCGGTTTCACTTCTTCCTCTTTCTCTTCCTCTTTTTGTGTTTCTGTTTCTTTACTTGAATCACTCGTACATCTCGTAGGTTTGCATTTTCGCATCGACGTCAATGTCACCGTTGATGTCACTGTAGATGTACTTGTCAACGTACTCGTATGCAACGATGTACTCGTCACCCATGTATCTGTCGTCTGAACTAATGTACATTCTTCCGTTACCTTCCCTCCATCTACCGACTCTGTCGTCGTTGCCGTCGTTGTCGTCGTCGTCGTCGTCGTCGTTGTTGTTGTCGTCGTCGTCGTTGTCGTTGCTGTCGTCGTCGTTGTCTGTGTCGCCGTTGATATCACCGTATGATGCGGTGTAACTTTTAATCCTTCTATTCCTTCACACAACTTGTCTATTTCTTTACAGGCCGCTTCACACCCTGGACAATCCTTTCTAAACCCGCAGTCTCCTTGTAAACCTTTACATTTCTCTTTCAATTCTAAATACAATTCCAATGCTCTCGCCGTTGCAACAAATGCCTTCTTTTCTGGTTCTGATACTTCTCCACTTACAAATGTTCTCCGAACAAGTATAACATTACTCGTGTTTGTCGTTCCACTTGGTGTTGATCCTCCTGGTGCTGGTGGCCCTGCTGGTGCTCCTGGTGTTCCTCCTGATGGCCCTGCTGGCCCTGCTGGCCCTGCTGGCCCTGCTGGTGCTGGTGGTGTTGATGGTGCTGCTGGCCCTGCTGGTGCTCCTGGTGTTCCTGGTGCTCCTGGTGCTCCTGGTGTTCCTGGTGCTCCTGGTGCTCCTGGTGCTCCTGGTGCTCCTGGTGCTAGTGTTGGTGCTGGTACTGGTACGCTTCCTGGTGTTCCTCCTGGTACTGGTGCTGGTGGTGCTAGTGTTGGTGCTGGTACTGGTACGCCTCCTGGTGTTCCTCCTGGTACTGGTGGCTGTACCGGTGGTCCCCCTGGTTTAGGAGCATTGCCATCTTGTCCATCTTGTTCAGGTTTTGATAATACTAACTTAGCTTCCTTCGTAAATTTTTCTGATTCCTGTTTCACCTTTTCGTATTCATCTTTCTTCTTCTTTAATTCATCTTTCTCTTTATCCAGTTTATCTTCTAAGGTTGGACATTTTCTTTTTACTTTTTCAACCAACTTTTTGCAAACTTTTTCCTCAACACCCTTATCTTTATCAGTATTACAAAAACTATTGAATTTCTGATTCGCTGGATCTTTCTGCTCACTACAATGCTTTCCCAATGCTTTTTTACATTCATCATCTTTGCCTAAACTACCTTTCAATTCATGCGTCAACTCATTCTCCAATTTTAACTTTTCAAAGAATGGCTTGCATTTCTCTTCCAGTTCTAAACAGACTCCTTTTCCACCCGCACTGTTTGCTTTTTTCAACCTATCTGGACAATTTTCTATATATTGATGACAATATGGATCAAACAACGTGCAGAGTTCTTCAACCAATGTTTCATTTCCTTTTCCATTTTCAATTTTACTTAGAATTTTTTCATTGTTTATGTTATTTTTTAAAAAAAGACACTCATTTTCTGTTTGTTCTACCATAAAACTACATGTTTCTTCTCGTAAAGCACATGAAACACTAAACTCATCCTTTCCTCTTCTAGATAATTCCTCACATTCTTTCTTTAATACTGCCGTACAATTTCCTTGAGTTCTTAATGCATCATCTCCTCTTTTTAATAATCTTTTCCTCAATTCTTCTGTAACTTTTAAATATTCACATCGTCTATTCAGTGTATCACATTTCTCATGATTCAAATATGAATCACTTTCAAGATCTTTGCACTTCTTCTTCAATTCTACACAATCTTCCTTGCTTGGAAAATCTCTTCTCAAATTTAAAACTACTTCTAATTCTTCCGATTGAAGAATTACATCATCTAAAAGTTCATAACATAGTTTAGTTGGTAGATGACACTTTGTAAAGTATCTTCTATCCTCCTTAAGTTTTGTATAATTACCTACTACCGATTTTTGACATTTTTCAAGATTCTCAGTAGCCAATTCTAAATCACCAATAAGCCCTTTCAATCCTTCTTGAAAGTATCTATTCAACACCCTATCTTGTCCCTTTTTATAGCATGCTACTCTTACATTTTCACATGCTTTTCCAATCTCATTCGTACATACACCTTCTAAATGAAAACATTCCGATTCAAACTTTCTACAATCTTCCTTAGTCACCGATTTTGGTACATATTCCCATGAAACATATTTTGATTCATTACTTTCTTCAAATTCCGTAGACAATCCTTTTAGGTAAAGTTCTAATTTTAAATTCGTACATCTATCTTCTACTTCTACTAATTCTTTGCATTTATTGTCTTTATCTTTATCTTCACATAATTGTTCTAATTCATAATCTAGGTGTTTAAAAGATTCACAATCTTCTAATGCTTTTTTACATTTTTCTTCTGGACTATTTCCATTCCTTCTTTTGATCAACAATAATATTAGATCTTGCAACGTCTTATATTTTGGTCTTCCAACAATAATTCCTTTAGCTCCCAGTCTTTTATAAAGATTTTCTACTTCAATCTTTTCCGGAAATCTTGGTTTTTCTTTAACCGGACTAAAATCTAATTTTGGTCCTTCATATACAATCCCTTTTTTCCCACATTTTTCCTTAGACTCTTTACATTTTGAATTACTACAACTTGATCCATAAAAATAACACTTTTCAAGATATTCTTGACATTTTTCCACTAATTCTTTATCTTCAAGTTCCGTCTCTAAAGGTTTACAACTATCTTGATGACTCCCTTTAAGGTATTCACATGTTTTATCTGAATTAAAACATATAAGCACTAATTCATCACTATATTCACTTAATCCTTGACAAATTTCTTTCATTCTTTTTTTACATTCATCTTTATTATTAACCTTCTCTTTAAGAGCTCTTAAAAGAATTTCTTTTGCCACTCCTTGACGTCTCTGTCGATAACATCTATCTCTCAACTTAACGCATTTCTCTTCAAGATTACTTGGATCTGCTTCTTCTAATAATACACATTTTTCTTCACATTTTCTACAATTTTCATCTGTTATGTCATTCAATGCTTCTTCAACTTCTTTTTTAAAATCAGTCAATTCTTTATCAACTTTATTTTTCAGATCTCCACATTTTTTGTCTTTATTTTCACAAAGTCCCTTAACTTTGACATCCACATTCTTTAATTCTCCATCTATTTTCTTCAATTCAGCACAATATTCTTCGAGCTTTTTCTTGCATTTGTCTTTATCACTATAATCACTTTTCACAATTAAACCCAAAACCTGTTCCTCCTTAATCTCATCATTTCCTGCTGCTTGTCCTGCTGCTTGCCTCTTAACCGGCTGTGCCATCGCCGCCTCTTTCTGGGCGACTTCCTCTACCCATCGCTTGTCCCTGAGTAGCATATGACTGGGTGAATCAAATGTAGATCTTGAAATAATTCTTTCAAAATAATCATACATTTTAATTCTTTTATGATAAGCTTAGCCTTTACCCTATAAAGCAAAATTGCGGGGCAAAATTGCGGGGCAAAATTGCGGGGTAAAATTGCGGGGTAAAATTGCGGGGTAAAATTGCGGGGTAAAATAATCAAAATTTCAATTCTTAATTCTTCATTCTTTATTAAAAATTTATAGATCATTCTTCTATATCTTCTATATTATATATAAAAAGTGCATATATGCACTTTTTCATTCTAATCACTTTTTTCATTCTTTTTACAACATTCCCATAACAATCACTCCCAACAACATTATTTTTATCATTTCCGGAACCCTTATTTTCATTCCTTGATTCGATTTCACTTCTTTCTCTTCCTCCTCCTCTTTTTGTGTTTGTGTTTCTTTACTTGAATCACTTGTACATCTCGTAGGTTTGCATTTTTGCATCGACGTCCATGTCACTGTAGATGTTACTGTAAATGTACTTGTCCATATACCTGTTGTTTGAGGAAATGTACATTGTTCTGTTACCTTCCCTCCATTTATCGACTTTGTCGTCGTTAATGTCACCGTATGTTGCGGTGTAACTTTTAATCCTTCTATTCCTTCACACAACTTGTCTATTTCTTTACAGGCCGCTTCACACCCTGGACAATCCTTTCTAAACCCGCAGTCTCCTTGTAAACCTTTACATTTCTCTTTCAATTCTAAATACAATTCCAATGCTCTCGCCGTTGCAACAAATGCCTTCTTTTCTGCTTCTGATACTTCTCCACTTACAAATGTTCTCCGAACAAGTATAACATTACTCGTGTTTGTCGTTCCACTTGGTGTTGATCCTCCTGGTGTTGGTAGTCCTGCTGGTATTCCTCCTGATGGTAGTCTTGATGACCCTGTTGGTGGCCGTGGTTGTGCTGGTGGTAGTGCCGATGGTAGCACTGATTTAGGAGAACTGTTGTCTTGCACCTTTGATTCAGCGCCTTGTACATCTTTCCCGAGTCTTAATAATAGTAACTTAGCTTCCTTCGCAAATTTTTCTGCCTCCTGTTTCACCTTTTCGTATTCATCTTTCTTCTTCTTTAATTCATCTTTCTCTTTATCCAGTTTATTTTTTAGGGTTAGACATTTTTCTTTTACTTTTTCAACCAACTTTTTGCAAACTTTTCCCTCAACATCCTTATCTTTATCAGTATTACAAAAACTATTGAATTTCTGATTCCCTGAATCTTTCCGCTCACTACAATGCTTTCCCAATGCTTTTTTACATTCATCATCTTTGCCTAAACTACCTTTCAATTCATGCGTCAACTCATCCTCCAATTTCAACTTTTCAAAGAATGGTCTGCAATTCTCTTTCAGTTGTAAACAGACTCCTTTTTCATTCCCATTGTCTCCTTTTTTCAACTTATCTGGGCAATTTTCCATAAGTTCATCACAATATGGATCCCATAATATGCAGATTTCTTCAACCAATGTTTCATTCCCATTTTTACTTTTATTTACAATATCATGTTTTTCTATGTTGTTTTTAAAAGCATTACAATGGTTTTCAACTTCTGAAACCATAAATTTACATGTTTCTTCTGGTAAAGCACATGAAACACCAAATGCATTAGTTCCTCTTTTAAACAATCCATCACATTTTTCCTTCAAAGCTTTCATACAATTTTGAATATTCACTAACGAATCACTTTTATCTTTTAAAAAATCATATTTTAGTTCTTTTGTAACTTCCAAATATTTACAACGCTCTTTTAATGTAACACACTTTAGATTATTTGAACCTAAATCCCTCGCAATACCTTCACAATCCTTTTTCAATTCAATACAGTCCTCTTCTTTAGGAAAATCCCGTGCTTGATCCAAAGCTTGTTCTAAGTCTTTCGATCGAGCAAAAATAATTTCTTCAAGTTCAAGACATATCTCTTTTGGTCGAAGGCATTTTAAAAAGTTCTTAATATCACTATTTGCAAGTGCTACACACTTCTCCATTACTATTTTTTGACATATTTTAAGCTTTTCATCTTTCGATTTTAAATTGTATTGTTTTTCGACCAACTGACTTTCAATTAATTTAATAAATAGTCGTTCTTGTTGCTTTTTATAACATGCTAATTGTAGATTTATGCATCCACTAGTGGGATTACTTCTGCATGTTTTTCTAATAAAAAAACATTCTACTGTATATTTTAAACATTCTTTGTCATTAAATGATGTTGAAAGGTCATTCCAAAAGATTTGTGCCCTCATACCAGTAATTTGAAGAAATGAAGGAGAAAATCCATTTAGATAAAGCGTTATTTCATGCCTTTTACATCTATCTTTTATTTCTAATATATCTTTGCATTTCTGCTTTTTGTCATCTTCACATAATTCCTTAAATTTAGGACTCAGATATTTTAAAAAATCACAGTTTTTCTTTAATACATCCTTGCATTCATTTTCTTTCAAACCGGAGGATCCTACAGACAAATAGATTAACATGTCGTCCAGTGTTGTTTCTAAATTTCCACCAACTATTCCTTCATCTCTCATTTTTTTATAAAAACCATCCAGATCAATCTTCTTTAACAATGTTGCTTCTGGGTTAATTGGATTAAAATCTTTTTCTGGAGGCTTATATGTAATATTCTTTTTCTCGCATAATACCTTTAATTCATTACACTTTTTTTCGCATTTATTTTTGAGAAAATAACAGTTTTTGAGTTTTTCGTAACATTTTTCTTGCAATTCATTATCATTAAAGTTAATATTTAAAGAATTGCAAAAATAATTAATATATTCATTTAATTTTTCAAAAGATTTTTCAATTTCAAGACATTCGAAGAGTAAATAATTGCCTTGTTGAATAAATATCGGACAGATTTTTTTCATTTTTTCCTTAAAATCATTATAATTAGCAATATTATCATCGATAGCTTGAAGAATAATTTCACTTTTCAGTTTTGAAAGCTTCTTTACATAACAATCATATCTTAAGAAATAGCAGTCTATTAAAAGATTAAAAGCTGAGCGCTCAAAAAAGAAACATTCTCGCAAATATTTATCGCAATTTTCATAAGTCATATATTTTTGTGCAATTTTATACATTTTACTATCAAGTTGAAGCGCTTTTTTTGCAATATTTAGTCTTAGGTCTTTGCATTTTCTTCTTTTATCATTATTATTACAAATTTCTCTAACCTTACTATTTACTTTATTTAATTCTGGATCTATGTCCTTCAACTCTTTACAATATTCCTCAAGTTTTGCTTTGCATTTGCTTTCATCAACATAATTTCTTTTTAAAATAAAAGCATAAATATCTTCTTCTTTAACAATAAAACCTTTAGACAACGGATTTACTGCATTTATTTGAGAGCTTTTAATACTTAAGTCTACGCTTTGATTTCCATATGTAAGAGCTAAAAATAATTAAAAATGAAAATAATCTAAAATATAATTACTAATTAAATTTAATATTGCTATTAGTATAATTTTATTAATTGTAGAAAAAAAATAATTTCTATAGCTTTTGAGTCTTAAACATATACAAATATCCATAATATTTGTTTTATCGAAACATGGGAAATTGTTATTTTTTTTTTAAATGGTTCATTTAAAGATGCGACAATTTTACAATTTTAATAAACCCTAAAAAAAACATGAGAAATCGTTAAAAATAAGAATCATTACAATTCTTGATTATAAATTTTAAATCTTTATTTTTTTTATTTTTTTATATTCTTTCTCATTTTATTCAATAATTTTTTATAAAATAATATATATATACATTTTGTTTTATCTATTAATTTTTGAAATTTTTTTACAATTCATCCATGCTTTTATCCCTTTTTAATATTATATTATCATTCCTTAAATCCGATGTTTTCCTTATTTTTAGCATTCCTTCATTTAAATAATTAATTCTTAAACCTTTTTTTTAATTGCTACATTCTTTTCAATATTTATTTATAATCAAACCCATTTTGATCTTCACTTTTAATCAAAAAATGCTTGGCTAATAATCTTTGACATGCACTTCTAGTTTCATCCAATATATTTTCCTAATAATTTTCTCCTATATAAAAAATTATTTAAAAAGAAAGCTGTGTTTTAAAGGCAATCTTCTAGAAATTAAGCAATTTGAGTAATCAAATGTTTTACTTTTTAGAAAAAAAACAAAAAGATGATTTTAATCATTCTTGAATTTAATCGTCTTTGTTGATAATCTTTTGTTAATGTCATTCTTGGTATAATATTTCTTAATAAAAATATTCTTTATTCTTTATTAATCCTATAATAAATTTAAACTGTTATAATAACATTTATAAAATGGCTAAAAGCAAATCCTAAAATATCAAAAATGCTAAATTATTTTATATAAATAAAGATAAAAACGTTTATTTTTTATGATTTTAAATATTTTTACATTAAGTTTTTTAATATTTTAAAATTAAAAATTTTAAAAAATATTAGAAATAAAAATATTTATATAATAAATATTCATTAATTCCATTTTATTGATTACAATTCTTCGATAATATTTATTTATTTCTCTCATGATTTGTTTATTTTAAATTTGACACCTAAATCTTGTTCTGCAGTTGGATGTACAAATGGTGATTCTGAAATATCGAGTCTTCAGAAACGATGGACTCATGAGATAATATTTCACATTCATTAATTCCATTTTATTGATTATAATTCTTCGATAATATTTATTTATTTCTCTCATGATTTGTTTATTTTAAATTTGACACCTAAATCTCGTTCTGCAGTTGGATGTACAAATGGTGATTCTGAAATATCGAGTCTTCAGAAACGATGGACTCATGAGATAATATTTCACAGTAGGACAAATAGGTTTATTGAAAGAATTTTATAGGTTATTGCTCAAGAATTTTCAAGACTTTTTACTATTAGATATTTAACTCTTATTGCATAATGAAATTTAAAGAAATTACTTCCTTTAAAACATTTAAATATAAATTTAGGGCCTGTGTCGAGCATGTCTACATCTCGGCATGAAGATAAACTTGTTGGTTATGATTTTGGTAACTTAGTAACCATTAATACATTTCCCGCAAAAAGAATTATGGAGTACTTATCTATCTTAACTAATTAAAACTTCAAAATTTTTTTACTTGGAATAATCTGTATCATATTATATCTGGTTATTCTGATAGCTCTATTTGAGTTTGGAATTCATGTGATACTCATTACAATATTATTCCCAAATGAGTGTTGGTAAAGTAGGAAATGAAGATACCTTACTATGGGCAATAAAAAATTTGGAAAACGAGGTTATGGTTATTGGCTATTCTATGGAGTCTGTTAAATTTTGGGATCAAAAGTATTATTTATTACTTTGGTCATTTAAAAGTCATACTGCGGGTGTTTTGTGTTTGTCTTCTAATAAAGTATCTTTTTTTATCATATATTTATATTAATTTTGAAGGCAAGGAATATTTTATTTTCTCTGGAGTAGATTGTAAAACAATTATGTATCGTATTATAAACAAGGAAAATCAACAATGGGCAGATGTTGGTAGAAGGTTCCATAGACACGATGTTCGTGTTATGGCTTTCTATGAATCTAAGGATATCGATATTCTTCTAACAAAAAAGTTAAAAAGCTTAAAGTTCATTCTTTAGAATTTATTGGCGAAACTATTTTATTATTTGATCAAAGATTAAATTTTGTTATTGCACATTTAAAGCTTATTTTTTGTATATATGTTCATCGAAGTTTATAGTCATAATTATGAAACTATAAAATAATAAAATAAGCACTATTGAATATTCAAATCTCATTTCATAACCTTCATAGCTTTTTTCATGCAATTGTTATTTTATTTTTTCATTTATTATGTCTCTTATAACAGCTAATTTTATTTTTAATTTTTATATTAAAATAAGAAAATTAAGGAATTAATCAAAAAATTCAGTAAATCTATTTGCTGATTTTTTAAGGTTAAAAGATAAATATATTAAAATTTCCTTCTATTATTATATTAAGTCTAGAATCTAATTTGGAGTTCAAGTCGACTAGGATTTGTTGATTTAAATATAGAAATACCTAGAAAAACGTAAATAAGCGTAAGTTAAATGATAATTAGAAATCAATTCATTTCATTTATGAATTATTGAAAGAAAGGTATATCATAAAAAATTCAGGACTTTAAAATGAAAAAAATATTCTATAAATTCTAATGATATTCTTATGCTAGAAATTGCAGATGAATCTATGGGTATTAAAAATATGAAGTATACATTTTTGGATTACATATGTGTTAATCATTGTTATTATAGTTTGTTTGAATGAAGATGAAGTATAAATTGTAGAAAAACCTCTATAAAAACTTATATCATATTATATACATACAAATATATATAATGTATGAAGTTTACTAATAATTGCTATAAGTATATAATAATTTAATTTGATGTGTATATAATTATTAATATTTAAATCAGAAAATTGTATTAATTCTCTTTGTTTTGAATAGTTTTTATATTAAAAATCTGATATTTTTTAAAATACTTTACTGAAATATTTAAATATTTACATTTGAATTTTATAAATTAGCATAAAATAATATTTTAAAAAAATTATCTACGAAGTCATTTATAAATTTTAAAAAAATATTAAAATAGTTCACTTCCATATGTATCAATATATTCTATATCTTGTTAATAAAAGATATTTAGTATAAAAAAATCAATATGCAATTTTATTCAAAAAATTATGAAATTCAAATTGGATCTGAAACAAAATTAAGTGATTTTTATATTTATAAATTTTGTATAGACTTTTTTAAATTTAATATTTAAAATCTTTATAAAATACCGTTTTTGCTGTATTCTCCTCAATACTCTCCATTTCCCATTAAGAACTTTTAATTTAATAGAATCATGCTTCGTACTATTCGAAATATTTATATTGCAAGGTAATTAACCCATATGAACTGGGATGTTTCTATCTAATTGAGATTTCCATGGCAACATTTCCAATTTTTTAGTTAATATTATTCAATATATTTATCTACGAAATTTAAGGATTTTAGAATTTTCTAAAATAATTTTATATTTTTTTTATAAAAGCTGATAGTTTCAAAATATAATGTTTTTGTAAAAGTTTTTTAGAAATATTCTATTTGTTTTTAATTATTTTAAATAATACAATTATTATATCCACATACAATTACTGCATTTCCATTCAAATTATTAGTAATCCAATATATAAGTTATTTCTAGAATTTAAATATATACTATTTTATAGGTTTCTTTATAACATGTTTATCTTGGCGAATGTATGTTTTTATTGATTAATAAATAGTAAGTTATCTAAACGAAGGTAATAAAGATGTAATTAGCAAAAAAAGATTCGTTAAAAGAAGTTGCATTAGTCTTATAAAAATCTTTAGTATAATAAAAATAAAATGATTTTAGAATTCCTGATCATTTTCGGATCTATGATTTCACATATTAAGAGTTTAAAATATAAATTAATAATATTATAGTTTTGAAAATATCTTTATATAGACTAATATTTCTATAAATATTGCTTAGTTTTGAGTTTTTTCAATTTTTTTAATGTTTTCATTTGTTAATATATTTAAAGACTGTTGTAGTTTGTATAGATGTTTTTAATTGAAAGTAGTTACTTCTTCATCTAATTTTTCTAAACTATTATTTTCATCTTCCTCGCTAATTGGCTTTGGAGATAATTCTCTTATCAGTGTTCTATTGATTTCATCTGAAGTTCTATCAGTAAATAAACTTGTTTGCAAATTGACGGAGTCGGATATTACTAAACTATTGAAGTTATTTTTCTCCAGGTTCTCAATATCTTGATTTTTCTTAGTTACTGAGTTAAAAGAGTTCTGAGAGTCCTTAATCAATTCAGAGTTATCAGGTGATTGCTTTCCAAAAAAAGGACTAGAATCAAAATAATATTTACAAACATTAACTATTTTTTTTTCTGCATCACAACTTCTGATATAATCAAGAGTAACAACAGGTATATTCATAGAAATAGCTTTTTTATATTCGGAACCTGAAGTTTTTGATGTAATGAAATGTGTTGTATCTATTTTAACTTTTGATTGAAGGGGTTTTGCACCTATTCTTTTTATTGTTTGCTCTAATTCTTTTTTATCATTTTCATTTAACTCTCCTATACATACTGTAATACCACTTAGATCTGTCATCTTATGTGTACGAACTATAATAAATTCAGAAAAATAGGTGCCACCAGAAGTCTTTAGTACAAGTTGGAAAGAATACTCTGTATTCAAGGCAAGACCTGATAGTTTTGTACTTGTAGTAGTTGTTGCTTTTGGAATTTTACCAAGACGCAGTCCATTTTTATATAATGTTAGACTTCGAAGTTCCGTAGTTCCTAATTCAATAGGATCCCATTCCAATACTACACTTGTTTGTGTTACATTTTTAACTCTTAAGAGTGGAGCAGTAGGTTTTTTTATTCCAAATGTCGTATGTATTTTTTTCTGTAGTTCTTGAAAATCTTCTTTTTCTTTATTTTCAGCTTCATGATTTCGAGAAATAGATATATCTAGAATTGATCCTGTTTGTATACCATGAGGAAGCAATAATGATGGGAATTCTACAAGGTAATAATCAGAAGTTAATAAAATTGTCTAAATTTGAATAATTTTTTTTTAAAAAAAAATCAGTAAATACTTACTATTCCTGCATCAACTTTACCAACTGTAAATTGAATTTTACTTATATCTTTATCATTCATTTTTAAATTAAATATTTTTAAAAAAAATAAACACGTGAAATTGAAAATCTTAAATATTAAATTTAAAAATTTTTATTTTATATAAATTTATATAAAAATATTTCGTTTAAATCTTTTTAAATTTGATATGAAACTTATTTCTAATTATTATGTATTTTTCAGTAATATTATTTTAATAGTTTATAAACTTTCTTGTTATTGATAGTTTAATGAAATTCATATGATTCATCATTATTATAAGGACATTTTGGTTTTTATTTAATTATATAATCTATTTTATTTCTATTAAATCAAGATGATATCTGTGTTAATTACTATTTATTTAATATTTTGCAATTAAAAATATTTATATTACATTAAGAATATACATATATTATTAATATTAGTTGGAGTAAAAATATAATTCATAGTTTTTTTTTTTGACTTTATTTCAAGTATTATTTTTTATGAAACTATAAATCGTTAATCTTTAAGAATACTTGTGTATTGAAAAAATAAAAAAAGGTTATGCATGGAGAAGTATGCAAATAAAGAGCTCTTTTCCAGATTGCTTCTTTTAGATGGGCCCAGTCTTCCGGAAAAATTATCGTTTAGACCTCTGCAGAGAAATGATTGGTCACGAGGTGTGATTGGTGAAAAACTTCAAATTAATAATAGATTTGTAGAATTTAATACCTTACTAAACAGCCTTTCCGAGGAAACTTTTGAGTTGAGCAAACAAGATTTCGAGGAACGATTTGATCTTATGCAATCCGCATCCCCTGAATGTTATTTTATTGTTGTTATTGAAAATACTATAACAAAAGAAATTGTAAATTTTTAAATATTCTCGTTTTATGCTATATTAATAATCAATGTTTTAGATCGCTTGTGGGACAGTATTTATAGAATATAAATTTTTAAAATCTACATCCAAGGCTGCTCATATTGAAGATGTTGTTGTTGCCAAATCTTATCGAGGAAAAAATCTTGGAAAATTGTTAAGATTATAATGTTTAATATAAATCTGTTAACATAAATTAGATTAATTGAAATGCTTTCTAGGATTGCAAGATCAAAAAAATGCTATAAAATTGTGCTTGACTGTAAAGAACATAATGTTGAATTTTATAAGAAGTGTAATTTTAGCGTTACTGGTGTTGAAATGAAACAATATATTTAACAAATAAATGGCTATATAATAGTATTTCATAATTTATAAATCTAGAATTAATGTCTTAAATCGCGTAAAATGTAACATAAATGAAGATTATACCAGTTCTATTTCCTTCAGTGAAAAATCTTTTAATAAAGAATAAAATTTTAAAATTAGTAATCATTTCATATAAGATCCAAAAACAAATGCAAAATATTCTTAAACAATAAGCCATGCAAAAAATGCTAGAGCTCCTATAACAACTAATACAGTTAAAAGACCTGCACAAGCCTTATCTGCAATAGTAGGTGGTCTGATATCACTCGAAAAATATAGTGACCTATCTCTATATACATTATTTGGATCAGCCTTCGAAGTACCTCCTGTATCACTTGTTAATGGTTTCATAGCATTTGGTGCCAGAATTGCTAGCATGGTTTCCAATGCACTCATTTGCGAGCCTAAGGAGTCCTTAAAATATAATTAATTTGCTTTCCTAATCACAAATAAATATACCCATCCATCATAATTAGAAGCTTGCCAATTCATTCCACAATGATGGCCAGATGGTGGACCACTGCATGCGCCTGCTGCTGCTATAGAAGATGATTTAAGAAGCGGTAAAATGTGGCTGATAGTATCGGGCATCAAATTCATAGTATATCCCATAAATCTTGAAAGATATGCTTTAAACGACATTTGATCTTGGTTACAAGTCTTAATAAATTCGCAAGCAGGTTCACCTAAAGCAAAGATTAAATGTCTCAGAGAGTATAATATAAATAAAACTTACATAAAATTCCATTATTTCTATAAAATGATTTTTTTGCTTTAAAAATATAACGATAAACTCTATCTTTCCATTTAGGGTCTTTTGTCTAAAAATATTAAATTATAAATAAAAAAACTGTTACTCACAAAATCATACATAAAAGCTGAACCTGCCATAAGAAGACCATTATTATAGCTCCATTGCACACGAGTTACTGGATAACAATTAGGTGTCTCTGCACCGTCATAAACAGCATATGTTGTTAAATTAATAAATTTTATATCTTCCATCCAAACATAAGCTTTTTCTGCCCATCTTGCATATGTTTCATTATTTGTGTAACGAGCAAGACGCGCAGCTAGTTGAAAAAACGCGCCATTAGAAACAGTATTTTTGTATGTGTAGCCTAAATTATATGGAAAAATTTGCCATCTCAAACCACCACGGCAATTCTGCTCATCCCAACGTTCAACTTGCTCATTAAATACTGCCTGAACAAGCTCCAGCCATTGTGGTTCATTGGGCGGGGGATTCTCAAGGTTTGTTTCTGCTGCAGTCATAGCTGTAAAAGCCCAGAATGTCTGATCATCGTTACCCTGTGATAATCTAAACTGTATAGGTAATAAGTCTCTATTTTCTCCTGCCTGAGAAAGAATTGCTTCAATAATAAGCTTATTCCATTTTTTATCGCCAGTATAACGAGAATAATCAAGAAGTGACTAATTATATTAGTTATTGTAAACTTAAAAATGCATAATATCAATTATATAAAAGAAATCTTCATATATATATATATATATACGAATTTTTACGTCAATTTTTAAATAATACATACGTTCCATGCTGCTCCTGATTGCCACCAATAAACAGGTCCCTTAAATAAGCCGGGTGTTCCAGAAAAATAATACATAACATTCTCTGTAATGAATGAAGTAGTTTCCCTGATGCTTTCTGTAGGAATTTGATGATGTTAGGTTATATTAAGTACTTTGACGTATATGCCGCTATTGAAACAAGCTGCATTAATATTTACCTGGATTATTAACATCCAAATTAATTGAATTAATTTGAGGTATTCTTAATATAAATAGAAAGAATAGCACGTTTTGTATACTTCTAAAGAAAAGGTATACTGCTTTTTTTGCATTCATAATTCTTTCTATTTATTTATTTCTTTAAATAATAAAAATATGTCTCCTTAAAAGAGTAACATATAATTATATTGAATATATATTCCCTTTTATTAAATAAAATAATTGATTACTTTTAAAGATTAAATTAAAATTTATCTTGAATTTTTTTTGAATTGACGATAATCGGATTTCTTGCAAGATAACTTATAAATTTGTAATTGATGGTTTTATAATATTTATATAAAAGGTCATAATATATTTTATAAAACATTTAAAATATTAAGTTATTATATAATTAGCTAAAATTAATCAAAAATAAAAATGATATAAGATTAATATATTAAAATAACGATTTAGTAAACGTAATCGTGTGCTTAAATATTAAATGAAAATTTTATAAAAATACAGAAAAATATAAATAGTAATCCTATTTTAAAAAATAATCATAATGATTATATAAACTAATGTCTTCAAAAGTTCTGTTTATGTTACTCCCATGAAAATTTGTGATTGAAATATTATGTTCGTGTATTTTTCTATTGTTTTCTTGAAATTTTTCAAGATGATCAAGATATTTTTTGTCTATATTAGTAACATATTTTCCAGTAAACACACTAGTCTCAAATCCTGAGACAAGGGAATTATGCTGACATGATTTATATAAATCTTCTAGCGTTTGATAAATAACTTCATCTGCTCCAATTTCTTTAGCTATTTCTGTTTCTGTACGTTGATATGCTATAAGATCCTTCCTGCTTGCTAAGTCAATTCCATAAACATGTGGATATCTATTATATTATTAAATATTGATAACATTAAGACCGTGTTTATAACCTAATAGGAGGTGCGCAGCTTGCAAAGTATATTTTTTTTGCACCTGCATCTTTAGCCATTTGAATAATTTCTTTACTTGTTGTTCCACGTACAATAGAATCATCAACAATTAGCACATTTTTTTTATTAAATTCAAGTGCTTGAATATTTAATTTTCGACGAACACTTTTTTTTCTGATAAGGGTAAATATTATCTATAAAGTGCTAGCTTTTACAAACCGTATTTGTTGACCAGGCATAATAAAAGTCCTTCCAACGTAGCGGTTTTTAATGAAACCTTCTTTATAATTTAAATTTAAAGTTTGTGCCAATTCTAATGCTGCATTTCTACTAGTATCTGGAACTGGAACAACAACATCAATTTTATTTGCAACATCTTCGCCAAATTTTTTCTGTACAGTTTTGGCTAAATATCTTCCCATTTTTAAACGCGCACGATAGACACTAATTCCATCCATGACAGTATCCGGTCTTGCAAAATAAACATACTCAAATATATCTGGAGTATATCCTAACTGTTCATGGACCTGTTTTATGATCGGATGCTTTTGTGGTTCAGTAGTCTTATTCTTTTCAATAAATATTGCCTGCCCTGGCTTTACATCATAATAATTAGTAAATCCTAATTGATCTAATGCAACGCTTTCACTTGCAAATAAATAATCTTTCCCATATTTACTTTCACGTTCTCCAAAAACTAGAGGACGAATCCCATTTGGATCACGAAATCCTAAAATTCCATATCCTGCTATCATTGCTACGCAGGCATAGCCTCCTTGACAATGTCTATAGAGTGAAGATAGGGCTTTAAAAAGATCGTCATATGTAGCTCTCGATTTTTGAAATCGAGATAAATATGATGCAAATATATTTAAAAGAAGTTCTGAATCTGAATTTGTATTTATGTGGCGGTGGGCAATTTCGTCTAAATATTTATGAAGCTCTTCAGTATTAGTTAAATTTCCATTCTATTATTAGTTTAAAAAAAGTAATTGCTATAATAATTAATACTAACATGTGCAAAAACAATTCCGTAAGGTGAATTTACATAAAAAGGCTGAGCTTCAGAATTTGCGAATGAACCCGCTGTAGGATAACGAACCAAATAATACTATCAGGTATAATGCTAAGCTATAGAAGGATTATACCATGAGCAATTGCCATATTTCCATATAATTCCCGTAATTGATAATCACGAAAGATGTCTCTAACCATTCCATTGCCTTTACATTGATAAAAGCGACCTTGAGACCCACATGTTACAATCCCAGCTGCATCCTTGAAATTCTTAATAAGATATTATAAAAGCATAATTTTTTAACTTGACCACGATGTTGAAGAATGTTTAAGCCCTCAAAAATTTCTGGACATGCAAAACCAGATGGATCAGCCAGTAAAAGTGCAAGAATACCGCACATCTAAAAACTAAAAAAAATATTAGAATTCTTTTTGATGATTATAATAATAGTAAAAGTAATATAAATAAATCAGTTAAAAAAACATCCACAAGTATATAAGTATTCAGAAGTCTAATATCTTATAATATCCCATCATTGAAATTAAAATAAAAATGAAAATTCAAAATTATAGCATACTTTTAATTTAATTTTAGAATTTTTTAAAGATTTGTTTAAAAATTACATTAATAAATTCTCGAGAAATCTAGATTTTTTTATAAATTTGATTTTAAAATAAAAAAGTACAATTATAGTATAAATAAATTATTAATAAATAATAACTAATTATTTGTTTTGTTTTAATATATAGAAAACGTTAAATAAAAATGATTCAATAGTGTTAAATATTCTAAAATTTTTATATATTTTAAAAATATTTTTTATAGCTCGATATAATTTTTTTATATCATCTATAATTCAACTGTATGTTATATTTTTAATATCATGTACTATAAATACTGTTGGTTTGAAAATGATACAATAGTCTTTAAATAAATGTTAAGATTTTTATAATATTATATATATATTATGTTATATAAAAATCAAGATTATTAATTTTTATTTTTTTATAATTTTGATTTTATTTCAGAATTTCAAGATTATTTTTATATAAAATGAATTTTATAAAATGCAAAAGTATTAATGTTTTTAATGACATGGAATTTAATTTAAAAATTTATTTTTGAATATTGTAATTCAAATATAATCTTTAATAATATTATTTTATAAAATATAATTAATGTTAAATTTTGTATATTAATGGATTTTGTATAGACATGTTAATACAAATAATTATTTTTTTATATTTATTTAAATGACTTATATGAACAATCATTATCTTATTTTATTTTGTATTTAAATTAAACATTATTCTAAATACGTATAAGAATATGAAAAAATGTTTAATCTATTTCAAAAATAGCAATTTGTCTAAAATCAAATTTATTAAGTACGTATTAAAACATTATTGTTGGTGACTTTAATTTCTTTCAGGCATTATAATACGCTTTTATTAATACTCATTATAATTTTAATAAAACAGTTTAATGTTTCAGATATCATGTTTATAGACTATAAGGTTTAAATACTTTAATTTTTTAATATACTCATAAATATCAAAACCTAAGGATTTCTAAATTGCATTTTCAATTTAAGATATAAATATTTTTAATATTAAAAAATCAGCTTATAACTGAATAAGAAAAAAAAACGATCGAATCTTATGTTAAGATTTATTAACAAAAGCTAAAATAAAGTTATGCTAGATAATATAAATGGTCCCTATAATATAATAATAAAAATTAATGTAAAGAACATATATTTTAAATAATTATGAATCCACTCTTTTATTTTTTCTTAACTAAAAAAGGAACCTATACTATCGTTAAAAAAAAAATAAAGCCACTCTAAAAATACAATAATTATTGCTAAAAGTATTATAACTCCTGTAATATATTTAGAGTAGTCTATTTAATACAAAAAATATCATACCAATAATAATACACATACGCATTTTAACATCTAAGAAAATCGATAAACAGCATATGATATAAAAACTAAAATACCTTTCCACCACATTTGCTTTCTCACACGATTTGCGCCGCGACGAAATCCTTGTGCAGATGTTGCAAGATTTTCCGTCTTATCCTGTAAAATATCAAGTCGTTCACCTCGTTGTGCAACCTTAAATATTAGTTTATACTCAATCTATTAACAAGGACCACTTTGTTAATATTTTCTCTCATAATGCCAACGGTATCATCTATTTGTGCCTGAATCATCGCAGTCCTTGAATTTCCTGGACCATAAGACGAATTGTTCGCTGCATGCGATCCTAATGGCTTATTCGATTTTAATTTTTTTCAGAAAATACTAAATATCTTAGGCCCCATACCTCATGTAAATCTTCTGGAATCATGCCACTTTATTTTTGATATCTAAAAAATTACTTTAAAAAAATATTTTTCCGTGAAATTTATTCTATTAATATAAATTTTTCGTACCGAAAATCGTAGGTAAATTTTATAAAAACTTTATTCTGTTTTATTTCTCATAAAAAAATCAATTAATGTATAAAAATTAGATAACTTAGAATTTGTAATATATAAGGAGCTGTATATGTAACTAAATAATAATATAATGTAATATTTGATATTTTTGCGATATTTATAATTATTTTATATATTTTATATATATACTTTTATAATTATTTGAAATATTGTAGAAATCCCAGGAAAATATGTATATTTATATATTTAAATGGATTATAAATTATATTAATCCATGTAAAATATTAAGTGTTGTATCATTATTTATTAATTATTGTATAAGTTTTCTGTTAAAATATTCATAAGAGTTAAAAGTTTTTATCAAATTGTTAAGCTCAGTATTTTTAATACAATTTATATAATAATTAGGTTCTTATTAATCCATTAGGTTTTTTGAAATGTTTTTATTACAGCTAACTTATTTTAAAAATTTCTATTTATATGATTCTTAACATTTTTTATAGAAAGTATAAACTAAAAAATGTTGACATTTTTAAAAAGCCATTTAGTATAAAATAAATATAATCATTTTTTGAATATTATTCTATTAGCAAAAAAAAGATCCAATTCTTCTTGAACATTGAATAATTGTTTGGTATAGTTATTTTTTTAAAATTTATACTTAATTTTTTATAACTTAAATATTTTATATTAAAAAAATTTATGAAAAATTTTTGTAAATTCGTTTAAAAAAATTCAACAAATTATATATAAAAATATATTTGAATAAAAGTAATGTTTTTTATTAAGAGAAATATGAAATCTTTTTGAAATAATAATCAATTTTACATTGAAAGTAGAAATATTTGCAAGATTTCCAAAACTATTTAGTTAAAGTTTGTTGTAATTTCCCTCTTTTAAATAATTTCAATATTATTCATGTATGACATAGAAAACTTATTTTAATTATGTGTTATTTTTTTTAAAAAAATTTCAATGTAAATCCGTATTTTTTTAAAAAATTACTTATACTGAATATTATAAAAATGATACTTTCAAAAACCAAATCTTAAGATTTTGAAACGTTTATTTTCAAAATAAAGTATGTGTTGATAATTAGAAGAAGTTTATAAATGATGTTAAGTAATTTGCGTTTGATAAATGAGCATATTCAAGACTTCGCCTGGTCTTATAAGAATTTTCATATACATGAAATTGTTTTTTTTCTGAAATAGCTTTAATTGAAATTTAATTAAAATTTATTAATTAATTTTAGAAAAGTTCAATATTTAAATATTTTTAGGTAAGTCATATATATAATTTATTCAAATTGGAAAAATGATGATATAATTATTTATGATTATAAATGATAATATACTAATTATCGCCAAGATCTCTGAGTTTTAATTATTTAGTTGATTTTAATAATTTATTAATAAAATCAAAAACAACTCCTAATATAATCTAGATACAATAAATAATTTTTAAAAAAATATATATGGATATATTTTTCAAATTATAAGATTTGTTAAGATATTAAATTTTCATTAAAATCAATGCCTTTGTTAATTTTAATAACAAACGATTGACTTGAAAACCGATGAAACATTATGCCATTTTATTAAATCTTAAATGCTAAATAGGTTAATAAACCAAAAAGTTTAAGATGCTAAAAGATATAGAAAATTAAAACTATACTTCGCAATAAACAGCTTAAAATTGAAATTAATGTTATTGTATTAAAAAATTATCCAGCAGTTCGATAAATTTATAATTATTATATGTGCAGTGTTTCTATTTAATGTTTGTTAGTAATAAAAATGTTAACATTTTTAGAAGATTAAAAAAACATAATTTTATGATCCAATTTATGTAAGTTTGAATTTTTCTCTATATATTATTCCAATTTCTTTTCTGAGTATTGTTCCATTGTTTTTTCTGTATATTGATCGAAATTTATAGAAATATCGTTGGAATCTGTAGTATCTTTTATTTCAAACATATTTAAATGTCGTTGTTCTCTAATAATATCAATATCATCTGGATAGAATATTTTCTGAACTGATTTTATAGTAAATTGTGGAAATATTGAAACAGCAATAGTTAAGAGAAACACTATCCAAAAACTTGGAGTGCTTAATACATGTTCAGCAATTTTATAAAACTCAAGAGTAATAGTAAATTGCGAATATATTATAGTCCATAACCTATATAAATTAATAAATCTAATAAAAAATTTAAAATGCTACCAGAACAAAAAAACGGAAAATATCCATATTAACATAAATAACCAGTCCCACTGTTGTTGGTTCATTAAAAAAGTTATATTTACTACCATAATTACTGGTGCCGCAATAAAAACTCCTATATCCTCTATTCCATTCAAATTAATACCAGTTAAAGTAACAAAAGTTCCTTTGTAAAATAAAAAATAAGGAAAATAAAAACATACAATTGATTGATAAAAGCCATTTAAAATATAAATCCTGGAAAAAATTAGTAAAATAACACAGTTGTCATTTGTTTAGTTACCAAAATCGCTTCATTGACCAATCTAATTGTAATATTCCACGCCTATATAACTGTGGTACTTTCATAGATATTTCTGCATCAACATCTTGATCAAATGCGCCCATTAAAATGATTATTAAAGAAGTAAAGGCTAAATTATAAAGCAAAATATATCTTAGAGATTAGTATAATATGAAAACTCAAAAAGGGAAAAATACGTATAATCAAATAAGTAACCGCCATTAAAATTATTATAAATCTGATACCAAAATAAAGAAAAGGTCCATACAATATTCTAAATTCATGAATATAAAAAAATATTCTCTTAATCAAACAAACCTTATAGAAAAAATTAGCAATCATCCCACTAAGACGGCGATAGGACCATCTTCCATGAACTAATAGCAATTTACTTAAAAATCTAAATTGACCAATTGCATAATCAGCAGACATAACAGCTTGACGCCCTTCTTCTCCAGCAATTCCAACACCTACATGCGCTTCTTGAATCATAGCAACATCATTAGCACCTGGAAAAAATGAGTAATTTTTTATAATTCAGTTTTTATAACCATCTCCAATAGATAATGTCATAACATTCAAACCCTTTTTAATTATAGAAACAACGGCAGCTTTTTGTGATGGGCTCACTCTACAACACAAAACTGCTTTACATTGTGTACATAGTAGCAAAAATTTGTCTTTGAGATGTTTTTCTAGAAGTATTTTAAGAGTATCGCCATCTATTACAAGAGCGTAGGCCAAAGATAAATGATTATAATCTTCTGTAAAAGTATTTTTTCTATCAGTTTCATTAAAATTAATATATTTTTTTAGGTATTTTTGAATAATTTGATCAATTTTCTCAGTTTCATAATGCCCAGATGCTAACGTCAATATTTCCATATTATTGGAAAGCAGATTACATGAAAAGCCAATATTAATTGCAGTTTCTACTTTGTCACCAGTAAGAATCCATATTTTTATACCCGCTTCAGCCAAAAGTGAAATAGTTTCAGGGACTCCATCTTGTAGTTTATCTTCAATAGCTGTCCCTCCAAGTAGCTCCAAATTACATTCTATTTCCCCGAATGTTTGATCTATTTTTTCTTCGCGATCCTCGATTGCTGATGAAGCAACAACATACTGTTTATTCCAAGAAGCATACTCTTGTTCTGATAATTTTCGTCTTGCTACAACAAGAGTGCGGAAACCTTCCTTAGCGAATTCTTTAAGATCACTTGTAGTTTTATTTTTAAGTTTAGAATCATTTGTTAAGGGAAGAACCGTGCTATCTGCACCTTTACAAAACAAATATATTTCATTATTTGGAGCACGAACGATAATGCTCATACGTTTTCTGAAAGAACTAAATTCAAGAATATTAAGAATTTTATATATTTCTTCCTTTCCATGAATATTTAAATTAATTGAGGTTTTGCGCCGAGCAGTCATAACATAACCCATATCCCTAGCAGTTGCAACAAGTGTAGCCTCATCAGGTGATTGAGCCTTATATTCTAGTCTATGTTTTGTGTCTGGTATTACTTCAGCAATAACAGAATGACAGAGAGACAATGCAAGCATAAAATTATGGCATGCAATTGCCTGGCCTTCTATATCTGAAGTTTTCAAATCACTTACAAAGTCAGTAGATATAAATGTCAATTTAGATTCATCTAAATATGGGTTATTATTAATTTTTCGTAAATTAGATATCATAGCAATTTTTTTATTAAAAATAGATGCTTTAGCTTTTATATCGGCCTCATTAGCACTCATTCCTTGCTTTTGCATTTCAGAGGATATTTTAGTATACGTATCTCCATAAGATACTCCATTTATAGTACATTTTTTAAATTCCATAATATTTTGAGTAAGTGTACCTGTTTTATCAGAAAAGATGTATTTTATTTGCCCCAAATCGTCGGAAATATTCCAATTTTTTGGAGTACATGGATAATCGATTTTATCATAATACATTTCAACATCTGAATAAATAAAAAACGCCTGAGCAGTCTTTACAATTTCAATAGAAATATATAATGAAATAGGAACTAGATTCTGAAAAAGAATAAGACATGTAACAAACGCAATGATGCTATCTAATAGCGGTTTCCCGCCTAATGAGCCAAATTCAAAAAATCTTGCAGAAGTTCCTTTATTTTTCCATGATGTTCCTGACATAACACCCGATATAAAGCACATACAAAAAAGAATTATGAAATTAACCATGATCTAAAAAAAATTAATATATATAATATAGATCATTGGTAGGAAAATTACTGTCCAATTTAAATTTTTAGCAATTTTACTTCGTTTACTAGGTGTAGCACCTGCATTCAGCATAATTTTCGTTTCTTCTCCTGTAAAAATAACAACACCAATTACCCATTTTGTATTTTTGAGCTGGCATCCACGGAAAAGAGTATTATGTATAGAAGCCTGCTCAGAAAATCCCTTTTGTTCCTCTAAATTCTCATCGACAAATTGTGTCCAACGAATAATTGCATTATATTTATACAAATTAGAATTTGGATTTTCGCTTTCTATAATAAACGTTGCTTTTTCACAATCCGCTGCAGTTTTTATTTCGTATCCACATCTTAAAGCATGTCGTAATTTTAGATTTGTTTCACCATCTAAGTTTTTTGTTTCTACATAACATGCGCCATCAGGTTCACTTGTTGCAAGAATTAAAATATCTGCAGGAATTAAATCATCCCCTCTAAGTCTAACAAAATCCCCGACTCTTATATTTTTCCAAAAAGTTTGCTTAAAACATGCCTTTCCAGGGGTTTGTTTATAATGATCAAGTATTGTACCGGTCTCTTGCTTTGATGCAATTTCAATATTTCTTCTTGCATTCATAAATTCGCTAGATAATTTACAATCTAACGAAGGTAATTGCATCATAGAATATGGATCCAGATTTTTTTCGCAACTTAATCTTCGACTTTCAACACTTCTCCTTCTACTTTCTGCACTAATCCTATAAGAGCTCATATAGTCAAGTGATAAAGGATCCTCTTTAATGCCTTTTCTTCTTGCCATAATTATACGTATAATTCTACTTGTTGCTTTTTTTAGTCGACGCCATAATGAAATATTTTCATCAACAACATTATTATTATGCCAGTTATGCAACATATAGGTTCTCGTGTTGTTTAACTCATTATCAAGCACTGTTCTTCTCCAATCTTCAATACCATCCTTAATAGCAGTAACTACAATAATAACAATAAGGGGAACAACTGATAATCCTGGATTTTTTGTACCAAAAATTGAAAAATTCTATACGCTAATTAAATTTCAGGAATCAAATATTATAAAAAATACCTGTAAGATAACAATAATAAAAAAATAAATGTTAGCAACATTATGAAACTGATAAAAAAGGTTTTTTGGAATAAAAGAAAGAGGGGTATATTTTGCAGTTCGAATCTTATTTCTTGGATATGATTCTATAGGTAACCCATATTCATCTTGCATATCTTCCGTTAATGAAAGATTTACAAATATTCTTCGGGTTTTAAAGGTTTGCTCATTTTCCGCAATATTATTAACTTGATTTGTAGAAAAATTATTTCGTAAACCTGAATCTAAATGTTTTAAAATTGATTTTGATGATTTGTTTTTGAAATTATGTAATGCTGACCAAAGCATAGTAATCATAATGAAAGGATTCAAAATTTATTAGAATACTTTATTAATATCCTTTTCAAGCAATAATATTTTTTTTATAAAAATGCAATAAAACTGACTTAGTAGAAACCGTTTATAACTTTATGTTAACAGTCAATGATACCTATTTTGGTAAAATCTAATAAATTGTTAAAAAAAAAACGCGAGGATGAAATATAATTCACACATATATTTTATAATTTTGAAATATCGTTTTTAATAGAATGATCTCTTATTAAATTTTATCTTCTATTTTTTAGCTATAAAAAACTATTTAATTCCTTGTATATATATCTTTTTAAAAAGAAATACCTTTTCTTTCTGATACTACTTCTTTTTCTTTGAAATTTCCCGGTTTTACTTCATTAACAAATTTTTAAAGACTTTTATGATTCAAAAATATAACTTTTAGGTCAAAAAAGATTCAATAATTCAATATGAAAATATATATCCTTATAAATAAAGTATTTTACGCGAAAAAAACAGGAAATTCTTTGTCCTTTTCTAAGGCCCTTTTGCTTAAACACAAGTTCATAAGGTGATTTTATTAATGGAATCCGATCGATACCAACGTTACGGATAAAATTATAAAAATATAATTATAAAATATATTATAGCATATTATAACATATTACGCAGTGATGTTTTCTTAGATCTTTTCTCCCATTTATCTGCTTGTTACAGTTTTAATGTTGGGTTATTTATAGAAATTATAAACTATATACGATATTAATATGATGAAAACGATAATTTATTTTTATATGGTATTGATAATAACAATAATGAATGTATTGTTGCAATATATGCATATACAAATACTTTGGATGTATGGCATTTAGTTATAGTGTATAAATATGATCAAATTGGTTTCGCTTGAAACGTTACTAAGCGTTTAGATAAAATATTAGATTAATTTAGAGTATAAACAGTTTTATTAATAATTAGAATGGGTTTAGAAAAAAATAAATACTATTCTTTTATATAAACTAATATATATATAAATTATATATGAAAAAGTTTATTATAATGATTTGAATATATTTTAATTGCAATTTTATAAAGTGTATACGCTAATAAAAGATTTAGTGTCTGATTTAAAATTAAATATTTATTTACTATAAATGTTTAGCTTTGAAAAACATCAAATTATAGAAAATATTTATAAAAGGATTGGAAATAACAGGAATTTTGGATAACTTATACACTTTATAAAATAAATAATTTATAGTCATGTATATTTTTATCAAGTTTTCGTTACATTTTACATTTTTAAATGACTTTAAATAATGTTTTTTAATATTGTTGCATGTATTTAAAATTAAATTACTAGATTTGAAAATTAGACAATTGAAAATATATAAATATGGGTTTTTATATATATTTTTTATATTAAGTAAATTATTTAAATATAATAATGAATTATTTTCTCTTTATACTAATAGATTATAATGCTTAACTTTCTAATTAATTGCGATTTTTCAATTTTAACAAAAATATTTATTTGTTTTCTAGATAGAATTTTTACATTATTTTAATATTCTTTGCTATTTTTTGACAGGAGATTCTCGGAATAATATACATCTAAAACTATATAGATAATTATTATAATTTCATCGGAGCTACATTTATTTATATTTTTAACTTTTTTATTAAAGTATTAAAATACTATTCCTTTACAAATATGAGTATTTTTTATATTAATTAGAATATTAAATATGAAAATTAGTTTATTTTTGCTTTTTTAGAATAGAATTCAATATTTTAGGTGAAATAAACTACTTATCCACTTATAATTTTGGGTTTTCAACAATAGTTGCTATTTTTCTAAGTTTAAAATTTATCTATAATTTACGTTGAAAAAATATATTGAAATTAATAAATATTTAGATCTGTTTTTTTTTCAGACATTTTTTTATAAATTGGTTCACTTTTTATAATATTATTAACATTTCTAAGTTTGTAATCTATTTGTTCTGAAAATATAAATGGAAACAACTCTTGTACTCGAATATTGATAAATAAATTTAAATTTCATAATTTCCCTAATTCGAATACAATATGATAGTTTCATATTTAATATCTAACGAATCTCAATTATCATTTTTCAGTCTTTTTAATTGATAGCTTTAATATTAAAATATGATTAAAAGCATTTATATATATATATAATAAAAAAAAAGTGATTTGTGATGTAAAGAAAAAAAGTTTAATAATTAAAATCAAAGATCTATTTTTATAATATTCTCTTATAATAACAAATTTTAAACATAAGAAATAGTCTTAATTATCATACATTTTTATTAGTTTTGATCATTATAAAGAGCTAATTATAATACCAACAATAGCAATTGTGGATTTTCAATACCTTGGTTTAAAATTGATGATATAGTTAATAATAGTATTGAAAAATATTTTAATAACTAGAATTATATTTATATCGACTAAATAACTAAATTTTACAAACTTCTTATTTTTTGAATATTTTTAGGAATCATAATTTAAAGACTTTTATTAACAAATTTATAAAAAGTATGATTATTATATTTTAAATTATTTTTATTTAAATTTTTAAGAAATTATTTATAAATAAATAAAATTTTAAATTATATCAGTTTTGTAATTTAATGATAATTAAAAATGAATTATAAAATTTAAAAATTATAATTGTTAGTAATATGTCATTAAATGATAAAAATTTTACAAAAAATAAAAAAACTAAAAAGTATTATTGATTTTTTTTTATAAAATTAATTTAAAGTAGTACAATAATAACTGATTTTTTTCAATTAAAAAACTGTTCTACATCAAAACTTTCCGAATTTCCTGAAAAAAAAGATTTTTTAGACAATGATAAAGGTATTAGTTAATATATTATTTGATTTATATAGATAAATTTTTATACTAGAAATTTCTGACTTAAAAAATAAATTAACAATTAAGTATGATTTTGAAAAGTTAAATAATCAAAAAAATCAGTAATTTGAATTTCTTGTCTATTTTATATCGTTTTTATTTTTTATAGAGAGGAAACTCTTGAATCGACTAGTTCTAATTATCAATTTTCTCTTGAAACTCTTTTAAAAGATCAAGAAAATAGAAAAAAAAGATATGAATCATTTAATCGTCTAGAAAAGTTGCTTAATAATGAGAAGACACATTTAGAAGATTGTTCTTCTCATATTAGTTCTAGAATTGAAATGGTAATAGGGAAAAAAAAGGGGCTGGAACTTCAAGCTGTTCTTGACGATATCAATATTTTTAGAAAACAATTTTGTTGGTCTTTTTTTGGTAATGATATAGAAAAAATCGTGCAAGAAGATATATCAATTGAAGATTTTGAATTGCAAATGGATATCTTAACATTTGGTACTCATTATTATTTATTAAAACTAATATTAATCAAAAAAGAAAAAGAACGATTTCCATTTCTTCTGATTACTGGATATTTTTTGGATATAGTAGATTCTGGTAAGAAATTTTCAATGAAATTTGTACAATGGTTGTTAGACAATAGTATTGCTTTAATCGATATCATATTTATATACTAATTGATCTAGTTTCATTAGAAAAAAATGAAATGATGCTTTATGGGTATTTTTCTATTCTTTCGAAAATATATGTCCGTTTTTGTGTATGTATTTTTATTTTTATTAATGTTTTTAGAGTTCACCACAACAAATGCATGTTTTATCTGAATTTCAAATTAGACGAATTTTTTTACTTCTTGGAGCAGTAGATGAGGCAATAAATACTAAATCATCTATTAATCCTATAAATATAGAAAACACTAACTGTATGTTTTTATATCTAAAAATATTATTAAATTATTTTTAGATAATATAGATCGAAATTATCATTCTAAAATAATTAATCTTAAACTGGTGTTAGACCTTTTGAGGACTGCATTATTGTATGTTTTTTAATCCTTTTATTTAACTTTATTTTTTTACAATACCTGTGTTAAATTATAGGCATAATCGTATAAAAAAACATCAATCTATTTTATTTATTTTTTCGATTATACTTAAACTTTATATGGATGACAATTGTTTATTTCATTTGGGATCTTCTTTATATCTATGTTTTTTACAACTTTTTAATACTATATCAAGTACAGAATTTCAAACCATGGTATAAGTTTAATGTTTATGTTATTTCTCTATTAATTTCTACTTAAAGGCACTGGAAATGTTTAATATTGCTTATAATATTACAAAAAATTCATTTATGAGATTATCTATTCTGCAATCGTTACCTATTGGGCATGTTTATGGAAGAATATTACGATTTGGATTAGCATTTTCGATGTTACTGAATATTGATGTTCCTCCTGACAATTTTCCTCGCAGCGTTTGTTTTTTTCTTCTGTTTATTATTTTCTAATACATATGCATTAGTATATTTTTCCCTTTTCAAAGATTTTTGATCATATACAAATGTCACGGCCATTTTTTCCAATTGATTCTGATACTGATTATTTTGAATTATGTATTGCTATATACATGCTGGATTATATATTTTTTCAACCTTCATATCAGGATAATCAGGAGATCAAAAAAATATGTAAATTATTGAAACATATATATGAAAAAATTTCGGATTGTAGAACTGCTTTTATTATTAAAACAGAGGTATCAGATACGTAATATAAAAATAATTCTAATTTTTTAGGCTAAGGCTAAAATTCAGAAGTTATTATTAAGACTAACTCCTCATACTTATGGAGATTTCTCGAAAATGCATCAGTCCACTCTTGAATATCATTTTAATAAAATATAATTGTCTTAAACTAGAACATTAGACTAGAAAAATAGAAAATAATTTGAAATTATAAACTAAGGACATATATATATATATATAGCGAAAATGTACAAATAGTGCAAAAGCTAGGACAAATTAAACAATTACATTATCTAAAATATCTTTTTTAATCTTAAAATTTATGAGTTTCAGATTTACTAAGAATCTATAAAAAAATATTAAAAAGTTTTCACCCAAATAGTGTCAGTCGAATAATGGGCAGCGTATCTTTTTTTAATAATTCTAATCTTTCATCAAACGTATTGTTAACTAAAATATTTTTATCCGCTTTAAAAATAATGATCCCTCCATATCTAATAAAATATAAATAATATGATAATATATATATATATATATAAACCCATCAGATGGAAGACATTCTTCGTCAATAGTTACATTCAACTCCATATGTGTTTTGTTTTTGAAAGTCTCAATAGTATCATCAATTACCTTGTGAATTAATGCATGATCTGATGCACGACCACGAACTATAACATTTGTTTCCATTAACTGCAAAAATCCCTAACCATCTTAGATGTTTATTTAGATGAATAGTTTTATAACTTGTAAAATAAGAACTTTTAAAAGTTCTTGATAACGTTCTTCATCTTCTGATAGTTTAAAAAGTATTCCCTTAACCTCTTCAAAGACTTCATTCAAAATATCTTCTTTTTCTTTTAATAATCTTAATCTCGATGTATTAATAATATTTGATTTTAATATTTGCTGAGCTATGAATGCATTTTTCATTTTTTGTTTATAAAACTCATCAATTTTAGCTGTTTCACTAGACACAATCCTAGCCTTTTCAATAGCAAATTCTTCATTTGACTAAAGATAACTTTTATGTTTTATTTTTAAAAAAATAAACATACTTTAATATGAATTTCCCGGGCTTTTTCCATAGCTTCAATTTTTATGAAGTTAATTAATCTTTGCATTTCTGCGTTTGCTTGTTCATCTGAAAGTGCCATTTTATTTCTTTAGAGTTAACTTGAAAAATTCGAATTTTTAACGTTAAATTGATTTAAAATGTAGAAAGATCAATAGATATGTTAACGCTTAGAATTTTTGAAAAATAATCTATAAAATATATTAATAAAATAACTGTTTTATTTTTATATTGCATAGGATTTATTATTAAATTTAAGTCTTAATGATAATAACTTATAATTTGAGAATGATGATAATGATATATATGTAAATTTTTTAAATATAAAAATAAAATTATATAGATGTAAGGGTTATTTATATGTTAAATGTTGTTAAATTTTATTACAAATGATCTTGTATTATTTATGATAAGAAAAAATAATAAAATAATTTATAATTTATAATATTTTTATTGTAAATTTAAAATATAGATTGAAATATTTGACATGAATTTATTAAATTTATTTAAAAACCTTGAGATCTATTTGTTAGTTATAAAGCATTTTTATTAATTGAAATGTAAAAACTTGCATGTTTTTAATAGAAAAATAAAATTATTTAATTTTAATATTTTTATTTGAAGATTTTTATAAAGACGCAAATATTACAGAATATATTTATTCTTTGATTTGTAAGATATTTTGAATTATTTAAATATATTAGTTTCTACTATTTATATTTTAATATTTTATAATTTTTTTTAACGATTTCTTTGATAATTGTAAAAGGTATGTTAATGTTTAGTAAAAAGAAATATAAATCATATTTTTTTGTTTATGCACACAAGACGATATGTTCTTTTTTCAATAGAATGAAAAAATTATTTCTCTTATTTTTTTGTATTTATTAATCATTAATTTTATAGATGGTCAGGGCAAAAAACCATAATACTCATAGAAAAAATGTGGAGATTGAAAATGATACATCATCTTCTTCATTGTCATCATCACCAGATACTAAAACTAATGATATGACTGTGGATTCAAATACTCAAGTTTTTTCTCGCTTAGAAGCGAAAGCACGTAAGCAAATTTTAAAACATGGACTTAAGCAAGTTTCCGGTGTTGTTCGTGTTACTCTTTCTCGCCCAAAAAATGTAGATTTGATTATTTTAATTCAATATAACTTACTTATTATTAATAGATTTTAATCTTAATCTGCAATCCAGAAGTATATAAACATCCAAATTCTAATACATATATTGTATTTGGACAAGTTAAAATCGAAGATATTAGTTCTCAGGAACAGCTAAATGCTGCACAACAATTGGCACATAGTACTATTCAAAACACAAAAGAATCTATTATATCTTGTACAACTGCAAATAGTAAAGAGGCTTCTTCTATTGAAGAAGTTATTGATTTAGATGAAACTGGATTGCAGTCAAAAGATATCGAGTTAGTAATGGATCAAACCAAAGTATCTCGTTCTCAAGCAATTAAAGCATTAAAAGAAAATAATGGCGATATTGTAAATGCAATTATGTCGATTGCAATTTGAGATTTTTAGCTATAAAATGTTCAAATATTTTGAATTTTTTTCTATATTACTATATAATATGCATACCTAACTCCTCCCTTCACTCTTCATATAACCCTCATCTTAACCCTGACCTATTTCTCTTGACATTATTCATTAACCTAACCCTCATCATTAATATACCCTGATTATAATCTATTCATAACCCTGTTTCCGAACACATCTTTGTTACTAAGAACCTATCCTGTGTTTTTACCCTAACCCTGAAACTTTTCTTAACCTATTCTGATCGGGAAAGGAAAAAAATTCGAGTATAAAGTAATACCGAAAGGGAAAAGCCAAGTAACAGGATTGTAAAAAGGCCAACGTCGATTCGATAAAAAGAGGCAACGAAGTAATCAGAATCGTTATGACGCAAAAACGAGGCGTGGAAGATGGGGAACTGTTAGGAGGATCAGTCGAAGAAGAGGGAAAACGTGCACGAACGGAAGAGGATGATGAAGATAAAGTGAATCGTGAGCGTACGTATTTTTTTTGAAAGATTTGTGCCTTTTTTGGCACAAATGATTATGAATAGATTAAGAAATAATACTAATATAATGGGTTTATAGGACGTAAAATTGAAATAAAGTTCATTGAGGATAAGAGTCGTCGCCATATTACATTTTCGAAACGAAAAGCCGGGATTATGAAAAAGGTAAAGAAAAATAAGGAAAGATAAAATAAATTTAGATTAAAACGGGATATTTTAGGCATATGAATTATCAGTTCTTACGGGAACACAAGTTTTATTGCTTGTTGTATCAGAGACAGGTCTTGTTTATACCTTTACAACACCTAAACTTCAACCCTTGGTAACGAAAGCTGAGGGTAAAAATTTAATACAAGCATGTTTAAATGCACAAGATTCAGGGACTGGAATTCAGGATGAAGCGGAACCTAATATTATCAATGGACCGACAGCTATTGGTGCAAATCTTCAATCTTATCCTCCACCTCCACCTTCAATGAGAGCACTTTATTTTAATCCGGACCAAGCTGCTGTTTATCAGCAGTATATGGTATGTATTTATTATAAAATGATTATATGGATAATGCATATATTTAATTTTAAATAGCAACAACCTCCATATATGCAACCTGGGCGTATGCTGGCTCAGCCGCCTCCACCCCAACATCATTTGCCTCATCTTGTGCCCATGGGAGGACATTTGCCTCATCATATGGGTGACGTACATATTCGAGTTGATAAATAGTCATTACAACAGCTTTTGCAGATAAAGATTGAACAAAAGCATCTTGTATTGTTAAAACTGATTTATTTTTGTTATGATTTTATTTTTTAAAACACAGGGTTTAAATAGGCAAAAGGTTTTTGTGACATTTTTGAATTATACTGGTGTTGTATTTATTGTTTTTTATTGATTTTGTATAAGTTTACTTTTATACCTGGTTAATATTGAATATCTATCAACTTTGTCATTAGTTTGTTGATAACCTTTTTATGTGTTTTTATATATTAAAACATTTTTGTTTAATTTTTCTCTTAAATTTTTTTTATTGTCTTAGTTTTTTATCTTTTTGGTAAAGCTTTATTTCATTAAATTTGAATTAATAATTTCACTTGATAGTTTTTAAAATAATTTAAAAATAAATTATGACTTTCCAATCTTTAATTTTATCTAGTAGAAAAACATATATTTTAAATAATTGTTTCTTAAAAGGGAATTTTGTGATTACTTTTTTATTATACTTAGTCTGATAGATTCTATTTATTGTATATATTATGAATTATTCGTAATAAAAATATAATGTATAAAATGCAATGCATTTCTTTGAGAGAATAGTCCTGTAGATTTGGTTATATTTAAATTCGGAATCTATTATTAAAAGATATTTGAAAATTATTATATTTTGATTTATATATACTAAATCCATTTATAAAGAAATATCAATAGAACTTATTTTATAATATATATTATATATTTATTATGACGTTTCACATTTTTGTCATAAATTACATTAATTTATTTAACTTAAATTGTTTTATTTGTATAAATAGACTTTAAATTTATATGTGATTCTTATCAATCTTATTGTAATATTTATATTAATACAATTTTGTATATATTTTTTTGGATAATTTATTTAATAAATTTAAACTTTTATTGTTTATAGTATTTGCTTTGTTTTATTCATATTAGACATTTTCATAAATATACTTATTTTAAATAATTTTACTAATAATCATTAAATTATCAATAAAATTTATATCCAATTTTAATAAGAAAAAAAAAGAAAAAGAAATAATTCTTTTAATAGAATCTCATATTTTTGGAATTTGTAAATAAGATATTTTCTATCATGTTTAGCAAATTTTTACTTATTAATTTATGATCTATAAAAAGATAAATTGAACTTCAATAAGAATTTGAGCTCTTTTCTGAAAAATAAATCTATTGACTTATAAGTTAAAGAAAATATAGGTATGTGACGGAGACCAGCTCACGAAGACGCCGTGAAGAAACAGACGGACTACTGCTCTGGTGACAAGTAGTGAACTTTACTAAGAACAGTTTGACTTTTATACATGATGCATGACACAGCATAATTAAAATTAAACAAAAGGCATTTAACAAATTCAATGCATGTATGACAACATCTTTTCTAAGAATCCATCCAGAGAGCACATTCCACTTAATGAGGAAACTTATCAGCCTACTTAAATATTTATAACCTCTTTGTGATCGTCATCTGATGTTCTGTACTCTGCTTAACCAGGAGATAAGGAAATCATAGACTGCCAAGGAATGTCATGTTAGGACATCCAGTCCTTGAAGGAGGAACTGCCCCTGAACTTTCCCCTAGTTCTCTGAGATGACCCTCTCAGCCCTTCCAAATAGCTAAGCAGTCTCCTTCAGGTATGAATTATAATGAATACTTTAATTTTTATTCTTCTATATATATTTTTCTGACATTTTATAAAGATTTTAATGAAACAATATTATGTTTTTTTTTAAAAAATAATTATTTTTTAAAAATAAAGTGAGATGTTTTTTAAAAGGTATTAGTTTTATTTTAAAAAAATTTTATTTTTAAATAACTAAATAAAAAATAACATTAAAAATTGCATTAATAATAAGCCATTGAAAAACCTATTTTCCAAATATAATATAAATCTATGACCATTGGAAAAAATATATCTATTTAAAGATAAAACAATTTTTTTCTGTTAATAGAAGAATTTGACATTTCGAATGCTAAATATTTTTAATATATTCAATATCTTATTTTATCAAATCTCCTAAAGAGTGATGTAAGATTGATAGATCAAGAATTGTTATAAGGATAAAGTTTTGAGCTATAGTGCTACCGTGTTAATTTTAAATTATATTGAAAATTCCGTATATTAAAATAATAACAAAAAAGAACTTTTCAAATTCAATATAGATTATATATAAAAACAAATAATCCTAAAATATTATTTGCAAAAAGAGAAGGTTATATTTTTATAAGACATACATTTTGTGTTAAAGAACGAACTATTAAAAAAAGAATTGTATAAATCAAACTGAAATAATATATATCTCTAATTTTATAATTCGTTAATAAATATGTTACGCTTACATAATGGTATAAATAAATTATCCAAAAGAAAGAAAACCTATTCCTCTTTAAGGAAATTTTTACATTTTTTATTTGGAATAGTAAATTATTATTTTTAAAGAATTTTGATAATCAGGCTTAAAAACGTGTCGCCAATCCTTTTGAGCTTAGCTTTATTATTTCATTTATATGCATAATTTCCTTAATTTATTAATTTTCTTAAAGAATTCTATTTTTTTAAATATATATTTAAAGATTCATTTGAATAAAAAAATGTAGCATTTTTTCATTAAATATGAACTTTATATAAGCATTTTATAAACTTTAAAAAAAGATTTTTGCATCTAATATTCTTTTTTTAATTATTTTTCTGAAAATAAATAAATATTAATAATTTACCTTTTTATATAAGTAGATTGTATTAACATTATAAAATATAAGTGATTTCCAAAAATACTATGGATCAATTTTAACAACTTGTATACATGATATCAATATAATAAATTTTATAAAGATATTTAAAAAATTATTATATAATCGATATCAATAATCTATACATTTGTATCTATATATTATTTATCAAGTCAAACTTTTATATGAAATTCTACTTGAAAAAGTTAAATTTTATTTTAATACAAAAATATGTTTAATCAAACGATAAAAAAAATAGTCTTAGATATCATCGATATCTACATTATCAAACTCAAAATTGCATTCTTCCTCCCCTTCTCCTCCAAATATATCTGTCTCATTAATTTTTGCTGTATAAAATGTTAATCAATATTTATAGAAATATAACATAAACTTACTGTTTTCCGGTAACTCTCCATAATTCTTAAGATCACGTGCTTCATCTGCTGTATATTTTAAAATAACATCCCCCTTTTTGTCCTGATATTCTCGAAGAGATAATAATATAATATCTCCTGTATTAATCCAAACTTTCTTGCGAAGTTTTCCACGAATATGCGCAAGTCGTTTTTCTCCATCAAAACACATTGCTTCCAAACGCCCGTTCCCAAGCATTTTAGTAACTTGTGCATATTCTTGACCATCTTCTTTAAAGATAAGTTCGCGTTTTTCCGCCTCGTTTTCATTCTTGCCTCGGCGTCGATTCTTTCCACCCTAATCAACAAATATATCCGTAAACGTAATATATAACGCATACACTGCGTTAATCAAACAACTCACCTTTCCTTTATTTTTTGGCATTAAGAAGGGTTATTGTAGCCATAAAATTAGGTAGCTTTATAAGGCAAAAAACTCGAAACTTTAGAAGCAGTTTTGAAAAAAAAAAGCGGACACGCAAACAGTCATCGGTGAGGATTATTAAAAAAAACTCATTGATTCCCTATAAATTCAATAAAAAAATAGTCTTACTATTTTAAGTATCATTATTCATATTATTTTGACACATTTATAAGTAAAATTGTTAGGAATTTATCGGAATTTTTTTCCATATATTAACTTTTGTTATGCTTCATTTATAAAATGTATGGACATCAAGAAGATAAAGATCGTAAACCTTTCGTAATGTATGCGCCTCAACCGGCTTATTTTTCCACTTCTCGTTCGTCGCCAGTTCCTGGAAAACAAAACCCTCAAACACAACAAAATACATATACTAGTTATTTGGGAGTTAATCATGCAGCAGCACAAATGGGACTTCAAGTGGGTCGAAGTGCTGTTATGGCAGGCCAAGAATATGTGGAACGGAATGTAAGACTTTAGAAATAAGTTTAAAGTAATAAATTTAATTATGGATCAATTTTTTAGGTGGGTCGTTTTATATCAATGGATATGCTTCGTTATTATTTTAATGTTTCGAATTATTATGTAATCAGTAAAATAAGCGTAGTTCTTTTTCCATGGAGGCACAAGGTTTTTATTTTTTAAAAAATCAATTAAAAATCAAATTATCTAATATGTTTTATGGAAAAAAGTGTTGGAGTCGTCTTACTCGACATTCAGAAGTGAATGAGGCGGTTGTAGAAGGATATAGGTCACCGAGGGAGGATATTAATTCACCCGATATGTATATTCCGGGTATTTAATCAATTAAGTTTTTTTAAAAAGTTAATACTTTTTTAAATAGTTATGGCATTTGTTACATATGTTTTATTGTCGTCTTTATTGGCAGGTTTTAAAGGAGATTTTCATCCAGAATTATTGGGTACAACGGCATTAATGGCATTGATAGTTGTTACTTTTGAAATTTTGGCGATCAAATTTGGATGTTATATCTTAAGCATTTATAACCAAACTCAGCTTCTTGATCTTGTAGCATACAGTGGATATAAATTTATTGGGTAATCGAAAATATATAGTAGTAAGTAAAATATTAACTAATTTAATCTAGAATAATTGTTATCATGCTATCAAGCATATTTCATAATTTAATATTAACTTATTCTGTTTTTTTTTATACGTTTATTTCAATTGCTTTCTTTTTGGTATCTTCAAATTAGTATTATGAATATCATTTTTTAATTGATATTATAATATAGTTGCGCTCATTAAGATACATTGTTCTTCCTGAATCAAATATTTCTTTAAATGCTACAATGAGTTTGTCTCAAAGACGTAAGAGAATATATTTTCTTTTTGGAATTTCAATGGCTCAGATATTATTTATGTTTATACTTACCTGAAATTCTTTACATTAAGATATCATTCATAATTATCTTTGTGATTATTCGTCTTTTTTATACTAAAATTTTTTATAATTTTGGAAACTGAAGTATTTATTATTAAATTTATTAAAAAGGGTAAAATTGTTTTATTAAATCTATATGCATAATTCTAAAGAAATGGATATCTCAATATTAATAAAGACAATAAATTTGATATTAAGATTTGAACTTTAAAAATATTTTTTTTAAATGTTCAATTTTATATTTCATAATCAATCCTTTAAAAGAAATATATTTTATATTATAAGGATGGATATTGCATTAATATTAAATTGGACTAATATTTTATTTTATAGACATTTTATTTAGAATAAATACTAAAGAAATAAAAATATTTTAAGATTCTAGAATACAGATATTGTGTATTTTAATAAAACAAGATTTAATTTTTTAATTTTATATAATTAATATTGAAATATGATAGAAATAATATTAATTATAGATACTTTTTTTATTGATACTAATATTAAAAGATAAAACAAATGATTGAGATTATTATACATACAGATACAAGTGGTTATAATGAATAAAATATCCTTAATTAAGGTATTTCACATGGTCTAATAAATGCATAATTATATCGAGAAAATACAACTTCTCCAATAAAAATACCAACCAATACTGCAAAAAAATATCCAATATTCATAGACATTACGAGAATCATTAAAAGATATGAAAAAAAATATGTAACAAATTGTAAAAATGCCCAATAAAAGTCAACCGATAATCGAAATGATGGCATAGTTTGCAGATATTTATTATTTTCACTCCTCATAATTTCTGGTCGATAATAAATATCTATTTCTTTTAATTTAGAGCAATTCATACAGACTATTTTTTGTTTGCATTTCCATTGTAATTTATAAGTTGAAATTGCTCTATAAAAAATACTTATTATAATAATAAAGATTAATGTAAAAAAATATTGTATATTGTTTTTAGGAACCCATTCTTTTATAAATAATGGGGTTTTCATATCAATATTAAATGTCATAGATCCACAATCCATTAACATCGTATTTTAGTAATTTACTATAAAATTTATTGCTTCATAAAAATCCTAGGGTTAATTTAAATAATTTTCTAACTTTAAAAGTAAATCTTGTCTATGATAGATTAAACATGAAATGAATTAAAACTATATAAAAAAAATTAAATAAAATCCTAATTACTACTAATAATTAAAGCATTAAATTATTACAATGCAGTTAAAGGCATTGTTACTTATTTTTGAATAAAAATATTGATTAAATATCTTTATGTTTAATATAATTTTTTAGACTAATTTAAGCTATAGATTTATTTTTTTTTTAATATTTTAAAACAATTTTTATAGACTTGAATAAAAAAATATAAAAAATATCTTAATTCCCTATATTTTTATACTATAAAAAACCTTTAAAAAGTGGGATTAATAAGCATTGTTAAAATATATATACATAAAGAGTGACAATTATATGAGAAAAAAGTACTTATTGGTTAATTGGTTTATATAGATGTTTTAGAATTTTAGATAAGTTGAAGGTTTAAAATTTATTTTGTAAAAAAAAAATAGAATGAACCAAAAAAAAAGAGGTTCACCACCATTATCTACTCATCTTTCATTAGCTTTAAATTATCAACAAGTATTAATCCAAGAAATTTATAAGGAAGACGGTCTTGTTATTCTTGCAAGAGGATTAGGATTATTAAATATTGTTGCAAATTTTCTTCATACATGTAATCTTCCAAGGACTCTAACTTTAGTTATTGGGGCGAATGGAAGGCAAGAAGAATTTCTTAAGGAAATGGTTGATGAATTAGCGACATTGGATAAAGAAGTGTTAAGAAAAGAATTTAAAATTATAAATAATGAAACTGGATCACCGGATAAACGGTTTGTAAACATTGTTTTGTAAGGAAAAATATGTGAGATTAGATCAGTGAAATTATGTATGATAGTGGAGGTATTTTTAGTGTGACTTCTAGGATTTTGGTAGTAGATTTATTGACGGGTATTCTTGATCCTAATAAGATATCTGGAATTGTAGCGTTGAATGCAGAAAAGTAGTTGATTGAATAAATAACGTTTTGATTTATGTTGGTTAGAGCTAACGAAACATCTTTGGAAGCATTTATTTTAAGGATATTTCGGAAGAGAAACAAAATAGGTTATATTAAAGCTTTTTCTGATAATCCTGAAGCGTTTTCTACAGGATTTTCTACATTATCAGATATTATGAAGGCTTTTTTTTTGAAAAAGTGTTTTTTATGGCCAAGGTATTTTATTTATGATGATTATATTTGTTTTTTATGTTTTATAAAGATTTCACGTTTTAGTTGCAGAATCTCTGGAATCTAAAAAAGTCGATGTTATAGAGCTAGAAGTACCTATGACAGAAGCAATGAAAAATATCCAGCAAGCAATACTTGAATGCATGGAAATTTGTATTTCCGAGCTTAAAAGTGCTAACTCTGATAAAATTGATATTGAAGATTGGAATATAGATAATGCGTTACACAAAAATTTTGATCGAGTGATTCGTCGTCAATTGGATTTATATTGGCATCGTATTAGTAGAAAAACTAAGCAACTTGTATCTGATTTGACAACATTAAGACGTATGTTATAGTAAGAAAATTTTTATTTTTTTCTTTTTTTTTAATGTAGCAGTTATCTTTTATCATATGACTGTGTATCTTTTTATAAAATTCTGGAAATAATATTAATAGCAGAATCTTCATCAGAAGACATGAAACAAGAGCGCTCTCCATGGCTTCTTCTAGATTCAGCAAATATAATATTTAAATTTGCTAGAGAACGCGTTTATAAAAGAAGTACATCAGAGAATATATATGCACAAGAATCGTGTAGTTCTATATTGCCTGTTTTAGAAAATCAACCTAAATGGTTTGTTTTAAAACAGGTAATGCACGAAATAGAAATAGAAATAAATTTAAATCCCGAATTACATAGTAAGTTAGATTTTTATATTTAATTAAGACTAATCCTTTATGCAGAAAACAATAACTGCGCTGTTCTTATAATGTGTAAAAGTGAGCATGCATGTAGTCAGATTCAAGGATATCTCGAGGGCTTTGATAGCAATAATGTTTTTCCCGATGACAATGATGATGATTCAGATAAAATTAGTTGTCCTTTTTTAAAAACAAGATTCAAAGAATATTTAATGTGGAAACAGAATTTTTCAAATGTAAAATTTGATTTAAATAATAACAACGATGAATATATAAGTGGTAAATAATGTATAATATTAATATTGAGTTAAATTTAAGTTCTATAGCTACCTCTGATAAAAATCGTAGGACTCATCACTCGCGTCAATTAGTTAGTAAAAGAAGGCGTATGCGAGGTGGTTCGTATGCTTCATCGAATACTTGTATAAATTATTCTCATATTTCTTTAAAGGATGACTTTAATCATAATGAAGTGTAAGTTTATTTTTTATAGAATTTAAATAATTCTTTTTATATAGCATAGATACTCTAACTATTCCCCAAAATGAGACTATAAGTTCTGATAATTATTCTTTTGATGATGAAGACAATTGTTTTGAGATTTTAGATTTAAATGATTTAATAGTTATATTACCTTATAATGATGATATGGACGATATTATACTTAAGGAACTTAAACCTAGGTTTATAATTTTATATGAGCCAGATACCGTTATTATAAGAAGAATTGAGGTATTTTTTATTTTATTGTTTTTTAAATATTAAAAAATTAGTTGTATCATTCCATTTATAAAAATGAGCTTTTGCGTGTATATTTTATGTATTATGGAAATTCTGTGGAAGAGCAAAAATATTTGGCTACTGTTAGAAGAGAAAAGGATTCGTTTGCTAAGCTTGTTAAAGAAAAAGGAGTATGTTTATATACATTTATTATATTTAACCTAAAAAGTGCTAGAACATGGCTATATTATTAACAGAGGAAAAAAATAATAGTAATTCTGAACCCTTACTTCCAAAACCTGTTAATGCACGAATTGAAGGAGGGGTTAAATCTATGGCTAATGCAGAATCATCAAGAGTATGTATGTATCTATTTATATCGTTCTAATGAAATTAGATAATTGTAGATATCCGTGAATTTAGAAATCCGTTGCCATCTTTGTTATATAATTATCATGTGAATATTATTCCATGCCAATTAACAGTTGGTGATTACATTTTGTCATCTTCATTATGTGTTGAAAGGAAAACGATAAAGGATTTAATTAGTTCCTTAAATAATGGAAGATTGTATCATCAATGTGAAATGATGCAACAATATTATTCTACTTTTATACTTCTTATTGAATTTAGTCAAAATAAATCATTTAACTTAAATGTAAGGATTTTAATAAATATATATACGTATTAACTGGAATATTTTAAAGAATCCTAATGATCTTACAAGTAATATTAATATTAATAGTCTTCAATCAAAACTTGTACTTTTAACTATAGCATTTCCAAATTTAAGAATTATTTGGTCTTCTAGTTCTTATGCTACTTGCGAGATTTTCCTTGAATTGAAGGTCTATATTTATTTTATACTTGAGTTTAACTAATATTTTGCATTAGAAAAATCGAGATGAGCCAGAACTTGTTAAAGCTGTGTCATTAGGGTTAAGAGATAGCGAAGATAATACAATTCTTAATCAGGGCCCTCAAGTATGTTTAGAACTTAAAAATTATAATGTTAATGTTTAAGGATTTTCTTTTGTCTATTCCTAAAATAACTTTGAAAAATTATAAAAACATTATATATAACGTTGATAATATTTGTGATTTAAGTAATCTTGAAGAAAAACAAATAATCGATTTAATTGGTCAAGAATCAGGAAAGGCTGTTTATTCATTTTTTAATAAAACTATTTTTTGAAATAGATATTGGTATTTATAGATTATTTTATTTATATTATGCAAATATATTTAATCATTATTCATATAACATGTAGGTTTAATATGGTGATAAAATGTAAATCTGATATGCTATCGTCTATATTTAATAAACTTTTGTTCTTTTCCCCATAAAGAAAGTCTTTGAATTTTTTTAATTTTTTTTAAACCAAGAGTTCCAACGATTGTAGCTATAGCAAGAGCAAGAGAAGATATTATAGCAAATGCGTATGGCCAATGTTCCATGAAATTTTTTAAATTCATACCTAATAATCCAGTAATAATAGCACCCGAACTAGTAGCAAGTGTTAATATGGATATCTTTTATAAATAATAAGAATTAGAAACATTAAAAAACTATTTAAACCTTTAACTCCATCTGCATCAATGTATTTCGGTTTGTATCAAGAATAATATTTACGATTTCTTCAGTATTTTTAATATTAGAAACTAAATTATTTACAGATTGAACAATTTCATCTGTCTGTTTCAAATATGATTCAAGAAGTAGTTCTATTTCATCATGTTGATCAAGCGGACGTATTTTTCCTTGATGTTTTTCTGTAAGATACATAGCCGCTAAATCCTCATCTTTAACGTTAGGTGGAAAAAAATATAACTAAATATAATACCTTGATCCAAAATCTCATTTAGTGCATTTCGTATTAAGGTTACCTTTTGTTCAAAAGCTGTTACTTTTTTTGAATATGTAAGTAAATTTCTAATATGCTGATGATGGACATCTTCTTCAAGTCTTAATAACACATCTTTTACCAAAGAATTCAAAAATTTCATTTCTTCATCCAATGCTGTAGAAACACTAATAAGAATCGCTTCTAGTGCTCTGTTTATAGTCAACTTGTATTTTTCTTTATAAATTTTTCTCCACCTAAATTCATACGGTAATCCACCTGCTGCTTTATTTCCTTGACGAAGTTTACCTTCTAAATCATACATAAATACGCTCTGCGTATGTGTATCCGTGCTCCCATATGCGTTAAATAATAGTACAGCATCTGCTTTAAGAAGTGCTCGAATATGTAACAAATTAATAAGAATAGAGTTTTTGCGTACTAAAATAGATGGTATAAGTGATTGAATACCTGTATCGATCTTTCTCAGATCACGAGGCAACAATCCATGCTAAACACTCGTTTTAGTATATATTTAACTCTAATATAATTTCTTTTCTAGCTTTTTTTTCACACATTTTCACTTTTCGCACAATTTTTTAACATCTTACCTTAAGACAAAGATCTGTTTTTTTAAATTCACCTGATACAACCTTTACGCAGCCTTAATCTATTAATATTTTAGTCTTTTCTTTTAAAAAATACCAGTTGCATCAAATTCTGTGCCTGTATAAATAAGTTTCAATTTTTTATATTAAGTTTTTACATTTAATGAGCAATTCGTTTTTTTTATGTGACTTTAAAGCTTTCTCAAGAACATGACGAGTATTGTTTAATTCTTGATTCTCTAAAAGAATAGGTGAAGTTGTTCTAAAAAACGTACTCGGTTTAAATTCAGATGCAGATGTATAAGAACGAATTGATTGTTGAAAAGCATAATGTAAATTCAAAAAAAAAGTGCAATGGTAAGGCTTGTATGAAATAAAAAAAGGTTTTTTCATCCGAAAAAAATGGTTAAGTACAATTACCGGTCGATATCGATTAGTCTTTATATTTTCGATGATTTTGTTTTTTAAAGCAATAAACCTTTGATAGCTCTTATGCCATTATCTTCTTTTTATCTATCCTGAAATTCTCTTGTTTTTCTATATGATTTAAGCAAGCAAATAATATATTTTGTTTCTTAAGCAATTGTGATAAAAATATAAAATATGTTTGAAAATATGCAAAAATATGACTAGCTAGATATGAATATAAAATCAGCTAAGCTTGATACATATATCTTCATAAGGTTTAGCTTGATGAACTGTTAAAATGTTACGAGAAGCTAATACTAAATATTTATTAAAAAAATTGACCAAATAATCTTTTTTTGCCTTACGTAATACATGGCAGAGTGCTTGGGATGCAACTGAGCGAGAACTATTAGATGTAGGAACTAGTTCCTCAAATGTAATTGTATAACCTTCTTTTTGATGAATACGTGCTTGTGTATATCTATAACATTTTATATTAGCAATTATAAAAAAAGATAATAAAAGATATACTCTAGAAAATTGTAAGACTCTTTTTCCATAATGGTTGATTGACTATCTTGTAATATTGTTTGAGTGTCAAGATTTGTAGCTATTATTTATTAAAACGATCAAAGAGATGATAAAATATACCTTCAAAAATTTCAAAGTCTTCCATTATATCTTCTCCTATATTGATGTTGACATCTTCCAATGTATCAGCAAGAGGACTTGCTATTAATTTGTTTTTCCTTATGGTAGAAGAAAAATGGCCAGTAGCGCTTACTGAAGGTGTATCAAAAGAAATAGAAGCCATTCCCGGACCTACTGATCCTGGACGAGAAGAAATATGGGATTGATTCCATGGCATAAGAGAAGATGTACGACGTGTGAGTTCTTCATCAATATGACGTCCTAACTCAATTTCCTAAGATAGACATTAAATTAAGTTAAATTAATTAAATAATATAACCTCTTCAAAATAAGAATTCATGCTTGCAGGCATTTTTTCTGTTTGTTGATGGTTTAAGCTATCTATATTGTCAGCAGGTTCGTCATTAAGTTCGTTTTTGGTTCTTTTTTTATGTTTGAGAGAATATTTTTGCTTTTGATTATCTAGAAACATGGCTTTTAAAGAAGGATGCATTAATTCCTCTGAAAAACTCCAAACGAAAAAGTGGACATTATTAAGAGCAGCCTTTTCCTGAAGTTTTCGTGTCTTTATTGCAGATTGTTTTTCCATGTTTTTGATATAATCGTCACGCCATGAAATCAAATCTTCCGAGGGAAGTTCTGTACGTATATCCGTCTTCATTCCTAAAAATTTTCTTTTTTTTCTCTGTTGATCATCGTCTTCATATGTATTTGAACTAGTTTCATGGTTCCTGTTTTGAGGAACAAAAGATGGATCTCTACTATCAAAAAAATCTGTCTCCGCAAGCTCACCAATCATAGACTCATCTACCTCCTCATAAGCCATCAGCGTTTTTTCGAACTATAAGTATTAGATATGTTAACAGAATAATATTCAAAAAAACTGTATGATTAAATTTCTTTCGCCTTTTAGCCTCTGCATGTTGAAATCTTACAGTTTCTTCTCCTTCATCTGAGTCAATTTTATACACATCATTCCTTTTTTTCTGAATTGATGAACTTATATCACTTTGTTTTCCCTCAATCTTTCGTATTTCTCCCTCTGCATCAAATTCAAAGTCAAATGAAAGTTCCCCGTTCATTGATCCCAAAATATCAGTATCCCTTTCAATCAATCCACTCATATTGATAGCTGAACGTGAAATTGAGCCTGAAAAATCAAGCTTAGAAGTATGATTATTCATTGAAAGGGATGATCTTGGCAATGTATGTTGTGAGAAAGAAACTGGTGTTGTCGAAAGATCAAATGAGCTAGAATGACTTTCTTGAACCCCAATTTCTATATCAAATGACGTTTCTGGATGCCATGGTAGTGTTAAAGTTTCCATTCCATATTCATTTAAATCCGGCATAAATCCCGGATCATCTACAAGGGTAAAAAGATCCGTTCTATCAATTAGATCTTCATTATCCTTTCTATCATGGAAAATACCTTGTCTTCGTCTTTGGAAGATCAATATTTGCTTTTTCAAGGCTTATTGTTGCAAGTTCTTTACGAATTTTAGCATGAGTTAATTGAACATCAGCTAATCCCCCCTTAACCATCTTTTCTAAATATAAAACACTTATCCTCTACTTACTATAGAAAAACCCATACTGTTGATCAAAAATTCTTGTAACTCCCATCATTAAATTACTTGATAACCTTAATGCTAAAGGTTCTGGGGGTTCTGACAAATATTCACAAGCTTTAGGAACATTTACTGATAAAATCTCTTTTCTCTGAAGCTTTTTAAATGATGACTTAGATCCAAGAGTTGCTGCAAGCCTATTTAAAGTAAATATTCCTCTTTTTTTCACTCTTTTTCTACCAAATCACACCTAATCCACCTTTTCGACGCGTTAAAATTTCCTGTGAGTAAAACATACTTTATCTAAAGCTAATATACTGTAAAGAAATCTATTAAGCTTTTAAAAGGTATAAATATTCTCTATTTTAAAGAGTTTTAGACCTGTTTCAATAAAACACTGGGCTAATATATCGTAAAGCTTGATAAGATATAATTTAAGAAAATATATGACAGATAGAAAATAGCTTGCATCTATAATACAAGTCTTTTATTCATAAATATCTATATCTATCAATGAAAAAAAAAAGAAATTTGTTAAATAAAAACACAAGACGTATATTGAGAATTTAAAAATTAGTGTAAAAGTATTTCTGATAAATAATTTGTTTTTATTAATTTTTTCTATATGGCTATTCAAAGTTCTGTTTTGCTTGAATGATTTTTTACATAATTGCTAAATTACCAAATTTCTAATACTTTATTAATTTAATTCTTTTAATAATCTGATCTAATTAAACCTCTTTGTAACCAGGAACTGACCATTTCTCCTGTTTAACCATATCTTCTACTCTTTTTTCAATTTCAGGACAAGCCGTTAATACATCTTCTACTGTCAATTCATCAATCGGTCGTGCTTGTTGAATGTTTGACAAAGTCATTTCAAGCTCAGTAAGCTCTTTCTTTGCGTTTTCTGATATTTTTGTAGCATTTTCAATCTACTATAATATTACATTGATGAGACAAAATCTTTAAAACAAACCGCCTTTGTTTCAAACTGTTGAATAGCTTTGATTTGCGGATCAACTTGATATTTTACAGGACGGAATGCTTTAAGCTCCTTTTCTATTTGATTAACAAGAGATTTATTCTTTAAAATAGACCGGTAATAACTAAAATCAATATTTTGTAGTTGTTCTTCTAAAATTCCTATTTTTGCTCTGGTATTAAGACTCCACTGATGAAAAGTAGAAAGGGATGAAATAACTGAAGAACTTAAGCCATAAGATGAGAGAAGCTTAATCCAATTAATTTTAGCAGCGGCATAAGCCATTTTTATATTTTTTTATAAAAAATATAGAGATTTGTATACCGTTAAAGTGCTATAAAAATATACAGTGGTTTTTATATAAGAAAAAACGATAATTTATTATATGAAAACATGAGATTTTATTGTATAAAAATATAAAAAAAAGAAGTATAAAAAAGATTACCAATTTAAAACAATGTCTCAAAAGTTACTTCTCTGTTGCGAAGTTTATCTACTGAAGTAGGAATATCTTGTATATGGTTACTTTCAATAATTTTTTGATGTCTATTTGAAGAATTAGAATAATGATGTATTTTTTTTTAATTTTTATACTTGTATGTAAATCCGACAAATGTAGTCGGTGGGACTTTTTCAAGACGGTCTTCCATAGATTCAACGGAAGATTGTTTTTCATAGACTTCTTTATATTTTAACATATCATTTTCGTTGGTAAAGTCATCAAAATAACCATGATCGAATTCAGAATCAAGATCGGGTACAAAAGGTGCCTATAAAAAATAATTAATATTTATACAGGAAATTGTTGAATTGTTTACTTCTTGTTGGCGAAGTGTTGTCCAATCGATATGTTTAAAGTATTTTTGTTCTTTTACCTCTTGAATACTGGATATTCGTCTTCTGGGATTTGTGATAAGTCTAATAAAATTTTAAAAAAATGCTTTTGAAGTTTATCTATACTTTGTAATAATTTCCCAGGCATCATCATGAATATTGAATTCTTTCTCTTCATAAACAGGTCTAACTAATGTATATTTCCAGTTTTTTAGATTGGACCATGTTTCATTCATATTTTTTCCAGAGAATGGTGGATAACCTGTTAAACATTCAAAAAGTATGCAACCGAGAGACCAATAATCCACAGTAAAGTCATAATCATGGCCATTGAGGATTTCTGGTGCCATATAATCTGGTGATCCAACAATTGAATTGGCCTAAACTGTCTCAGATTTATGATGTATTTTGAAACAAATAACTTACATAGTTTAACTCTTGCATTTTTAAAGTTCTGTGAATATTCCTACGTTCAACTGCAGTTCTAGTAGGAACTTCTAGATCTTTAATTTGATCGAGCTAATAATTATAAATATTGCTTAAAAATTATATAAAAATATTTACTTTAAGTCTTAAAGATTCTATTTTCTGGGAATTAATAATCCCAGATGCAAGTCCAAAATCTGTAAGTTTTATATGACCCTTAGAATCAATAAGAAAGTTCTAAATCCAATTAATAAATAAATATTATATATACAATTATTAACCTCTGGCTTTAGATCTCTATGGATATACCCAAGACGATGAAGAGAGTCTACAGACATGAACATTTCCGAGAGATAAAATTTCGCATGTTCATCACGCAAAATACCACTATTACATAAAAGAGAACGAAAATCGCCTCCTGGAACATATTCCTAAATTTTTTAATTTAATTAAAATTATAAATAATGTTTACCATAGCAAAGAATAAATAATCAGGATCCTGAAAGGCATAAAGGAGACGAACAAGCCAGGGAGACGTTGAATTCGTTAAAATATCACGCTCCGTAAGTACGTGACGTATCTATTTTTGTTAATACGTATATATTATATATGTATATTGACCTCATCCAATTTGTGTAACAATTTTTTGCTCATTTTTTTAAGGGCAACAATTTCTTTTGTATCTTTCATTTGTGCCAAGTGAACGCTTCCATATCCTCCTTGACCAATTTGTGCAATAATATGAAAATTTTCTTGCTTCATTTTTGCACGTCTTTTTCGAAGAGTACTTCGTTCCGTATGACAATGACATTTCCATGCAGCTGTATATTCAGATGCGGTAAGCTTCCCTTCCTCTATCTGTTTTCTTGCCCATTCATGAAATTTTTCGATCCTTTGTTGTCTTTCACAGAGATAACGTAGCTTGTCAAAATAATGATCAAGAAAAACTTAAAAACTATTAGAAAAAAAAACGTATCTCATTTATTTATACATATTTGACAAACGTTAACTAGTCTTTTTACACTCGGTTTTGTTATTTTTTCCATCTCATTTGATGTAAGCTTTTTATGTGTATTCCATGTCTGAAATTCTGAATTTGATGCCTCTGTTTTTTGAATTCCTTGAATTTTCGCCTCTTTCATTCCATTCTTTTCTGGTGACCTGCTTATGCCCTTTAAAGATGTACTATCCTTAGATTCTAAAGAAAAGTCAATCTGTCCCTCGTTTTCTTTTCCTGCCTTTTTAAAATGCAGATTCCCAAGACGATCCGGAAGACCTTGTAAGTTTTTTGTAAAATTCTCTGGAACCGCTACCAATCCTGATCGACTGTTTCTTGAATGTAGAGAATTTGTATTCAAATGACCTTTTGATGCTGATGAAGAAAGTAATGGTAATTGTGAACTACCATTCAATGTGGGGGATCCTTCATAATTTTCTTGAATCCCAGACATCTAATAAGGCTTATTTACCCTTTGAAATAATATATTTTTAATATTTTTATTTTAAAGAAAATTTTAAAATGCTGTATATCGTAGTAAATGTAAATAAACAATGTTGCTGTAGTAACGAATCTAATTAGATTAAGATAAATGTGGATTTTTCTAGGAAATTGTGGATTTTAAAAATTGATTGAAGTTAAAAATTATTTGTTTGTTTCCCTTGAAAATATAATTCGTATGTTTTTATATTAAAATATTGCTTTGTAAATTCAAAATAAAATAAGTCGCTTGTTTTGGAGATATGTTTAATATATACAATTTTTACTAAATGCCTTTTGGTTTAATAAAAAAACTACTCAAAAAGTGCTTGTAATTCTTCTAAACGCTGTTTTGTTACATCATCACGTGACTGATATTCCATAACAGAAATATCTGCAAGCATAAGTTTTCTCTTGCAGATCTCAATCATTTTTTCTTCTATTGAATCTTTTACAATAAAACGTACAACTTTGACAGGCAATGTTTGGCCTATACGATGCACCTATAAATTTGTAAGTTGTTTTAAATTTTAAAAATAAACCAACCCTGTCTATAGCTTGATTTTCCATACCAAAATTCCACCTAGTTAACATAAAAATATAACCAATTATAATCCAAATACAAACCATGGATCGAGAATAAAAACCCAGGACGCTGCTGTTAAATTTAAACCAACAGAACCTTTAAATGTTTAGCAATTGAAATTCCGAGTATAATAATACTACCAGATTTTATAGAAACTAATAAAATTAGCCCTTTTTTTTCTGTGCGAAATTTTTCTAAAACGATTGAGCGTTCTTTCATTGACATTCCTCCATCTAGACGAAGGAATTCAAAATTATCTCTAAGAAATTATTAAACAGATAATAATTGAATCCATTTACCGCTTTATAAATACTTCTACTAGGTCAAGAAATGCTGTAAATTGGCTGAATATTATTGATTTAGCATAAGGATCTGACATTTTTAATGCAAACAATTGTTTAATTAATGCATCTAATTTTGAGGATGAAATTGACGTAAATTTACGTAATTCTATACGAGAATTATTATCAGCGACGCCCTGAGTTCCTTTTCGAATAATTTCATAAATATTTTGTTCATCAATTGGTGATCGACATATATGACATAAAGGTTTTTTGTTATGAGATTTTTGAAACTTAAATATTAAAAAATTGTAGAGTATTTAAAATGAAATCATACCTCTATATGCTTTTTAAGACAAGATTTACATGCCATATGCCAACATGATGTGATAGCTTCTTCAACTATAGGACTAGCGGAACAAATAGAACACTCATTCTGTGTTTTTTCTAATATACTTTTGATAACGCAAGTTCTATATGCATCTGTATTCTGTTTTTTAATATCTTGATTACAAAAAGGTTCGATTAGATCTTTAAGATCTATGATATCATCGGTATTAATGGAATTTTTAATATCTTTATCAAAAGGTAAATCAAGAAAATCACTTTTATCACCATGTTTAATTAGTGATGGATGACAACAACTTTGACGTAAACGCAATAACATCGTTAAAATTGTTATATAATTCTTAAATATAGTGCCTGCTGCTGAGTTCTCAATAAAAGCCTGTTTCGCTTTAGTATAAATAAAATCATATATCTCTCTCTCTTTAAGGGACAGGATAATCTCTTTTGTCATAATTTCTTTAGAAGGAAGTGCAATAATCAAATTACCATGTATATCTTTTGTTGTTTTTGTCCGACGTAAAATCAGATTTTCAAAAATCATACGAAGGGTATTTAGTGCACGAGGTATATCTTTTGATTCAAATGGAATAGTGATAAAAGTTTTCCAAAATACAAAATTTCCCCAAGGTTCAATTTTTAAAAAATGAATAAGACTAAAAAGATCTTCTAATTTGTTTACTATTGGTGTTCCAGTTAATACCCATCGTCTTTTTGCATTTAAAGAAGAGCATGCTTTTGCTGTTTTGCTAAGTCTATTTTTTATATAATGTGCTTCATCCAAAACTACTCGATAAAAATCAATTGAAAACAAATTAAAGAAAGCTTTGTTATTTGTAGTCATTTGTGACCATTCAGAAAGAACAACACCATAACTTGTTATAAGTAAATCTGGCTGATTGCTAGTTTGGCATTGTACCAAAGCATCAATAGATTTATCTGTTCCGTAATAAATTTGAATCTTCAAGCTATTTGGTTTTGAAGCAATTTCTGCTTCTGAACGCCATTGATCAAGCAAAGATAAAGGTGCAATAACTAATGTAGTTCGACATGATTGAATAGATGCATTGGAATTTATAATAAATGGTGTAGAATTTAATGATGCCACTGGTTTGTTAGAATGAATAAGGCTAAGAATTTCTATGGTTTTTCCGAGGCCCATTTCATCTGCTAATATTCCACCACAAAAGCCCTGATCTGCTCTAGGAAATTCAAGAGTTAGTTTGCCAGAATATGGGTTAACATAAAACCGGTTATCAGAATTCCCAAAATCCAACCTTTTTCCATTTTCGTTATAAGAAGGCCAATAAAATACTTGCCATAATGGATGTATGGTATTTTTTTCTTCTAACAAATCAATTTGGCGTTCTTTGTTCATCATCCAATATAAGGCCTAAAAAGATGAGAAAAAAATAATAAATGTATGTAAATTTTCCTGTTTTTGATAAGACTTGAGTTCAAGGTTAAAGGAAGAAGAAGGTAACATTTCCTTCATATTGGGATCATATGATTTTGTGTTTTTATATATAAAATTAATCTGTTCTTTTTCAAGTTCTTTACTTTCTTCTTCTAGATCTGAACTATTTTCTCCAAAAGGGTCTAAGTACCCCATTTTTGATAAAATCGGACCCGTGTTTTTGCTCGCTTTAATTACTTCTTTAAAAATAGTTTTACTATCTGGAGTCTTTGAATCATCTGGCTCAAGTCCGACTTTTGTTAGAAGCCATAGAATTGCCTGTCGATGCTGTTCACGTATTTCTTCTGTCATAGATACCTTATAAATATTGTCTTCTCTAGAAAATAATGGCTCCTTCATGGACGTAAATGCTTGTCTGTGAATAAAACATGCTATTTGAAGTAGTATCTTGTCACCTAACATTAAATAATAATAATATACATAAAATATGACTCACCTATTTTTATTTTATCTGGGGCATAAATACATGACGCTGTGAACGAACATGTTTTAAATTCAAGAAGTGTAGATATATGTATAGCTGATTCCTGAGGAATACGACCTATTTCTATACCTTTTTCTGTACAAAATCTAATAATTCTTGATAGATTTTGTCTAGAATTTCGTTTTCTTGATACTGATTCTGGAAAAAATTGTCTTGATTTAGTTTTTTCATTAATCTTATCTTGTTTTTTAAGCAAAACAACTTCTCCTGCTGATAAAAAACCCGTTCCAGAAACATTAGCCCATCCTTCCATTCCAAAACTTCCAATATATTTCAAATACCATGATTTTGTGCTTAAAGATTCCTGATTTATGTATTTTTGTTCCTTTTGATTTTTTTTTTCCCATGTTTTATCAAAATACATATTTAATGCCAATTCAATATTACCTTTGGATGTTTGAGCAAGATATTCAAGGATCTCTATTTCTACATTATGTCCGATAATTACTTTTAATTCGTCTATTATTGCTTCCATTTTACCGCGTTCGTTAACTCTATCTTCATGATCATAAAAAGAATTCACCTTAGGCCTTTTTTCTGGCCTATTCATCATGCTATTAATAAAGAGCTTTCAGTAAACAAATATTTTATGAACTTTTCTTAATAATTGGTTCCAAAACAAAAATCAAAAACTGCACTATTACTTTATAGATATAATATATTCTATATATATGCACAAAATAATTAAACTTATATGTTATTCTATTCAGAAATTAGTATATCTATTTATATATGCGCATAAAAACAAACATTATGCATATATAATTCTATGTTTTTTTAACAATTTTTATCTTAATTTAAAGTTTTCTATATCAACCCTTTAATAAATTAAATCCCTAATTTTAACAAATCTTATCAATAATATGCGTATTGTACGCTTTATATATGCGTATTATATCCATATTATATTCACTTATTTTTTATATGCTTTTTTTTACCCTTCCGATAACCTTTTATTTTTACTTTATCTCGTATCGCTTTTTTATCCGTCTCACATAAATTTATTAAAATATTGCTATTTTTTTCTTATAAATGGCAATCTGGACAGATTATCTTCGTCATCCCAGAGAATTTAAGGAGTTTTGTCAGTATAAATTATTTTATACACCTCTTTATCAGAGACTTCCTGATCAAGAAACACATAATTGCCGTCAATGTTATGAATTGCTTATACAAACAAGCCGTAGCTTTGGTCGTGTAATTCAAGAATTAAGGCCTGAGTTACGTGAATCGGTAAGTATAGTTATTTATTTTGAAATATTCAATTGACATTTGTTAGGTGATGGTTTTTTATTTGGTATTAAGAGGGCTAGATACTATTGAAGATGATATGAATTTTGATTCAAAGAAGAAAATTCAGCTATTGCGCACGTTTTACACACATATTGATGAAAAAGGATGGAAATTTTCGGAATGTATGCGTAGTATATGCGTTTGTTTATAAAGGCTAATTTGGGAAAAGCATCTTTAAGCGCAAAAGATGGCATGCTTTTGAAGTCTTTTGATAAAGTAATTGAAGAATTTCTTGTTCTTAAGAAAGAATATCAAGATATAATTCGATCGATAACGTACGAAATGGGGAACGGAATGGCTGATTTTATTAAAAGTGCACATTTTAAAACTCAAGGGATTCAAAGTATTCGGGATTATAATTTGTATTGTTTTTATGTAGCAGGGCTTGTAGGTGAAGGGTTAAATCGACTTTTTTTGGTAAGCAAAGTTGAGCATGATTTGGAGGGCCTTACAGAGCTGTATGTTTGAATTATTAATTTTTGAAGTGAATTTTTTATATTATTTGTAGCTCACATACAATGGGATTGTTTCTTCAGAAAACGAATATTATTCGTGATTACAGAGAAGATTTGCATCATCAACGTGTGTTTTGGCCAAAGGAAATTTGGTCTAAATATGTCGATAATTTTATAGATTTTTTGGCACCAGAAAATCAAGAGAAGGTATTCTTTTATAACTTAGTGATTTTTTGCATTTTTTTAATATTTCGGGGATTTAGGGGCTTCATTGTTTATCTGAAATGATTTTAGATGCCTTGACACATGTACCCGATTGCTTATACTATCTATGTAATCTTCATGATCAATCCGTCTTCAATTTCTGCGCAATCCCTCAAACTATGGCAATTGCTACACTTGCACTAGTATTTCGTAATCCAAATGTTTTTCGTAAGAATCTTAAGATTCGTAAAGGAGAAGCATGTTCAGTATGGCTTATTTTTATTTTAAAATCTGCTTAGATGTTAATATTTTTTATAGTTAATTATGCGTACCACAAATCGAAGAAATTTATGTGGAATTTTTCTTAAATATATACGTATAATTCATCTAAAGAATACACCAAGCGATCCTAATTTTTTTAAAATAAGTGTCGCTTGTGGCAAAGTATATTCATATTTTAAAATAATGTTTTCATGAGATGTCTAATCTTATATAGGTTGAGCAATGGGTTGAAAGCGTTTTCCCCTCAGACAAACCAGGTCTATCTTTATGTTCTCAGAAGCCCTTGCATGAAAGTTCGACTGAGTTTCTAATAGATAAGGAAGCTTTTTATATTTTTCTTATTTCTTCCATATTTTTAGCCATAATTGCATCATTAATGATTTACCTAGCACATTTATTTGGTGCTCGATGGGATTTTACTCAAGGTATGTCTTAGATATATTTATTTTTATCCCTCAATTATAATTAGTTTGCAAAATTTTTGACTTTTTAAAAAGTATTTTTTCTGATACATTGTCTATTGTTAAAAGGGATGAGATGTGAAATAGTTTCTTTTTTTGCTTATAATATTATTAACATTATTATTTAAAATACGGATATACGGAATATCTTGTAATTATCTTTTAATCAATTCTTTAGTGTTATGTTTGAGTAAAATATTATATATATTAATCTTTTGTATATAAATATCTTTCTAGACTTTCTTGTACTTAACACTTAGTTGCCGTGGCAACTCCATCTAATAATTTCTATTATATTTCTGTAACGTAAGCCCTGAGTTTGTCTTTGGTTAATGAAGGCATCTGTTATACAAATTCATTGGCATACAGAAGCTGCTTCTATTTATTCTGCTCACTTTGAGCCTTGTAACAAAGGAAGACTTGCTACAGCTGGTGGTGATGGAAATGTACGGGTATGCTTTAATATAAAATCTTATAGTATATTTTGATTTTAAGTAATTATTGTGAAAAAAACGGAAAATTTTATGAAACTAAACTTATATAATACGCATATAATGTGTATATACTTGGGTCTATGGAAATGAATTTATATTTTCTGGATATATAATTGATATAATTGAAATTATTTCTTTATATTCAATTAATCTTATTGTTTATTAGATATGGCGTGTTGAACGGTCTCAGGTAACCTCGCAATTGTCAAACGAATTGAATAAAATGACACATACGACATATTCTCCACGTTTAATTTATCTTTCAACTCTTTCAAAACATACACAAGCTGTAAATGTTGTTCGGTTTAGTCCTCGAGGTTAATTTGTTTTATCTTTGATTGTATTTTTTCATATTTTTAAGGTGGATTATTAGCATCAGCTGGTGATGATGGTAATGTGTTGATCTGGGTTCTTTCAGATGGATTTCATTCGTCAGTAAGTCTTGGAAACGATGATTCGAATGACAAAGAAATATGGAAGATTTTTCGTTTTTGTCGCTCATCTGGAGCTGAAATTTATGATTTAGCATGGTCACCTGATGCGATGTATCTTTTAACAGGTTCAATGGATCATGTAGCACGTATTTATAATGTCAATGAGGGTATTAATGATATTTTTTTATTTTTTTTTTTCGAATTAATGTTTATAGGCCAGTGCATTCAGCAATTAACTGAACATACGCATTATATTCAAGGTGTTGCATGGGATCCACTAAATACGTATTTAGCAACGACAGGAAGTGATAGAACAGTACAAATTTATCGTATAAATACAACATCTAAGTTTTCGGTGACATTACATGCTAGTTTATCACGAATGGAATATCCTACTGCATTTGGAATGTATCATAATGAAGCGCTTTTGTCATTTTTTAGGAGATTAAATTTCACTCCTGATGGCAGTTTATTGTTGGTGCCAGCTGGACAATATCGATCTTCAAGTGAGTCGGAAGAAACACTTCATACTGTTTATATTTATACTCGGGCTGGATTAAATCGGTATATGAGTTTTTAAGATGATAATATAATATTGATAGATGATAGCTCTCCTATAGCACATTTATCGGGACATAAACGTCCAGCTATTATTGTTTCTTGTTCTCCAAAATATTATACTTTAAGGAATGTTGAAAAAAACGACAAACTGACCAAAACATTACCAATTGTGAATATAGCATTACAGGATGATTCTGTTTCTAATTCGGCTTCTAACTGTATTTTGGATACTTTTACTGATACTTCTAAATCTGTTTTTGATAGAGTACCTTCTGCATTTTCCTTGGCTTATCGAATGATTTATGCCGTTGCAACGCAAGATACCATTGTATTATATGATACACAACAGGTAAATCCTATTGGAATGTTAAGTAATTTTCATTATGCTACATTAACTGACCTTGCATGGTAAAAAATACAATATACATTGATTCTTGTTTTGTTGAATATTTCAAATAGGTCTTTTGATGGGAATGCATTGCTTATAACGTCTACTGATGGATATTGCTCAATTGCTCTGTTTGATGAGAATGAACTTGGTGAAGAATATATAGGTCCACTTTCTTCATCCTGCTCCGAACATTCTACTTTGCTAAAGGATCCTTTGAAAGTTTTAATTGATATACCTAATTCAATGACGAATATATCTTCTCAACCTGTTAAATTACAATCTACTGATAAAGACAATATATCTTCGCATAATTTAGAAGATCCTCTTTCGACAGGTAAGTTTTTCTTTATGTATATTTCTTCTGATAACAGTAGCTGTATCTATTAAAGAAAAAAAGAGAAGGATTGCGCCAACTCCTGTTCAATTTTTTGATAGGAAATAATGAGTTTATTGATATATTGTTAGATCTGTGAAAGTTATAATTAAGATTGATTAATTTTAAACTTCTAAAATGAATATTATTATAACTTTTTATAATTCTTCTTGACTATGCATAGAATTTGGCGATAATTTTGTTTTTATATGGCTGTATTTTGTGTTATGATATAGCTTCTAAAGTCTGACGCAAACCGTTCAATCAAATTTTATCTAAATACTCTTTTTCCTTTTTTGAAATATGGTATATTTTTAAGGCTATGGACTTATGATATTCTTGCTTATGATTTTTATATTGTTCTATAAATGTTTTGGATTTCATTATTAATCTTTCAAAACATAGTGAGAGCATTTGGTGTTTTATGAATTAAACTTATTTGACTTTTTTATCTTTGGAAATCTTATATATATGTTAAAGATTTCAATTTGTTATATTTTATATTTACATTTAACAATTGAGAATTCTTATCTTTTGGATATCTAATGGTCATTGAAATTAAAATCTAATTGGTTTCTAAATATAATTCTTTTTATTTCAAATAACCAAATAATTATTGTGATCGAATAAATATGTTTAATTCATGTATTTTTTATTTCATCATTTTGGGCTTTATGTATACACTTCTTTTCCCACACGACCTCATAAAAACTTGATATTAAATGAAGAAGGAAAATAAGGTAAAAATATTGAATTATGGAAGAAAATTCCGAAGAAAGAGTACATTTTGTGACTATATATAAGTTATTTTTTTTGATTTTGTTTAGGCTAAACGACTTGCTCAATTATCAGAAAAGCTTGCAGTGGCAAGGCTTGAACATGAAGTTAAATCATTAGAAACGGAAGTTTTAAATATTTTAAAGTCTTCTTTATCTAAAAAAGCTTTTATTTTATGTGTTTTTGATGCATCTGCATTAATTGATTCATTAAAAATCATTAAAAGTTGGATTGGGACAAAATCAGTGAAAATAGTTATCCCTTTTTCTGGTAAGGTATTATTTTTGTGTATACGTATTTTTATCGATACTTTTATTAGCATTAGAAGAATTAGATAGATTAAAGAAAGGCACAGATATCATTAATGTTAATGCTAGAAGTGTGATACGTTTTTTGGAACGATTTTCGAATAATACACCTGATGAATGGACAATAAGAATGCAAAAACCATCAGAAACTGTTGATTGGTTAGAATGTGTACCTTTATTTTCACTAAATTCAGAATCGGAGGGTATTTTGTTAAAACATATCATGAAACAAAAAGGTTCATGCTTAATTGAATCTAAATATACACAGACAATTACTGCGCATAAAACGCCGAGGGGTCTTCGTTCTTTAATATGTTTTATGGTTTATCTACAAAAGAATGTTGGTGCAGAATTTTCATCTTGTCAATTAATTACACACAACCCAATTACTATAGCATGGGCAAAATTATTTTCTATTAAGACATTTACTGTAGCACAATTAACTTCAGATATTGCTTTAAATATGAAGGAACATATTGATTCTAAGAAAAAATATAATTCTTTAAAAAAACGATTTAAATCAAATTCAGCTAAATTGTCTCTTTTATATCCAGAGAAAAAATAAAAAGTATTCTTTGTATAAATACTGTTGAATTTAGTATATTAAGGCTTTATATATATATATTCCTGATAAGGGTGTATCATATCACGGTTTTTAGATATCGTTAAAAATCGGTTTTTTTGGATATTTAAAATTCAACAAAAAAAGCCATGAAAAATGAGTATTTGTAAAGGTCTTGACTGTAATAAAGTCGCTTCAGCGCTTCAATGTCCTGTATGTTTAAAGCTTGGTATTCGAGGGTCTCTTTTCTGCTCTCAAGATTGTTTTAAAAAAAATTGGGTAAGATTTAAGAAATATATAGAAATAAATTAAAGTTATAGAGTTTTCATAAAAGCATACATGGTTCCGGTAATTATGTTTCTGATTCATCTTCTATTTTGTTGGTTTTAACAGAAAAATGTTTTTTTTCTAACATCGTAATCAGAACATATGATCCCTTTCCAAACTTCGCTTATACAGGGACATTGAGAGCATGTTATCCTCTTTCACCTCGTCGAAAGATACCTCTTCATATTCAATTACCAGATTATGCTGAGGATGGGATTCCTCGAAGTGAACAGGCACAATCTCGGAGCTTTAAAGCAATAATTCTTACAAAGGAGGAGCAACAAGGTATGCGGAAAGTCTGTAAGGTAGTTCATCTATTCATGAATATAACACTGATGATTGAAGCTTGCTCGAGAAGTTCTTGATATTGCAGCGGCCGCTTTAAGACCAGGAATAACAACCGATGAAATCGATGAAATTGTTCATATGGCATGTATTGAAAGGAACTCTTATCCAAGTCCTTTGAATTATTATAATTTTCCTAAAAGCGTTTGTACGTATGTTATAAGATCTCTATGTTTTTATAAATAGGTTGATTTATTTTAGATCTGTAAATGAAACTATTTGTCATGGCATACCTGATAAATAGTATTTTATTATTATCATAATTATGTTTTCTGACTTCTGAAGTGTTTTAAAAGATGGCGATATTGTTAATTTAGATGTTACATTATATCATGGAGGTAATTTCTTTTAAAAAGAAAAGATAAATTATAAACTTAAGATGCATTAGGTTTTCATGGGGATCTAAATGAGACTGTATGCTTGGATTTTGTTTTTTTGAGAGTTAAAATATGTTGATTTAAATTAGTATTATATTGGAGAAAAAGCAAAGCAAGATGCAGATACTGTTCGAGTTGTTGAGACAGCTCGTGAATGTTTAGAACGTGCAATAAAGGTTGTTAAACCAGGTACTTTGTTTCGTGATATTGGTTCCGTAATAGAAAATTATGCAAAATCAAGAAATTGCTCAACTGTTAGAACGTAAGTTTTTTTTTCTTAAGAAAAAAAAATTAATGGTAGAAGTTATTGCGGACATGGAATAAATAGACTGTTTCATTGTTTTCCAGAAATACCTCATTGTAAGATTGTTTTCTCGTTTGTTTTTTTTTTTGATATTTTTAGATGCAAAAAATAAAGCTGTTGGGATTGCAAAACCGGGAATGTGTTTTACCATTGAGCCCATGATTTCCCTTGGAGTATGGAAGGTAATTTAATCCAACTAATATTTGCATTTATTTAAAAGAAAGGACGTAACATGGTAAGTTTTTTGGATATTTTGAGAATTTGGTATTTACTTTGGTGGGCCTGATAATTGGACATCTACGACTAGTGATGGGAAACGAAGTGCACAATTTGGTAAAGTTATTTAATATGATATTAATAAATTTACAGATAATAGAACATACTTTACTTGTAACTGAAAATGGAGTCGAAGTTCTTACTGCTCGAAATAAAAATTCTCCTGGCGGGCCTATTCAATTACTAGATGCTAAATAATTTTTAATAACTTCTATTCATAATGTAATAATAAATATTAAATAATATGATTTATTTCTATTTATGATTTTTGGATCTCCCAGGGGTATTATAGTTGTTGACATCACTTCTTTTTTTTAGTAGAATTCCGCATAAGTTCCTCGAAAACTCTTCCTTCATCCCCAGGGTCAGGTTGTGTCTCGCAGAATATAGCACCTATCATTATTAAAGCACGTGCACGTTCTATACGTTTTTCTAAAGGAATTGATTTTGATAATACTTTATCACATACATCTCTATAATAATAAATATAAGATACTTTGTTGAATATAAAACCCGCCTTAATACTCCAGAAACTTCAAATTTTGCACCGCGCCAACTTGCTAATAATATTTTTCCTATATTGTAAGCATCATGTATAAATATTATATAGATAATTAATACCTGTCATTTCTTTTTCCAATTCAATTTTACGTATACTATCCCAATCTTCCCCTTTTTCTTCCAGCTTAGACAACTGTTCTGCTGTCATTTGTGCATCTAGTGCACTTGAAATAGTGCCGAAGATGTCTTTAGCTATAATTCCTTTTTCTTTAATTTTACTAAAAATGCCACTAATGCCTAAAAATTTTTGAGATCTAAGCAAAGAGGTTCCTTTTTGTATATATATTACACCAATAGCTATAACTTGTGAGATTTAAAAAGCAAATATCGCCTTCTGAATACCATTTAATAATTCTACACCAAATGATTCCATTTTAAGATTTTCTGCTTCATACTTAAAATAGATAAATTTGTAATTAATATGGAAATTATAAGGATTACCTTTATTTTTTCTTGAAATGCTCTAGTAGTAAGCTCATCTTTAGTACTTTCTGTCCATATATTTAATCGATCGACCAACTTGTTTGCAAGATGTTCGACACGCTTTTTTCGTACAGATGCTTTTTCTTTTTCAAAAGCTAATAATTCTTCCTGTTGCTCTTTTGTCAATCCCCTTTTTTTATAATTCTTTTGCGTATTTTTTTCTGTTTCTGAGATTGTTGAAACTGGTGACGGTGGACTTGAACATGTAATAGTTTTTTTATCTGAAAAAGATAATGCAATATTTGATTTTATAGACACACTAGTATCTTCATTCTTAGGCTTCTTTTCCATTTCTGCAATTTCTAATGCTTTTGTAAGATCTTTGATTAATGATATTTCACCAATGCTATTTTTTATAAGATAATATTTATATAAATACGAAATACAAACAGATCAACAAATGCCTCCCCGCCAAAAAGATTAGCAAAAAAGTCTGATGGATCACCTGTTTTCTTATCAATCTCCTTATTCCAATACTTAATATTTACTAACAAAATCCTTGATCTGGTGTTGCTTCTTTTTTCCCATACATATTATACTTCCTTCTAAGCTCTGGATTACTTAAAACTTGATATGCTTCTCCGATCTACATTAATAATAATAAGTTTAAAGCCTTTTTTACTTTTTTTATAAATACACACTTTTTGAAATTTTTCTCTTGATTCCTCGGGATTATCTGGATTTTTATCCGGATGAAACCTAATGGCAAGACGCCTTAGTTCAAATTAATACCTTTTCTACTAATATTTAGTCTTCTTAATATACCTATAAGCCCTTTTAATAGTCAAATTATCTGCTAAAGGGTCCACTTCTAAAATGTCATAATATTCACGATCAATTACTCCCACTATATTTTATTAGAAATGCTAATAAAGTGTTATTTTTACTTTTAAACTGTTAATATTTTTCTTAGTTTTTATAGTATTAATTTTTTTAATATCCTTAAGCCGTTCGTAAAAAAAATTAAAGATATTGAATTATTTAAAAAAATAAAATGTAAGAGTAAAAGATGAACATTGTATGTTGCTTTTTAAATTTTTGATCAGAAGAAATAAAGCCATTAAGTATAAAAGTTTTTATGAAATTTATATTTTTTGAAGTTGATTTTTTGTACTTTTTGTATGATTCTTTTGTATAAAGTAGTTAGAAAAAGATAGTTATTGCTTGAAAACGATTATTTGAAAGTTTTTTGATTATGTCTTTTTCTGAGTATAGAATGGAGTGAATAGAAGGTGAAAATATTTTGAAAATGAACCAATAAATATAGATGTATTTTTAATAAGCGGTATGAGTTTATGTTATTTGATAATTATAGTTCGAATGAGTATTGTTGAAATATGAATTAGTTGAATTATTAGTATTTTGGATAAATTTTTAGTAGATGATTTTTAAAAAATAATATATAAAAATGATGAATAAAAAGATCACGATATATACGTCCCAAAGGCTTAATATTTCTAATATGGAATCTAGTTGAATTTTTCTTTTTAAAGTGAAATCTCCGGGAAAATAGCCATGATTAATAAATTGATGCATGAGTTTATCTTTTTCTATCCATAAATTATATAGCCAATTTTTGAATTGATCTTCATTATCAAGAGGTACTGTATCTATTGAAAATCTTCTAAGGTGAATGTGAACATTTTTTGGGAATTGTCCGTCAAAAAGTCTGAAAAAAATAAGTACAATGCTATTTATTTGTTAAAAATTTATACATTGATTTTAAAGTATATATATCCTGGGCATAGGTATTATGTGTAACACCTTCGTAACCAATTGTACAGTCATAAAGATATTTTGTAGTTTTATGGAGATTCTTTAAACAAAAATAGAGTCCTTTGATTCTTGGTAATAAGACATAATCTAATATGGGCTACCTGTGTGAAATTTTTTAAGATAAACAATTTTTAATACTTACTAGATCATTTTTTTTTACATAAGCTAAGCTTTGATGTTTTGTATGTAAAGAAATGTTCGTACCTTCTGGATATAATAATAATAACATAGATTGATTAGCCGATAATGATAAATTTCTGAAATGATTATTAAATCTTAAATGATCTTCTTGCCAAGATCTAGATAAAAAAACTAATTTGTGGTTAGCAAAAAGTATATTGTTTTAAATAAGAATAAAAATACTAAAACCAAATGTTTTCATTCCTTAACTTCTGTTAATTATCTTATTATTAAAAGATAGAAAAAATACCCCCAACCAATGATAGGAATTCGCTTTAAACTGTCTTTAAGAACAATATAAATCCCATTATCTATTTTTTTTAAATATGCAATCCACCAAATATAAAACCAATCAATATAAATCTTTAATTCTATTTTAACAAGATTCTATACAATATTTATCTATTAATACCTGGTGATTACTGATAAATATAAAACGATTTGATTCCTCTATTTCCTCTTTTTTATTTAGATCTTTTTCAAAATGTGATAATATTATTTTATCTCCGTAAAGAATTGCATAAGATGGTATTAATAGTTTTGCAATCGCCATGCAAATAACTCCTGCATGTTTCTTTGTTCTTCTTCTAGTTTTATTCGTAAATATTGTTCTTTGATCTTTTTTTTTATATACATATATTTATAATACCAATTTTGTTTATATTTGTAGAAAAATGTCGCTAAAAGTTGTAGGATAGCAATAGCTATAGAAACACATATAAATCCGATGAAAACCAATATTCTTCCGCTCCATTGACAGAGTATTGTTATATTTTTAATCAATTGTTTTTTTTGCATTTCTTTTTAATAAAAACATATATTTAAGCTTCCAAAATCCTTAGATAAATATATAAATCCTTATTATATCTCTAAATGAATTAAATAATGTGTTTAAATCCCAATTTTTTGTTATAAGAAAAAATTCTTGTTATTTTTTAACAAAAAATATTGCTTAATTATATAATAGTTTTATATGAAATTCAATCAGTTTTATGATCTTTATCAAAAACAATAATTTAATTATCTATTAAATAGTAAGAGGTTTTTAAGATTTAATGATTATCTTATGTTTACGTATATAAATTTTATATATTTTATCAAATTTCTAATAATATTTTATTAAACTCTTATTTTTCTTTTTTATTATGTTAATAGATTTACGATTTGAGGTGATTTTGCCTTATCACCAACTATTTTGCTTATTTTTAGACATCTTATAATGCATCACTTATTCCTGCACAAGGATCTTGGTTACGTATTTTAAGTATTACACTTCGAGATCAAGTGTTATTACCTTTTGCTCAGGGCTTTTTATGGGCAGCAACTCTTATAGGTTTAAGCTGGGTTCAAAGAACTACTCGTAATCGAGGTTTTTACTGGGGAATAATGATTAATGAATGGTGGAAATCTTTAAACATTTAAAAATATTTTTAAATGTTTCTACTTGTTTACGAATTAAAATAAGAATGAATATTGATTTAAGATTATCAATTTTAAGTTAAATATTGATTTTTATCTTTTGTTTTTATGTATTTTATAGGATTTATATTTTAAATGTATTTATTTTTTAATAAAAAACTTGTATCAAAAAATGAATGAAATATTTGATTTTTGTTGTATAGAAATATCTAAGTTTATATTAGAATTGTCTATATTATTTAAAAAGAATAATATTTTTAGAGGTTATTAAAATTATGCTTTTATAGATCTATAGTAAATATATTTTTAGACAATGATATATGGAATTTAATATCATTTTTAAATGTTTATATCTGAAAAAAAATGAAATAATTAAATTATAATTTTATAGAAGTTATACCTCGATCATCTTAAATTGATAGGATATGTATTATGAAAAGAATGTCAGGAACATTAGAATAGGTATTATATAATTCATATATATAAGTATTGATATATATCCAAAAATTATATATTATTTTAGATGTTTATTCATAATTAATTTTGAATGTATATAAATATTAAATTTATACTTCATCATTATCTTCAGTTCCATATAAATCGAATGTATCATACTCTACTATTTCAGATGGCTCATATTCCATTGAATTATCTGTTTTGTGTTCTATTGTATTGAGTGTTCTATATTCTAGCACATTATTTTTTTTATCTTCTACCGTATATGAAGTTTCATGTTCAATCATAGTATTTTCTTTATGTTCCTCTGTATTAGATTTATTGTTGTATATATCTGGAACTTCTTTCTCTTCGTTTTCTACTTGGTCGTCACTATCTATAATTTCTCTTTTAGAATTAATTTTGGATAATTTTCTTCTTTTTTTCGGTTGCTCTGATATAGTCTTTTCTTGTTTTTCGTCATCATGAGTATCATGTTCATTGGTTTCTGGATTAAAAGGTTCAGATTCTTTATTTTCTATTTTTTTTTGTCTATTTTTCTTTAATTTGTTTCTCTTTTTCGATTTCCCTTGATCATTTGGATCTTTGTTCCTTTCTATATCATGTTCTGCCATTTCATATTCTTCTTTCTTTTTCATTGCCCATTCTTTTACTTGTTCCTGCATAAGTCTTCGTTCTTCTGTTAATTCTTTCTGTCTTTTTTCCTCTGAAACACGCAATGCTTCTGCTTCTGCATTCCTTTTCTCCTGTTCTTCTTTTCTTTTTTGTCGAGCACTATCTAACTTCGCTAAATTGTTACTTTCGAATTCTTTTTGTTGTTGTATTGCTCGCTCAAGTTGTCTAAGTGTAGTATTACGACCCATATTAGCACGCTGCTGAATATCTTCTTTAGGATATGGAGGATATTTAGAATTTGCTAAATTTGAAAATGTTTTGATAGCATTATCCAAATTTTCTAGAGCATATTTTAAATCTTCAATAGACCTTTTATTTTCAGGTAATGTCCTAGCTATTTCCGCAAATTTAAATTGAATAAAAGCAATATTGAAGATAATAGCTGTGTTAGAAGGCTGTAGTTTTAATGCTTTTTCCGTAAATTTAAGTGCTTCCTTCAATGCGGAAAGGTTTCTTTCTTCTTTTCCCTTTTGTAGCCAAACTTTGCCGAGTGCAGAAAAAGTCATAAGATCGCTACCATTTTGATATTCATTTAATGCTAATTCGTATGCTTCTATTGCTCTAGGATATTGTTTCATTTCAGTCAAACAATGGCCCATATTTATATATACTGTTTCATTTTTTAATGTTTCACGTATTTTACTTAATATTAACAAAGCTTTCGTGTGTTGTTTATTTTCCGCTAATGCAATAGCAATTCCTTGTGCAGCATATGCATTTTTAGGATCAAGTTGTAAAGCTTTATCAAAGAATTCTACTGCTTTTTCATACATTTTATGTTTTTTTTCTTTTTCTGCATCAGTAGTAGGGCGAAATTCTTGAGCTATACGTAAATGAATATTACCCATAGCAGTTAATGAATATCTATCGTGTTTATCAAAATATTTTAATGTATGAGTATAATGTTTTTGCTCTGGATTATCCCCTGAAGTTTTGTTCCATTTTTGGCGACTAAGATACCATCCGAAATACGCTCTAACATCTAGATTACCTGGATTAGCTTCTATAAGATTCTTGATTTTTTTAGATAGATTTTCTGTTCCTTCTTTTATTATTTCCATATGACATAAACGAACACGTGCTAGGAGAAAAGTTAGTAAAGCTTTTTCGCTCTAATAGATTATACCTTCTACATAATCTGGATGCCTTTGTAATAATTCTTCATAAAACTTTTTTGCTTTTTCATAATTTTTAGCTTGTTCTTCACAACGTGCAAGATTATATGTTAAAGTTGTTACTAGTGCATCAATATTAATAGTATTATTCTCTTGTTGTCCCATAGAAACACATTGATTTAGAGCATCTTGATAAAATTGCCTAGCATTTGCAAAATTTTCTTTAATATGATGAAGTACACCTATGTTATTTAATAATTGAGGAAGAATATTAGTAGGAAAATTCCGCTCTAAATCCAATGCACGTTCATATGCTATATATTATAAGAATTAAACGATAAAAGCACATGATCTTACATTCTAAACTAACATTATTATCTTCTTCTTCACAAAGAGCTGCTAGCGTTATAAAAATTCCAGAACCAGAAAATTCTCTCTGTTCGGAATTACTTATTAAATGTATTGCTCGTTCTAATAGTGATTTTGCTTTCTGTCGTTCTAGCGATTTATCATTTCTTGAGTTTGAAGATAATATTTCATGCGTATAGATTGATCCAAGTATCGTAAGTGCTTCTATACACTTAGGATGTTGTTCTGTAATCTTTTCGAAAATTAATTTTGCCCCAACAATATCATCTAAATGTTTTTTTTCAAGTAAATAGCATAAAAATCATATAATTTACCTTGAATAAGTTTCATCTGTCCCATTCCAATTTCAGAAATAACCCTACTATCTTTAATACTATATGAATGCTGATATAATTCAGAAGCTTTCTCATAATTTTCCTATTTTGATTACAATGCTTCTAAATATATATATATATATGAACCATATAATGATATGCTCTTGCCATTAAAAATAAGCTGTTATTTATTAAATAATTTGTGTCCGCGTATTTTAATGCTTTTTCTGATAGTTTAATTGTCTGTTTTTATAAGAAAATATAAAAAATTGATAATCATTCTTACCATGTCCATATTCCTCTTGGAAAAAAAATATGACGCCAAAATGTTTGCAGAATAAGGGTCTGTTTGTGATTGTTTGTACGCATTTTGGGCATATTTCAGTGATTTTTCATATTCTTCTAGAAATTCAGAAGTACCTGTTTTAGAAGAGGCGGAATCAAGATAATACAATGACAAAAGGGTGTTTGCTGATACATTTTTTTCGTTCTTGATTACAAATTGTTAGTAAGTATGTATATATATATATCTAATACCAATTCCAATGATCTTAACCATGATGCTTTTGCATTTTCTTTCATATTCAACTTCCAAAAACAAAGGCCTATACCAATTCTTGGGTCAAGAACAAAATCTGGTTTAGATGATAAAATTGTTTGATAAAGTTTTAAAGAACCAACATAATTTTTTCGTGAAAAAAGAATTCGTGCTTTTCCAAGCATGGCAAATAGATTGCGCGGATCTGCAATTAAAATATCATCAAAATATTTGCCTGCTTGATCAATTAAACTCTTTTCTCCTGATGATCTCATGATATTCCAAACAGCTAAATGAAAATCATTAACTTTATATTTAATCCCCTTTTTTTTCTAAAAAAACCTCGTGTAAGAATATTTGGTAAAAACGAAAAATCAATCCTATTTGCCTCATTTAACGCCTGTGTTGCCATTTGATGGTAATAATCCTTTGTATGAGCTTCTGAGGAAAATTCTTTTTGATCTTCCGTTCTAGGTGCTCTTCGTGCTTTTTCCAAATATAATGCAGCAAGCATAGAATACAACGGCAATTTGTTTTCTTTTTGCATATCCACTTTCATCCTTGTATAAACTTTCTTTTATTCAAAATTTTTCCTTTACCTTTTAATCCCCGTATCAAAATATGAATAGCCTGATCTATATATCCTTGACGTCTATATTCATACTATGACCTATATTAACTAATAAAAAACTTAAATCCTCTTATAATATACTGAAAATTGGATCCAAAACTCCTTTGATGCACTTTCGCATTCCAAAATTTCGCAAAGTTCTTCTGCATCTTCTGGAAGTGTTGTACAATCAATTTCAACAAGCTGTCCTTGTTCCTTAAGAGGAACCTCTATAATTCTCTGCTCTTTTCCCTGTATTTTTGCTTGTCTATTAATATCTTGAGAAGTTGGCACAGCATTCATTTGCGATCGTCAGAGGAGGTTAAGAGATTAAATAAGAGGGTTAGTATTGAAGATGTAGAAAAATAAATATACAAAAATTAATATAATATGAATAAGCTTTTTTTAAAAAAAGTTAAAAATAGGTAAAATTCGATAGATTTAAAGGATTTAAATGTGACGAGTTAAAATGAATGAAATGTATATAGAAGAATGTATTTTTAAGATTAGCAATTGTGTTAAATGATGTATGAATTTTAACAATTGTTTTTATTGTTTATAGTTGCATCGTTTAAATCGAGAAGTTTTTCCATATATGAGCAATAATCAAAGATTGGGCATCCGCGATCTTCATCATCAATTTCAGTTTCATTTTCTTGTAGTTCAGGCATTTGAGAAATAAGATATTCTACTTCTGTTGGTGGAATTAAAGATTGTCGTAGATCTAATTCAGTGACATATGGCTTTAAAATAGTTAGAATATTGTCTTAAAGATATATATAAAGATACTTTTCCGTCTGCCACATCTCTGAATGCTAAAAGAACTTGATCTGGAGAATCATGGTCTTCCATTTCATCGACCTTTAATTGTCTTAATATTTATATTAATAAATAGATTAATATTTACCAAAAAATCGATAAATTGATTATACGTGACAACACCAGTTTCATTGCTTGCTTTTGCGATAATATCTTCCATTTCTTGCTCATCATAAGCAAGACCAAGAGCGGCCAATGCTGCTGTAAATACATCTCCTTGTAATGCATTGATTCCATAACGATCAAAATGTTTAAAGACGGAATCGAATTCTTTCATTTGTGCTGAAGTAAGATTTGTTTTTTGACGAGTTATAATCTAAAATTTTAATTTTTAAAAATAAAAATGTAAATGTTTATACTTGGTTTTCAATAAACTGTAATTTTTTGTGAATTAAATCTGATGCTAGATCTAATTCATATTCTAAATCATCATATGAAAAATTTGTATAATCATTTTCTTCAATTTTTGCTTCTTTACATTCTTCTTCTAGACGCTTTAATTGCAGTAATTCATTTCGAAGAGGCTTGATATGCTCTTTAAGAAGGTTAATCTGCTCTAATTGTTCTTCAAGATCGCCTTTAAGTCCACTAATTTCAATAGATAATGTATTAAGCATTAATGAAAAGTCGTTTGCTCTTTCTGCAAATGATTGACGGAGTTTTTCTTTGATTCTATAAATAAAATAAGTATTATGATTATAAAAAGCTTTATTACTCTTTAATTTTATCGTTTATTTGCTTTGATCTTTGAACCTCTGCTTTCATAAGCCCTTTCCAGACAATGTCTAAATCATTTAATTCTAAACCCTTTGGAGGAATATAACTTCTTAAGCAATAAGTCCTAAGTTTTGTTTGAATATCATGAATTAAGGATTCTAAATCATGTTTTAGTTTAACCCAATCTCTTTTTAATGTTTTTTTATATTCATTAAATTCTGAGGATTGATGTTTTGCGTCTGCATAAGAATCATCAAAACTTGACATATCCCACAACGTTTGTATCTTAATTATTGAATTAATTAACTACATATATAACATTAGAAATATTAAACGATAAGAAAGATAGTACATCTTTCATTTTCTCCTCATATTCTTTTTGCATGCTAGATGCTGATTGCATTGTTTTTGCGAACTTTTCAACTCTTCTCCCAGCTGTTTCCACTTTATCTATAAAAAGATATTAATATAAATATTTTAAAGTTTATTCGAACCTAAAGTAGAGAAAGCATGAAAATACTGAGCAATATATGTCATAACAGATCTTTCATCTGGTTTGCTAACATCGCAAATATCTTCTACATCAAGTAATTGCTAGATTAAATTAATATACTTTCTATTTTTTTTTTTTTGCTTTTACTGGAATTCCTATATATTTAGAGGCTATCTCGAATGCCATTGAAATGTTTTTTCGATGGTCTTTAGCATCCAATTCATGGAAATTTAATAGATCCGGTCGATGTTTGTGAATCAAGGCACAGCTTAAACAATTAGCTTCCCACGAAAAATACGATATTATAAATGCATACAAAGAAAGTCCATCTGTCCAACTTTAAAAAAATTAATATAATTATAACCCATTTTTACTAGTCTTTTACCTTGTAGTAAAATCACATATATTTACATTTTCATATTCTGCTGTCTGCCTTTGACACCAAAGCAATAATCCTTCCTTAGCTGTATATCCTTCCTCACTAAACTATTAGAACCTTTTTTTTTAAAATATAAAAAAAAAACAAACTTTATGTCTGCGATTGTAAATCTTAAAATAAGCGTCCAAAGTAAGCCAAGAATTAGTTTTAAATTCCCATCAATAATATCTGCTAAAAATAAGACTCGTAATTTCTTTAAACGCGACTCAACCTTCTGCCCCGATATTCGTAAGAGGAATTCCTTTAGATTTTATGTAATCCAGAGCCTTATTCACGTTTTCTGCCTTTTGAATACGTAAACGTGGATTTTTGTTGTATTTCCCAAGAGTTTCATCACCAATAATTTCCTAACATATTAATCTAAAAATTTATTTAATCCAATTCTATGAACCAGCAAATTTATTAGTCGTATTCCATCTGAAAGATCTGTTTTAAGACTAACTGCTGGTGGTAATTCATGAGCAGAAAGTTTTGTATTTACCCTAATTTTTTTTTATTAAGACCTAGATTTCTAGAAAAAAAACTTACCACTTCGTAAATGTCTTATGCTGAACGTCTTGCCATGAACGATCAAGCAATGACATGTTTTTTCGCTTTATTTTTTTGCTTTAAAGTGTTTTGTAGAAAATATTATCCCGTGGTTGATGTCGGTTTATCACGAGTTTCTATGGTAACTGTTGCTGAGACAACGCGTGGTTTGAGACTCCGTATTATAGGATAAAATGCTTAATGATAATCTTATCGGAGATAATAAAAAGATGAAAAAGATTTGAATGTAATATAGAATATAATTGTAAGATTATGTTTTGTATTTTAAGGTTTTTTTTATATAGTATGTTTTTATTTTATTTTTAAAATTATACTTATTTTATGTTGTTTTAGATTGATTATATTTGTTAAAAAAGATGAAAAAGGAAAAAGATAGAGTGAGTTAAAAAGAGCTTTTTAGTTATTTTTTTAATGATGAATAAATATGTTTAAAGGTGTAATTTTATCTGAAACTATAATGTTTTGTTTTAAAGATTTAAAATTAAAGTTTATTTTGTTTAACAAATAAATTTAAGTGTAAAAATAAATTTAATTCTTTGATTTGATTATTTTAGATATAGTATAAATGGATAGTGTTGGAAAAGGCATTAAATTTATTTTATATTTTATTTTATAAGAAACATTGATAAGAATAATAAGATTTAAAGATATTTTTTTATTTTTGTTTTTTATTGCTTAATTGATATTTTATTATGTTTATTTGAGAATGATTAGATGTTTGAAATGTTCTAAATAAGAATTTATTTCTAATAAAATTTATATTTGAGTTATTTTTTGATGATAAATAAATGAATTTAAAAAATTAATGTGATTTTGTAATTAAATGTAAAAATAATTATAAAATGGTTAAGTTAAATTATATTAATAGAGATTATAGAAAAATCTTTTAATTATTTTGTATGTATCTGAAATGTTTATTTTAAAAATTTTTCATAAATATTTAGAAAAAGTGAATAAATTTCTAAAAAAAACTTAGATAATGTATTATTTTGGTAATTTTTTATTAATAATTTGTACTCTTATTGTAAATGTGTTAAACTCTTGATATTGATTATATAAGCGATATTGAATATTATAGTTTTAAATAAATTATATTATATGTAATTTAAAATTTAATAGAATATTTTTATTAGAAATTATTTCTTTTTAAGATTAATTTTGATATTAAATTTTTGTTTGTGCAAACAATTTTCATGACATTTATCTTTTCTTTAAAATATTTTTATTATTTTTAGATAAATTTACAAAAACTTTATTTTTTTATAAAATAAAAATTATAGATATTGATATGTTTTAATATGAAATTAGTTTATACAGTTTATGTTATTAGAAAAATGAATTCAATAATTCCATGGTTGTAAAAATATTAGCGTTTATATTCTTAATGACTATTTTTGTTACAAGAATTTGTTTTATATATGAAATATTTAGAATTATAATTTTTCAGTATTGTAAAATCTAGTGTTATTTTATTAGATTTGTTTAAAGGTTATTAGATTTTACTTTTAATTTTTAAAAAAAAATTCTAATATTGATGAAAAAACTATTTAAAGAATGAAAAAAGATATATTTTTAAATTATATTATTTAATTTCTTTTAGTTTAATGCTATTTCTTGTATTTTCATTATTCATATGTTTTATTTTTATATTCTTATTTATATATATGCTTTTTCATGAATTTTCAAAAATCTCTGCATTCTCATAGTTTAATACTTCTGAATTAGTGCTCCTTTTCATAACTTTCAAGTATATAGGTATATCTATACCTTTTTGATTTTCTAAAGCATGTCGTCCCTCATTTATTAGATGTTTTGTAAGTTTAAGAGCCTTTTTTAAAGACTTTGTAAAAAATAACGAGTCATTTACAATTTTTTGAAAATCTATTATAGATGAATTTGAATTTTGAAATAGTTGTGAAGAGTCATTTTCTTCAGAATTCGATGTGGAGTTTGTAGTTGAACTTGTAATAGATATATTATCTGGAACAATTTTTTTACGCAATGCTTTAATTTCAGACATTTGACGACGAGTTTGTTTCTCTAATGTATTATTTAGAGCAAGTAATGATGTGTTAGAGATCTCTAAATCAAGTATCTAAAATAATAAGAAATAAACGTCAATTTTCAAAGAATATTTACTTTTCTATTTGTACGAGCAAATTTTGTATGTTCCGATTCTTCTATTAACGCACCTCTTAATGGAATTTTTGAAGTTTTAGAGATACTTTGAGGAGATTTCTCTATTTCGTTGTTCATAGAAAATGTGTCATTTATATACTGAATATTTGAAAGATTTTTTATATTTGTGCTCTTTACCTCTCTTCTTGACGGAGAGCCTAATGGAGTTTTATTTCTTGATGGAATAATTAATGACTCATCATAGTTATCTTTTGATATTGGTTGAACCGGTTTCCAAGAAACAGGTAAATTTGAGTCTTGAGATAATAAATAATGATCTGACAATATAAAGTTTTCATTTACATGAAAAAATTTTGGCAACTGCTGCTTTTCTGGAGGCGAAATATTTTTATGTTGGGATAATTGTGGTGAGGTTTTTGAGTCTTTTGTAAAACATATTTCTGATAGACTTTTTTGCTGTTTAAATTCATTTGCATAAAAAAATTTGCTTTCTTTTCTAGAATGATATGTTTGTCTCTTAAATTCAGATGAAATATTTTCTTTTACAGGATATTGATCTGAATGCACATATTGTTTAATATTTAAATTTGAATGAATCTCTTTGCATACGGAAAATGCCTCCTGTTCATTTGATTCATTACTATGGTATATATCTTGTTCATTTTGAAAAAATGGCTGAAATAGTTTGCGAGGTGATTGAGATGTAGTAGATAGTGGTAAATTATTAGATACTTGTGTATAGAAATTTTCTACTTTTTTAGATTTCTTTACTTTGCTGTTTATAGACTTGTCTTCTGCTTCTATTTGTTTTATATCTTTATCAATATTTTTCAATTTTAATAAATTCATAATTAATAACAATTGCAACAGTTTTTACTACTTTTTAATCCTAGAAAAAAGGAAATTATACATATATATATTCATTTTCTTATAGGAAGTACTAGAAAGAACCTTTTTTTGTATTCTTTTATCCCTATTTTGCCTTTGTTTCTTGATCCTTAATCATCTAACACTTTTTTGACGTCTTGTGTTGCTATAGCAATGCTCATAAGATAATATTGATAAAATGTTTTTATTTCTTAAATTTTCTAAATATTATATAAAAATATATATAATTCCTTATCATAATATATTTGTTTATTAAAAGAATTTTCTGTTTTTCTCTTTTTTTTTAGAATTTTATGTAAAAACCGTTTTTTTTAGATATAAAAAATGTTTTTTTTTGAACAGGTTATTTTTATATAATAAAATATTAAAATAAGATAGAAAATATACATTTTATTTAGAAATATGTAATTCCAATGATCAGTTATATTTGTATTTTTTTAAATTACTAATAAAAAAAAATATATTCGAATTTTTAATAAACATATCTTTAATCATTAGATTGATTTTTTATAAAAAAAAGATATATTTTTAGCCTTTTAGTGGAGACTTTAATTTTTTTAGTTTTTTGATGTTTATTTTTGAAGATGAATAAAACAGATGAACCCAAAATATCTAAAAATTTTGAAAATATTGCTTTAAAATATCTAAAAAAGAGTTTTGAGGATCAGTTTGGGAGTATTCATAAGTTTTTTGAGGTAAAAAGTGGAGAAAAAAATTTGTATGAAATACCAAAATTATCAGAAAAAGTGGAAGATAATGTTATAAAACAAGGTAACTAATTGTATTTTTTTTATATTTTTATAAATAATAGACTTCTAGAAGAAAATCCTTTAGAGTTTCCTGAGGTTGTTAATTTTTTAAAGAAGGAAAAATTAAGAGCAGTATCAAATAAAAATATTGAATTTCATTCTTTTATGGTAAAATATGAGTTTTTTTATGAAAAATTATGTTCATAAATATGATTTAGTCGTCTAAATTGCCAAATTTTTATGAAAAAAGAAAATCTATTAAAGAAGTTGTTAAAAAACAGTATTTAGATTATGAACAATTAAAAAATGATGTTGCTTTACAAAGATTGTTAAGGGAGTCGCATTTGTTAAAAAAAGGATCAAATAGATCTACATTTTCTCTTGAACCTATTGGAAAACAAAGACATAAAATTATTGAAAATAGAATTAAGTTACTAGGTGGCAAAGAAATTAAAGAAAAAGTTCCTTTCAAAATAAAATTAGGGATGAAACTTAAGGCAAAGATTAGAAGTGATATCGCTAAAAAAAAGGCTAAAGAATCAGGTGTTGTTCGAGCATTGCCTGCACCTAAACCTAAAACAAAATATAAACGAAATTACGGGTTAAATGAGATTAGGATTGGGAAATATCATAAAGGAATGATTACTTTAAGTGAAAAGGATATAAGGGAAGCTGTATCTACGCCTATATTTTATAAAAAAAATAAGAAGCGTGAAAATAATAGGAAATTTTTTTAATATTATTGGAAGATTTTTTATATTTATTTAACAACTATTTACTATTTATTGTGATTTTATCATCTATAAAGTGTTTGGATTGAGAAATGTTTATTTTTTATTTAATATCTTATAAATATTTGGTTTTAAATGCTTAATAAATTATATTATATAATATAGATTTTTTGTGCTTATATATATATATATATATGAAATCATCATTTTAAAGGATTTATTGATATTTTTTGCAATGTTTTTTTAATTTATATTAAACTAATTATTAGTTAATGTTTTAAGTATGTATGTTTAGAATGACTAGATGAAATCGCAAAATTAATTTATAATAAAAAAATAGTGGAATGTATTACTTAAAAATAAAATGGAATTTAGTATTAATATACAAAAAATTGTAAGGTGAATTATCTAGTTTAATAATGGTGTTGAATTATTTGTTTGAATAATTAATAACTAAAGTAATATTTATTCAGGCTTTATTCCTCAGATTTGTTTTTTTCCGATAATAATACATTATTACTGTTGTTAAGAATAATTTGATTTTTTTCCATGTGAAAATTTTAGTTTATGTTTTGATCTTGTGTGCCTTTTAATATTGTTGAAAAATATTTATCTGAAGTATTTTCAGCACAACCATTTGCATTTTCTTTTTTATGAGAATTATTTGTTTTCTGCATATTTTTTTCTTTTTTTTTACTAATTACTTTTTCTATATATGTATAACTAAATTCCTTAATCTTCTTTTTTTTTGTACTGCTTAATTCATAAACATTTCTTATTTCATGACCTGGTCTCATTTCTTTTCTGACCAATATTTCTACAATCTAATATAAATAAGATATTTATATTCTAATTTTATTTTTTTTCTATACTTCTTTAGCTCGTTTCTTAATTTCGTCTTTTCCAAGTTCGTCTTGAAATTTTGTAATTACATTTGGTACATATTTAGCAAACTAAAATTCTCGTTAATTTCATTGTATATTTAAATATATTCAATTTTACTGTTTTTATAAGTATTTTTTCTAAAGGAAGTTTTTCTTTTTTACTTATATTTGATGAATGCTTGTGATCTTTTCCTTTGCTCGCATTGTTTTTATTGTTCCTAGGATCATGTTTAGAAGTATTGTTTTGCCTCTCCATTAATTCCGCATTGGCTTCATCAATAATTTTTTGTAAATCAAGAGAACTATTATTAAATGGCACTAAGGGTGGTGGTGGAGGAGGTGGGGGTGCTGCCTCAAGTGGAAATTCCCATTGTACTTTGTCCCCGCAATAATAATATGGTTTTTCATCTTGAGTTTTAGCAACTGCCCATCCTGGAGGTAAAATACGAGTATTCTCTTCGACACTGCGAGGTCCTCTAAGTTTATGCCCTCGAACATCTGGTTCATCAGAAAAACGTGAATCAGGTCTCCAAAACCTTTCTCCTCGAAACGATTGTGTCTTATTTGTAGTATAGTTATCATAATTTTTAGATCTAGAAAAACGAGAATATCGTTCATTAGAAATTGGACTACTTTGAGAGCCTGGTGATTGATATAATTTTGAACCATTATCACTAGTCTCCGAATCAGAGTAAATCGTCTCTGCTTGTTGTGCTTTCTACAAAATTTAGTTAACAACCTTATGAAAATATACTCATACAGGTTTTTTTGGAATTCGATATGCCATTGATAGATTTCCCCATTCTGTAATAAGCTAATTATATGGTTAAGATATTTAATAATGATAATAAATATATTACTTGTTGAGCAGTTTTTCTCAGTTCTTCATTTTCGTGAGATGCTAAAATTTGAATAGTTGTTTCTATTTTTGAGCTAGAAATTTTATTTTTTGTAATTCTTGGCCATCTTAAAAAAATATTAAGAATCTAAATTTATAAAAAAAGTGAATCTAAAATATATGATAGTTTAAACCATGTTAGAGATATCAAAATCTTCTTTCCAGTCGCGAAGAACAGAACCAAGAATTTGATATCCATGCATCTTCATTACTCTTCTTTGGATAGTGAGATCATTACTTGACTATAGATGATTAGAAATATTATTAATAAACTGCGCCATATACATAGATCCTTAATAGAAGTTTATTTATAATCCATCGTTCTTTGCATTGAAGTAAAGCACTCATTATCTTTGTCACTCCGTTTTCATCTACAGGAGTAGATTGCATAGAATTGTAATACTCTTCGTCAGTTTCACCCTTCTTTTTTTTTCGAATTTTTTTTGCTGATGAAAAATCCCAGAAGTCTAAATTTTCAAATCCCAAGGCTAAGAAAATTAATCATATCTCCTCTATCTATTTTTTTCATACCTTTTAGTATATTTTGAGGTATTTTTGAATGAAATTCTGTCTGAGTTTTCCCCCCAATGATCCCAATACATCCAGGTTCTTCACAATAACATGGCTGTGCTATAGTTCTAAAAAAGCTATAAATCGATGAAAAACAAAGTTTATAGAATATACCCGTATCGATCAACATTGTAATCAAATGTCAATTCTTCTCCTTTTATTATATTACGCTTACAAAAAATACCTATGCGTAGCTTTGTTCCTACAACCCACTTGTCTACATAACAGTTAGGAGAACACGAGTGGTTTAAAAATCTCGAAAGTCCTCCTTTTCTTGTAGCGTCAATATACTCTCCTCTTTGTAACATCATAAAATAGAAATGTTTTATATTTTCTTCTGAGTATATTTTCATTCTTCTTCGGAATTTTCTTTCGTCTATAACCTCTCCTATATATTCACAAACAAATTGACCGGATTCTAAATCAGAATTTGCTCTAATGCCATAACCTTTTTTCTTTGTCTTAATTACATCAATATCAGAATATTGTCTTAATTTAAATTTTCGATTTTGACAATCTTCCCCACAATTACAGTCATCTGTACATTCAACAGATGTCAATCTGTTAATACAATCAGAATTTTTGTTGCATGCCAAATTTTCTGTTCCATCTAGATATTTTTGTTAAAAGAAAAAATATATAACATTCCACTAACTCCATTCAGATTTACATTCACATGTCATAATCTCTTCTTGTCCTGACTCTCCTAAGTCTTTAGAATGATAAATATTACAAAAATGTTCTTCAAATGATGCAAGTGCTTCTTCTTTTGCTGAAGGAAGATCATTATATAACTTTATTGATTTTTGAGGTCTCTTTGTTTCCATTGATTTATTAGAATTAGTTCCACTATTTTTGTCATATCCAAGTGCGTATTGTACATGAGAATCTGTCAAATTTTCTGCTTCTGTTTCTGAACATCGTGGTATATCATTATCATCCTTTTTCTTCGTATACGACGTATATATATCTTAATATTTATAATTAAGATATCTCTTTATTTTTAATTTCTATTTTACCTGGAACTTCAAAATCCCGTTCTTCCCAATCATCTTGTGCCCAAATATCTTCTATTAACTGATCTTCTGACGATCTATCCTGATTATATGAATGGTCATAATCATATGGATAAGGTGCCATTTCTCTTAATCTTTTTTTAAATATCAAATATTATCTATTTTACCAAATATTATAATTAGTCTTTATTCAAAAAAAAAAAAGAAAATACATATAAAAAACAAATATATATTATATTTTTGTATGGAGAACCCTAAAAATTCATGTCTAGAGGCTAATTTTACACTGTTTAAAGTGTTTTTAACATTTTTCTAATTTTCAGTAAGTCAGAAAATTGGCTTAGGACAGTCGAAGCTGGTCTAGAAAAATAAATAGAGATAATGAAAAAATACAATATTAAGTATTAATAGATGCAAAAAATAGTAATTCGGGGTATATGAATAGATCAAGAATAAAAATTGTAATATGTTGATTAAACGGAATATCGCTGTCGTAAGTGTTGTTGGTTTTCGGGAAGAAGGGTTGACATGATATTATTCCAATTACTTAACATTGCCTTATATCCTCTTAAAATCTATAAATGTTAATTAAGGAGGTTTAAAAGTTATATAAAATAAACCTTTGAAAACATATCGTTAAGTTCGGGTGACGGTTTTTGAAATCTAGCAATTGCAGACATAAAGTCGGGCAGAACATCTGTCATAGCTTCAGGATTTCTAGAAATGGATGCGCATAATCCACGAAAAGCAGAATCCTTCTCTTCATTATCATGTACATTCATTAATGCAGCGCACCATGGTTTGGCAAAATTTCGAAGATTTGGAGCTACTGAATCAGGACATACCAAACTTAGTCTACCTATAGCTATAGCACAATTTTCAAGAACACTTGGAAGTGAATTAGGTTCTTTGAGTAATCTAATTAAACGGTTCAATAATGGATTTGAATAAGGCAGCATTTCGAGACCTGTTTTAGTAAATGGTAAATATTTTAGTTACAAAGAATAGAAAAGCTAACCCATTTTTAAAGATATTTCTCCAGCAGACCATGCTGCATTGCTATAAACACCGAAAGATTCATGCTGTAAGTCCAATTGTCCAATTAGTTCTGACATGAGAGGTGCTATATATGGTTTAATATGGTGAAAACAAAAAATTGATAAATCTCCAAGCAATGCATATGATGATTGTCTAACTTCTGGTGATGGATCTGTAATGCAAATTGATAATAATTGTACAAGAGGAGGCTCAGCCTGCATAATTAAGTATTCAAAATTGGTGCCGAGGCCTTCTACAAGGCCGCTTAATAAATCAAGAGATGTTACAAGAAAATTTTTATCAGGTATATCGAGTCTTGGATCCTGATTATATGAATTTAGTTGTATTAAAGTTTTATGTATGATAGATATGCAACGAGAAAATACTGGTGGTGCAAATGGCATAAATCCTTCTCCTAAAGCAACAGTAACAGATGATAAACACTAAATAAACAATCATCATTTTTTAAAATATTTAAGTCAAATTAACCTCTAGCAAAGGGAAAAGATTTCGATCATCGTCAGTAAGAGAATCCCATTTTTTAATAAGAGGTGGCATCAAAAGATCAATATATTCTTTTTTGTTTAAAGCTTGGCCTACAGAATTTGTAAGAGTCTGTAGTGCATCATATAATATAAGAAGATTTCTTTGTTGATATTTTTGAAATGCCATAACCAAAGCATGAAGAATAGGATTAAGATAAGGAATAAGAATTGGTCCAGCCTGTTCCTCGAGATTAGCTAAAGCGCTACATCCAGCCTTTTGGACACTTTTATTGTTATCTAGTACCATACGTAACAACTATAAACATTAAGAAGAGAAAGTTTAGCAATGAAAATATAACCCCCTCTAGAAGAGTAACAAAATATTTTTGTCTTCCTTCTTCAGATGGTAAAAAAGCGGCCCATCTAGCATATCTTCCTAGTGTCCAGCATGTCATTTGTCGTATTAACGGCTAGATTATATTAAAAAAATATTTAAAAATTAAATATTACTTGAGGATCATTTAATAATGATATAAGATAAGGAAATAGTTCTGGTAAAAATTTTTCCATATCTTTAAAACATCCTGGATGCATTTAAAAAACAAATAAATAAATAAATAATGGATACCTTCTGCGAGAGCTCCTAGAGAAAGTACACCTGCTTCCCTTATTTTCCAATCTTCATTAAAAATATTTTGCCTTAAGTATGGCATAGAAATTTCCAAAAGTTTGTTATGATATACCGTCGAAAGAACATCAAAAGCTGCAGCAGAACATTTTCTCAAATTCCATTGAGAGTAGGTTTCATCTTCGCTTTCATCATAATCATAATCGCTTTGATTAAAACTATCATCCTCAAGTCTTGGAATTTTTTGAGAAGATTCATCATATATATGTTGATTTTCATGAATTTTTGCTTTTGCGTGTTGCGGTTTAATATCTTCTGGTTTATCAACAATATGAGTATCATCTTCATCTCCTCCTAATGCTAAAATATCTAATTCAGAATATACCATCCCTTTTAATAAGGTAGGTACGATTCGATCAAGATATTGTTCTAATGGTATTTGGAGTTCAGGTTGCTCAGCAACAGCTAACCAAAATTCACATGCTTCCAATGCAACATTTTCATCGGAATCTGATGTACAATAAAGCATGTATTCAACAATACTATTAAATGAGGGAAGAATCTTGTCTGATTTTATATCAAGCAGCATAACCAAAGCTTGACATACATTTTTTCTTACATCCGGTGTACTATCTGTTGCTGATTGAAAAAGCTTTGTGAGAAACATGTCTATATGAGCAAAAAGCGATTGTGATCTAGTCAGAATAAATTGGTTAAGACAGAAAAATGCATCTGCTCTAATCTTTGGGTTTTTTGAATCCGTATATGAAAGAAATTTGGGAATCATAAAATTTAGAGGACGTTCACCATTATATTCTTGATCTAATTCCCGAGATGAATCTTCACATATCTTCGCCATAGCACTAAATGCTCCCTATAAAAATAAAACATGAGAACTTTTTTCCTCACTAAATTAATCGATTTTATTACCTCCTGTGTTGAAATATCTGGACTTTCCAGCATTTGCATAAGTTTAGGAAGAATCTCTGGGCAATTTATAATACCTCCCTTCCTGATAATGGTTGTAATCAAATTTCCTGCAATGCTTCGAATAAGTTGCTGCGAATCTGAAAGTCCATTGAAAGATGCTTCTTTAAGATACATTAAAACATCATTTGATATCTGTGAAAAAAACATGTTTATATTATTTTTAAGAAGAAGTCCTGCTGTAGACCTAATTGAAATGTCTGATTTGTTTGCCTCTAAGAAAATATTTGCTAAATATTTATTAAAATCCGGAATTTTTTGTGCTTCCTCTAGATGCTACATAAAAATTAGAAAATCTTTTCTTCAAAAAATCCTTCAAAAAAACTCTAATTCCTTACCATCATCGCTTCATTTCTACATATTGAATCTTCTGAAATAGAGTTTCTAAGAATTTCAATAAGCTGTGAAAATATTTCTATCTGTGGTTTCCACGAATTTGACATTTTTTTCTTTAACTTTTTAATTTTAAAAATTCTTCAAATATTAATCTTTTTCTTTCAAATTATTAGCCAAATATTTTTTTTTTTATGTTTTTTATAAAAACTTGATTTCTAGTTTTTAAGCTTAAAAATTTGTTCGGAAAACGTTCATTAAAATTCTGTTTATCAAACTTGTTATTAAAAAAACTTGTACAATAAATCAGAATATCAGGAAATAAGTTCATTATTTATTAGAAATGTCTTAATTAATTTTTACTTCTAATCTGACGGATAAAGAAATAATTAGAATATCTTATAATAGCATTTAAATGAATATACAAGGATTTTTGTAGAGAGATTCTTTCTATAATAATCCCTTTAAATATGCATATAATTTTAAGATCAATAATTAATTAAAAAATATTTAATTTTATGATAATCTTCGTTTATGTTTAATCGATAAATTTTTGGATGGATAGGTTGGATGAATAATATCAATATTAGATTTAGATATAGGAGAATCTGTTTGCTTTGTTTTATACCCTGATGCAATTGCTATTAATTGAAATGAATCAGAAATTTTATATTAATATAATTAAAAATGGGTCTAACCTTTTCGTCTATTTTAGTTAGATAATTATAATAAATTGTCCATATTTATTAATTAAAATTAACTTACATACGCATACCAACGTTAAGAAGAGATGTTTGTAGATCTTCTGATAATGTTGATTTATTATTTAATTGATTATATAATTGAGTTTCATCAAGTATTATTTGTTTTTTAGAGCCTTTTGGTAATATATCTTTATTCATTTTTTTTTGTGTTTATTTTTTTAATTACAATAATAATTTTATTTGTTTTTTTCCTTATTTGTGTTTTTTTTTAAGATTAATAGTTTTAAATATAACTAATGTTATTTAAATATATCGTAAAATCACTAGTTAATTTTTTAACAATTTTTTTCTAGATTTTTTGGGCGTATATTGATTAGGGGATTTGAGTAGAACAAAGAAGATATGAAAAGATCGTTTATTTTTGGAGTTACAAGCTTGTTATGTTTTTTATTTTTTTCTTTAAGTGATTTGATAATGTCAGTAAACGGAGTAGTTCTTGCTATTGATTATGGAAAAGAATGGATTAAAGGAGCAATTGTAAAGCATGGAATTCCTATAGAAATAGTCCTTACGAGAGATTCTAAACGAAAGGATATGAGTGTTATTGCGTTTAATGGGGATGAACGCTTTTATGGTACTCGTGCGGCAGATTTGGTGCGTTTTGAGATTTATAACATTTATGATGAAAAGGTTAAATGTTATAGTTGCTTAGGAATCAATCGTCAGTTTTTCCGTCACTTAAGTCGTTAATTGGGAAGTCATATGATTCTCGAGAAGTTAGAGAATATTTATCTTTACATAAGAATATTGAGCTTGTTCCTAGTAGTAAAGGATCAGGTGTAGCGTTTGTACAAGATAATAGAACGTTTACTGTTGAAGAATTGACAGCGATGATTTTTGAAAATTATAAGACAATGGCAGAGGATATTGCGGGTCAAAAGATAACAGATGTTGTTATAACTGTTCCATCATTTTTTACAGAAATCGAGCGACATGCCATATTAGATGCAGCAGAAATAGCGGGTTTAAATGTCCTTTCTCTTGTAAATGAAGGATATGCAAGTATATATTATTTATATTGAAATGGAATGTTTGTAATAAGATTTATTAGTTGCGATGAATTATGCTACAACTCGCATATTTAGTAATGAATCTCAATATCATATTTTTTATGATATGGGTGCTGGAAGCACTACTGCTACTTATGTTTCTTTTAAAACTCTCACTCTTCTTAATAATAAAACTCTTACGCTTTTGAAAGTTCTAGGTGTTGGATATAACAGGTACTTTGGGGGAGATACTATTACATGGAAACTTTTAGAGTATCTATTGCAAGATTTTGAAATCTCAAAAAGGTCATATATGAGGGATTCCATAAGATCAAATTCAAGAGCAATTATTAAGTTATTTCATGAGTCATCTCGAATAAAACAAATTCTTAGTATAAATTCTGAAGCTCATGTAATGGTATAAATAAAGAAAATTATTATATATATAGCTTATGTGTTAAAGATCGAGAATCTCCATGAGGGTATTGATTATAATATTAAAGTGAGTCGAGATATATTTGAAGGATTGTTACAAGGATTAGCTGATGACATAAAAAAACCGATCATTGATGCTGTTTCAATGACATCGAAGCCTATTAGATTTGTAAATTCAGTTGTATTAGCTGGTGGTGGTGCAAGAGTTCCTTTTGTTCAGAAAGAAATAGAGGCTTTAGTCGGACCCAAAAAAGTTGCAAGAAGTGTAAATGCAGATGAAGCTGCGGTATTGGGTAAGATATTTAATATTTTATATTTTTTTTTACCTCAATCAAGGTGCTGTTTTTCGTGGGGCCGGATTGTCAGGACGGTTTCGTGTAAAAAATATTAAATCAACAGATATTAATTTGAATTCTATTTTTATAAGTTATCCTGATGTAGATGATGGTAAGTTTCATGGTCAGAAATACAAGAAAATTTAATATTTTAGCTTCTAAAATTGTTACACATTCTTTATTTTTAAAAGGCTCGGAATTAAATAAGAACAAGACTGTTACTTTTTCTCTTTTAAGTGATTTTGATGTTGTTTTTTCGCATGTAGTTGGTTTTAAACTTCCAGGAACAGTGTTTGCTACTCTTAAAATAAGTGGATTTAATGACTCCATTAATTTTTTGAAAAATCAGTATGGTGATGATTATTGCGAAAATATTATTACATCTATTACGTTTAGACTTGATTTTTCGGGCTTGATTACTGTGAAACGTGCTTTTGTAGAATGTAGATCTAAAATAGGGGATACCTCAGGTATTTTAATTTGTTTATTAAAAAATGCTAAAGTTTCTATTAGAACTTCTCAGAGAGTCTCATAAAGAATATGAACGAAAATTATTTGTATTATTTCTTATTAATGTTATTATTTATATAAGCTAATTGAAAAAATAGGAAGAATATAATCATGTTGAATATTATGATTCTTATGAATCTACGGATGATGATGCAGAAGATAATAATAGGACAATGCCTTTGGATTTTGAGATTTTATATACTAGTTTAAATCCTCAAGATAAAGCTTTTAAAGTGGCTTCTAGAAATATGTAAATAATCTTAAATTGGTTTTATTTTTTTAATTTTATTAAGGCTACTTGATTTAAAGGAAATAGATAAAAAAAGAATTGTTCGTGATGAAGCAAGGAACGTTCTTGAAGCCTATGTTTATAATGTTCAGGAGCTTCTTGAAATTGATGAATTTATAGCTTTCAGTACTAAAGAGCAACGTGAAGAATTGTTGAATACTGTTAAAAGCGTAGCTGAATGGCTTGAAAAGAATGGAGATGTATCAACATTGGATGAATTGACTGAACGTAAAAATAGTATTAAGTATGTTTTTATATGTTATATTTGTTATTAATTTTTTAGAATTTTAGAAGTTCCTATTTCAGAAAGAAGAGCTGATGCTCGTGAGCGATCTATTAAGGTTGATGAGTTAAGAAGACGAATACAGGGTTTTATGCACTTTTTAAATGGGCTTCCTATTGAGAAAATGAAAGAATCATCAGATACCTCTACTGATGATGCAAAATTGGCCTATGAAAAGATTTTAAGTAAAGCTGGTTATGGCTCAGATACAAAAGGAAATATGCATGATGTTGTAGAACCTGGCTTTAGAGTTGAAGATGTTGAAACTTATAGAAAAAATGTTATGAAAATTGAAGAATGGCTTAATGAAAGTGTAACAGCCCAAGATATCTTAAAACCTTGGGAAAATCCTGTTCTTAAAGTTAAAGATATAATGCTAAAAATATGGGAATTGGAACAAACTAAAGAAAATATTCGTGTTATGGAACAGGTCTATTTAAGATCTCGGAAATATTTTAAAAAAAATTATACGAATGCAAAACCATCTGTTAATGAATCTGACCCTTCTGTTTCCACACAGCAAAATGTTACATTGGAGTTACCCATAAACACTACTCTTGCAGAGTCTGTTATACATACTGATCTTTGATAAGTTTCATGTACATAATAGTAATGTATATAGCATTATAGTATTTATTGGTTTTGAGTGTGATAGAAAATATAATTTTTGGTTTTTTTATATATATTACTGTATTTTTTTATGAGTATAAATTATAATGTCAAAGATGACTTGTTTTCAAAAACATATATTAAGTTGTTTTGATTTTACTTTTATTAAGTATGGAATTATATTATTCATCTCCAATAATAGTCAAAATGATATTTAAGTGTATATGATTATTAGCTTATATTTAAAAAAAACTATGTAAGAAATCGTTGGAGAGATTCTCCGAGATATGATTCTATAGTTATAATAAGTTTTTGTGTAAAATATTCAATTTTCTCATTTTCGTCTTCTAATGCTTCTGAAATGAATGGTATAGTTTGTGGAAGTGTTGTAAGCCATTCTTCTTTAAGTTTAGTATAAAGTTCCTTTTGAGTTTCTAAGACAGCAAGACGTACTGCTGTGTTATCTGAACTCATGTGATTAAGAATTAGAGTATTAATCGTTTTATAATGTTCATCTGAAATTGTGACTGATGCTAATTGTACTATAGAGGGTATTAAATATTTTTCTATTTTGTATCTAGGAGTAAAGGATAAATAAGATATAAGTGCTGGTGCAATTTTTGAAAATCGTATAGAATTTTGCCAAAATTCTGTATACATTAGGATTAGATATAGTATAATATAAGCATTACCTTCTGTATCATGCAAAAGGCTTTGATAAATTGAATTTATAATTGCTTCCCACAGATCTGAATTTAAAGAAAAGGTTTCATCTTTTTCTTTTTCAAGTAATTTAATAGTATCATCAAAAATATGAGAAAAATAATTCGTCACAATTGACTATTAGAAGTGAGAATTAATGTCTATTTTTGCTCATTTATTACTTTAAATCGCCCTAAAAATACTCCGAGAAATTTATAAAAAATCAATAAACGGGGTTTTGGATCAATTCTTATATTTTCTTTGTAAAAATCCTCAAAAGCCCATTGACGAAAATTGAGAAACAACGGTCTAAATGTTGTATCGTTTAATTTCATAATCACTTGTATAAATACTTCAATTGCCTTTTCTTTTATAAATATTATAATCTAACATAAGTCTTAATTCCAAATAATTAAAAGGGGTTTACTTTAGTATCTAATTGATCGTCCTGTTTCATATTAAATACTTCAAGAAAAAAATTAAATAATTTCAACGAAATTCTTTCTATCTCTTCTTTTTTGGAATTTTTTATAGTTATTTCTAATAAATCAAGACTAAATAAAATAGTCTAAGAAACGTTAGTTAAATATATAATTAATGAGAAATATACAGTTTTGTCTAATGTAATGATATATTTCCAAGATTGTGAAATTGATAAAAATATTTTTTTTAAAGGAAAATTATTTGCTATAGCATTATTTAATGAATTTTTTACTTTAATTAATTCCCTGTTTTCTGTAGGATTTTTATATAAGCATGCTTCAAGCATCAGTTTTGTATAAGATAGCATAAACGAAGGAATAGAATTAATAAGTGCTTCCATAAGAGAACATACTGTTATTTCAAAAATGTCTAACATCTATTAGATAATATAATGGAATATATATAAGTTTACTATCATGTGACTCTTTAAGTTTCTCTAAAATATAAGGAACAAAGCTTGGAAGTTTTGGGACCAAACGAGGTCCTAGGTACACACTAAAATAAAGTTAATTTATATAATATTTTAAAGTCTGTACCTTAAAATTGTTATAGAAACGCATGATAATATTTGAAGATCTTTGTTTTCGTTTTTAAGTCCAACTTCAATTATATTTTCAAGTATTTGAAAAAACTTTGCAGGATTATTTTTCCCGTATCTTTTTGCTATAACATTAATACAGATAAGAGCTGAATATGTTAATTCAGGGCCTTTTTTAAATGTATTTTCAATAATATCAGGAAGAAGATCTATTGCTGCTAATTCTGTATCGGTATTTTCTAATGATTCTGTCTCAACTTTATCTTTTAGAATAACACAAGCATTCAAACGAAGCTATTAAAACGTAAACAGTACAAAAATATAATAATAGATATAATTACCCTAAGATTTTTTGATATTAACATTTTTTTGATGGTAATAGTGAATGATTTTATAGGTAAAAGTATAAGTGTTTCTTTTAATACATATTGTAAAGAATCTTCAAGAGCTAATTTAATTGGTATTAGTTTAAGTTAAAATAAAGATATGGTCCTACTTTTATAAACTGTAGATATTTCTTTCATTTCAATCAGTATTTTTATAATTTTATAAATATTAGAATATATGTTACTATCATCAGAGATAGTTTTGTGTATAGTCAGAAATGTTGTTTTAAACTGCTTTGAAGCGAAAATATTACCAACAATTTTAATAAGTTGAGAACGTAAACTATTCAATTTATCGTTATCAAATTCCGAAGTATCTATTAAGATGGAATCATCTGGAATGTCTAATGTATTTATAGTCAACGATTTTGCAAAATCTAAAAGTTTCCAAAAAGACTATAATAGATTTAAATTAAAAAGGCGAATAAAGAATATTTACCAGTAGTTGTATTTCTATATCAAATGATGTAGATAAAGATAAACAAAAGTTTGAAATTACTCTAGCCTCTGTATTTTTTCCCTTTTCTTCAAGATTATATTTCATGTTTAAAAGTAAAACAAGGAATGCATATAAAAAATCTTTAGGTCCTAAGGTTTTAATAAGAATATTAAATAGTCTATAGTTGTATTAAAATCATTGTTTAATGTAGATATGGAATATTTTACTTCAATTTACGATGATCCGGTATATGACTAAATGCATTTACAAAACTCGTTAATATTGTAGAAGAGTTTACTATTATATCGGCTTTTTTATCTCTGTTGTTAGAAATAAGAGGTGGAATAACTTTTTGAATAGTCTAAGATGTTAAAAGAAAATTAACAACAAACTATTGAAATATATACCTGTTCAATAATATATTCAGAAAAATAATTATCTTGATGAAGAATATTTGTTCCCATAAATGTGAAAATAGGCATAATATTATGAAGAATTAATTCGGGTACTGTTTTAGCAATTGTTGTAATAAGCAATAAAGCGCGGTTATGAACATGAGGAGTAGGCGATGAGCATACACAGTTTATTAAGAGGTCCATACGAATTGTTTTAGAATCGAAATTGATGGACTAGAATGATTTGTAAGTAAAAAAAACTTTTTAGAAATAAAATAAATACAGTGTTACTTATTATTTTCTGAAGGCATGTAAGAATAATTTGTTCTGGATATGCCATTGATATTCTTGTATTTGTTTCTAAAGTAATTAGGAAATTTAATGAAGTAAAAAGAGGCGTGATTAATTGTTGTTTTGTTTCAGGGCTGTTTTTTTCTAATAGTTCCAAAAATATCGTAATATATTGTAACTCTTTTTCTATTTCCTTATTTTGAGAATCTCTATCTTTTTGATATTTAGTTAATAATGATGAAAGAAGATCTTTTAAATTTAAGCTAGAAAATAAAGAGATAAAAACTTCTTCAGGAATTTCAATATCATTAAGTGTTTTCGTAATTATTAAAGATGTAGACTAGACCAATTAATTTTTACTTAAATAAATTTAAATACTTACATTATTTCTATTTTGACTTTGATCAATAAATACTTTACAAATATCAAACATAATACTATGTTCGATAGAGTTCCATAATTCTGAAAGCCGTTCACAAGCTCCAATAACAAATTCCGTATGATCAGATTTTGCAATTTCTAACAACAATTTTATACCAAGACCATTTTCACCTTCTACGACAATTTTACAAAGTTCTTTAATAATTAAAGACTTATTTCTTGTTTCCATTTTCATATTTTGATAATATTTTAATTTTGGAAGAAGAACTTTTGTTTTAAGAATGTTTTTTTCAGTAGAATTGTTAATTATTTGGAGTAATCTAAACCAAACATCTTGAAGAGGACAAGAAATAATATGAGAACATATAAATTTTAAAATAGAACGACTAAAACTAAAGAAACTTTAGATAGTTATAATTTCCTGAATAGTTAAGTACCTTATATCTTCTTTTTTGTCATTTGTTTCAAAAACTTCAGCAAGTATCTTAGATATATAATTTTTATCGATGATGCATTCTTGAATATTAGGTATTAATATTTCTTTAAGAAATCTTTTTTCATCTCTTTTTGAAAGCCAGCTAAGTTTGGAAGACTTTTTGCCATATATGTTATTAAAACCATAAATTATAGAATCCTTTTCTGAAAACATTTCCATTTTTTCTACTAAAAGAGGTATTACTTTCGAGGTGGCTTCTCTTATCTCTAATGATTCACTATTTAGAGAGATTAAAAGATATGGTATAAAAAATTGGTAATCGATATTTTCTTTTTCATTTAATAAAATTATTTGACACTGTTCTAAAGCAGTTATTATAGAGTTTTTTATATTAATATCATCTAAGTTTTGGGATATCCATATTTGAGATAAAAAGTAAAGTTTAGATGATGTATCCTGGAAGATAGGGTTCGAAAAAAGTATATTAATTCCTTCTGGATGTTTGCATGCTATATAAAAGGCTTTGTAAAATAATTGTTGATTAGAATCCATAAAAATTAAGTTTTTTGAAATAATATTTTGAATATTATTAATTAAATGTGGAAATTCTTCTGTTTCTGCACTTTTTTCTTCAATTATATTTGTATGTTCTACTATAATGTCTTTTGAAACAGACGGAGGTGATGATTCCTAGAGAATTCTTAGAATTTAAAAAAATACATAAAAAACCTACTATAGTTATTTGCAGGATATTTTGTATTCCAGTTATATCGTTTTTAAATATTTTTGTTATATCTTCTAGAATAGGTCTAAATAATATATCTTCTTTAAACTTCTTGATAATATTAGAAATGTGATTCCTAGCTTCAACTGGTAAATCTTCCGAATGTATAATTTGAAGGAATAAAGAATGTATAATTGCTTTGAATTCATCTTTCGAGAAATGTATTCTTGAAAAAAATAGTTCTAACTCCTTGAATAAAGAAAAATCATTGTTTTTCATTTTATTTTCTATTAAGAGATGAATATAGCCAACAATTAATTTATCTGAGCGATATTTTTCACCAATTATGATAAGCTCTTTGTTAATATTTTCAATTTTTAATAATGATTCAAATACAGGAATCGGTAGTGGTTTACACCCTTCTCTCGTTTGTGCGAGTTGTGCCAAACAAATAAGCCCTGCATTTATTGTAGTTTTGTTTAATGTTCTGCTTACTAAAGTTAATGCAGTAACTAAAGACTTTTCTGATAATGAGCAGTTGGAACTAATAGCTACTAATATTATGTAGCATGCAATCTATATGTTTCATAAATATTTTTTATTAGATATTTTGTATTAATACCTGATATTCAGATGATTGTGATAATAATCCTTCTAAAATATTTGGAAGAATTTTGGAGATAATCTTTTCTTCACTTTCTGAATTTTTCCTCATAATATAGATAGTTTCTGCAACACAAGTAGCCCAAAACTTTAAAAGAATTTGATAATCTTTTTTTTCCTTAACTTTAGACTGAACATAATCCATAAATAAGGAAAAAAGCGCTTCATTATCTGATAGAGACTTAGAAATTATATAGTGCGTTGGACATATTCTGTTATTTTTGAAAGGAAGAAGAAATGACCATGTTGGTAAAGGTATGTCTATAATTGATAAAATTTTTACAAAAAAAGGATGCATGTGATATGGAAAAATTGAAAGTAAAAGAGAATTTTGGTTCCTTTTGTGTATTCTAAATTAGAAATGAATTAGTTTCAAAAAAAAAAATAAATAAATATACTTGAATCTACGTATTAGCCATTCCAATACTTTTATAGAAGGTTTTAGTAAAAAATAAGGGGCTAGAATAGATAAAAATGCATCAATAGAACTGTCAAGATAGTCATTTTCTTGTTTAGTCTATTTAAATCAATATTGACAACAAAATATGTATAGAATTCATACTTGTGTAAAACGATCTATGAATTTGGATTCTTCAGAGAAAAGAGTCTTTGAAAAACGTTTAAATTTGGGTTCAATATTCAATAACTCTAGAAATCCGTTGTTTGCAATAGAAAAAACTGAATCTAGATCTTGATCTGCTGCTTCTGTTGGATCAAAAAGAAGTGATGATATTTTTTTCTTTTTATCTAATGATTCTAAATGATTTTCATGAATCTCCTGCAACTGATATGCAAGAGTTGTCATTTTTGAAAAGTATAGATATCTTAACAATATTAAGAATTCTATCTTTTCTAAAATTTTCGCTGTAGTTAATAAAAGTTACATCGTATACAAGTAAAAAATGATTTTTATATTAAAATAAATATAAAACAATTTTTTTATTTTTAATATTTAAATTTTTAAACAGAGATGATTATTTAGTAAAAATAGCCAATAATTTTTCCAGCTACATGTTTTCTTCGAGCTTCGTCATGATCCATAATACCAGCACTTGTTGTTAAAACTATAAATCCAAATTGTCTAGAAGGTAATAGCCGAGTAATCCAATTCTCAATATCTGAAAGACGAACATTGAATCGGGGTGAAATAACGCCACATTTATTAAGACGCCCATTTAATTGAATAACAATTTTTCCATTACGATGGTCATCAATTTCTTCAAATTCTCCAATATAACCTAAACAATTTTAGTTAGTATTTATTTTCCTATGAAATTAATATTCAAAAAAATATCAATTCCTATACTATTTGTTTATAAAAATAGTATCAAAATTAATATTTATAAATCCATTCTAATTATTCGATCCTATGTTTTTCTCCAAAAAAACATTCATTATATTTCTCTTATTCTTCTCATTCATATAATAGGAATTTCATACCATGTTTTTGCATAACACTCAGAAATTTTAAAATAACTTTACTCGATGGTCGAACAAGAACTTGTCGTTTTCCCCGTTTTTCCTAAACATCATTTACTTTCTCTCAACCATTCATAAAACACTATAACATACTGCATTCATAATTCCATTCAAACAATCATTTAGTACCGATATACGTACCATTTTTAAAATTATTTAATTCTTCTAACTATTAATACATCTTTAATCATTCTTTAACTTACCTAAATAAATAAATATACAAAACTATGATTAAATATTATTTCCCTATGTAGAATTGATTTGTTAATGATTCTTTGTCTTTTTCTTTATAATATTCTGCTTTCTAGCTTTAAAGATAATCTTTCTCGTTTGCTTGTTATTTAAAAATGTGACTGTAAAATATAAACCCTAGCCCTATTATTTTTATGCTCTTTACAGGTTTTAACCCTTCTAGCTTACGTTGATCAATTTGAAAATGTTAAGCTATAAAAACTAGATATTTATTATTAGATATTAATAAAAGGACTGGAAAATGGACTTATGGCACTTTAGGACTGTATTTTATGTTTGTATGTCAGAAAAAAAAGAGTAAAATAATGGGATCGTGTTTGGCTAATAGGTATTATAAACGTTTGGTAACGGTGAGACCTATTGTACGGTGCTGGTCAAAGATAAGTAGTGGGCAGTCTAGAATATTATCGATCTTATATAGTTCAAGACGGTTCGTTTGCTCTAAAGAAGGATCTAATGAGTTATGGGCGAGTCGTCTTGATGAAGGATGGAATTATACAAAGATTCAATGGTATTCGATACCTTTAACAGTTGGTATTGTGTATGTAGCTTTTGCACACTATAGAAATTCAAAGAAGAAGTATAAGACAGAAGATGTATTAGAAAATAGTGGTACAAGGCTTTCTGATGATATTCATGTGTGTGGTTTTTGGCAGGTGGGCAAGGTATAATATATGTGTGAAGGGTCTGATTGAACAGTTTTATATTTTAAAGTCACTTCCTCTTAAGGCGCTTTCAAGGATATGGGGGAAATGTAGTGAAATCACACTTCCTGTTTGGTTAAGAGTTCCAGCATTTAAGCTATATGCATGGGTATTTGGATGTAATCTTTATGAGATGGCAGAACAAGATCTTAGGAAAGTTAAGAATTTTTCGGAGTTTTTTTATAGAGAATTGAAGCCGGGGGTACGTGAGATAGATAATGATGCATTGATTGTTTCTCCAGCAGATGGAAAAGTGCTTCATTTTGGGTTAGTTGAAGGACGGAGGATTGAACAGGTTAAAGGGTTATCATATTCTTTAGATGCATTAATTGGGGATTCTTCAACTTTATCTAATAATGGAATTGTCTTTGATAAGAATTTTATTAAAGCTTCAGAACAAGAGATGCATTTTTCAGAGACGAATGGGATTTCGCATTCACATGCGCTTTATAATGAAAATGAGAAAAAATATGGATTTCATGTAAATATTGGTTAGTATGCTTATTTTTTATAGAAGAGTAGAGACTTAACAGAAGTTAGATACTAATAAAATTGAAAATGATATTATACTTGGATACGACATTATGGATAGATTGAAAGAAGGAAATAGGTTGTATTTTGCTGTTATATATCTTTCTCCCGGCGATTATCATCGTTTTCATTCTCCTACAAATTGGGTTGTAGAAAAACGACGTTACTTTTCAGGTATTAGATAAATAATATTATGTTCTATTTTACAAAAAAAATAGGGGAGCTTTATAGTGTTTCTCCATATTTTGCTAGAAGGATAACTAATCTTTTTATTTTGAATGAGAGAGTTGTGCTTCTTGGACAGTATCGTTATGGATTTATGAGCATGATACCCGTTGGTGCTACAAATGTTGGTAGTATTCGTATAGATTTTGATAAAGATTTCAGAACGAATGTTGTAGAAAAGAGTACCCCTAAAGGAACTTATACAGAAGCAACATATTTTGCATTTTCAGATTTTTTAAAAGGCTATCCTTTACGAATAGGTCAACAGATGGGAGGATTTAATTTTGGCAGTACGATCATTTTGATTTTTGAGGCTCCTCAGGATTTTGAATTTTTAGTTTCTGAAGGAAGCAGGATTCTTATGGGTCAATGCTTAGGAAGAGTTAATAGCAAAGTTTGAGTATATTTTGTAAAAATTTTGGTTTTGTTAGCTTTTGAAATATGTTTTATTCTTTTAGATGTTACAAAATACATATTAATTTAAGTAATAAAGTTAATCTTTAAATATCTTTTTAACATGTCAAAACTATTAATTACATCGTTTTCATTCAGTTTGATTCTGTTAAACGATGTACTCAATAAGTTTAATTATTTTCTTACTCTTATATGTTTTTCATGATTGAAATACATGATTATTTCATACAGTGCATTTTAATTCTTTAATGAATTTTTTTGCGGGATGAAATTATAATAGAGTTAATATTTTTAACATTTTCGAAACTTTATTCTTTTATAAAATTACAAAATTTTTAAAAAAAAATAATACAGATAAAATATAACTTTAAAATATTTGTTTTTTATAATTTTATATTTTTTAAAAGAAGCTTGCAATTAAAGTTGTATTAGAAAATACGAATTTTGAATTTCAATGTGATTATATATATATAATTAATATTCCATGTTAGTTTTGTTTTATCTGTTTAATATTAAACATATATATTAAATGTTAAAATGCTGTATTTAGAAATTAGCATTTTCGTGAAAATGAATGTTGATTATTTATAATTAAACTCTTTATAATTGTAATTTTGAATATAGATTGTTTAGTTTTACTTGTATTATATTTAAAGGGTTGTTATTTATTTTAAAAATATATATTTGATATTAATAAAATGTTGTAATCTAAATATTTTTAAATTATAATTTAATGCCATATTAATTGATTGTTTAAGGTAATATTTTTTAAATAGTAAAGATTTTATAGAATTTGTTATATTTGAAAATTATCTTGTGGAAAAATTGTACTTTTAGGCTCTTTTAAATTAGATTTAAAATTACTTTTTTTAGTATTAATAAATTTCATAAAAGTATAGAATATTAAGTTAAATTAGTTTTAAGTACTAGAGAATTATTATAAATATAGTTTATGATAAGAAATATAGTATATTAGAATAATTATGCTTAACAAAATGTCTTTTATTATATTATACAAATATATTGAATCTGGTAATTTTTAAAGATTAAGTTATGTAAGACCGCCTTGATTATTTTAAAAATATATAAAATACTTTGATATATCACTTCTAAATTAAATATTAATATTTTATAATTGATCTATCTTTTATTTTGAGATTGATAAAGATATATAATATAGTAGATGTTTCGTTCAATCAATAAGTTGTAGTTCATATTTCTTTCCACGAAATCCTGAAATATACGCATTAGCTTGAATCATATCCCTTGGATCCAAAATTGAAACGTCCCATTTAATGCTTTTAAATCTATTTTCTATAGGTTTTAAGAGCACATCATAATCATTTTCATATTTTTTTTTAAGAAAGTTAATGTCCCTTTGAATATCTTCTAGTGAACAACCAGTTATAAAGATTGCACATTGAGTTTCTAATAAATATTTTATTGTTTTGTTCCAACTTGAAGGATATGTGTTTCCTATTGCGGGATTTGGGAGATAAAAAATGTCAAAACAAGGATCAAAGGACCCGAATTCACCTTTCTCATGTAATTCATGATAATATTTTGAGTATGTGCTAAAAATTAAATTTGGACTAAAGTTTTCAACTATTGAATCTGAATTGGAATCATGTTTTGATTTATCTAATATATTGGAAGCTTCTGGGCCGATAAAATAAATATGAAATAAAACATTTGGAAATAAATTAGCACCTCCTTGCATCCATAGAAATCTTGGCAAAGTACTTTCTGCTCTTGCTCCTAAGATAAATATTCTTAACGCTCTATCCATATTTAAAAAGGCACCAGAATCAATATGCATATTTCCTGGATGTGCATGTAAAACAGATCTAATTGCTATAAAATGTAAGTAAATAATTTATTAATATTTTTGAAAAACCAAGTAGAGATTTAAGCCCTTCTATTGTTAATCCGTTTTCTAAATTGTATGGAGAACCTTCATGAATAACAGATAAAATAGTAAGAGGATATGTGAGCAATTTTGAAAGATGTCTAACTGATCTTGATGAATTAATTGTTTCAAATGAGCGTGTATGAAAAAATGAATGCCAATTATAAAAACTTATAGTTGCATCTTTAAATTGAGAAATTGGTAATAAAAATTCATGTAATTCTCTTCCACTGTGTAAATCATGTTCATCTTCATTTGCTTCTCTTAATTTTTTACAAAATTTTTCATGCTGATCATCTATTTTCCATTCAATTTCTGAATGATGCGTAGGATAACCACAGTTTGGACATTCGAAAAAAACAGGTTTACCAGAAAGTGGACATTTTGCATATTGTTTAATCATTTTTGCTTTTTTTTGAATATTTTCAATAGGTGATTCAGAAAGACGATAAAAAAGATTATCTTCAGAAAGTATTCGTTTGTTTTTTATGTTTTGAAAAGGAACCTTTCTTTTTAAAAAAGTGAAAATATAACGCTTAAATTTATAACATTCTATTTTTCTGTTTATTATAGAATGATGTTTAGCATAAAAATATAACATATATGTAATTTTCGACATTTATAATGCAAATATTATTCCGAATTAAACTTTTTAGATTTCAATATATTCTTTTCTTTTAAAAATATTTGCTAGATCTTTTTTATAATAAATATATATATATATAAATCTTGACAACTATTTATTAAATTTTCGTTTTTTTAATTTCACTTAAGATTAACATTTTTATATAAAAATGTTTGAAAGAATATCTATTCTATAGAAAAAAAAATATCTATTTATCAATGATAAGTTTATACTTGAATTTTTGAATTACTAAAGTATTATATAAATTGTTTTCTAATAAAGAATGAAATATTTATTATAATATAAATTTTTATTATAGTAATGATAGAAATAAGTACTAGCTTTTTTTTTTTAAATGAAAAATGTAGTTATATTTTTTATTAAACGGTAAACGAGCATTTTTTGTAAACGATGAGAAATCAAGTAAATGATGAGTGCTGTTTATAGATATTTCTAATAAAGATTTAGAACATGCATAGCATCGATGATGATAAAGGAGAGTCATTTTGTAAGACAAAGGTTCGAATTAAGTCTTCAGTTGTTCCTTACTTGAGCGAATTTACTATTGAAATAAACAGAAATTTAACAGTGGGGGTATTGAAAAATCAGATTAGTAGTCTATTTAAAGGATATATTAATACATTGGATTATCAGCTTATATTTGATGGTTGTGTAGTGGGAAATGATCAGAATATTAGCCGGTTTATTAAAGATGTATATTTTTTTGTGTAATAGATATGGATTTAAATTTTCCTAGGATTCAAATGATGTAACTTTCCATTTGATTACGGTTTCTAAAATACTTTCATCATCATCAGTGTCTCAGGATCTATCTATGGCATTTAATGTTTTTTCTAATGACTTATTTAATCATGGTTTTTCTGGAACAGACAAAACGGAACAGAATGTATTTGATGAAGGAAATGACTCTAGTTCGAATGATAGACGCCATATACGACTGCCTATTTATTATCAGGCAGCAGTTGTTGAGTATTAATATAAAATTTATATGTCATTTTTTGAACTAGATTTAGTAATAAGCCATGTCTTTTTAAGATTTCAAATTATCCTAGCGTATCTGTTTTGAATAGTGGCTCTGTTTTTTCTATTGGAGATGATAATTCATGTCAGATTTTGTTAATGTCACCTGAAAATGCTTCACAATATTTAAATCAAAATCTACAAAACGATTCACAGTTTTCAAGAACTGCTATTAATCCAGATCCACACCCACAGGATCATAATGTAAACAATGATCGTTTGCGTATGGCGTTTGTTCATTTATGGTTATTTATAAGATTGGCTTTTTTTGTTGGTCTTTTTTCTGTAAACAGTTCATGGATACGATTTTGTACATTGGTTTTTATTGCACTTCAGTTTTTTTGTATGTTTATTCTTTTTTTTTTTTAAGACTAATATTTCTAGTTTGGCATACAGGACGTTTGATAAGTATAAGGCTCTTTTTTCAAAGAATAATTAATCGAGGTAGAATAAAATATATTCGTTTCTTCTATGCTCTAATGCTTTAAATTAAGACAGAGATCGAGATCCGTCACGAAATGAGCGGTCTTCTCTCAATTCGGAACATGGATTCTCTCAGCCTACATCTTATGATCAAGAAGACACTGAGCCTGTCGAATTCAATTGGAGGAGAAATTTAGGTCACAAAATTCTTACATTTATTATTAGTCTATTTCCTCTGACAGAATGATTTCTAATTTAATAAAGGATATTTTTCTCTCCTTTTTTGTAATTTCAATATGAATTTGCATTAAATTATTGAACTTTTTTGTTCATCGGATGATAATTGTTTGAACATACAATCATTCAGAGGGTTTTTTCCTTAGATTTATTAAATACATTTGAGATTTTTTCGGAAACGATTGAAAGTGTATATTATCAATGGACGTAGAATATTGATACTATTAATAAGCATCTAAACATGTTTTTATGTAAACCTTTATTCTTTGAATCTAAAGATGTATATAATTATTATTAAATGCTTTAATGTTAATATTGTTTTTTATACTCATTAAAAATGGGTTTATTTTTCTTTAATAAATATTAATTTATTTTATATCTTATAAATAAATTTCTATAATCAAGTTGATCTTAGATTTCAATATCAAAAAATTATCAATGAATCTTTTTCTATACTTAGGTTTATTGCCCTAAATTAATCATTTTCATGTTTTAAACGATTTTTAGAAAATGTATTTTTTGAATCTTTTGATTTAAGGGGAATAGAGATTATTTTGTGTTTAGATTTTTTGGTAAGCAATTTATAATTCTCTTTTTAATTCTTTCTATTTGTATATAACTCTTTTTCTCTATTTAAAATGGCAGCAATTACGCCGAATATGTTCTTATATTCTTTGTCATTACTTCCTCCATCGGCCATTAGTATAACAGTTGTTGGGCAGTTTTCTGGTCAAAAGCAGCAGGAAATAGTTGTTGCTCGTGGGTCTCGTCTGGAACTTCTTAAGCCAGATCCTAATTTGGGAAAAATAAAAACATTGTTATCACATGATGTATATGGGATAATACGTTCATTGATAGGGTTTCGTTTAGCTGGAACCAATAAAGGTATTTTTTTGTTATTGGAAGGGGGTTTATGAATCTTGTCTATAAATAGATCATTTAATAGTTGGATCCGATTCTGGTCGTATTACGATTTTAGAGTACAAACCTGATACTAATGTTTTTTCGAAAGTTCATCAGGAAACTTATGGAAAATCTGGTGTAAGAAGAGTTGTTCCAGGTCAGTATCTTGCAGTTGATCCTAAAGGAAGAGCCACTATGATAGCATCTATTGAAAAAAATAAGCTAGTATATGTATTAAACAGGGATTCTGCTACGAATCTTACTATTAGTTCGCCTTTAGAAGCTCATAAAAGTTGTTCTTTGGTTTTTTGTCTTGTTGGATTAGATGTTGGGTATGAGAATCCTGTATTTGCTGCTTTAGAAGTGGATTATACAGAAGCTGAGCTAGATCCTTCTGGAAAAGCATACCGTGATACACAGAAAGTAAGTTTTATTGTTTTTTTTTTTTTTCTCATTTTAGGTTCTTACGTATTACGAACTTGATCTTGGGTTAAATCATGTTGTTAGAAAGTGGACCGATCCTGTTGATCGAAAAGCTAATCTTCTTATTGCGGTTCCTGGTGGTACCGATGGACCGTCGGGGACTCTTGTTTGTACAGAAAATTCTATATTTTATAAACACAAAGGAAAGAAAGTCCATAGAATACCTATTCCAACACGTATGGGTCCATTGGCTCACCCTAAAGCAAAACAGATTATTGTATCGTACGTTGTTCATAAAATGAGAGTATGTGCTTTTATTTATCTATTTTTTTTAAATACTTTTAGGGTGCTTTTTTTTTTCTCCTTCAGAACGAGGATGGTGATTTATTTAAAGTAACTATTGATTTAAACGATAATGAAGTGAAATCTTTAAGGATAAAATATTTTGATACTGTACCAGTTTCTACAGGTCTCTCTATTTTAAAATCTGGGTTTTTGTTTGTAGGAAGTGAATATGGAAACCAGTATGTTTTAATAGTGATTTTTGCTATTTATTCAGTAATTTCAGTCATTTATATCAATTTGAGAAACTCGGAGATGATAATAATGAGATTGAATTTTCTAGTGTTAATTTCCCTGTTTTAGATTTAAATGAAACATATGAACCTTCATATTTTCGTCCTCGACCTTTGGAAAATTTGCTTCTTGTAGACGATATGAATAGTATGAATCCTTTAATGGATTCTAAGGTTATTAGTATTTTCATAAATAGGAAAATGTTAATGTATGAAGATATTAAATCTTACGGATGAAGATGCACCGCAAATATATGCTCTTTGTGGTCGAGGTGCAAGATCTACTTTTAGAATTTTAAGGCATGGTTTGGAAGTTAATGAGATAGTTGCAAGTGGACTTCCTGGATCACCTACAGCTGTTTGGACTACAAAACTTGTTTCAACTGATCAATATGATGCGTATATTGTGCTTTCATTTGTTAATGGAACTTTGGTTTTATCAATAGGTGAAACTGTTGAAGAAATTTCTGATACAGGTTTTCTCTCTTCTAGTCCAACGTTAGCAGTGCAGCAGCTTGGTGATGATGCACTAATTCAAGTTCATCCTAAGGGAATAAGACATATTCAGGCTGATAAGCGTGTTAATGAATGGAAAACTCCTCCACATCGAAGTATTGTACAAGCAACTACAAATCAGAGACAAGTTGTTATTGCTTTGTCAAATGGAGAAATTGTTTATTTTGAGTTGGATGACGAGGGAAATTTGAATGAGTATCAAGATAAAAAGCAAATGACAGGTTCTATTACGAGTTTGAGCATTGGTCAAGTGCAAGAAGGACGACAACGCCATCCTTTTTTGGTATTGTTTCTTATTTTAGGTTTTAAGTATATTAATGATTTAGGCTGTTGGATGTGATGATAGTACTGTAAGAATTATTTCTCTAGAGCCGGATAATACTCTTGAGAATCTGAGTGTACAGGCATTAACAGCGCCTCCAAATTCGTTATGTATTATGAGTACGAAAGAAAGAAATATTGAAACTTTTTATCTTCATATTGGTTTAAATAATGGAGTATATTTAAGAAGTGTTCTTGAGACTTCTACAGGTCAGCTTAAAGATACTAGAACTCGTTTTCTTGGCTCTCGTCCAGTGAAATTGTTTTGTGTTATGATTCAAAATCAGCTTAGTGTTATTGCTTTATCTTCAAGGCCTTGGTTGGCATATATTATTAATGCTTCCCTTCATCTTGTTCCGTTAATTTATGAGAGTCTTGAGTATTGTTGGGGTTTTTCAAGCGAACAATGTCCCGAAGGTATTGTAGGGATTCAAGGACAAGATTTAAGGTAAGAGAGATATTTTATTAATGATCCAGGACTTTTATTATGATGAATTGAATTGTAATTATTTTTTTATGATTAATTTTTTTCAATTGTTCCTGCTGATATTTTTTGAATTTATATAATTTTGTATTTTTATGATATATTTTAACATATAAATAGGATTTTTACGATTGAAGGGTTGGATAATGTTCTTAAACAAGATTGTATACCATTAACATATACGCCTCGTCGATTTATTAAACATCCAAATGAACATATATTTTACATTATTGAATCGGATCATAATGTTCTTCCTTTGAATGAGCGGCAGAAACGAATAGAGGGTTTACAGAATGGAGATTCTTTTGTGCTCCTTCCTGAAGATTTTGGATTACCTAGAGCTTCGACCGGAAATTGGGCATCATGTATTACAGTTCTAGATCCTCTTGCTAGAAAGGTTCTTTCTAAAATTGAATTTGACGATAATGAGGCTGCATTTAGGTATGTTAAATATTTTATATCTTTTTATCTGAATATTTTTTAGTATTGCTACTGTAGCTTTTAAAAATCAAAATGATGAGATTTTTCTTGTTATAGGTACTGGAAAAAATGTTATTTTGTCGCCTAAATCATTTTCTTCTGCTTATATTAATATTTATCGGTTCGTTGATGAGGGTAAATCTATTGAACTAGTTCATAAAGTAATTTAATGTTTTGATTTTTTATGATTATTAAATTATCTATAGACTGAAGTGGATAATATTCCTTTGGCTTTACTTGGATTTCAAGGTAGGCTTTTGGCTGGATTAGGTAAAATGCTACGAATTTATGAAATGGGGATGAAAAAGTGTCTCCGTAAATGTGAAGTTCGGGTGCATTATATTCTTATTTTATATATTGTTTTAATTGAATATAGGCTGTTCCGAATTGTATTGTTCAGCTTCATACTCAAGGAAGTAGAATTATAATTGCTGATATCCAAGAGTCTATTCATTTTGCTGTTTATAAATATCTTGAGAATCGATTAATAGTTTTTGCTGATGATATAATCCCTCGGTGGACCACAAGTTTTACAATGTTGGATTATGATACTGTAGCTGCTGGTGATAAGTTTGGAAATTTTTGGATTAATAGATGTCCTCCTGAAGTTTCTGAAAGTGCTGATGAAGATCCCTCTGGAGCTCAACTTATTCATGAAAAATCATATCTTTTTGGTGCTGCAAAAAGGTTGAAAATGTTGGCCCATTTTTATATAGGGGATATGTTTACGTCTATGCATAAAGTTCAATTAATTGCGGGTGGACGTGATATTATTGTTTATACGGGGATGATGGGAAGTATAGGTATTTTTTTGCCTTTTGTAGGAAGAGAGGATGTGGACTTTTTTCAACAACTAGAGGCACTTATGAGAACAGAGGATCCTTCATTAATAGGTCGAGATCATTTAATATATAGAGGATATTATGTTCCTGTAAAATCTGTTATTGATGGTGATTTATGTGAGGTAGTTTTTTTTTTTTTTTTTCTTTTATAATAGTTTTATAGAGGTTTTTAATGCTTCCATATGATAAAAAACAAATGATAGCTAATGAGTTAGGTAGTATTAAGATGTTTTGTAGAATACTGATTTGGCTAATATTTTTTAGATCGTGAAGTTTCTGAAATAGCAAAGAAAATCGAAGATATGCGAGTAAGAGTAGCATTTTGATTTGCAATATCTACTTGTATAATTGTTCGAATATATTTATATTTGTTAAGGTTAAAAAAATATTTAAGATTTAAATAAAAATATTTTAGTTTTTATTTTTTAAATACTTTGTATATAATTATGTTATTAGTATTTTTGTTCTTATGAATTGTAAAAGAATTTGGTTATGGTTTTCATAGTAATAAGCTTTTTTATAAGCATTTATGTATTATAAAGATTAGTTTTAGATTTAATTGAACTTGTTTAAAATTGTTCAATAAATAATTTATTTGATTAATAGTTAATTATTAAAAATATTTGATTTTAAAATATGAACTAAATCAAAAAAATCAACACTTGAAAATTCGATATTTTAAAATTTATATTAACTGAAATAACATTTTTCAAAAATATTTATTATTGGATAATGTTTAAAAAATCTTCAGAAACTATTCTACTTGCCAGAGTTTTAAACATAGTAAAAGTTTTGAAAGGATTTTTGTATATATATATATAGGTATAGTAATATTAGAGAAATTATCGTATTTTAAGATGCTTCGAAAAGATTATACTTGTATATGGAAGGATATCAGTTTCGTCTGCTGCATATCTTTAATAAAAAAATTAGAAAAAGCGAATTAGATGAAGGATTTTTTTACATTCGAGGCGCAAAAACCTTTACTAATCTTATATGGGTATCTTTTCCATTTTGATGGTTCGCTTGTACACATAGCTGCAATAAATGTGTTCTCAAAAGTCCACTTAAACCATTAAAATGATTTCATGTATTATTATATAAACTAACTCTTTTCCGCAATCTCCTAATGATATATGTACCCAGCCGCTAGGTTCATTTAAATCAAGTGCTATAACTTCTTGTAGGTCATGGAATCCTGTTCCTGCTCTTACTGATATTTTTGAAGGTGTATATGATTCATCTTGACGATATTGGGTATAAAAACTTAAAAGCTACAGAATATTATTAAATATAATATAACATTAAGATTTAACCTTTATTGAAACTTTTTTAATAAAATGAATGTTTATATAATGTGGCTGAGGGCCATCTGATCTATTGAAATGATATTAAATAAAATTAAGCAGTAATTTTAAATTTACTGCCAAAATGTATCTACATTGTCATTTCGAAGTTGCTCCACACCAAATCCGGGTTTTGAGGATGAACTAGTATTTTATAAATATCAGAAAACTTTTTGAATGAGTTCATACACTGTCCATGTTGCAAGATTTCCTATTTCTCTTTTGTCATTTTTATCTAAAATACTGTTAAAAAAATAAGAGCTCTTGAAAGTTCTTACTTTCTATGTCTGAATCAAGGTCAAGTACTGAATCTATTTCATTATTACCCTCAAAATCTTGCATATCTGGCATTTCTAGATCCATAATTTTGCTGAATATATTTTAAGATCTATATTTTTCGAAATGTTAGAGGAATGTTATAGGATATAAAAAAAATTATGCATTAAATTCTTCTATATATTATTTAAAATTCTAAACTAAGTTAATTATCATCTAGTATGCTTTCTTGGCTATCTTCATCATTATCATCAACATCAATATCAAAAATTTGGTATCTTTGTAGATCGTTTGCTAAAATGCATCCAATTCTCCTTCCAGGGAGACCATTTATAGTTATGCTTTGAGGTACAAAATCACTAGTAAATCTCCTACAGCGTGAAAAATTGATTTTGATAGAATCTTTTTTTAATGTAAAATCAAATAATTCTTTAGATGTATTTAATATATGTACTTTGTAATCGAGTTTGATATAGTTAAAATTCGTAAGAATATATTCTTCTGCATATTATTTAGTTTGTTTTTTTTTGTACTAAAATATATAGTACCATTGTCATTTTTATATAAAAGTAAAATAATACTTTCATCGTCTACAAAAGCTAAGTCTTGTATTATCCAAAATTCTTTTGAGTTAATTGTAAGATCGATAGATACATATTCGCTATTCATTGATATTTTAGTGCCATCGTCATTCAGGTTAAATCTTATAATTTGAACTTTGAATATTATTAGAATTATAAAATAAATAAATATAACCTACAAATATGTGGTGAAAATATGTCATTTCCTTGTTTTTTTGGATATCCTGCTATGTATACGGAATAATAATTATCCTTTAACTATTAATGGTAATAAAGTAATTTAGAAAATTACGTAATCTATTAATCTCATATCAAGTAATGCACTAGATAAATTCTTGCTTAATAATTGATGCATTAGTTGAGTCCACTGGTTACTAAGCTCTGCTGCTGGTTTATTAAAGATTAATGTTCCATATGATATTAAATTTTCTAAAATAACTTTAAAACTAAATCTAGGTCTTTTTTCAAAATTATAGTTATATGAATCGATGTTATTAGGCAAAATAAGTTTTTCATCGCTAGTAATGAATTCTGAAATAGACGATGCTGGAAATACAGTTTCTATAAATTTTGCAACTTCTAATGCATTTGCAGGATGAAGTGTTGTATCCGTAACAAGTTCGGTTGGAGAGATTTCTTCAAAGATAAATTTCATCCATATTGTAAATGATTTAAAAAGTTGTACTTCTTCATTTATTTTTTCGATGAAATTGTATAAATTTTCTATAAATATATGTAAGATATATAAACATTCCTGTATTTTTGTAGAGTCTATGAACATCGGTTTTGCTGTCTTAGGCCTAAAGTAGATTAGTTATAATTATTAATTATGAATACGTGTATAAATGCCATTTTGCAAGACCATTTAGTTTGCTTAGTAATAAAGCAACTCTATCACATGCAGGAAGTATATATTGATGTGTTAATTTGCGAAGATTTTCATAGCTTGTTAAAGAAGTTTTTTCCCATTTTTTAAGGCCCTATTAATGTTTAAATTTAATTATAATTTTAAGAAATGTCAAATTCTATACTCTTTCAGTTAACCTTTTGGTCATCCAATCCCTTAATGGAGCACTTGGAATTCCTGTCATTACTAAAGAAAACAATTCTAATCGAGGAGTTGCTACATTAGCAACTTCAAATAATTAAATAATAGTTTAGGCAAAGTATTTTAATTACCATTATGCTCATGAAGGCAATCATGAAATGCTTTTAAATATTCCTGTTCAATATCGTTCATGTTTTGCCATTCTTCTGTTATAGTTACAATTCCCTCTTTAATATATGTAAGAAGAAAATGAAAATTTGTTGAGCATTTTGCAATCTCAGTAACAGAAGCTCCAAGGGCTCTAAACGCTTTCATGTCCAATAAATGAATAAAAATTTCTTGAGTTTGTTCATTTTTTGATATAGTCGATTGGATACGCAAATCAGATGAAGAAAAATGACATAACAGTTGTCTTTGAGTCTAAAGTAATTAATGTTTTTAACTTATAACTTATAAGGAAAAATACATTGGTAATTTTATCTGTAGAAACTAGAGGTAAAAGAGCAAGATGAAACAATCCACAAATACTAGATGTTATAAATTTATATTATAAAAATTAATATTATATTTAACCTTATATGAAGATTTCCTCGCACGTCTCCTGAAATAAGAAGATCCATTTCATTAATTTGTTTATCCTCATTATTAGCTGAAACAAAATTGGTTAAAGATGAATTTGAAAAATTTCTATAATTAGGGAATTAGATAAAATAAAATGAATATATATAGGAACGCACCTAGATTTCGCACTTGGTATAGATGCCAAACGTGGTAAGAACCTTATAGGATCGAATTCTTGTAAAGACTAGTATTTGTTAGTGTAATACGTTATAAAGAATATATACAAATTGTTCTTCAGAAAATGATAGCTTTCGTTTTTCTGTAACCCAACTAACTAAACTAACTCTGTCAAATTCAGGAGCTTGTGGTTCAATTGTATGTAAAAGTAAGCCATCATTAACATTGTAAAGCCTCATGGCTCCATTACTTAAACCTACTACCAAAACTTTTCCTAATTAATAGTTATTTATTGTCAAATTCAATATCTTTTAGATGACCATCAGGTCTCCAAGTAATACTAGTTGCCTCATGATTTTTGTTTAAAGTTTTCCAAACACGGCTTCCACTTAATCTATATACCCAAATTTCATTAGATGTTGTTACAAATGCCAGTAAGTCCATTGACGGGCACCATGATTTTAATTTTATTGTTTCAGGTAGTACTTTTTCTCCTAGTATCTTAAATGCTTGTTTTTTATCACAAATTTTCATTTTATTAATTTCTGAGATTTTGATGATTGGTTTTTGTAGTTAGAAAAGTTAATAATAGATTGAATAATTTTTATGAAAACGTATGATTTTGTCTTCGTAAATTCAATATTTTTTTTAGTCTTTGGTGGAAATGGTTTTAATTTTAAAAAAAAAATTATATTTAATAATTATTTAGAATATTTTAAATGATTTATCTTAAAAAATGAATACATATAAGATATGCCTTATAAGATATATATAACATCTGTTTATGCAATCTTAACTCGCATTATATGAAAGTAATTTTTCAGTTTGTAAAATAAGCTTTAAATTTATTAAATATTGATATTTAAATGCTTAATTTTTGATTTATATTAATTTTAATAAAATTTAATGATATTAATAATTATTTTTTAAATATAATTTATAAAATGTAGATATTTGAGATTAAAATAGATATTTAAAAGTTTTAAATTATGTTTGGGTATTTAACTTTGAATATTTTTGTAATTTATATAGAATTAAATTCTTAGAAATCTGTATATTTTAGAAAAAAAGAAAAAATTTAGAAAGAAATCTATTTGTATTTAAATAATGATATGTTGTTATTAATTTATTTTTTTTTTAATAAAAGTTATGAAATTGTGCTATATATAATGAATATAAAAATATTATCGTTCTTTTGAAATTTATCATTTTTCGATTTAAAGTATATAATTATAAAGATTATGAAATTAAGTTTAAGGATATACTATTTTAATTATTGAATTTCTATAAGTTTTCCTGTTTAGATTATTTTAAATGAGTGGGGATCAGGGGGAGTCTTTAAGGTTAAAGTCAAAAGGTTTCATTAATTATTTGATTATAAATTTATAATTACTGATTTTGAAAAGATATAAGTCGTTCTGTAAGTCAAACGTTATGTAGAAATATCTTAATTCATGGATATTGTAAATTTGCTGATAAAGGATGCATTTTTAATCATGAAACTGTAAAATTTATATGGATTTTTTAAATTAAGGAAAAAATATTGATATAATTAGTATCGAACTTATGAAAAGAATAATATTTCTTCCTCCTCTGAAATGTTTTTTTTTTTTTTTTAGTTATTAATTAACATTACTTTTAGGCTTAAAAAAAATATTTCTGATTTAACATTATCTACTTCTAACACTGCATTTCCGAAGACATATTCTCGGTTAATAGCACAGGCTCCTGATTTCGTTCCTCGTTCTCAATTATGTATGTTATTTTTGTTTAAGTTTTGCTGGTGATTTTAATATATCTAGCTTTATCTAATCAAACTCTTAATTCTCAATCATCTGCTTTAATCAAGTTAAAATATATAAAGTCTATATTATTATATCTCTAACGAGCGAAAGGAATCAGAATTCTTTGTCTGAATTAGCTTCCCACGATGTAGTGGATACAAATTTTAAACAATCTTTTTCTATTGATCAAGAATTTTCAAAACTCGATATTAATTTTGTTCTAATATTCTTTATTTTTACTTTAAGCTTATGTGTTATAGACACCTGATAATTTTCTTTCTTATCCCTTTTATGATACAAATTCTTTATCTTCAAGTAATTTTTATGATTATGAGATTTACTATAATCGAACACCTTTATATCAACCGGTATTTATTTTTTTATATTTTCTTTTTAATATTTTTTAGTTACAATATCATTTATATGCATCTCCAGCGCCGTATAGGACAAATTTAGAACCATATCAAAGAACAATTCATGATTTTTTTATGTCTGATACTCTTCGTGAAGATCTTCAAAAAAAATCAGAGGCTATTTATCAGACTTTAGGAGGCATTGATTTTTTAATTTTTTTTTAAATTTAATGAGTGAAATAGATTCTAATTTGCCGGACCAGATACTTGGATATCATTCACTTGTTCCTCTTGATACACTTCATAATAAGAGTACAAGAATTTTTGGTTATTCTTCTTGGGTGTATAAAGTTTTTTCAAGTAATGATGGATATTCATACGTTTTTCGACGATTGGAAGGTTTATGGCTTTGTTTGTGTGATTCTTCTTATTTTTATAGGATTTCGTTTATTAAATGAATTTTCTATTAGTTTGATAAAAATATGGAAAAAAATTAGAAATGCAAATGTAGTATCTGTTCATGAAGCATTCACCACAAAAGCATTTGGTGATAGTTGTAAGTGATTTATTTTATTGAAAATTATTTTTAATATTAAGCTATTGTTTTTGTGTATGATTATCATCCACTTTCTATTACATTGTATGAAAAACATTTCGGACAATATTTTCAGAAGGGTTCTGAGTGTCATCATCGAGGTGTAATTTCTGAATATGTTTTATGGAATTATCTTATTCAAATTATTTCCGCAATAAAATCTATTCATGCTGAAGGTCTTGCTGTTCGAGTTCTTGATCTTACTAAAATTTTGTTAACTGGAAAGATGCGGTATTATATATATACGTATATTATTTTGCTTATTTTGTTTAATTGTGAACAAGGTTAAGGATAAATTGCTGTGGAATAATGGATGTCATTGTTTCTGGTTTTCGAAAGAATAACGAGCAATTACAGAACCATGATTTTATATTACTAGGACAATTAATGCTTACTTTGGCATGCAATTCTTTAACTTCTGTTCAAAATATGAAGGAGTCATTTGATTATATTATTCAACATTATTCTAAAGATTTTCAAGATATTATTTATTATCTTCTTAAAAATACTGAATCTAAGTCAGCTGAAAGATTAGTTGCCCTTATTTCCACTCATATCATTGATGCATTTAATAGTTCACTATGGTAATATTATTGCATGTTATATTTATTTATATTTATTATTTTAATAGTTATAATGATACCCTTGAGTCTGAGTTGTGTCGTGAGTTAGAAAATGGGAGATTAGTTCGTTTATTATGTAAATTCGGTTTTATTAATGAAAGACCGGAATTCGATCATGATAAATTATGGTCAGAAACAGGTGATAGATATCTTATTAAATTATTGAGAGATTATATTTTTCATCAGGTTGATGAAAATGGTAATCCTGTAGTCGATATGGCACATGTTATTAGTTGTTTAAATAAGGTTTATACTTGATATTGTTGTATTTCTTTAATATTTGATAGCTTGATGCCGGTGTTGACGAAAAGATTATGCTTGTATCAAGGGATGAGCAGAATTGTTTAATAGTAAGTTATAAAGAGGTAATATATAAAATTATATGAAATAATATATTAAAATATTTAGTTGAAAAACTGTATTCAGTCAGCATTCCTTGATTTAACAAAGAATAGTTAGTAAATAATTTTTGATATGATTATATTTAATTTGATATTGTAATTAAATGTTATTATAAATAGATGTTTATGATTAAAATATAAATGTTTTATTATTGGGCATTACTAAATCATGCTTTTTTATCTTTATTCATATTACAACTTGTTCTAAAAACGGATTTTTAATTTCTTCGCTTCCATCTACTGGTGAAAAAAGTACTAAAGTAGTACCACGAATAACAACAAGTCCGAGTTGTCGTTTTTGATCTGTAATATTTCCATCTTCATCTAAAACAAATTGTTATCCAATATATCTTTGTTTCTAATTTAAACTAAACTACCTCTTAAATTTTCAATTACTTCATCTAATACTAAATTCATTAATGGATCATAACCTTTTAAAATTCCCACGACTATATATATTTAATAAGGTATAATTTCTCGGAAAATAATCCTACTTTCTCTTCCTCCCATAAACTTTACTCTTACTTTTTGATCTTGATACTTCCCTAAATCTAGAATTGCTTCTTTTTTTGGTTTGTCACTTTTATATTATTAAAAATATTATATCTAATAAAATAGGATTACAACGCTGTAGACATATAGCTTCGACCACGAATACCGTAGTCGTTATTCTTTGTAAAATCGTAATTCTAGTTATAATTATTAGTTCTTATTTTAAAAGCATCATATGGTAAAAATTACTCGATCCATAAATTTGTGGTAATTTTAAGAATATTTTTTATATTAGACAATAATATTCCTAAATGTTGCAAGAAAATTTATATCACGATATTGTTTGAATTTTTTCCGAGTTTAATGATAACTTTATTTCTTAATTACTTTTTGAGATTTTAACAGTTGAAGCTTTTTAAAAGTATCGGTTAACCGTGTCCTGATTAAAAAAAGATTACTACAATAAAAATTAAAATAATATCGTTATTAAAGTGGTGTTTTTTAGAGATTAGAGTAGTTTGTGGTATATTGTTATAAGGTAAGGATAGTTTTTTCTTTCAACTATGTTTGGTTAATTGAAATTGAAAAGATTATAAGATTTTGAATTATAGAGTTATATTTGAAAAATTGGTTTATAGTGCTTTTACTATAAAAACCAGGTTAGATTTTAAGAAGTATTTACTTTTATTTTTTCTTTTTTGAGTTTATAATTTTATAGAAAAAAATGAATATTAGTGAACTCCTTGCAAATACTCTTTCTTCCGATGCACGACTTCGAGCTGATGCAACACAACAGTTGGAAGTCATATGTCGTAATCATTGGGTATTATATGTTTCTAGGTATTTTTTATTACGTTGATTTTTTTTTAGTCTGTTTATATGCATATGCTTTCTCAAGAACTTGTTAACGAGCAATCTCCATCGCATATAAGAAGTGCATCAGGATTAGCTCTTAAAAATTCTTTGACTTCGAAAGTTCGAAATTTCGGTGTTGATATATATGTTTTTAATGTATATATAGGAAAGATATAGACAAGAAGAATATAATCAAAAGTGGCTTTCTTTAGAACAATCTTTAAAACAGCAAATTAAACAAAATGTAGGGAATCTCATTATTTGCGTCATTATAATATTTAGTTTTTGTAGACTATTTTAACATTGGCATCTCAAGATGGAAAAGCAGGACAAGCTGCCGCACAATTTATTGCGGCTATCGCTGCAATAGAACTTCCAATTAATCAATGGCCGGAATTGATGGCTACTCTTGTTCAAAACGTATCAGAGGGACAAAACTCGAATTTGAAACAGGCATCTCTTCAGGCAATTGGATATATTTGTGAAACAGTGGTAACTTTTTTATGTATGTTTTGATAGTTATAATGTCTTATCTAGGATCCTAATAATTTGGCTGCTCAATCAAATGCTATTTTAACAGCAGTAGTTCAGGGTGCTCGAAAAGAAGAGCCTAATTCTTCTGTTCGTCTTGCTGCAGTTAGTGCTTTATTTGATTCTTTAGAATTTGTAAAAGAAAACTTTGAGAGAGAAGGGGAACGTAATTATATTATGCAGGTAGTATGTGAAGCTACACAAAGTGAGGATGTGAGAGTTCAAATAACTGCTTTTGGTTGTCTTGTTCGTATAATGCAGCTTTATTATGATAAAATGAAGTTTTATATGGAGAAAGCTCTTTTTGGTCTTACAGTTCTTGGTATGAAGCATGATGATGAAAAGGTTGCATTGCAAGCAGTGGAATTTTGGAGTACTGTATGTGAAGAAGAAATAGATGTTAATTTAGAAATTCAAGAGGTATTTTTTACTATTTTTGTTTACTAAACTTAATATGATATTTAGGCTCTTGAAAATGGTATCTCATCAGAAAGAGAAAATTTTCAATTTGCTAAGATTGCTCTTCCGGAGGTCTTGCCGGTTTTGTTGCAATTGATGTGTAAGCAAGATGAAGATGTAGATGAAGATGAGTGGAATATATCTATGGCGGCTGGGACATGTGTTCAATTGTTCTCTCAATGTGTGGAGGGCATAATTGTTGGCCCTGTATTGACATTTGTTGAAGCCAATATTAGAAGTGATGACTGGAAACGTAGAGAAGCTGGTGTTATGGCACTTGGATCTATTTTGGAGGGACCTGATCCAAAGTTATTGGAAACGTTGATGCAAGAGGCTTTACCTGTTTTAATTAGTATGATGTCGGATCCTGTGGTTCAGGTTCAAGATACTACTGCTTGGACTTTAGGACGTATATCTGATTTAGTTATAAATGCTATTTCCCCTGAAATTCACCTTCCTAGTTTGATTCATGCTCTTTTAAATGGTCTGAATGCAAATCCTCGAATAGTTTCTAATTGTTGTTGGGTTCGTGTTTTTTTTTGTTTTTTTTTATATTTTAATTGCAGTATTAGGCTCTAATGAATCTTTCTGAGCAGCTTGATGGCTGTTCTTATGGGTCTAAACAACAGACGTCAATTATGTCTCCATATTTTGAGAATATTGTGTCATCACTGCTTGGTGTAACTGAACGGTATATAATTAGTATAATTTTATATAATTATTCTGATTTTTTAGGACTATAAATGAAAATAATTCTCGAACATCTGCATATGAAGCTTTATCTACTATCGTTACACATAGTTCTTTAGATATGATACCAATAGTATCAAGGTTATTGATTGTAATACTCGAGCGATTAGAACGTACAATAGCTTTTCGTGATCAAATTATTGGGGTCGATGAGCGCACTAATCATGAAAAACATCAATCTAATCTTTGTAACACGTTAACCGTAAGAAATATATTCTTGAAAATATAAAATTTATACAATTTTAGAGTATAATTAGGCGTTTAGGTGCAGATGCACGTCCTTCTTCTGACAGAATAATGACCATTTTGTTTCAGCTTATTCAGAGTGCATCACGACAGTCCATAATTCATGAAGATGTTTTTTTAGCAATTAGTGCTTTAACTTTAGGTAATGTTTTTATTTTCAAGTAAATTTTATAATATATGATTTAGTTTTGGATGGATATTTTTGCGTCTATTTGGATTCTTTTGTTCCATTTTTGTATTCTGCACTTTCTAATATTGAAGAATATCAGCTTTGTTCTATTGCTGTTGGTTTAATAGGTGATATTTCTCGTGCATTAGGTGATAAAGTGATTCCATATTGCGATAATTTCATGACTCATCTTCTTCAAAATCTTCAGGTAAGTTAGAGTTTGATATAGCATCTTATTTAGCTTTTATATAGAGCTCAGTTTTACATCCTAATGTTAAACCTGTAATTTTATCATGTTTTGGGGATATTGCTCTTGCTATTGGAAGCAATTTTATGAAATATTTAGAAGTAGTTATGCAGCTTTTACAACAAGCATCTATCATATATTCTACTCCTGATCAGGGCTATGAAATGATTGATTATGTAAATCAGTTGCGAGAAGGCATTGTGGAAGCGTATGTTGGCATTGTTCAAGCATTAAAAGAAGAAAAAAAATGTTTTTTATATTAATGTGAATTATAAATGCTAATAATGTATAGCCAATCCACTTCTTCCTCATATTCCGCATATATTTCGTTTTTTAGCAATGATGCATAATATTCATGATAAATCGGAAAGTCTTACCCGTGCCATGATTGGTTTGTTAGGGTTCGTTAAATAATTAAATGGTTATAGATATTCTAAATATAATAGTGATCTTGCCGATATTATTCCTAGCAATCAAATTTCATCGATGTTTCAAGAAGAATGGGTTAATGAATGCCTAAAGCAAGGAAGAACTAAGCCTGGATATTCTTCTGCTACTAAAGAAATTGCACGATGGAGTACTGAACAAATTAAGGCAGTGATAAATGGAAAATGAAATTATTGTTATTCCATTAGAAGATATGAGCATAATAATTATTAGAATACATGTTTAATGCTTTGATGGTCTTCTATTTATTTTATAATTTAAAGTTTGTTTTTGTAAAAGCATGTATCATTTATTTTTTATTTTCTATAATTAGGATTTATATCTATAAAATATTGATTTTAAAATTAATACCATTATGGTCATTTTAAATATTACGAATATGTATTACAAGATTTAAGAATTTTATGGGCTATCGCCTCATTAATCATTTTTGTCTTCATCAAGATTTTCGACTTAGAATATTTAGTGTTAGATATATAATTAATGTATTAAAAATTACCTATGATATTTCCACTAGGATATAAGTTTTTTTCTTCTAATATTTTTTGTTTAGTATCATATCTAATAATTTGTCTAGGCATAGGTGATACTAATTGAAAGTTAAATTTATGAACATAATTCAATGGTTTTTCTATTGGTTCGTGTAACTCTTCGGTATTTATATCGTAACATTCAATAAATGCGTAAATCTCTTCAATAGATACATTTGCATCAAATTTCCTGACAATGCGTTCTCCGTTTTGTAATCTTAAGCTAACTTTTGCAATTTGAGAGGAATCTGAAGTTGGTTCTGGGAACAGTTTAGATGCTCTCCATATTTTCCATTGAGATTTATTTGCTTCAAGAATTCTAGCATCATTTAGTTCCTTTTGTCTTTTTTTTTCTATTTCCATCCTGTGCTTTTCTTCTTCTTTACGTTGTAACATTCTTTCTCTATCAATTGCTAAAGATGCTTCATAAGCGTTGTCTTGTTGAGTACGTATTTGTCTTGCAATAAGTTGTTCTTCTCTCGTAGATCGTAATCTTCGAATTGTTGGCAAATGTTGTACAACGTAGGTTTCTAAGGTTGCAATCATATCGTTTGGTAATATAAATCCTTCTATGCGAGCTAACGATGATACATTTGATGTATTAGAAGAATGTAAGTGTGAAATACCTATTGCAATGAATGGAAAACGAGTACAATTAAGGTTATTTGATACTTTTAATGTTAGATAAATAGGTTTAGTGCTTATTTTTTATATACCTTGAAACGCTTCTGGTTCATGAACACTTCCTGCCCAGACTAATATATTGTTATTTGCAATGAATCCAATTAAGTTTTCGTTTGTAAGAGTAATTCTATAAAAAATGTTATTCAAAAAATAAAAGAATATATATTTACCGATTAAAAGAATAGGTATCATCATGTAAATCGCTTTGTAAAATTACCATAAAAAACATTAAATCTTTTTTTGCAACTTCCAATGCTTCTACATATCCGCCTTCAAAAAACGGAACATGATCAACCCCATGTTCTTGCTCAAATTTTCGAATAAATTTTTCAGATGTGTTTTTTGAATTAAATTTTTGAAATTGTCCAGTGACTAAATTTGGAGGACTGAATCCCATAAATTTAGATAAGAAAGGAAACATTCTTGTGAAGAAATACATTGTTTTTGATATTGCTTTGTACAATATAGAAAGCGGAAGAACAATTAATGTGAAAATTGATGAAATTATAGGACTTGTATTTGTATTTAAAATTTCTGGTGATAGTTGAGATAAATCATGAGGATAATTTATATCTGTTGAATCATTCATAGGATTTCCAGATGGAGAAGTTTGTAGTTGCGGATTTTCTTCATAAATCGATGATATAGCTTTCTATAAATTGAAAATTAAAAAAAAAATAAATATTTTAAGTATTATTACTTCTAAATTCCATTCATAATTTTCAAGGATTTCTAAAGATATTTTTGAATTATTAATTTCTGTTATTAACTCAAATGATTGAAGTATATTTATCTCTTCTTGTGTTAAATTTCTATTATCCATTTTTTTTAAGGATTTTTTAAAATATGAATGTCGTCGATATTTTGTAATAAACTGTTATGCTATTTTTTAAAATTTAATTTTAAGGTTTGGTAAAGTTTAAAAAAACAGATAGTATTACTTTTAATATTTTATTTAGTTTTCTCTTTTTATAGTATATAGGACTTTCTAGTGCTGAGATTTTTTTAAGAAATGTCTTTTCATTTGAATGAAAATCCATATATTTCTACTTTATCATCATCAATATTAATTCTTTTCCTTTCATTTGGAGGGATCTTAGGCGTTTTTGTTATTGTTTTTATTATATATCACATAAATGGTCATTGTCATAATTCTATTTTTTTAGGTCATGGAAATTCTGAGCAACATGAAGATTTAATACATGAAGAAGCAGTATTAATGCAAACAGCCAATGAAGAAGAGATAGAATCTTATTTTCGAGCAAAAGGTATTTTTATAGAAGAATGAATTTTAGTAATTGATATCGTTAGCATTTCAAGAGGCAAATCCTCCTGGTAGCATGTTAACTGATATTAGTCTTTCTCAATTTATGTCTATTCAGGAAAAGGGTGTCTCTGCATGGGAATTTGAAGCTTTTTTTGAGAATATGAATTGTTTTGTAGAATCTAGGACCGAAATAACATTTTATGATAGTGAATGCAGTGTTCAGACAAATTTGCCTATTCCAAAAACTAATGAAATATATTATTGGGAAGCTAAGTTATATGATTTTTCTGATAATACTATTGTTTCTATTGGATTGACAACAAAACCTTATCCTTTATATCGATTGCCTGGTTCGTAATTTTTCTTAGGTCTATTTTGAATATTAAATCAATTATAGGATGGAATAAATATTCCATTGCTTATGTTTCTGATGGTTCGAAAAGGCATAATCAGCCGTTTTCAGGTAAGCCTTATGGGCCTGTGCTTAAACAAGGAGATGTTATTGGTGTTGGATATAAGCCCCGAACTGGTACTGTTTTTTTTACGAGGAATGGAAAAAGATTAGAAGATGCTGCTCAATTATTAAAGACCAATTTGTTTCCCACTATTGGTGCAAGTGGTCCATGTCAGATTCATGTGAATTTCGGTCAGTATGGATTTGTTTTTATTGAAGCGAATGTGAAAAAATGGGGATTAGCACCAATGGTGGGAACGTTGGCGCCACCTCCAGCTTATCAATCTGCTCTTCTTACGCCTCCTGCGTATCAAGATTCTTTATCACGGTATTATCAAGGACAACATGATTTTTCAAATAGAAATATTATTGTTACTGATCCTTCAGGAGTACCAAGAGATAATGAAAATATAATTAGTATACTCGAATAAAGCAGCACTTAATATTTGTTACTGTTTGACTTACTTTTGAGAAAAGGGGCTTAATATGATATATATTTAATTAATAATGGTTCTAAAGTTTATTGAGATGTAATATTACTTATGGCATATATGGTTGTCCTTATTTAGCATTGTTTTATTGAATTTATATATTTGTTTGAATGAGAATGTTTTAGAGAATATTTTTGCGTAAGTTTTGATTATAATAGTGCTGAGCTTTGTTTTTTTCAAGTATTTATGAAACGTTATTTATTGAATATGTTTATTTGTAGAATATTTTGATGTTTAAAAATAAAAAATAGATGATTTGGTAATTATATATCTTAATATTATATTTTTATGTTTAATGTTACTATTTTTTAGTTTAAAAAAATATTAAGAATTTGTTGTATTAGTTAGAAGTCTTATTAACATATTTCAACTAATTTTTGTGGTCTGTATACTGTTAAAAGATATAAACTATAAGATATTTTTATTGTTTCATTTGTACAAAACTTTGTATTTGAATTTTTTATTTATTAAGCATGTTTCATATGATTTTATGATATTATGTTTAATTTTTTTTTTTATAAAAAAAGTTAATTTAATTATAAATAAAACAACTTATGTCTTGTAATTATATGAATCGATTTTGTTTTGAAAAAAATTTGAAAAAAAAATAAATTAATATTGTGTTTTTATTTGTATAAATTATTTAAAATTAAAATATTATAATTTTATTGTATACTGTACTTTAAAATATTTAATCTGTACTTTGTGTTATAATATTATGATTTTTCAAATGTTTTTATTCAAAGATTTTGAAAATAATGTAAAATTAACATTTTAAGTTTGTAAAAAAAATCATGATTAAAATACAATTTATTTTTATATTAAAAATTAGATTTTCGAAATTTAATATTTATATAATTGATAAAATAATATATTAAAAATATTAATAGAGTAAAGTTGATATTATTAAAATATTTATTTAATAATGATCTCTCCTGATGAGATTATTGATTTAGAAAAAGAAATTTCTTTCTCCTCATTAATAAGTTCTACTCTAATTACCTAACTTTGTTAATGATAATAATAAAAATTTGTCTTACATCAATATTAAATAGAAGTGTTTTCATGTTGAAATTAATAGACACTGGAAAAAATGATTCAGCATTGTTACTTTCTAGATTTATTTTTTTGCTATCAGATTGATTAAAAGAGTTAATTTCGGAAATAAACCATTCTAATGAATTTTTTTCATGGTTTATAATAATTCCATTAGTAGTTTCTAAAATGCTTGAATAAGATCTAGTAATTAGCTAATATAATAGTTATAAAATATTAAATTCTTACTGCATTGGAATAGATATTAACACATTTTGAAATTCATATTCATTTGAAGTGAGTTCATATTTTATATTCATTTCAATATGTTTATTGTTTTCATATGTCCATAAATTAACTAAAAATATTAATCATTGTAGATAAAAAATGAAAATTAATAACCGGAAAGTGGGAAAATGATGTCCTCATTTTTTTTTATTATTCTCCATTTTAATACACTAAGAGAGTTGTTTACTGGAAATGGTTTTGTCGAATTACGATGAGCAATTACTTTGTTTAATAGAAATTGTGACTTGTCGATGTTAGGATGTGTTTTGTATTGGATTTTCTCTTCGTCATTGTCGCATAAAAAGACGCGAAAAAACGCAACGTTTGATTGTAATATACGTAAATGAAGATCCCCTTTAATTTCTATACTTTCAATGTCATTATCTTTTGTTTTTGCAATATGAATATCTTCAGATATTTTAATTTGAATGTCTTCAAATGTATCATCTTTAGTACTACTTTGTTTCATACTAACGTTTGAAAATAAATGTTCTTTTAAATTCTTACTATGTTTTGCAGTTTCATAATAATCAATTTGTTTGGATTTTTTATTTAATTGCATTCCTTTTCCTTTTAACGTAACAGATCTAATAAAATCAATATATATATAGAAAAGGCAACAATGTATACTTGTTGACCTGTTTTTTTTCAATATCTTGAATATTATGAAATAGATTCATATTATGTAATGATTGAGAAACTAATTGGTATTGATTGTTAGAAAGCGATTGAAAGTTATTAAATCCTTTTTTTGATGACTCTTTCCTTTGCAGCTCGAATTGTTTTGCTCTTCTTTTTCTTTCTTCTACAGCTTCTAATTCTTTGTTTCTAGCAATTATTTCTTGAATTTTTTCTTCATGGCTATCCATTTCAAGAAAACTTTTTATTTGAGCAAAGGAAAGATTTTCTCGATAGCCATATGATGTTATTTCATCAAAAGCATTAAGTAATTCGAATGCATTATGAAGGATTTCTCGTTCGTCATATGAATGACATATATTTATTACAGTTTCAGTAAAAAGATGAAGAGTGTTGATATCTTGTAAAATATTAGAGTGAATATTAGTGATAAGAATCATATAAAGTTCTTCTAGAGGTTGGTAAACATAACGTATATAATCAGTTTCAATAGTAGTATGCTGTATTCCAGTATTTGCTAATTGAGGAAAAGTTGCTAGTAATTTCTCAATTCTAGCTTTTGGAATATCCCTGAATTGTCGAGAAAGAATAACTAATTTTTATTAATGATGCTCTGAAAAATTGTTTTTTTACCTTTACCACCTCTAGTACATATTGAAGCAGCAAGTATGACCTGAAGTATTATTTTATGTTTTAAAATATATGAAAAAGAAGTACCATTTTTGTTTATAAGAATATACACTGTTTAATTTTATAATAAATTTGTAAATGATATAAAATTTATAAACTTTTTATTCGATAACTAAAATTATAGATACATGAAATAAAAATGTATGAATTTTAAAAGTTAATTAATTAATGTATTATTTTTTTATGTTTTTTAATAGAAGTATTTTATTTAAAAAAAAAAAAAAAAGTAGTAATAATATTTAACATTTTGTGTTATATCTGGTTTTATTTTTGAAAGTTTTAACATAAAAAGTATTATAAAATTTTTTATTTTGATCTGTGGATTTAAGGTGAATATTTTATGATATATATATAATATAAGTTGTTTCATTAGAAGATAATTGGTATTTATATTTGAAAAAAATGTAATTTATATATAATAATAGTTTAATAAAAAAAAAAACAGGATGTTATTAAAAGTGTTATTATTTTTAAAAACTATAATTTTCTAGATAAGTTGTTTCATTAGAAGATAATTGGTATTTATTTTTCTAATCAATGATGTTTGTAGATTTTTTTTGAAATTTTGTCAGTATATTATTTTCTATAATGTAGATTTATGGATTTAAATTTATGGCTTAAGAGATGATATAGGTTTGAATTATTGAAGTTTTAATGAAATTATATATTTTTGGTAATTTTTTAAATTTGTTTATATTCATTGATTTTTAGCGTATAATATTAATGTTAAATATGAATTATGAATGAAAAAAAAATGTAAAGTTTTTAATATTTTTTTAACTAGATATATTTTTGAATTTTTATAGTTTATTTCTATTTTTATGGGGGGTTTATTGTTATAGAAATATTTAAAGTAAAATGTTTGCAAAATAAATTTCATAAATTACTATAAAAAGGATTTTAGAAACACTGTTAAAGATAATGCTTATGAATAATAGTTGTTTCTATCCAATATAATATGATAAATAATAATAATTAATATGTAATTTTTGGGTTTTCAACAATTATCTATAAAATTAATTTTTTATAAAGCTTGAAATTAAATAATATATTTTTTTTTATTAATTAATCCCTGAATTTTGAGTATTTAAATAAGGTTTTACATATTTTCAGAAGTTTTAATGTCTTTTTTTGAGCGTTAAAATTAATAAAAAAAATTGGTTGAGTTTATTGATTAATGAGATCTTTAATAATTATTTTTTTATGTTTCCGTAGAGAAGCATGATTAGATTACATGTAAAAATTTTATTATGTTTTTTAACTAGATTATCTTAAAATATATAATATTGAATTTTGTTTAGTAAGTTCTATATTATGTTTTTATTATGATAAAATTGTTATTGAATCATTAGAGTAAAATCATATGTTTATTTGTTTTGCAACGGATATAGTCTTAATTATTTTTATTAAAAATTTTAACATTTTCAAAAATGACTTCAATTTGCAATAAACTTCTTTTTATTCGTTTCTATACTATTTATTGATATTTGTAGCTTAATATAATTTTATTTATTTTAGTAAAATAATAGAATAAATCGATATTTTTATCTAAGATTTTGTTCTCTTTTACTTTATGATTTTTTTGTGTATTTTTTTTTGTTTTTATATTTATTTTATGTTTTATTTATTTTCTTTAAATTTAATATAATTAAATTAAAATATATTGAGTTATTAGTAGTATAAAATTATGATATTTTTAGCGTTACATGATTTTAAATCAGTTTGAAATTTGTTTTCCGTGTAGGTTTAATTTGTCGAATTACTGTAACTATTCTTTAAAGACTTTAATTTTTGAAAGTTAAATACAAAAAAAGTTTAAAATATTAACTTGATTTTTTACTGTATATAGATATAGTGGTTAATGCATCTAGAAGTATTTAATAGCTTCATTTTATGAAAGAAAATACACTTTATACATAATATTTATAATTAGATATATTTTATGGTGTTAATTATATACAATATTAAATTTCTAGACAAAAATATTGAATATAAATTTGTTTTAATTATATGGAATTACTGGCTACATTTTATAATCTATAAAGTTAAATATTTTATATCGATTTACGTTAAAAATGAATTTTAATAATTCTAATGATAGTAAGACATTATTTAGTGCATGTTTTTTTTGTTTATTAATACTAGAATATCCTCAATTTAAAAAAAGTTACACTGACGATGTTCCTAAATTATTAAGTTCTAAACTTCTTATGGGATGGGCTTTATTAGATGATTATTGTAATAATCATTTTGTATGAATATAAATAATTTAATTTTTATTTATAGATCTAGGTACCTCTTATGCGCTCTCCTCATAATAAGCTTTTAAAAGAATGTGTACTATGTGTAGAAGAACAAGAACAATATAACAATATGCAATTAAATCGTGAAATGAGAACTATTGATAAATGTTTTGAAAAAAAGGAAAACAATAATAATGAGAAAGATAATATATCTTCTTTTTCTTGCAATGACTATTCTGCTCGATTATCTGAGTGGTTACAGATATTAGATCATGCTTCTAATAATATATTTTCTTCTCTAAAAAAATGTTCCGTTGCAATCAGTTCTGCAAATGTTGAATTAGAGTTGCATTTAATTTCAAAAATAAAGCTATGTGTAGAAACTTTGGAATCCCTTGAACGATGTAAAACTTATTTAAAAAAATGATTTAATTTATAAATAATAGAAATATGTTATAGAAAAATCGTATAGCTATAATTATAATTGCATTATAAATTTTCTAGTTTGCAATTATCATTTAGATAAATATACTGTTTTTCTAGAATTAATATAATTTTTCGTAATTTAAATTCAGTGATTCCAATCATTTCTGCACCTTTTGAAATTAAAGTTTTCGTAATATTTGGTAGAGTGCTAGAAAGAGAAAAAATTTTGTAGATAAGTTTCCTGTTTCTAAATATAGTGTTTGTTGTATATGATTTAGTATTATATGACTCTAATGATGTATAATAATTATGTGTTGAATTAAAATATTCATTTGTTTTTTTCAATTCATTTATGGGAAATATATTTAATAAAAATTTTGGAACTATAAGAAGTTTGGAAAATAAAATATACAATATTAAAATTACCTTTTATATATGAACTATTGGATAGTTGAATACTTAAATCATTTAGATAATTGTTTATTTCTTCTTTTGATATTTGTGAAATTTTATTAATATCTGTTTTTGTATAGCCAAAATTAGCTAGTTTATTATAGTTCCGTGAATTCATTATAGATAGCCATATGTTCCAATCCTTAAGATTGTTGTACGTATAGTCTTTAAAATTTTCAATATCATAATGATCAATTTGGAAATAAAGTCTCGTAGAAATCAGTAGTACAGCTAATAAAATGACCTCTGGCATAGTATTTAAGTTTGTTTCTTCTAATAATTGTTGATTAGTGAATGAAATATTCAATTGATATGCGAGTTTTAATGTTGGTAATATAAGTTCTACTAATATGGAATTCAGCAGTAGAAATTGAAATATGATTAAATTACATGGAAGATGAAGACCTTGAATATATGTTACCAATATAGGATATATATTTAAAGGTGGGAAAACTATTTTATAAAAAATATAAAATGCTGAAAATATGGAATATGTTACATTTAACACTTTTTCGTAAGATGGAAAAACCTGGTATAATTGTTGAGTATATATATATATATATATATTATATTACCGTTGGCGATAATGTATTCTGATATTGGGGTTCCATACATTTACGAATTTCAAGTGGTATTATAGATGATGTTTGCATATATGGAACTTTGCCGGATTTCATAAAACTAGTACTATTAATGTTTATTCACATTTTTGAAATAATGCATTACTTATAAAGAGTTGATATGGTGATAATTGATCTAAGATTTAATAATCCAAGATAACATATGCTAATAGTATCAATAAGTTTTGGAAATCTGGTTATCTAGATGTCTTTGAATTTTTTTAGTAAGTAGTTCGGATATTACTTTATAAGATATATTATCATTTGAATTTCCTTGAATCGAATTCTTTGTATAAATATGTTAGAATGAAATAACTTATAGAATAATTAAAGTTCAACCAACATTATGATATTTAATCTTTTTTTTTGTATTTTTTTGAAATAATTTATTTGATGTTAATAATGTTAAGTAGATTTTCCATATATTTCGAACAGCTAAATATTTATGAACATGCAGATAAACATAATGAACCTACTAGGTTCTAAATTTTTTGATATTCCATGTGTATGGATTAGACACCAGACTTGTGTTTTTAAAATTTGCTGAAAACAGTGTAAAAATAAGTTTTTTCCTTCGTTTCCGTAAAGAACTTGTTTTTTTTAAAAAAAAAAAATATATAGATATAATTATACCTTTAGACTTTTTCTTATGTTTGTCTGATGTAATTACTTTTCTTCTTCTTAATGGCTGATTTTTATTTAAATTGCTTGTATTATCTATTTCAATAATTCCCTAAAAAAAAAAAGTATAAAATATTTGATCATTGATCTTACTTGAACAAGGTGACCATTGATGCAGTAGGTTAAGCCAGCATCTATGTAGAATTGTTTAGAGGTGCAGTTATCTATACCACATCTTGAATCTTGATTAAATTGATATTGGTTCATAATATTTCTGTTAATTTTCGATATTCGATCTATCTTTTATACATATACTGAGTCTTATTTAAATATGATATATATAAATTATATTGTAATAATACTTTAGTTATGGATAGGCATTCTTGCATATTTATATATGTATATAAAAATATAAATTTTATAATATCTAATATGATTTTATGAAAAACATTTTTAATTTTATATGCATATAATATGATTTTACTTTGGAGCTTCTTTAACAGCTAAGGCTACTTCTTCTCCCATAGCTGAAACGACTGTAACGAGTAAATCTTTTCCTTCCTCAAATTCTGAAATAATTTTTTCTCCTAATTCTCCTTCTGGAAGGCGAATATCGTCCTTAGTAGATCCATCTGAGGTTATTAGATTAAGATATCCGTCATCAACATTAATCTAACAAAATATTAAAATAAATTGATATTCATGCTAATTGATAACCAGTTGATATTCTTGACGAGAAATAATAGGAACATCCATATTATGCGTAGAAGGTGAAAGATCCTCTAACTTTTTGCCAGTAAAAATCTAAGATATGTTATTTTGATAAACTATTAAAAGTTTAAAAAAAATACATCGATTCCTACTAAATGAACTTTTGCATGGCCATGTTTACCTGTTTTTGATGTGCTCATGTCAACGATCTTAAACACATAAGAATAATGGTTATATATATTAGTTTTTAAATACTTTGCATGGACGTCCTTTAATTACAACATATCCATTTTTTCGAAGAGCTGAACATTGAACAGGGAATGTTGATGATCCACCCGAATCTATATTAGAAAAATTGGTCTAAAACAATTCATAAGGAGTTCACTATGCTAATTAATAAAAACCTCTAAATTTTCAGCCATAGTTATTTTTTTTTCTTGATAAATTAAATCGAGTTTAATTTTTTCCAAAAAAATGTTAGAAGTACCCTACCCTTTTTTATAAAATGATACGTGTGATAGTTTTGAAAATATTTTAGATAATATATTTTTATATTATTTCTATTATTTAGAAAAATATCGGAATTATTCATTATTTTATGTTTCTTAATATTATTATGATTTTTTTTATGATTTTTTGTTTATAATTTATATATTTCAAAAAAAAGTGGTTTATGTTATATCATTTTTTAGTTATTAATAATTAAAATATTATATGCTAAATATGCTAATGTTTTAAATATAAACATAATTAAATATTTATGAATTCGATAGATAATTGTAACAAATAAAGATTGAATTAGTTATTACCTTTTTTTTTTAATTATTTAATTAAAATATTTTATTAAAGAAATAATATATTAAAAAAATGATTTGTATATGATAAATCTATATATTAATAACATGCAAATTATATTTATTTTATTATGCAAGTTCATTTTAGAATATAATTTAGATTAATTATATATATATTTTTTTAAATAATTTACAGTATATTACGTTATTTATTATAAATTTTCTATATTAAATAAATGTGTATATTTATAAGTATTTTTATATAATTTTAACATGTATATTTTTAGATTTATAGATTTCATTAATTCATATTAAAATACATATAATAAATAGTTTTATATAAAACACTTTTAGAATTTTATATTAAATTGAATTATAAAGTACTGTTAGTATTTTAAAATTATATATTATATACGATTAATATAAGTATTTTTTAATTAAGTGTTCTATATTTCAAATAATCTAATATTTAGTAAAAATAAAATTATTAAAAAGTAATTGTCATATAAATTCTAAACAATTATAAAGTAAATGAATGTAATAATTATACCATATTAGTATCATATTAACTTTTATTATAAATTAAATGCTTTTCTATATTTATAAAAAAACATACTATATGTTCGTAATTTATATATATATATTATTTTTTTTTATATAAAGATAAAATCATATTTCTATTAACTGTAATTATCATAAATGTTAAATATTTAATTATAAAATACTAAATATCGAAATTTAAATCTACATCGATTTATTTACAATTTAAATATAAAAAATTATTTTTTATTTTTTTTAAAAATGTCTATTGAAAAAAATAAAAAAAATAATCTAAATGACTTCTTATGGACATTTCAGGAGGAACCACATAAAACTAGACGTAAAGAAATAATAAAGGCACATCCAGAAGTATTTTTTTATCATCAAAATAGCATTAATATTTATTTTCCAAGGTGATAAAACTTTGCGGGCATGAACCACTTACAAAATATATAATATGTACAGTGGTTTTATTTCAATTAGTATCAGCTTATCTACTTCGTAATGAAAATTGGATGTCATTAAAATTCTTACTCTATGTGTATTTTTTTGGTGCAACTGCAAACCATAATATTTTTCTTTCAATACACGAATTATCCCATAATCTTGTATTTAAAAATGCAAAATTAAATCAATATTTTTCTATTTTTGCAAATTTACCTATCGGACTTCCATATAGTGCATCGTTTAAGGTATCCGTTTATAATACTATTTATCATAGATATTTAGATTTTCATAGCCATATCACCTATTACATCATAAATACTTAGGAGAAGATGGAACTGATACTGATCTTCCAACAAAATTGGAAGTAATACTCTTTAATAACGTCCTTGGAAAAGCATTTTTCTGGTTACAAATTACTTAATATATAACATCGTATATTAACTATATTATGTAGTACATTTCAAATATTCTTTTATTCACTTAGACCTATATTTTTAAAAAGGTTGCCATTTACATCTTTACATATTTATAATTTATTAATTCAATTATTATTCGATATTATCTTAATACGGCTAGCAGGCAGTGGCGCTTTATTTTATCTTATTTTTTCATCATTTCTTGCAGGATCACTTCATCCTTGTGCTGGCCATTTTATCGCTGAACATTTTTCAATTATTAAAAATACCAATGAAACAATTGATACATATTCATATTATGGAATTTTAAACATTCTGACATATAATGTTGGCTATCATAACGAGCATCATGGTAATTTATGTAATTATTTCTGTATCCTGTTAACTTTTTCAAGACTTTCCATTTATTCCTTGGTCTCGTTTACCAAAACTAAATAATATTGCAAACGAATTCTATAGAAATATTCCATATCATACTAGCTGGATATATGTAATGTGGCAATTTATTACAGATGATCGTGTAGGACTATGGTGTAGGATTAAGAGAAGAAATAAATTAACATTAATCTCTAAATAAACACAAAAAAAATTGTTTTCTAGTTTTAAGTTTAAAAGTATATGTTTTTTTTATGTTAATCTAATACAACTATAATTATAACAATTAAAAAAAATATATTTATCATATAATTTATAATAAGTAATATGTTATACGTATTCATAGATTATAACTAAACATATATATATATATGTTTATACTATTTTAAACATTTCAATTAATATTAGAATAACTTCAAAAATTAAATCATAAACGATATTATAATATTATGATAAAAAAATAATTTCATTGAGATAAATCAAAATAAAAACTCAATAATATTCTAAAGTTCTACACTTTCAATTGTTTAAAACATATATCATATTCTATAATCTATTTTTTTAAAACTATATCAAATATCAACTCAAAAACATAATTTTAAAATAGACTAAGATATTAAATAAACCCACTGTACATATTATGTAAAATTAAGATATTATAACGATTTAAATAAATATGAAATCTAAAACCATTTACAATACATATATACATAATTATCAAAAATTATAAAAAAAAAAAGAATATATTTCTTGCTGATTTTAATAATTTCAAGAAATATTTAATATTTTTTTAGTAAAAGTATATATTATTTTTTATTATTAACATAACATCTAAAAACCAATATATATATCAACATAAAATTTAAATAATATGAATTAAATATTTTTAAGCCTAGAAAAAATAATATATCATTATCAAATAACCCTTCAGCATTATCTTTTTTTTTTTTTTTTAAAAACTATATTCAGAAATACATTTATTTATTTTAAAATAAATATTCAACAACTTAATCTGATTAGAAAAATATATACGTTATCAAAACCAATATATTTTTTTTAAGATTAGCGGAAAAAATTATACATAAAAATGGTATTACATTTTCAAAAACATCAAATTCCAAAACTAATTTATTCAGGGAAAACGTAAAACAAAAATGAAAAGACCAAAACCTAAACCAAGAGCACCTCTAGATAAAACGTTTAATTGTAAGAAAATATAATTATTAAAATTTATTAATTATTTTAAGGTTTATTTTGTAATCATGAAAAAAGTATTGTTTGTCATATGTAAATAAAAACTTTATACTTTTTTTTTCTAATATGCATATGGGGATAAAACGAATCAAATAGGTACGTTAATCTGTAAAGTATGCGGACAAACACATCAAAGTATTATACATAGTATTGTACTCAATATTTCTATACAGTTATATTAACAATAACAGATCTTTCAGCACCAGTGGATATTTACAGGTATTTATTATATTATATACATATATATATCATAAAACGTTTATTATTTTAGTGACTGGATTGATGCTTGTGATGCAGTTGCAAATAAAACTAATAGGAACCTAACACAAGAGTTAAATCTTAATAACAATGACTACAATAATTAAAATGTATTAAATATAAATAAAAAAATTTAACATTATTTTTTTTTATAAATAGTTAAAAGTCATGATCATGTAGGAAATTACATAAACATAATTTCAATAATTTTATTTTTTTTAAATAGGGAAATCAAAAGGAATGTTTTAAGTATTCAAAATACATCAAATACATGAATAATTATTGTTTAGCTCAATATATAAATTGTAAAAGTACTAATATTAATCAAAAAAAGCATTAAAAAACATTACACTCAAAAACAAATATAAAAACGAGCATTAATAAAGCATAAAAATATATATTTTTTGTTTTTTTTTTTTTTTTTTTATGATATATATAACTATAGAGTAAAAATATTCATGTAATAAATAAATAAATATAAAATAACGTCACAATCACATATTTCACACTCTTTTATAATGAATTATTTTAAATTTTTTAAAATGAATTAAATTCGTAACATTATGTGATAACAAGACAGTTTTTTTATTATTTTTCTTTAACTAATAAACATATAAATTCTATATAGTTATTAATATTTTTTTCATGTAAATAGAAACATTACTATACAATTATTTTTTTAAATATTAACCAAATTATATTTTTTTAAATCATTAAAAAAAAATTATGAAAATCTATATCTTATATATCCTAAATATAAAATATTTACACTAAAATTTAATGAAACATTTATTCTAGTAATTTATATTAAAAATATTTCTAGGAATTATTTAATAATTATCAAAATCGATTAACATTTTTTTAAAAATTAATATCACAAATAAGTTTTCAACAACAAAAACAATGCAAATTAGCACAGAGTTTCACGAAGACGATCAATTCTATATTAACAATTATTCAAGTTCAAAATGCGAAAAGCTTGAAAGTCAACTATCAAATATTTCTTCAACAAAAAGATACATTAATCAAGATAATAAAGACAATTTATTATTATCTCAGACTAATATGGAAAATGCAAACATAATAGAAAAAAACATTGGAAAAGAAACAGAAAATCTTAAGCTAATGAGTTCAGCTCATATAAAAATTAATTCACCTAAAAAGTCAAAGAAATCCATTAATACCAAAAATAAACACTATCTAGACACAAAAGAAATTACTTCTGAAAAAAATTTAAATAAGAAAGCAACTTTTGATACAAAACATTCTCAATTATTATTTGAACCAAAAAAATCACCAAATAAAATATCTACAAAGTCACCAAAGACTCCAAATAAGAATAGTAACAATGCATCACCATTTTCAGAAAATATATGTCAACAAAACAATACATGGAACTTCCTCGATGATTTCGATAATTCTCCTTTGAGAACGCCAAAAAGTCAAAGAATTATAGATTCATTAGAGCACGACAAATTAAAATCGCCATCACAAATAGGAACACCTAAATCAAAAGAAATATCAATCAAAATGTTTAGCCCAATATTAACAAATGAAGATTATAAGCTTCCAAAAACACCTCAAAACTTATATATATATAATAATTTAGTAGATACTTTTTCTGATATTCAAAATACATATGCGAAACAAAGAAGCTTTATTGCTGAACCAGCAAATAATACAAAAAAGGATATTTTTTCATCATATAATGCTGATCCAAAAAATTATTTAAATGATGAGTTAAATGTAGAAGACACAGAATCTTATTCTTTAAATATAAAAAGTGTTCATGAGCTTCGAGAATCAGGAATCAACAAAAAATCATTAGATGAAATTCAGTATTTAATGGATGGATTAAATAAATACAATTCATTAAAACTTAGACAATCATGGTTTTTTAATCGAAATTTAAGTAATAAATTGACCAATTATTATAGTTACATAGAACTAGCTAAAAAAATTAATGAAACAGAATTTTCAAGAAATTTTAGATCCGGAAATTTTATTCATCAACTACTTGAAATTTCAAAAAAAGACACGGATATGGTACTGAATTACTCATAAAAGAAACAATTTTTATTTAATTTAGATTATATTATATTGTACATTATTTATATTATATCTTCTTCTTCAAGATAAAAAGTCAGCATATGCTCTAGTATCAGATGATACTACGTTCGAAATCATTTTTTTAGGACTTTCATATGATGAGAACATTCAGTTATATAATTCAAAAAACCATAAATCAGACAATTCTATGCAAGATTCTGTATGTTATTTTATCATATATAATTATATTTTAACAGAATAATAGCTTATTGATTTAATAAAAACAGTAAAATTTAGTACAGTGCATCCCGAATACACTAATAAGGTTATTTAGTATTTATATTTTATTATGATAATAATTTTATAGTCATCATGTTGCATACTTTCCATAAATGCAATTAAAAGTATTGCATTTTTACCAACATGGGAAACATTAAATTATCTGGAAAAAATGGAATCATTTGGTTTTATTTCATGTCTATATGACATTATTGATAAAATATCTAATAATAACAATGTATTATTGCATTTGTTTTCTTGTGTTAAACTAATACACAACATTAGAGCGAAGAATTTTATCTTATAGAAACTATTATAGGATCAATTGAACAATGTGCACTTATTATGTGTTCTAATACACATATAAAACGAATATCATCTATTACTACATTACTTACAAGTAGCTTATTTCATAATTTTAAAAAGAAATATAGTGAGTACTAATAATTCTTTAAATTTATTTTAAACAATATAGAATACGATATCTTTCAATCATGTCTTAGACTATTAATTAATCTTACTAATAATAGTTCATCTATTTGTGACGAAGTTACTCAACCAAAATTTATACAAACTTTAACCAATGTAATAATATCAAAAAAAGATTCTTTAGATCTAGACCAATCTTCAGATAATACTTTATTAACTCTTGGTCTATTAATAAATATAATAGAGAAAGGATCAAAAATGAACTATATTTCAGAGCAATATGGTATATTATAAACAAATATATACTCTACTTATTAAGAATAGATACAGAAAACACACTTATAAGTTTACTTACTATTGACGAACTAGTAGATACATTTACTAAATGGAGAAAATATTCATATAATGTCAGTTTTTTCAACAATATTTTATTTATTTAATTTATATTACAGACAGAAACTAATGTCGCAGCTGGATATTTGGCAATACTTTTAGCCCATTTATCTTTAAAAAATAGTGATTCCGAGAATATGTTTTTATCAAAATACATTCAAAAAAAGTTACCCAATAATTCATATAATATTATTATTGAGTTCTTACACGAATTCGCACAGTTTAACATGGAGATTGAAAAAAAAGCAGCAGAAACATTTAAAATAAAATGGTCCAGTATAGCAAGTGAAATACAAAAAATATCAGAAGCTTTACACGAGCTCGAATCAAAATTAATTATATCTAAATGATGTATTTTTTATTAATATTAGAAACCAAATATTATAATATATATATATATATATACTATTAAGATATTTAAAAATATAACATTTTTTCAGTGATATATATATTCGCTTATTGTTTCTGATTTAAACTATTTTTTACAATAAATTTTAAATATTAATATTTTTTTACCATATATTTTCGAAGTTTTCTCAATTTTTTATAATTATCAACATTAAAAAATCTTTAAAAATGCCTCCCCCCAAATCCAGAAAAATAGCAGTTATGGGATCTAGATCAGTTGGTTTGTTTCTTCCGTTTGTTTTTTAACGAAATAATATTTTAGGAAAGTCATCTCTTACAGTTCAATTTGTAGAAGGGGTAATATTTACTTAAAATATTTTTGAAATTATGTTAATATAACAAAGCATTTCGGCATATTATTTCTTTTAAGAAAGTTCTTTTACTAATATTTTCAAGTCGAAAGTTATTATCCAACTATTGAAAATACATTCAATAAAACTATAAAATTCAAAGGTCAAGAATATGCAACAGAAATTATAGATACAGCTGGTCAAGTATAAAATAGTAAATGCATTTATAATTTTTTCTTATAGGTATAGGATGAATATAGCATTCTTAGTTCGAATTATTCTATTGGTATACATGGTTTTATTTTAGTCTATTCAGTTGCATCTAAATCTTCATTTGAAATGATTAAAATTATCCGTGATAAAATACTCAATCATACTGTAACACCAAACTAAAAATAAATTAACAGTAATTATAATACTTAGGGGACTGAACAAGTACCAATTGTAATTGTCGGAAATAAAAGCGACCTTCATATTCAAAGGTTTTTAAATTATTTTAATAATAATAATTCTTAAAAAAAAAGACAGGTTACTTCAGAAGATGGCAAAAATCTTGCATTAAAATGGGGATGTTCATGGACTGAAGCATCTGCACGTCATAACGAGAACGTCGGTTAGTAAAAATATTTTATTTTTTTATATAAAACATATTTATATCATTCATAGCTAAAATTTTTGATTTTATTATATTAGAAATTGAAAAACAGATAAACCCAAGTCTATCAGGAGAAAATAAAGGGTGTGAAATTTCATAGCTATTTAGTTTAATGTTATTTTTTTTTAAATTTATTCATTTGTTTTTTTTAACTACAAATAATTAACATTATTTATTCATAAATACTATAAAAATATTTTAATACAGTTGTCTTTAAATTTATAGCTTTTAAAAATTATCGAATTAAGAGTTTTAAAAAAAATAATTTTTTAAATATTATAATGTTTAACATATTCTAGCTAGATACCAATTAAATCATTATGAAAAGCTTTAAGCTGTTTTCATATATATTCTTTTTTTAGAATGAATCAAAATGAGTAAAATGGACACTATGAATTATAAATTAAGAAGATTTGAAGGATGTAGCAAACCTAAAGATTACGAAAGGCTTGAAAAATTAGGAGAAGGAACTTTTGGGTAACAAAAAATAATTAGAAATTATATTTTCTGAAACATTATTAAGAGAAGTTCATAAGGGTAGAAGAAAAAGTACTCATGATTTAGTTGCTATGAAACGAATTTTGATGCATAATGAAAAAGAAGGAGTATGTATTTAAATATATCGATATTTATTTCTAAAAGCATTTTAGTTTCCAATAACTGCATTACGAGAAATAAAAATACTAAAAACACTTTCACATGTTAATATTATACCTCTTATGGATATAATTGTTGACAGAGGTAAATAATTAATTCAATTTTAAATAAACAGACATACTAAATAAAAGCCAGGTGATCGTAAAGAAAGAAAACATGGTTCCATTTATATGGTTACACCATATATGGATCATGATCTATCAGGATTGTTGGAAAATCCAAAAGTTAATTTTTCAGAAGCCCAAATAAAATGTTATATGAAACAACTTTTAGAAGGAATAAGCTATCTTCATCAGGTTGGTTAAAAGATATATTATTTTCTCTGCTAACTCTTAGAATAATATTATGCATAGGGATATGAAAGGTTTATAATATAATTTTAGATATCATATTAATTATAAATAGCTGCAAATTTACTTATTAATAATAGAGGGATACTCAAAATAGCAGATTTTGGCCTAGCAAGAACTTTCGAAGAACCTTTTCCTAACAAAGATAATTCTATCATTGCTCGAGAGTATACGAATTGTGTTGTTACTAGATGGTACAGGCCACCTGAATTACTTTTAGGGGAAAAAAAATACACTGCCGCAATAGATATGTGGGGTGTTGGGTACTTAAAATAAAAAAGAAAATCAGATAACTTTTATTTATAAAATTAGATGCGTATTCGGGGAAATGTACAAACAAAAACCCATTCTTCAGGGTAAATCTGATATAGATCAATTGGCAATAATTTTTGAAATTTGCGGATCACCAACAGAATTTACAATGCCAGGATGGCAAAATTTACCAAGAAGTGAAAGCATAAAAGCTTTTCGTACTTATTTTCGTACGCTTGAAGATAAATTTTCAGAGTAATTTATATACGAGTCCTAAATAATTTGTCTTATTTAAATAGATATGGTTCTCGTATGGTATCTCTTTTAGGACATCTCCTTACTCTTGATCCTCATAAACGATTTTCTGCATTAGATGCCCTTAATCACAGTTATTTCCATACATCACCATTGCCTGCTGACCCATCAATGCTTGATACATACGATCCAAGTCATGAATTAGATAGGCGGAAATATAGAGAAGAAAAGGGATATGGAAATTATCTACATCCGGAATCTAAAGAAAAATCCATGGATACAAGAAATAAGTGGGAAGGGAAAATCTATGAGAGAAATCCTCCATCATGGATAATGAATAACCAAAAATTAAAAAATACAAAATTTAAACTAAAAGACAATTATACAAGAGAAAACTTAAATAGTTATATGCATCATAAATCATCACACCCATTATATTCTCACGATCAGGATAAGCAATCAAATTTTGAATACGATACCCAAAAAAATGCAAACTTTTATCATGAAGAGTCACAAAAAAGATATTATGAACTATATCCTCCACAATTTAACCAGGAAAGAAACATAAATGATAATACAGAATCGAGTAATTATGAATTTCGTAGTCACAATTGATATAAAAATAAAAACAATATTTATGAACAATATCTAGACAAAAAAGAAAAATATTTCTAATAACTATATATTATATATATACAGTTTAAAACCATTTTATCAATTTCAAATATTTTGGTTCAATATATATAATTATTATAACTTTTGACATTGGATCTTAATTTTTATTTAATCATATCTAAGTATTGAAACATTAATATCGAAAAATATTTAATATTACAAACGAAAATTCAAATTTATCATATTTAACTTAGACATTAAATTTAGTAACAAAGATATTAATAAATATTTCTAATTAGCAATTTTTTTAAACCTTAGATTTTAGACAATTATTGTTAAAATTCACAAATCAAAATAACATCGAAAATTTTAGTAATATAAAAAAAACTAATAAAAGTAAAATAATAAAATTCGAATAATTCAATACATATACGATGTATCTTAGAAATTCTAGCATATCTATCTAAAATGTTTTAGAAAAATAGAAACATTAGCTAATAAAAATAAAATCAAAACATTATTTATTTTAAGAATTTAAACTGAAAACTAAAACCTTCTACAATCTTATTAACCAAACTTTTATCTTACCTATATGTAAAATAGCTAATAAACACAAATTATATTAGATATCTAATTACTAAATCTATAAAATATTTTTTTTATTAAAATATAAAAAATACAAAATCAAATAAAAACTTAAATCATTAAAAAATAGTAATCATATTATAGAAAATATGAATGAAAATATTCACATTTCTTTTTAACTATATTATATTTGATATTTAATTTTTTAATTAACATAAAAATTTCATTTTCATAAAATTTATAAACGTTAATATTTTTATTAAAAAATTAAACATATATATCTAAATATTATAAATAAATAGTCAATTTTCTTATTAAAACAAAAAAAAAGATTAAAAATAAAAAAGCTAATATATATTTTAATAACAATACATCTTAAAGACATTTCTTAATAAATATGAATAAACATATATAGTGTTCTTATAAAAATAGTGCTAAAATACTGAATTCTATTTATTGATATTTTACTTCTAAATAACATTTAACAATCATTAAATAAAATTCACAAACATTTTTTTATTATAAATTCATATTTTTTATCATAAATTAAAAAATTCATGTGAAAATATTAAATGCAATTTTATATAAAACATTATTTTTTAAAATGAAATCAAAATTATAAGTTCATGATTATTATATCGCAATAATATAAAAACAGTACAAGAATAATCAAAATATTGATTTAAATTTTATATAAAAATTTAATTCTTTGAAATGGAAAATAATAGTGAAATAATTTTGATATTTTACTTTTTCAACACTTTTTTTCAAGTACTTAGTCTATTTAAAAACTTTAGTTTCTATTTATTACTTATAAAATAAATATAATTTTTATTAAAAGATTAAACAATTTAAAAACTAAAAAATAGCCCTAAAAAATTATAAATTTCAATATAAAAATCCTAAATATAATTAACTTTTTACAAAAAAATAACGAAATTGATAAAAATAAAGTATAAATTACATAATATTAAGCTATTAGACCTAGATATAAGAATCATTTCCAAAACTATTAAAAAATATAAACTGAAGAGCAAAAATACTAACATATCCTAAAAGCTACTTTTATTTAAATTTTTCCTGATTAACATATTTTTTTTAATAATTTCATATTGTGCAAAAAAAATAATTATTAAAAATAACATAATAATACTTAAATTATTATATCAAAACTACCTGAATTCACATTTTCATTATTTATAATAAAAAAAAATAAATTATTTCCAATTTTTTCATCAAATAAATCTCATTAAAAATTAATACATTTACGAAAAATTGTCATTAAAAACATATATTTACATAAAACTTAAAAATTATTAAAATTTAACATGTCTATTAAAAGCTATATGATTATTTTATATATTTTTTGAAGTTACTAATAATCAATTTATTAATTTATAAAAGTATATATATAGATTACAATCTATAATTTAAAATCAGATATAATTACATATATATATTAACAAAAATTAAAAATTATTATTTATAGTTTTCATCTGTATCATTTGATAGACCATATATAACCCTATCAGTTGCAAGAAGATATTCCTTTTCCCCATTATTCAATACATTTGGATCATGATATCCCAATGGCCCTCTATCACAATCTGCACATATAAGAAACTTTATATTTCCTTCTATATCATTTGAAAAACCAAGATTTTCAAAAATAAAAGGCGAAGATACAGTCCAAAATGTAGACATTGCATTCGATGGTAATTTGCAAGAATTATCAAGTATCTATATTAATATTTAATCCTCTGAAATTTAAATAATATATCCATACTCGATTTCTTCTATACACCAATACCCCCATCCCTTTTAATAAAATAACAGATTTGCACTTAGGATATGGACAATATAAAATATCCGAATTCCTTATTCTTTCGGTAATCTCTTTATTATCAGACATAACTATCTATCCTATAAAACCCATTTTTTTAAAAAACCATATATCGTTACAAGTCACTAAATTTCCGTACTTTAATATTTATCATTATATAATATTTGACATTTTTAAGAGCAACTTATCTAGAAAATTTCTTGAAAAAACCTTTATAACTTTATTTACTATAAAGAAAATTTCAAAAAATGTACTTTATTAATATATTGCTGAACATACTATAATTTTAACTAGAAAAATTAATCCAAAATTTTATATATGCATCATATTTCCATTTTAATAAATACAATAATTCTTTCTGCACTGATGTAAGCGTATATTACAAATTTTCTTTTATAATACTTATAAACCTACATTTATTCAAAGCCACTATTTATCCTTACAATTATATAATAGAAAGCAAAAATTCATTATTATAACAAGTACACATTAGAACACAAACAATACCTTAACAATAACTATCTAATTAATTTTAATCTTAAACAAAAATCGATTTCTAGAATAAACTAAATAAAAAGTTCAATTTTTAAACATACAACAAATATTACTCATTTTACTAAATCTATCTTAAAAATTAAAATAATAAAAAATCTTTTAATTCATCAATTTCAAACATATTTTTAAAGCAAACACAATGAATTCATATTAACCTAGATTTTTTTATATCATATTTTTAAAAAAATAAACTATCGTTATGAACAAAACTTTACACTTAGTATATTCTTTCTATATTACAAAATCCTTTATTTTTTCACTCATTTATCTTAAACTTTTCAAAATCTAAAAAATTATATTCAATTAATCATATTTAAAAACAAGTTCTAGCTAAAAATAGAAGCCAAGCTTTAAAAATAATCCAATTTCTCATGTGATGCCAAGTAAAAATAATTCGGCATTGACTCTTTTATCATCAAAATACTCCTAATCTATTCCTAAGTTAATTTAAAATATACCCTAAACACATTTTTATCAAAACATTACCTCCGAATTTTTAAATAACCCTAAAAAACAGATAAATGAAGTTATTACTCAAAACATTCATATATATATTGCGAAGCCTTAAACACATCTACATAATTTTCACTTATTATAACTATCCAAAATTTTGATTAAATACATAAAAACAAAAAAAATAGATATTCTTTACAAATATTTAGTAAAGATTATGTAATTTCACCATTCGACAATTATCTACAGAACTCTTCAAAAATCATCTTTTTAAAAACAAATAAAATAATCTTAAAACAAAAAGCAATTTTTTTATTTCTTCATTATAAAACTAAATATTCAATAAACAATACATATTTTTTTAAATTCCTATCAATGTAAATCATGTCAATCTCGCCTTTTTCGGCAAATCAAAGAATTAGTTTATACATACCATTGCTCTTTACATTCCTAGTGTAAACCCTAACCCTATTTAGAATTTCCAATATCGTAAAAACAAATCGGGTAATGACTACATTCCAATGCTTTTAAGAGCCGTAACGAGTCTAACCTTTTTTTCTTTTCAACCCTCATTTACTTTTTCTTTAGAGATATCCTTTTTACAAAAGCTATTGCATTTGAGCAGAATTCAAACTCAACAAAAGACGCGGCATTCTTTATAGAATATATAAAACTTACAGGATATACGCAAATTTAGTTACAAAGAAATCATTTAGAGAGAATTTTTAAACATCAATCTTTTGAAAAATACTAAATACAATTTTCTTTAAAAAATATTGATTCATTTCTTTAAATATCTCTATGGAACAAAAACTTTGCACCTAACAATTAATTACTCTACCTTTTTTGCAAACTCTGGATTTTTTTTTGGATTTTCTATAAAACCAATTATTTGATTTCCCTTTAAATTTCATTATATAAACATTTTTCAAGACATTAATTAATTTTGGATAAATTTTAACTATGACTACACATTTATCTTATATGACATCAATTTCTACACCTGAGTCTCAGTATACTATTGCATCTCCAGCTCCTCTATATTCAGTTTCACCATCCAAAATCTTTAGGCAAGACATTCCTCGATCACCATGTAAATCAAATATTTCTTTTAAATCTACATCATCTCTTCTTCCTCCACCTATGAAAAGTATCACGAATCAACATTATAAGGCACCGTCTAAAACATCCATAAAAACATCTCTTGCTTCACAATATCCACCTCTACCAACATTTTCTAAAGACAATTTTGGGATACATTCACCGACATCTTTATTGGATGATAAAGAAAATATAGCTCCAAATAGCTTTTCAATACCAAATGCAAAGCTTTCCAAAGGTTCTTCACGCCAGGATTCACATGAATCTTCAAAAAATATATCTATACCATTAGAGAATCTTGTGATTCCTGAACCACATGAAATGCCTCTAATTGAGGATGATGGTCAGAAGCCTCCTTACAGCTATGCAACACTTATAGGAATGGCTATTTTGCGTGCACCTCAACGTAAATTAACACTATCAGCTATTTATCATTGGATCTCTCATACTTTTGAATATTATTGCAATAATGATTCTGGTTGGCAGAATAGTATTCGACACAATCTCAGTCTTAATAAAGCCTTTGTTAAGCAGGAACGGCCTAAGGATGAGCCCGGGAAAGGTAATTATTGGACTATTGAGCCAGGATATGAATTTCAGTTTATGAAAGGACGTACTCGCAAAAATACATCGATATCTAAACGACCTACTTTAATACCTTCTATAACAATACCCCAGATTGAAAAAAAACGATCTCTTATAGAAAATATTATTGAATCAGATCGCGAAACTCAATCTTGTATAAAACGCTCCAAAATAGAAAATCATATGAATAACACACTTCCGTCTTCGTCATATCAACGTTGTGACACTACTCCTTCATCAGTACATGAGGAGACAGATATGCATCCTAATAAAAATGAATACTTTAATAAGTAGAATACTTTCTCTATTAAATATTTTTCTGCTGATAATAATATTAGCTTTTCTCAATGTCAAACAGCTCTTTCTAAACAAATACCTTTACAAAATCATCTTGAAAGCCATTCTACTACAACAATGCTAGATTTTATCTCACCACCTGTATCCCCTCGTCATGAATCCATATTCAATCCTGCACCTTATTCTCCACTAACACCTGTTCTTACCGCACAAACTACTTCAGTATTACCTAATTCTAGTCCTACAACATGTTTGCGTAAGCATAGAGATCATATCATTAAATTATTAGGGACATCAGAAGATAATCAAGCTTTTACTGAGGAAGATCTTTGGGAGAATGGAAGTACCAATAATTCTCCAAATCCTCATATACCCATTTTTGAAGATGATGATATTGTATCTAAAGCATGTTTTGGCAGTCCTGATAAGCGTGAAGCTAAACGTCGAGAAATCAGAAGAAGTTTGATTTCCGGATTACATAGTAAAGAGCTTTATGCTATGGAGGGCGTTTCTGAAATAATTGATATTTTTGGAATTGATATAGTTAGCATTGTTCGTCGAGAAATTGAACGCATTAAACAGAATGAGAATTCTACATCTGGAAATACAGCTCTTGAAGAATGCCTTGCATAGGATTTTTGTGACTTACTATATTTAATAATCGTATTTTTTTGGTGTTATAAACATTTTATTTTGTTAGAGTTATGATTTAGGAATTTCATAGAAATATTTATACAATACGGAATTATAGGCTTTTATTGGTTAATAGATTTTTTTGGGCAGGTCAAGATATTAAAATAATTTGTATATATTTTTTTTTAAAATGCAGCATATTGCTGCATCAGCTTGGATATATATTTTAGTCATGATTTTTAATTAAATTTTTATCATATTATCTAATGTTTGTATAATCATAAATTCTTGATATATTGCGTGTCAGATCATTAAAAATAATTATATTGAAGAACAATAAATTAATATCACATATTATCAACATAAAAAGGATCATTCTCATGCCTACTTAAAAATAAAAACAATCAGTGTTTTTTTAAAAAATAAATTATAAATCAGTCACAACTTGCACATCCTCGACACCCTAAAATCAATCAACTTATTTTTAATAATCCAATTATTTACCACAATGAACACATTCCACAATGGTAGCTTTAGGCAAATGTATTTTTGGAACCCTACATATACATGTACTATTAAAATTCATTTCTTTAGTTTGAATACATCGTAAACAACAAAGTTTCTCATATCCATTCTTTTAATAATATAAATATTCAAAATTTAAATTAACAAAAAAACCCCACCTTTTTCCATTTAGCTATTAAATTTCCGTCAGCATAACCTTGTTTTAATAACCATTCATATAATTCTTTTGATATTGCTTCACGTTTATAGTATAAATCATAAATATATCTTGATCTTTGATGATGAATTTGAAAAATAGGAGCTAAAGCACCTTGCCGACTTTTATTTTCATGAGGTTCATTTTCAACTAAATTCATTAAATTTAAAGACAAAAATACATTTGAACTACTGTCTTTCATTTTTTGTGCAAAATCATGTAGTGTAGGTTCAATATCATCAAATCCCTCAAATAAATCTAAATCAAATATAAAGTATAGTATTGCTAAATATTACCTCAGGAGGCGGTTTTGCTCTTAATGTTCTTATTCGAGGCATGATAAGTATTTAAATAAAAAATAAATACAAATTCTTAGTTTCGAAATATTAAAAAAAAATTATAAAAAACTATTTACATTTTTGCTCTAAAAAAAACTAAACCAAAACGCAAACTCCCAACTAATAATTACTATATTATAATAATAGAGATTTAAAAATTTAAATAATAAAACATTATAAACATTTAATTATTTAATTAAAACATATACATATATTATTTAATAAAAAATGGTATTTTTCAATAATTGAACTATTAATTTTATAATAATTATTATATAACACCAAACTGTACACTAATTTCATTTATACTATCTTCACTTATAGCTTCAAAATCCCTTTTCTCTTTTATAATTTTAATAATATTTTTTATAATTATCAATTCGTTTGTATCGAAAACTAAAGATTTCTTATAAAGCAGAGAAATAGAGCCTAAAGCCTAATAATATTTAAAAAAAAAAATCAAAAATTAAAAATAACCTCTTCAAGTGCATTATTTTGTATTTCTTTCCTTTGTATGATTTCAACCAAAATCTTTTGTAACTGATTAAGCTTAATATGCTCTATTACTAAATCAACACCTGTATCTTGCAATAATAATGTCCATATGAAAAATAGAATTTTCCTTTGTAATATTGTATCTTAAAAAAATTAACAAAACAAAAAAAGAAAATAACTTACAATTATTATCATTAAGATATTTTACTAAAATAGACCAGCCATCAAATTTACAAAACTCTTCTAGAGCAAACAAATTATTCCGAACTTCACTTGCTATTGCATAAAACGACTTCAAACGAACATGTGGATCATCATCTGAATTAAATAAAACCAAAACTTTTTCTAAACCTCTATTATTCAAAAACTAACACAGTTAAACATTAAAAAAAATCAACATAAATACTAACATGCTGTTGACTATCAAAATTATTTTGAACAGCAGTACCGCATACTGATGCTGCATGCATTCTAATAATAGACTCTGAAGAAGAAAGTTGTTGAATTAACGGTTCCCACATATTCATATTTGCAAGATCTATCAAAATAAATCCAAAATAATCGAGATAAAATATAATACTTTTCGCATTATAAATGTTTTCTACTAGCTATTATATCATCTATAGCATATTTATATATTAATAGAACACGTTACCATTTCGAAATTTTCAAACGCAATTTTCCTATTTTCAAGAGATTGATTAGGATTAGAGATAATACTCATTGCCTCTTTCATTAAAACAGCATCATCTTTTCCAAGAATATGGTCTATTAATTCTGGATCCTTTTTATTATTAGTCATAATAAATTAAAAGAAATACATACCAAATTCGAACGAAAAGTATTAAGATCAGATTCAGATCTTTCCGTATGAAAACTTGTAGTAAAATCTAAGAGCTTTTCCAAGCTAGACATATTAAGAATTTAGATAAATTTAATAAAAAATAATATTAAAATAATTATTATACTATTCGAAACGTAAATTTAATAAAAAACTTATTTTATATAAATGCTTTTTTAAAAATAAGAAATTAAAAAACTAACAATATTTAAATAAAATTCACATTAATCAAAAAAATTGTGCAAAATATATACCTATTTTAAAATATCTTAAAATTTTTTTGAAATTTTTTTTAAATAATTTACAAAGCATTAAAACAAATATTTTAAAAAACATAATTTCATTTAACTAATATTTAATACACACAAATAGTTTTTGTAATTCAAAATTAAACTATTTTTTGACGTTCTAATTAGTAATAAATTTTGAAAAGATATCCATATTAATTTCATAATTATTGCTTTTTTACGTATATAAAACTCCAATATCAAAAAAACAAAATTTTATAATATAAAACTTTACAATTTCCACTAATTTATATTAAAAAAATAGAAAATTATAAAAGCTATTTACCTAAATAAAACAGCTAATAAAACATTATAAATAAATATTAATATATGTTACAGAACATCACATAATATAATAAAATGTAGAAATATACAACAATTTTTCATTTTATTTATAGAATATATACAAAACAAACGAGTTAACACAATAATATAATTAACACTACATGCTATACAAGAATCTTAATAAAACTATTAGTAAAGTCCTCATCAACACCAAATAAAAATATGTACCTACTTAGCCATTTTAAAAATAAAAATATAACCAAGAATTAGATAAAATAAAGAAAAAAAGTGCATAATTAGTACGTTTAATATAATTATCTTTCAACTCAATATATTAATCTCACTATTTATTCTGCTCTTGAAATTACATTAACCAAAATAATTTTTCATAATGTTAATTTTATAATCAACATTATCATCTAACTTTTATATGAATCCATGCTCATTTTTCTAATTAATAATATTTTTAACATTATCATCTATAATATATCCAATAACAAATTCTTCTTTGTCACCTATAACAATACCTGTTCGTTCTAGATTATCTATATTTTGTGGCTTCTCCAACCAACGTAGCCATCTCACATTAAAATCATATTTTGGTATCGAAAATGCTCTAGGTTCATCCCATTGATAATTCCATAAATAAACACAATTACTAATTTTTGATTCACCAGAACAAACAAGACTCAATAGAAACGGATTAAAAGGGCACCATTTAACAACTTTTATAGGATTACAATAAATCAAAATAGCAATGGGTGTAAGATCAGATAAAGACCATATCCATAATATTGTAGGCATATTGTCATTTCGAGTTGCAACTAAAGTACCATCCCTATTAAATGACAATATCCCAACACCAAGAAATGATGAGGGATCTTCCATATTTGGTCGTACAAAAGGAAGAGAAACAGGTTGAGGCACAATCTCATCTAAAAATTAATCAAAAACATGTTTAGTATCAAGTATAAAATACATACACTTTGGAATTAACATAGATGACATAATTTCCCTCCACACAGTAACGCCATCAAATTTTATAGTAGCTGCATGCGTTATCTCAATAACAGAATTAGATGTAAAACTGTCAAGAAATCGTACTTTTCCATCGAACGAACCAACAGCAATAAATTTCCCTGTAGGTGGATTCCATTGAACAGTCTTTATACCAAGACCAATATCATATGCAGAATACTGTTGTAAAAGATAGCCATTAGGTGTATATAAAAGTATTTTATATTCCATAGGCGATTCCCAAACAGCCAGCCATTTTCCATCTTGGGACCAACTACAACCTTGAGCATCCATAGTAGGTAAACACCACTTTTTGAAAAGCCTCCACGGATTAAAACTGTAATCAAAAATACTAATAAAATCATGGGATGCAGGCCGAGTAATAAGAACAAAATGGGTTGATGTAGGACGATAATCATATCCTAAACAAACATAAGTAAATCCTAAGCCTTCAAAATCTAATATAAAGACACCTTTACTAAAAAATTTAGGATAATGTATAGTAGATCCACTATCTTTTGAAAGCGACCATACAGTAAGCTTCAACATAAAATCCGTCCATACCAATATTTCTGATCCATTTTGACTCCACTGGATATTTTTGATACCATAACCATCAGAAATATTAAGTTCCCATTTCTCATCTTCCATAATCCATGCCTTCGCATTTTTATCATCAGCGACAAGAATCTTGTCACTTCCTTCAATATAACACCATTTCAAGAATAAAATTCTTTGACAAAACTCAGGATCAAGATTTATAACACGTTTAATAGAAAGAGATGTAGTAGAACGTATAATCAATCGCGAAGGATAAACAAGAGAAGCTAAATAAGATCCTGATAAAGAAGGAACAACACCTACTTTTCCATTTAAAACAAAAAATGAAGTGAAATCCATTTCTAATAATAACACAAAAAAATAAAACTTTTAATTCTAAAACATCATTATCCAAATTAAAAAGTCACACCTAAATAATAAATATATTGTATTTTGTTTTTTTTCTACACGTGTTCTATATAAATATCTTCACAAAATATTAATATATTCCTTATCTAAAAGAAACTTATGTCTAGTAAAATATAATAATTGATCTAAATTTTAATCCACTAATGCAGAATTTTTGATTAAAATTTAATTTACTTTTCGAAATCTAAAATCCTAAAAATTACTTTTTAATTAAAATTATATACCTTAAATAGTTTTTAAACTAAACAAACATTAACAATAACAAATGAAAACAAGAATTATAACATTATATTTAAACCATTTTAACTTTAAAGAAAATATAGATAAATAAATAAACATTTTATTTTAACAATATAAAAAATAATAAAAATCGACACGGACAAAACCTTTTAATTCAACATGACAGAAAATTATAAAAAACTGTTTACTTTTCCATTATATTATTTATTAAACGAAATTTCAAAAAAATATTAAATTACAATTAAAATTCGAAACAAAACAATTTGAAGAACCTTAATTTATAATATTTATCTGTATGTTTTATCTAAATACTTAATATATGATATATAAAATATTCAAATAAGCTTACAATCTTTTAAAATTATGAAAATATTTTCTAAAAAATACTAAAAAACATTATTCCATATATCATTATTTTCTAATATAGAGGATATTAAGAATCAACATTTAAATATCCTTAATATAAAATTAAAAATACAATAAATGGATATATATAATTTTAAAACAATATTAATCGTTAAAAAGCGCAAATTTATTATTTTTATTAAAACAATAAATAAATTATAAATTATAATGAAAAAAACTAAAACATTTTTTAATAATCCAAAAAATCCATATTTTTTAAAATAATATTTCACGAATTTTATTGAAGACAAACTAAAACAATTTAACTATAAAAAGTTATACTATTTGATATTAACAAGAAGAATTTTTAAACGTATTAATAAAAATCTTATGGCTATATAGAACATTCTTTATTCAAATTTTTTGGAACCATTTTTAATACTATATCCTGAAATGCCTCAAAAGTACAGAAACTTTCATTACCATTTAAATGATTACCCTTTTTTTTGCACTCTGGAATAACTAATGGTGTATCATTATAGCGCAAACGTATATACCATTCATCTTTTTGAAAAAATGACCGAAAATATGATGTTGAAGGTTTTCTAAACAATTCGAATGCAATATGTGATGCATACGAAGGCCATCTTAATCAAAATATTACTATAAAATATAATTTTAATATTATTAATAACCTACGGTCAAAGCATTCCAACGACTGTAAAATCGAACCTAATGTAGTATCATGTGCTCCATATAAAGAAATTTTCCTCCTTTCATTATTCATATGTTTTTTACTCTCTACAAAAATATCTTTCAATTCGCCTAAAAATGGTCCAATTCCAAGCTTTCTAACCTCAAGATTATCTAAAAATATATCAACATTTAACAATTTATTATAAAGACAAAATACCACGATAACCATCAAACCACTCACTAATAGATGCTAATTCAAGATCTTTTCTTAATTCCTCATCGTATAATTCATCAGGAATTTTAATTCCATTTCCTATAGCAGTACATATTAAATCAAACAATTCAAATACTTGAACACGGCCTTTTATTGAAATTTTATCAGGGATATACTTCAATACTTTTTTAGAAGTTCTAGAAGCTAATATTGGATCCCAAGTTTTAGAAGCTAAACTTCTAAATTCTTCAAGCAACATACGTAATCGCCTTTTTCTATTAATAGTATCATTAAAAAACACAAAAACTCACTTGCATTGATCATCATTAGGAAAAATGTTTTCATCATGAAGCTCCCTTAAACCAAATTCGGCCTCAAAGGATGATTCTCTAAATTTAGAGGGATATAGCCCGGAAAACACATGCTGAGCAGATTCCAAAGCTCGTGGTATATCTGAGGTTCGTATATAAATTTGAGATGATTTAGAAATAACTCTTGGGAGAAAAGACAATTGATCAACATATAATTTCCGCAACCTTTTCCCTAGATTTAAAGTAGATTCTCGACCAATATCTGTTAATTCACCCTCCATACTAGAAAAATTAACCATATAAATATAAATATAAATACATATATACCAAACACTATCATCTTCAAGCCTTCTAAATTTCGAATCTTCATTCATTACCTCAAGTTTCCTCTTATAATTTAAATAATCCCAATTTTGATGATCATCAGAAGTTCCAGAACTCATTTTAATAGCAGAACGAAAAAAATTCGCAGAATTACATAGATTCCAATTGCTTGGAATTCCAGGAAATTTAAGCTTTGAAAAAATTGGTGTTCTTTCACCTAGTTCTATCAACAATATAATTCTAAGAAAAAAATACCTTAAACCATGACGAAATATTACTTGAACATAATGCAATGAAAGCTCAGAAGGATATAATTTAGAAATATCAGAAGCATCATATCCTTTTTGAATAGGCAAAGTTGTCATTACTTAAATTTTCAATTTTTGTTAAAAAAGTACCAAAATTAAACCCGAAAAGTTAATTAAAAGTCAAAAACACTATTTACACATGAAAAAAAAAAGAAAAATACCCATCAATTGACGTAAAATAATAAAAACCTATAATTACCTATACTAAAAAAAATAATTCTAATATTTTTTAATTATTAATTTTAAATAACATCTAAAAATTCTTTTAAAGATTAAAAACAAATATGTTAATATTAAAAAACAAGAGTATATATTTTTTAAAGTTTTCGCTTTTTTTTTAAATAGCTATAAGTCAATTCCAGAGAAAATAAATAAAAATTTAATATTAAAAATTCAAATTTAATCTATAATTATAAACTTGGAAATCAAAAAATCGAAATTAAAAATTCAAAATAACGTTAAATAAAAAATATATATTTTATTCAAATACATATTATACTAAATATTTTATTATTTTTGTACTAAAAAAATATCAAAATGCTAATATAAATTATAAATTATGATACTATACAAAAAATTTTGTTTAATAACAAATTATTTATTTAGCTATTAATGAATAATGCTATCTAAACTTAAAATTTATATTAGAATCAAATTTACTAAACTTAACATAGAATAGCCAATAAATCCCATATAAAACAAACGTTTTTTTTATTAATAAAATAATATTATAAAATAAAGTTAGTCATTAATGTTTAATCAAAATTGTAATTTTAAAAAATAAGAAAAAAATCGAAATATTAAAATTAAAAAAATTGAAATATTATTTGTAAAGATTAAATAACAAATGCTATATCAATAAATACAATATTTTAAAAACCCATTCAAAAATATATTATAAATAATCATTTAAACAAATCATTTTTTCATGCTTTCCTTAATGTTTTTAATCATTCTTTCCTCAGCTACTTGAAGAAACAATTGTTTATCCATATAACCGTCTTTAGATGCATTTTTTAATTCCTCAGATATTCCTTCTTTGTCTACAAATTTTGCCCAGTCAAGTCTAGACTTTTCTAATGTGTTCAATTTCACTGGCTTATTATTTGAAATTTCTAAAGAAGACAATCGTTTCGTTGGCTTCCTTAAAGGAAATTGAGTTATCTTGGAATCATTTAGACTAGAAAAATGCACTTTAGCTTCTAAAGAATCCTTCGGAACAAACTTCTCTTCTCTAATATAATATTAAAAATCATTCCTATAATAAAACAAAAAGCATACGTTTCAACCTTTCCAGCAAATTCGTATATTCTAGATATTTTTACTTTCTCTTCAGAAGAATTATAGGGCCTATAATCAGCCTCATTTGAAGGTTTCTTGTCATTCATACTATTCCATATAACATTTACGTCAATTTGAGAAGACTTAGGTGTAGATATAAAAACTTTTTCATTTCTAAAATAAAGATTAAATAAAAATAAAAAAAAATATAATAATGAACTTACCGATTTCTTTGACTTCTAGTTTTAACACCGTTATAGTTTTTACAAGAAAAATCATCATTATTTCCTTTTTTTCTCTTTAAAGAATCAATAACTTTTTTATCACCTGAATCATAACAGGAATCGGATTCAGAGTTACTTGACTTTGAATCATATTCACTATCACCTTCTTCTAAAATAAAATCATCATCAGTAAATTCATCATCATTATCGGAATTTTTATTTGATTCTTCAATAGATGCATGCGACATTTTATCAAAATCAACTTTCGTTTTAAATATATATATATACAATATCGCAAACATTAAATTATTTCAAAAATATCTAACCAATATATTATTCTATGAAAAAAACATACGATCTTGGTTTAAAACTATCATTTAATAATACATACAATTATTTCATAATTTAAAAATTTTTTAGAATTTTCAAAAACTATTTTAATATTAAATAAAAATATATTATACTTAATCATTCATTAGAAATACACAGGAAAATCCTAACTATAATGTAAAATCCGAAAAATGAATTAATTTAAAAAGAATTGTACCATATATCATTATATTAAAACTATAATACAAAAGTGTAAATATCGTTAATTTCGTTTAAAAAGATATAATATCCATAGATCAATTATTATAGCATCTAATAGCCATAAAAACATTTTAGTAAAAAATTAATAAGAATTCTTAAAAAATTTTATGAGTATGTAAATCTAAAATCAAAACATACAGTTTTAAGAATCCAATAACACTAAAAATACAAATTAAATTTATCAAGAAACTTAAAAAAAGAAAACTATAAACAATGATTTATTTAAAATCAAAAACATTTAGAATTTATAAATACTAATTATTATTTTAATTAAATAAAATTCATAAAATATAAAACATTACATTATGAAATAAGACTAATAACAAATCAGTTATAAATCGATAGTAATATAATAAAAACATTATTAATATTTATACTAACATTAATAATCATATTTTATTAATTCTTTAAACGTAAATTCTTATAACTATATTTTCATATATTATCATGTCTACTTTTTTGTATTACGGATATGTTTGAATAACTTTCAAAAATATCTAATTTTAAATAATTTAATAAAATTTACTGATAATAAATAGATAAAAATATATGAACAGATTAGATTTAAATAATATTTCTTAAAATATAAGCAAAATTATAAAAACAAAAAACAATAAAAATTTAACTATTTCAAAAATCGGTTTTATTTTAAAATTATCTTTATAAATACCTATATAACAAATAATAAAAATTATCTAATAAATTTACAATAACAAAATCAAATAATAAATATATTAATAAAAATATTCCTATGTTTCCAAATTATAATATACAAGCTTAATTAAAATCTGGAAGAAATAAATCACATACTTCATAAATGTATACATAATATTATTTAATATCAAAATAAACAGAAAATCTATCTGATATATATACAGGAAGGTTATCTTTATAATACTAATAATCTAAAGACAATCCTAATGACATCTAATATAATGAAATAAACTAATCATCTTCTATACAAAAATTTCTTAAAAGCAAGCTACAAGGACTAGAAAAATAATTATTTATCAATATCTTAACTGTTTCAGCACAAGGACACATTTACCACATTTTATAACTTCGTTAATTTCTTAATTCTCTCTCTAAAAATGCATATTACACAATATTTATTCTTTTAAAAAATAATCTTTACGATATTATTCATACAACATATGTATTTTTAAGATTCAAAGATACCATTCATTAAAATACTCATTTATGGAACGATTCAATATAAACAATCGTTCATTTTGTGTTATCATCCAAAACATTCAATATTTCATTAGTAAAATGCAATGAATCAACTAATTTGATTTAATCTTCCTATTCCAAAAAGAAATCTTTAGAATTTTCTTAAAACTTAAAACAAACTTTGAATTTCAATATAACTTGATTAAATTTTTAATATAAAATTACCATTAAATTTCTATTAATTTCTATGCATAGTATATATATTCATTTAATAAAAAAACAAAAATAACATAAGTAAAAAATTAAAAAATATTAAGCAATATCAACAAGGTAGATATATATTTTTTTTTAAAATTGCAATAACTTTATAATAACATATATATTTAACATGTATTAATAAATCAAAAAAAAAACGATGACATTGCTACTAAATACTAAATATTTTATTGTTTTATCGGCCACGTCTGTTTCATTTAATTCTAAAATAAACTGGATTTAGTTAATATATCACTATCTATAGTATAACTCATAGATAAATATCAAAAATATTTTTTATAGACATAAATTATTCAAACTAGATACATATATATATTTCATTTAATATTATTTATTTATTTTTTTTTATAAAACATTTTTTATCATATCTCAAAATTTCAACATATATATATTTTTAAGACCTAAGATCATAAAATACTTTCAAATAATCCATGCCTGAAAATCTTAATATAGAAATACAAGAAAAACGGAAAAGAAAAAGAAATCATTTGTCATCTATTCAAGCACGAGAGTTAGAAAAATTAATGCGTAGGCCAGATCGAGAAATTGACTTGTCGGCACCACTTAAACCACCACTTCCACCACCTCCAGATATTGTAAATAATGTTCAAGGTTAATATCTAACTTTTTAAAGACATTCTATAATTAATAAATTCAGGATCAAGTGCAGGCGCTAGTTCGGGCGAATTTCATATTTATAAAGTATCTAGACGAAGAGAATATGAACGAATGAAAATATTGGAAGAAGAAACAAGGCATGAAATAAATGAACGTGAATTCAATATGGCAAGAGAGGCCATAATAAAAAAAGATCAAGAAAAAACAGCTAAAAACAGGGCACGACGACAAAAACGTAAACAAAATAGAGCAAACAAAACAAAAAATATAGCCGAAAATGCAACATTAAATAATGATAAAAACTAAATATAGAAAATAAATACAAACATAAAAATATCTATATATATTGTACCATTTTTAACAATATAAATACCTTTTTTTTCTTTTTTAAAATAACTGAATTCATGAACAATATTTTAAAAATAAAATCAAAAATATTAAATAATTCATTATTAATATATTAAACATATATATAATTCTTTTTATCAAAACTTTTTTCATTACTTGAGTCAATAGTATATCAGTATATAAAATACTAGCCTTTATTTAATAAAAAAGATTTACCAATATGACAAAAAAACAGGAAAAACGAATATATACAAACTATATATGCAAGAGAAAAACTTTTTAAAAAATTCATTTCAATTTATTAATCTATAATTTTTCTATAATTTCACTCTTAAAAATAAGTATATATTCTTTAAAATTAATAAAAAAAATTACAAAATATTTTAAAATATTTAAATAATAATAATAATAAAAAAATTCATATATTTTTCTTTAATTTAAATTATAATAATTATAGCCATTTTCAAAGCTAAACCAATATCGAAAAAAAAATCTAAAGAAAAATAAGAAAATAGTATTTCTATAAGCTATGACATCAGATAAAAACTTAAAACTCGATTGTAAGTTTTTATTTTTGTTTTTTATTTAATATAAAACGTAATTATGACTAATAATATAGTGGATAAGGAATCATCTGATACATGTTTCTTATCTAAAAAAAATACTTCTAACACATATGATCCGCAATCTTTATCAAAATACTATCTATTCTGTAAGCATCTAATATCATTTTCTATAAATGCGAAATATTTATCATTTTAGTTTCTGATCTTTTTACATGGAAATACCCACGTACTTCTGGATCTGTTCTAGGTGGAGTAACACTATTATTACTACTTTCAAATACAGTCGATATTCCTCGCTTAATTCTCCGTACAGCCTGGATTGTTTTTGCAAGTTCAACAGTTATTGAGATTACAGGTCGTTCTCTTTTTAAGCAGCATAGCGGATTTATTAGGTTTTTTACATTTATTTAAAAAATATGAGAAATACTTATTTTTTTTTGTAGCCAATTTGCACCAACCTCTTTTTATTCAATTTCACGAAAATCACTTAACAACTTCATTGACAAGACATGTGATATAATTAATTTTGCACTATACGGAATCCAAGAGCTTTTATTTGCCAGAAAAATTAAGCACACTGCTATTGTATTTCCCTTTTTCTTTTCTTCTATATTTGACTTTTAGGCATTTATTGTTTCTTGGATATCATTTGTTCTTGTGCAATTTTTATCTTTTATTCATACGCTTCTTTTAGGTTCTATTTTCACAATTTTTCTGAATATAAACCAATTTTTTTAGGTGTATTACTTGCATTTACAGTTCCATTATTTTATATTAAATATCAAAAAACCATTGATAAATATTTCAAATCTATTTTCATAATTTCTAGAAAATATTCATGTGCTTTAAAGAAACATGCTGGTAAATACACAGAAAAAATGGCAAAGAAATTATCTTCCGATTTTATAAAATTGAGCACAAAAATAAATAATGATATGAATAAATTCAAAAATGGATTTATGAAAAATAAAATATTGTTAAATCTTAAAGTTAAAAAAGTAAAATCAACTGTGTTGCCTAAAACACCTGTTTCTGATATTTCTACTACACAAGAAATATTAACTGAAGGAATTGAAAAGCATGATACTAATGTTCCTATTACAACATAATTGAATTTTATAGGAATTTCTAAAGAATTGTAAATGCAACACTAAAATCTGAATACTATATATTATATTCAGATATTTTATCTTCAATTTAACTATTTATGTATGCTAAATATTTTCAAAAATTGCTAAATATATTTTCGCTATAAACTAACACATGTTTTTTAAAACTAATTTTTTTACTAGTTCCTATTACTAAAGAATTATAAATATCAAATATACCATATAAAAGGCTAATGTTTATAATATATTTTATAATTATATATACAAAAATGATATCAAAACAATATAAATAGATTAATTATAATTCCTGAATGCTCAAAATAGCTTGTTTTGCTCTTTCCCCTTCTTTTTTTAGAATAGAAATCATTCTTTGGCATTCTATTTCTAACTTTTCAACTTGTTTTTGAATTATAGATTTCATCCACTCCTCTATTGTCATATCTAACTCTGCAACAGTAAGTTCATGAGAATTAGCTAAAATATCACTTGAAGAGTTAAAAACAAGAGCTTCAACATCTATTGGAATCCAATTGCATGTTTTTTTATCAGTATTATTATTAAATATCTCTGATATAGAAATATCTTTAGCCTTTTTTGTTTCACTTTCAAGAATATCAAAATCAAATATTCTTTTAGATTTTTGTTGTAATGAATCATCAAAACTGTCCTTCACAACAAAATTATTAAATATTTCATTTCGGTTAAAAGAATCTCCATTTTCTTCATAATTGTTTCCTTTATTTACAGACTGTAAAGGAATAACTTCAGATAATTTTGAAGTTAATTTAGAAGCATTTTTCAATTCTTTAAAATTAACAATCTCATTTGTTTTCCGATTTAGTCTAGTTTTTTTTTTAATATCAGAATCTTTTGTAGATATTATTTGATCTTCTAGTTCATCTGTTTGTGTATTGACTCTAGATAATTTTCTAGGACGTAAAAAGCTTTTTTTAATTTTCTGATTTTCTGATTCTGATACCAGTTTTTCCTCATTATCATAACTTAATTTCATACCTCTTAAAGACATTTTTTCCCCTGATTTAGCGCTTTTTACAAAACTAGTTTTTCTATGAAACTTATTTGAGGTCGTTTTAGCAAGAATACACCCATTTTGTGATCCTTCGGAATCATAACTTTCAAAGATATCATTTTTAACACCTAATCTAGTTAAACGTTTATTCGATCTCATAGAAAGATCATTTTGTTTATTATTTTCTATAATACTTGCATTTTTTTGGATTTTAGTAGCATTAGTATTAATATTCGTATTATATTTATGTTTATTATCAAATGACAATTTATTTAAATCATTCTCTTTCTTAATTTGTTGAGACTGTCTTGTATTTTTTAGTTTGGAAGTTTTTATAATTTCCTTCCCAGCAAACGGAAATTCAGAATTACCAAAAGGACTATTCGTATGTGAAAAGCTCGAACATGTCTCTTTATAAGAACAAAAATTATCAATATTATTAGAGTTATTTTCATCATTTTTTTCTTCAATTAAATTTGATTTATCCAAAACCAACTTATCATCAATAGCTGAAAGTAAAAAAGCCTCATGAGAAGAATCATAATCATCTTTATGAGAAACCGAAAGAGGTTTTTTCAACCGTGGCTGCACATTATTATCTTTAGATTTTTTAGAAGATCTTTTAACGATGGATCGCCTTTTTGTTTTAGAAGAATTCGTCTTAGATTTTGAAATAAGAATAGAATCATCACCATCTAAGGAATCATCGTTTTGAACATCAAGATTTTGCTTCACTTTGTCAGAAGAAGCTTTAAACTCTGAAACTTTTAATCGAGTAGTTGTTGATTGATGAAAAAAAAAGCAAGAAGGAGCCCTCTTCTTATGCTCTTCCCTTAAAATATTAAAATCTCAGAAAGATATATATATATAAATACATTGGATCATCTTTTGGCTCCCAACCATCGAGACCAAGACCACAATATATACAACTTACCATATCATTAGAATCAAGTGTAGGACTATAATAAAACCCAGCATTAGACATCTAAAAAAATCAAAAAAAAATAAAATTGACTTTCTACAATATTAACCTTTTTAACTTTTGAAAACCATCCCCTCTTTTGTTCATGAGGCCACCAATGACCAAAAGTAGCTTCTCGAGCATCTTGCAACTCCTTTTCAGAAAAAAAATTCCTCTCTTTATCACAGAGCTTAATGTATTTAAGAATTGCCCAACCACATTGTCGAGAATGCTCAATATGTTCTTTAACAGGATTATCATTTGCATTCCAACCATCCAAAGCCTTTTTGCAAAGAAAACATACAACATTGTCATGTGATGATGATGATGGATCATAGTAAAATCCTGCTTCTGCAAGCTATAAACAATTAGTTTATTCTCCAAAACATCAAATTATTACATCTTTTGGTGTAGGACGAATATGAGGCCATTTTAACTTTTTTCTTGAAGATAACTGAAAAGATGCAAGTCTTGAAGCATATACTTCCATAAAAACTACAAATAATAAAGATTTTCAAGCACTTTTTCTATCAAATTATCTAATTTCTTATCTATGACGTTTATTTAACAATCGTTGACATGTACACAAAAAATAGACCTATTAAATAATAGATCAATAATTCATATTTTTTCCAGTATTTTAAACTATTTATAAAAAATATCTTATTATTTTATTAAAATAATCAAGATTTTGAAAGATAAACATATGAATTATTAGAAGGTTCAATAATTTATAAAATTTAAAGCATGAAAAAAATATTCTAATAAACATAATACATCAATTCATAATGAGATATAAAAATATGGTTTATAAAAAGGTACTTTTGTATTCAATATAATTAATAACTAAATATATAAAGCTATTGCATTTTTATAGAAGAGAATTTTCTCTTGAAAGATACAATAAATTATCATGGCAAATAAGAAGATTTTCAAATCACCAAAATTTATATAAAGAAACCTATACAACAGTAGAGAAAAAAGACATTATTAATGAAAAGGATTCTAAAAAAGATTTTTTTAAAACTATCGATAAAGAATTAGATCAAATATCTAAAGAGACAGAACTCTATCAATATTTTTCAAATGGAGAAAAATTCAAAGAAACACTTAAAACCGTACTATGGAAATTTAAAGCTCCTATACGTTTCTCATTTGCATATGGAAGTGGGATCTTTAAGAAGAAAAGGAATGATGTAAAAATGACGACTATAATAAAAAAAAACTAAATTATAAAATAGAAAAAACCAATGATCGATTTTATTTTTGGAGTATCTCATGCACAGCATTGGCATTCTCTAAATCTATTATATAATAGAGATCATTATTCATTTTTAAAGCATTTTGGAAGCTATTTTATAAGTTATTTGCAAGAAAATATCGGAGCAAATGTATATTATAATCCATATATTGAAATCAATGACATGGTATTTTCCTATATTAATACACAAATCTCTAATTTTCAAAGATAATAAAATATGGAGTAATCACAATTGACGATCTTTGCAAAGAGCTTACAGAATGGAATACACTATATCTTTCTGGTAGAATGCATAAACCCGTATATTTCAAAATTTTTATATCTAAAAACTTATTTTTTCTAGATAAAAATACTTAGAGATGAGCCTCGTGTCAGAATTGCGTACAACATAAACTTAATTGCTGCTTTAAGACTAGCAATGCTATTACTTCCTGAAAAATTTTCAGAATATGAACTATATTCTACAATTTCTAAATTTTCATATACAGGTAAAAAATTTTATATCATATTTTTAGAATTTTAATCAATAAAATTAGGGGACCTAAGAATGGAATTTGCAGAAAATCCGTACAAAACAGAAGCCATTGTAAATACGCAAATATGGGATTTTCATCAACTATATTTTCCTTTAATAAATAAGTTACCAAATATTCAGGTTATTTCTAAAGAACAAATTGGAACAACAAATAAAATCCTCGTTCAAGATTTTAATCCTACTTCAAGAGCAAATATGATTCAACAACTTCCTAAAAAATTCAAAGATCGTTTATATTATGCCTATAATCAAAAACCAAAATATAAAGAAATAAGTCATAAAAATAAATTACATGAAAATCATGATAATTCTTTTGAAGAAATGATAGTAAAAGACGCACATTTTCACAATGAAATAACGAAGGCGATTGAAACAACAGTACGTTGGCCTAGTATTTCACAAAGTCTTAAAGGAATATTAACTGGAGGAATAAATAAAAGTTGGAGGTATTTAACTGAAAAAATAGACAAAAACGTAAATGCTAAAATGTCATAAATACATATTCTATAAATATAAAAGCAATTTAAATAATCTCCGTATTTTTTATCTAAACATAAACTTTTAGTATCAATTAATTCTGTTTAAGTCTTTCAAATCTTGCCCAGAGTTGATCCATATTTGAAATATTATTAGACGTATCCTATAAAATTTTAATATTCTATCAAGACCAATAAATATAAGATAACCTTATTACAATTATGCAGATATATTGATGATTTTGAATGAGATTCCGAGTCATCAGAAACAGGCAAAGAATGAATTGTAGATGTAGGATTAGAATCTTGACTTTTCTTTAATTCCTCAAATCCTTCATTGCAAAAGGCAGCACTATCCAATATATTAAAAGTATTTAATTTGTCGTTTTGACCAATATTATAAAGATGCATAATTTTTTGAAGATAATTTTCAACGAGATCATTATTTAATGCATCATAACGCAATTTTTCAACAACCTTCAAACATTTATTTTAAATAAATTTAATCTAATTCAAACCTTAGGATCTACTATATTATGCTTATTTTCTATTGAATCTTGTATAAATTCTTTTCCAAAATATAATCTAAAAATTTCATTCATCTATTTTATAATTAAATAAAATAGACAAAAAAATACTTTTCTACCTTATTAAATTCTTTTATTTCACATCTGGGCATGGAATATATTAATGTAGAAACAGCCTGATGAATTTGTTCATGACAATGACTATAAAAATCAATTGTTTTCATATTAAATTAAAAAATAGACCCTCTTTTTAAAAAGCAACAACGTGAAAGTAAAACATCACAATATCTTCTTAAGTAAGTAGTGTTATAAAAATATTTCAATAAAATTACAATTCCAAAATTCCCAATAATTCTCTTTTAATATCTTCTCTATTAAAAATTAAGAAAAAAGATCAAAAAAAGTTAAATAAAAAAAAACCTAATAATATTCTCAGCTTTTATCATTGCATTTTCAATTTTATTTTTTTCTAATAGAACAACCAATTCTTTTTGTTGTTGTTTATGAACAGCTGCCATCTTTTGCTGTACCAAACGAAGTCGATTTATCTAAAAACGTCAGCATTCTAAAAAATGAAAGACAATGCCACTAATATCTTACACATAGTTTTATCTGAATCTTCAATTTATTCAGCAGAACGTCTTGAGACATTTAAAAGATTCTATCGAAGCTAGATCCAACTAATAAAAACAGACTTCTTTTAAAATCATCAATTTCATAAAAAATACATTATTCTGTATAGCCTTATAATTACATTATTAATTTCTTAAATTTATATCTAGAAGTCTAATTAAAATCATAAAATAATTATAAAAACATTAAATGATAAAATGAGGTATAAAATAAAAAATACTAAAAAATCATATGAATGTCATCACATGTATCATCACATTTATTCGACATTTCCTGTATTTTCCCCTAAAAACTAGTCTAAAAGACTCAAATCATCCAAACGCATAAAAATAGCACTTTTACTTGTTTCTTCAAGTTCACCAGCCAAAAAAACCTCATCCAAAATAGCGTAAACCTGAAATAGAAATTAGATAATAACAAAATATTATATATCCATTAAATACCTTATAAAAATTAAAAATTAAATCTAGTTCACAAACATTTCCAAAAAAACTATCAATAACTTCGACAAACAGATGAATTGCCTCAAGATAAGCCAGTTCATTATCATCTAAATCTACACATACAGAGAAAAAAAGTCCTGCATATCTTCGATAAATAATTTTATAATTATCAAACTATATTCGAGCTTTAACACAAAATATTATATAAAACAAAAATAATTCATACATCTACGAAGTTAGATTGACGTCTCTGATCTCTAAAAACAATAAGACGATGAATTTCTCCTTTAATTTTATTTTTTTCTTGATCCTAAGAAATACAAAATAAAAATTTAGAAAAAAAAAGCTATATATAAAACATACATCACATGGAACATACCACTTCGAAAGCCTTGTTTTTCCTATTGTTTTAAGTATAAATTATCTATTTAATCAATTCAAAAGAGATTTACCTTGTCGGTTTTGAACAAGAATAAACCGGAGCATAATGATGTTCAATAGAACAAGTCTTTTAATATAAAAAAATAAAGCTTTAATAAAAAACAAAGGAATTGTATAGAATATTTAATAAAAATACATATAAGATGAATTTAAACAAATTCATATTACTATTACTAGATTTCAAAAAAAATAAATTATTTTTTATTACTAACTCATAAAAGAAAACAAATAATTCATTATTCGAATATCCATTATAATAAGAGCTTAAAGAGAATTACTACTATTCGCTTATAAGATTACTAATTCTAACTATTTAACTTATATTAAGAATCGTTTAAGTGCTTTTTCAATTCTCTTTAATAAATAATATATTTGAAATATTATCAAAATTACTATAGAGTCTTATAGTATATAATTAGAAATAATTCACAAAACCTTAAAAATTCTCAACCACAATTTAAAACAACTAAATATCATATTCTAAATTATGAATAATATAACCCATCATTACCTAACACGAACTTATTTATTTAATAAAAATAATTCCCATATCAAATATTTTCTATTCCAGTTGCGTAAAATCAAAAATCATAATCTAAAAACTTGATATAATAAACTTCGTGGAATAAATCGAATATACTTTTCACTATCAAAAACATTATCAATAATGATAATACCTAAAATAAGAGAGAAAAATATCAAATTAATAGGAAAAAATATTTAACAAAAACTAACCAGCTAAAAACCGTTTCATAGATCTCGTTTAGACACCTGAAAATAATTTCTATTAATATAATTGTTTATTACATCACCCTTCAAGATTAAAAATCAAATAAAATTCAGAAATCCTTCTCAAAAAGAATAAAATAATATATTGCTGCATTTTAAATGGCGTATCCTATATAACCATTAAGCCAAATAAAAGCCTTTCAAAAAAAAAGATATAGATGTATAATCGACAAAATATGAATCAGTATAGAAAATAAAAATATATATAGATCGAAAATATAACATTTTTCAATTTATAATTCAAATTGGATCATTAATATTTATAAATATTCGATTATGAAGATAAATCATTAAACTCACTTGAAGATGATTTATCTGACGTTTCAACATCCCCTTCCAAATCAGCAATAGCCACGACACGCTCACGAGCAGAAGCAGCCACTTGACGCCTTGGACGTTGCATTATTTCATTTTTAATTACTATGTCAGCTTCCGATGAATCATTTGAATCAAAATTTTTAGTTATATTCTTTTTTGACTTTTTATGCACCTTTACAGCAGGTTTTTCTGAAAATATAGCAGATTCAGGACTTGAATCTAAGAGTGTAGGCATTTTAATTCGAGCTTTGGATTTTGTAGATGGTATAATTCTCATTTTTTTGGGACTAGAAGATACAGGCTTTATATATGAAGCAATACCCTTACTACCCGGAAGATTCAAAGTATACTTTTTTACCAAATCATCCATATAATCAGTATCACTATCATCCAATAAATTCCCTTTTAACGAAGGCACAATAACACTTGTCCGAGGCCTTTTTCCAGTAGTCTCATGTGTTTGTATATCAGCGCTATCATTTTTCATAGCAATCACAGATTCAGATACAGTAGATTTAGTGCTAAAATGTCTAGATGTTTTTGAAGGGTCAGATTCTGTTTCTTTTATATTTATTGCAGTAAATGGCAATATCGTTTGCTTGACAGAAACCGAATTTTTCTTTACAATTTTTTTATTATCAATATTAGATAAGGTATGAATATTCGCAGCTTTTTTTCCTGATGATTTTTGTACAGCCATTCCTAATTTTTGAGATCCTCTATTTTTTTTTAAATTTGTAACCTTGGAACTGAGATTTTCATCATGCGTCAGACTTTCCTTCCATTCTTCAACAAAAATATCTAAATCTTTATTCCACAAATCTTTAGCAGTTAGTTTTAAAAGAGATTCTAGTTCATTTTCTTTATCTAATTTATCTTTAAGTAATTTCTCTACTTTTTCTGCAGTTAAAGACCATAAAGGCATGCCTAATAAATAATCATAACCAGAAATATCATCATCATTTTCTATCGTATCAAGAGTAGTTTCAACAGTATTATCAACAAAATTTTGCCTGTTTTTTGGAAAAGGAGTAAAACCCTTCAACTTTAAATCCTCAAGAAGATCTTTACGCTTTTTATTTAAAAACTCTTGCTCTTTATTTATAACCATTTGAACAAATCGCAATTGATTCGACAATTTATTATATTGTTTTTCTAATTCATTCACAAGATACTCCTATTTAAAATATTAAATCAATATATTTGTTTTTTCAATGTCAATACCTTTCTCCTTTGATAAAACTGCAAACGAATAGTATAAAATTCCAAAAGAATTTCCTCTACAGAATCATATTTTTTTATACGTCCTGAAGCATCAAAAGCAACCATATTTGTCATATTTTGAATCTTTGTCAATTTAAATTTCTCTTCAAGACCCTGAGACAAAGATTCAGCCATCCCTTTCTCAGTTAACTTTATGACAAAATGAACTACAGTATCTGTATGATATTCCGAATAATCCTGAAAATATCAAAACAATCCCAATATAAATCCTTAAAAATACCTTTATAAAAGGCTGTATCTTGTCTGATCCTACAATAGACGATTCTAAAAATTCTTTCATATCCTGAGTCCAAAGCCTTATAGGAAGTTCCGTAATTTCAACCGTCGTATCATCAATTTGACGTATACAACCAGATATTTTATACTTATCACCATGCTTCTCAATAATCCCATTAAATCCACGATACCACGGGTGCATTGGCCGTAGTTCTTCTCCATTCATCATTCTACGAATATTATCAACTAAATCGATAGGATTAAAATTGGGTATATAGGAACTCCATCCTGTTCCAATTCCCTCGCTTCCATTTACAAGAATTAGCGGTATTATAGGAACATACCAAACAGGCTCTATAGATTGACCATCATCATTAAGATAATCCAATAAAGCATCATCTGATTCTATAAATATTTTTCGTGTTAATGGAGACAACTCAGTAAAAATATAACGAGGGGATGCAGCATCCTTTCCTCCCTGCAAACGAGTACCAAACTGTCCATTAGGTTTCATAAGATTAATATTATTACTTCCAACAAATGTTTGAGCCAATCCTATTATTGTTTGTGTAAGACTCTGTTCTCCATGATGATATGCAGTATGCTCCGAAATATAACCGGATAATTGAGCAACCTTAATTTCACTCTTCAATTTCCTTTTAAAACATCCATATATAACTTTTCTTTGTCCAGGCTTTAAACCATCTACTACAGAAGGAATTGATCGAATATTATCTGCCATACTGAATAAGATAAGTTCTTTATTGATAAAATCAGATATTGGTATTTTATCTAAGGTATGATCCATATAAGTTCCTGGCTTAAAATGTCTCAACCATTCTTTTCGTTCATCAGCCTTCTTTTTCGAGAAAGCCATATCGATCAACTCTTTATCTCCCTCTTGAATAGAATGAAACTCTTTTAAATGTGTATCTAGATCTGAAAAATATTTCTTAACATCGTTACCATAACTAGTCCCCAAGCCTTTGTAATACTTTATTTTCCACCCTTTAGCATTATCCGTTGATTCTTTCCAATATTCATATTCAGGAATAGTGAAAAATGTCTTTTCCTGAGAGCCTTTTGTCGCTTTTACAATTGGTGTAATAAATTCAATCAAAAACCCAGGTATTTCTAACAAAGATGGAAACGAACTTTCCAAATAATTAATAATTAAACCCTTAATATGACTCCCATCATGATCTTGATCCGTCATGATCATTAAATGCCCATAACGTAAATCGGAAGTAGACGTGTATACTTTTTTATGTTGAAGACCCATAATTTGTTTTATAGCATTAATTTCAGCATTTTTAGTAATCTGTTCATGCGATGCTTCACGAACATTTAATAATTTTCCTCTAAGTGGATAAACACCAAAATAATCACGACCAACTACACCAATACCAGACATGGCTAAAGATTTAGCAGAATCACCTTCAGTTAAAATAAGTGTACATTTATGGCCCTCTTTAGTTCCTGCTTTATTAGCATCTTCCAGTTTGGGTAGACCAATAATTCGTATTTTTTTTGATCCATCAGTTTTTTTCATTAATTGGTCAGCCTTTTTTTGAGCAGTATCTAAAATGCTTTCCATAATAGATGTTTTTAATACCTTTTTAATAAAATCATCATTAAGAAGACATTTTGAACCAAATGAGCTTTGCTTTAATGTTAATGTTTCCTTCGTTTGTGAATCAAAAGCAGGATTCTCAATAAGACAATTAATAAAAATCCAAATATGGTTTTTAATCTGAAATGGCTTAATAGGAGCACTTTTATTTTTCTTTTTTACAGCCTCAATCAATTTAGAAACAATTTGATCAACAATATAATTAACATGAGTTCCTCCACGAGTAGTTGCTATACTATTAACAAAACTAACCTGATTAAACTGACCATCACTAACAGTAAAAGCAACCTCCCATCTATCATTTACAATATCATGAATAATCAATGGCTTTGTATTATCCTCAGAACCATTAGAATTGAGATACATTTCTATATACTGTTTAAATGATTTAATCTTAATTCTCTCTCCATTAAGAAACACCTTTACATTTTTAAGGCAACCTGCTAAATCATAAACACGCCTTTTAAAAACAGACTCAAGGTCTGAATCTATTTCATTCATTCCAAATTTTTCAAGATCAGGCTTAAAAGTAATTCTTGTATATTCTTCATCCTTTTTATTTTCCTTAATAATAGGATCATTCTTTTTAGTCATATTGTTAGAAAAAACCTGTTTATACGTTTTTTTCGTTGTCTTATCGGCAGGTTCAACAATAAACTCAGTTGAAAATATATTACACAGCTTAGCTCCGTACCCATTACGACCTCCAGTTACCTTTTTTTGTTCATCATCATAATTACTAGATGTCAAAAGATGACCAAAAATAAGTTCAGGAATCCATATTTTTTCTTTCTTAAAAATAATAAGAGATCGTCATTATACCAAAATAACCTACATCATGAATTTGTATTGGTATTCCACGACCATTGTTATAAATAGATATAACACCTTTTTCTCTGCTAAATTCGACCTTTATAGTATCCATATTAGGATCTCGTATCTTATTATCAGCAGCATTAACAAGAATTTCATCAAATATCTTATATAAACCAGGTACAATAGAAACTTGACTATTAAAAATATAAATTTTTAATACAAAAAATTCGAAAATCTTTACGCATATTTCATAGAATTAGTATTATTATCATAAACCCAGATTTGTTGAAGCGTAGATTCAACACTTCCTATATAAGTATCAGGACGTTTTAAGATATGTTCCAATTGCGAAAGCTAAAACTATTCTTAAACACTTGCACTTTAAACGAAAAATATTACCTTCTGATAAATTTCAGAAGCTGTTTTTGTATCTGAATTCACAACTAATCCCGATTTTTCTGATATATCCATATTTCTACTATTAAATGCATCCTCACCCTTCAAATACGAGCGTTTTTCAACAACAATCTTATCAATTCCTTTGTCCGATGAAATATCATTCTTAAAACTCCATGTCGTTTCAAATCCCTTATTTTTATTATTTTTTGCAGCAACCGAATATTTACGTTTCTATAAACATAATATCAATACCTTAACTCAAATTAATATCATAATCCAAACATACCAATACAAATGATTCGTCCAATTCATCACTGCTGGTTTCTATCACCATTCCTACCTTATTTAATCCTTTTACAGTAATTAAATTTCCAAATCCAAGACAATGAATACTCTTAAATAAAAAACAAAACTTATAAACACTTTCCAATCCCTTTAAACAGCATATATGCCGCATATATGCACTCCATTTCCAATATTTAAATTCTAAAAACTTTTTTTAAGTATTTTAGCTTATCGACTCTTTTTATAAACACGTACTTATAAGGGGTAATTACCCTCTAAACTAAGATTTCTTTAATCTAAATTAAAAAAAAAACATTTTTATAATAAATAAATATACATTTTTTATAATATTTTGAAGTAAAACAAGATAAATCAAAAAATAATAATAAATAAAAAAAAAGTTAAATAAAATACCTTTAAAAGATCTTTAGTTAATTTTATTATATAGTATACGAGAGGCTGAGTTGCCTAGACAACACCCAACGAAAGATTATTTTAAGATCAAAAAACGAATCATAACGAAAAAACAAGCTAAGGTTAAAATACATGTATAAAAAATTTGATGGATGGTAATATATATAATATTAAAATATAAAAATTATGCCTACAAATTATTGAGATAAGAACGTACAGAATTTAGGAATGTAAATTAAAGCTCAGAATGAGTCCTTGATATAAAAGATACTTAACAAGATTAGATGGTATATGTATATTGTGTATAAGATCAAGAAGAAGAGTCATTTGTACACACTAGGATTTTTTTCTTAAAAAAAATACTGGATCTATCTTTTTATATCGGAAAATATTATTTATCAAAAAAGAAAATTAATAAATTGACTTTTTTTTGTGTTCAAGAATCAAAAAAATATCTACAGATATTAATTTTACGATTTTATAAAATTTAATTGAATATTATAAATTCAGGGCTTTTTGAAACAATAAAAGGTTGGCTAATATGCCTTTGTTATAAATAAACAATTAAATAATAAGTATAGAATTTTTGGTTAGTGTATTATATTAATTATCTTAAAATATTAAAATCCATGAAAATGTCAAGAATTAAACAGAAAAATGGAGTGATTAAAGAGAAAAATACTATATCAGAAAAACAACTACCTATTAATTTTACTGAAGCTAATATTTCAAAAATGAAAAAAAAACAAGATAAATTGATTGTAGAAAATAATACTCAAGAAACACAGGAGGTAGTTATGCATTTTATTTATCTTTCTGATATAGATCACAATATAGAGTCTGAATTCCTTAGTTTCAAGACTTGAAAAAGAAAATAGAAGTCATAAGGAAAATCCTAAACTTATATCATCTCGACTCTTAAGAAGTCGACCGCCTCTTCAGTATTTCCGAAATCTTGTAAATATGCGTATAAAGGATCCAATAATATCATCATTTCCAACGAACAATATCATCTTTGCAGATGATATTGCCGACCTTGATTTTTGGATAACACTTATTGCTGGTATATCATTATCTAGTCAATTATATTGTATTGATTTATATTTCTAGATTATAGTGCAACTGCTATTCAATTTCCAGACTTTTTAACAAAAAAGATACGTGAAGGCATACCACATCCTCTTCGAGGTCTTGTATGGCAAAGTATGTCTGGTGCACAAAATACACATTTGGAAAAACTTTTTAAAACTCTTCGTCACAAAGAAAGCCCATATGATAAAATAATTGCTTGCGATCTTGCAAGAACGTTCCCATGTGTTGAAATGTTTAAAGAGGAAGGTGGAGATGGTCAAAAAAAACTTCATTTAGTTTTACGTGCTTTTAGCTTATACGATACAGAAGTTGGATATTGTCAGGGGTATTTATTTAATATCATATATACAATGTTTAATTATACTCATAGTTTGGGCTTTATTGTTGCCCCTCTTTTAATGAATATGTTTGAACATGAGGCCTTTTGTGTTCTTGTTAGGTATTATTTTTAGTCATTTTTTCTTATTTTATTTTTTCTATAGACTCATGGAATGTTATGATATGAGAACCATTTTTACTATTAATTTGTCAGGACTTCATTTACGGCTCTTTCAATTTGAACATTTTCTTTCTCTTTGCATACCATCTGTTGCAGCATACTTCAATTCTATAGGAATAGATCCTTTTATGTATGCTAGTCAGTGGTTTCTTAGCATGTTTGCTGTTACGTGTCCACTTCCAACGTTACATAGAATTTATGATGTCATTTTTGGTGAAGGCGCACTTGAAACTATTATAAGAATCGCCATTGCATTAATTATAAAGAACGAGACACACATTTTAAATATCGATTTTGAAGAAAATCTACAATTCCTTCTTAGTCCAGAATTATGGGCAGCGTATAATAGTAATGACGACGAGTTAATATCGGACGCAGTTGGACTTGATAATATTGTTACACAGAATTCCTTGGCAGAATTAGAACAAAAATTTAATCAAAATAACACTAAAAACCATAAAAATCCCATAAAATCTATTTCTAATGAAATCCAAAGAACAGATATTAAATTTCCTGAAAAAATATGGAACAAAACTGATGTTTCTTTACCAATCTTTCTAGACTCATCAACTAATCACGATTTGCTTTATAAGTGTGATGATACACAAAAAAATCTATTAGAATCAGATGGCTCAACATCATCTATATACCCAAAATCATCAGAACTCGAAAAGGTGATGAATCCGTCATTACCAGTAACTTTATGTAAAAAACCATTATTTAAAAAGGCGTCTACACCTAATAATTTATTTGAGCGTGATAACAAAGAACTTCATTATCAAATTGAGGATCTTGTTATGGCTTTAAATTCTTTGCAAAAAGAACATGCTTCTACAAAAGAGCAATTAGAGACATTAACAAGAGTTTCTTTAAAATACAAAAATATTGCCTTGAAATTAATCGAGATTATCGATAATTCAAATTTCTTTGATAAAAAAACATCTAATCTTAAAGAATCGGACAAGGAAAATACAGATCAAAAATCTCATACTTTTGTTTTAAATGGGTTTGTTTCTTCTAATGAAAATAACAAAAATGAAACATATAACAAAAACGAGGATATTCAGGAATTAGTGAAACAATTATACGATTCTTTTATTCCTCCTAACCCTCTTTCAGAAGAACTTTTATCTTTACAAGAAAAATTGTCTCATGAACAATCAAAAGTAAAAGACTTAAAAAAGCAAATTAATTTAAAAGACTTAGAAATAACGGATATAAAAAATAAGATTCGTGATATTCACATGCATTGGAATCAAGCATTGAAAGAAAATTTGAAAATTTAGAGGGCTAATTCTGAAATCAGACACAAACAACCAATTTATCTTGATTATATACAAAAAGATTTTTCAAGTTCTTATAGTAGTGCTAATAAAGGTTTACAAGAACTAGGGCTTCCCTAGCATTATGAAAACTCATCACCAAACGCTAATATTTCACCTCAATTACAGCAGAAATATAACTTTTTAGAAATACCTGCATCTCTATTCTATTCAACATCATCCTCATTATTCATATTAGACAATAATTCTCTAGAATCTGGTAATTGTGTTTCATATGAGCAATTACGCGAAGAACTTACTGCGTATAAAAGTGTATTAAATATATATATGAAAAATTAAGGAAATTAAGAAAAACCGAAACCTGAAGACTCTATATCTAATGACCAATACATAAAAATAATTGATTTAAATATACATTCGACATTAGACGCATCTCTTAACAATACAATAAAACCTAAGAATTATCTATCTTCTGAAAAATTAATAAAACTTAGATGGGATTAATTTATAAAATAACTTATGATTCTTTTTTAATGCATTTTTCAAACTAATATCTTTGAACACTTTGTTAATCATTATTTTACGGGACTCTTTTTCAATTTATTATGTAATTATTTTTTTGAATATATTTCATAAATCATAATCTTTTTTTATAAACAAGTACTTTAAATCCGTTATTAATCATGAAATAAATTTAGATTTTTTAGTATACTGATAATTATGTTTGGAAATAACAATCTTACACCAAGATGTTTTGATGAGATTAATACAGACAATAAACTTATACAAACGAATCATCCCGTATCATATAAATCTTCAAAGTTAAATATCAACTTAGAAGATTCAAGAAATATAAACAATAGTAATAATCAAGATATAATGATTTTAATATAATTAACTTTTTTGTTTCAAAAATACAGATCTACCTATTGATCCTTCACAAACATTATCTAAATCTTTAGAACTTAGTCGTCAACGTGTTTCATTATTATTAGAAATAAACACACTTCTTCTACAGAAATGTATAGAACTTCAGAATACAGAAAACACTAAAAAAGAACATTCAGAAGCATCAGAATCAACGATGACAGGGTATTTATTAAAATTATACATTAATCTTTACATATAATATTTAGATGTATTCAACGTCTTCAAACAAATCTTTCTTATCTTGCAGCAGTTGCAGACAAATCCTACAGAAGTGAAGTAAACCAATAACTTGCTTTATAATTATTTTTAAAATACATATAGGAAAATTATTTGTATAAAAATCCTATAATATTTTCGCCACCATTAAACGTCTATTCACTTGTTGAACACTATGAAAAACTAAAATCTCTTTTTTAATCAAGCCCCCTCCCCTTCTATATAATTTCCATAGTCTTAACACTCTTTAGAAATACCAAATTTTTGTCTAATAGACTAAATCAATATAAAAAACTTATCCACTTTAACATCTAACATAAATACATTTTCTCTAGACATCAAAATAACACTATAAATATATACCAACTAAATACAAAAAATGAAAAATTAGCTAGTAATATCAATTAAACTGTCGTTAACATAGTAATTTGTCATTTCAAAGTATCTAATTTAATTAAAGAACCGATATACATATACATCTATAACTATATTTTCAATAATCTTATTTTTTTTTCAAATTAAAAACAATAAAATGAAGAAATATCTAGTCGTTTATATATCTATAACATCTATTTCTATTTATCATTTTACGACATACATATATATTTATCTTTTATATTCATAATCATATCTTTAACAAATGATCATATTTAATATTATTTTCTTCTTCAAAATACAAACTATTTTTTTCATATAACATCTCTTAGGCAAAAATCTGTATATAATTCATCAAAAAGAATTTTTTGTAAATCTAGGGTAGCTCTAAGATTTCGTAAATTATAACGGCTTTTTTAAAAAAAGAAAGATGCCTAAAATATATAACTTAAAAGACAAAACCTTTCACAGTTAAGAATAAAATTGTATAGTTGGCATATATATTTTTTTCTAAAAATTTCAATTTCAAAACATTTATATTAAACAAGATAAAAAATATACAAAAAATCATTTTATTAGACATATAAAAAGACATAAGAAAGCAAAATATAGAGAATTAGTTATAATTAAAATATATTTTTGGACCAAGTGTATATTTAGTTTTTAAAATGACAAACCCTTCAACACAACAGAAAGAATTAAACTATAGTTGCGATCATAATATAAATCAATTTTGCTTTGAAAGATCTAATACTAATACGACATCTAATAAAGAATTTACATTGAGTGATATTTTAGAGAGATGGACAGGCTCAGAAGAAACTTTACGTACTATAATGATAGCAAAAGCAGAAGAGGATAGACTAAAACAAGAAATAGTGCGTCTTAATATCAAAAAAGTAGAAAACGAAATTTTGATTAATGCAGTTCGCAGTGGAGTTCAACTGAATGCTATTCCTATAATATTTTCAGGTCAACAAAATAACTCTATATTAACACTTTCTCAAAATAATCCTTTAACCTCAACATCCTCAATACAATATCAATTGCAGAATTCAGGGCTATGTGAAGCATCTGTTCCAGGATGTTGTCCTGGAACTCAAGGATCTGATTCTATATCAAACCAATCTATATTACATCCTTTTCAAACAAATGTATCAAATATTTCTTTAGAGTCTTTTTCAACACAGTCATCTCTCCAGAAAAATGCAAAATCTCCATTTATGATACCAAAAAATACAACAGAATCAACATCCAATCAAAGTTCCGTATTAAATCCAAATTCATCTCCTTTACCATCACTTTTTTTTCATTATTGGATACCCCCAGGAGAGTCAATAAATTCAATGTCCACAACAAATAATGAAGGAACTGAATTAGCAGTTTCATCTCAATCAAATATTTTAGGTTCACATGAAAAAGAAATACTATCATTTTCTCCATCCAAAAAAAAACGACTTTCACAACTACAGCAACCTTTGCCCCCATCTTTTGGGAATTCTATATTACCACCTCTTTCTAGACGTTCACCTCGACGTCATTCACGTCATCTTAGTGAAACATCTATTTCACAATCAAATTTTTTTGATATTCAAGGAAATAAACGAGCGATATCTCCAATTTCAAATGAAATAAACCTTTCAAAATCAAAAAATATCAATTGATAATTTATCCCCAACTTAATAGGAAAAGTGTACAAACTATCAAATATTTAATCTTAATTTATCTAACATACATAGAAAAATATGCTTATTGTCTTCATACATCGCTTAGGTAAACTATCTTTTTTAAAATACCTTATCACTATTAAGATATCAAATTTATTTGTATATTATTTATACATATATTTTTAAAAATTATTTTATTTTTTTTAAATAAAAGATAAATACAAATTTCTTAAAATTTAAAGGATAAATTATATATCCTATATAGATATAGGATATATTTTTCAATAAATTTCTTTAAAATATATAAAAACAACCGTTTATGTCAGATCGAAGTTTAAAAAGTCGAAATACAGGGCGTTAATAAAATAGCCCATTTTATCAATAAAACATATACTCTTAATAATAGTTTGAAGACATTGTAGTTGATCTGTTTTTTGAGGAAATTTAATTCATAAAATATCTTTAGATAACATAATGTTGACAACATCAGAAACTCCAGTTAAAAAAATCACAAATACAATCAAGAAAAACAAATATAAAGAAGAAAAAGACAAAAAAATGCCTAGATATCGTTCACTTTCTATCACTAGAAATGCATCAAATATATCTTTAGCAGCAGATAAAGATAATAGTATTATTTCAAATTTAGCAAAACGGAATAATATAAGAACAGAAATAAATAATTCCAAGGAATCTAGCAAATCTTTTTCTAATTATTATTCATATTTTTTGCCTCCTAAAGAATTAGAAATAAGGGATGATAATATAAATTTTTTGCAACGCAATAATTTAGAACATTTAAAAAAACATAACACATATAAATCAGATACAGAGGATTATGTTGAGAAGGGAACAGAAAAAAAAATAAGTGAAGTTAATGAAGGAAATGGTGTTATATCAAAAGTTATAAAAAAAAGTATAAAAGATTTCATACTTGGACGTACACTTGGAGAAGGATCGTATTCAACAGTATGTTAATTTTTAAAATTATATATATATATTTACGTGAATTTAAAGGTTGTTGCAGCTAGAGATAAACAAACATCAAAAGAATATGCAATTAAAATCCTGGATAAACGACATATTATTAAAGAAAAAAAAGTTAAATATGTCTATATAGAAAAAGACACTTTAAATAAACTTGGAAACCATCCGGGAATTGTTCAATTATATTATACATTTCAGGATGAGAGGAATTTATATTTCGTTTTAAGTCTTGCAGCAAATGGAGAACTTCTTGGATTTGTTAAACATGTAAAGTATTAGGGTATTTCAAGAATATTACTTATCTTTATTAGTTTGGTTCATTGAATGAAGAATGCACTAGATATTATGGTGCCCAGATTTTAGACGCTGTACAATATATACATGAATGTGGTATTATTCATCGCGATCTTAAGCCAGAAAAGTATATTTGTTTAATTTTTAATATTCTTATTGATTACAATATATAGTGTATTACTTGATGATAAAATGAAAATCAAAATTACAGACTTTGGTACTGCAAAAATATTGCAATCACCTTTAGAACTTAACATAACGGATAAAGCAGACGAAAAATACAATACTACTGATAATGACGACAAATTTCATAGGGCAAATTCCTTTGTTGGAACAGCTGAATATGTATCTCCGGAATTATTGATGGATAAAGTTGCATATAAGAGGTAGATTATCTATTTATCTATCTATAAATATTCTAACAACTAAGTTCCGATATATGGGCATATGGATGCATAATATACCAGCTTTTCGTAGGACGCCCTCCTTTTAAAGCATCGAATGAATATCAAACATTTCAAAAAATCATTAATCTTAAATATCAGTTTCCTCCCAATTTTCCGCCAAATGCCAGGGATCTCTGCGAAAAAATATTAATTCTTGATCCTTTAAAAAGACTAAGTATAAACGAACTTAAATCTCATGCATTTTTTGATGGTATGCCATGGGGGAAAGTTCTATGGAAAACAAATCCACCTAAGTTAAAACCATATAAAACTTCCATCATTACTGAAAGTCCTCGAATACCCTCAAATATTATAAAGCTAAATTCAGTCTCTAATCCAACATTATTACCTAATACTATGGATAAACAAGAAAAACATAAACAATTATTAAATTATCCACAAGACATACCTAAACAAAACACAGAAAACCCATCGCTATCTAAATTAAATGAACTATGGTCATCAGTCTTAGTTTTACCTAATGAAAGGCTTTTACGTCTTGGTCAAGTTTCAGTGTCAACAGGAAAAGGGGTAGGAGAAGATGGTATTTTATCAGGTAAATCACCTAGTAGACTTTCCAGACTTCTTCATCGAAAAAAAACTCGAAATCTTCTTGTTACAAGTGAGGGAAGAGCTTTATTCGTTACTGAAGAAAGTAATGGTGAGAAAAAAATTAAAAGTGAAATCCCTTTAGGAAAATCAAATATAAAAATAAGGCTAGAGGGAAATAGTGGAAGATTATGGGTAATAGAAACGGTATAAAGTTCTTCATATAATTTTCATTATTTAATATTTTTTTAGCCAAATAAAATTTATAATTTTGATGATCTTCATGAACGTGCTGTAGAATGGGTAGAGCTTATTGAAAGGGTTAATAAAGAACGATGCAACCGCTAGTATCTATGTAAATATTCAAAAAAAGAGAATAAACAATTATCACGATAAAATTATACTTTATACAAATAATCAATATCATTATTCCATACAATGTCATTTAAATATATGTAGCATCTTAACATGCAAGAAGGCAAGATTATATACGTTTTTGGGAACCTTTCAAGAAAATTCAACACTTATAACATATTCTGTAATAATACATTAATTTCCAAAAAAATTCATGACTAATTATATTCTTGTTTCCACAACTTCTTTCTTTTATATCTATTCATCTTTACTTCTTTTTTATGTTCACTCCAACTATCCCTGATTTCTTGATTTTTTTTCTCAATTTCTTGTAGCTTTTCCTTACTTAGTGATGAAACCATTCCAATAAATAGTCGAGATGCATTATATCTCTTTGCCAATTCAGAACGACTTATTCCATTTTCTCTTAGAATCTTAATTTCCTTTATATCTTCTTCAGTTAAATTATATTTTTTCTTCTTAATAGGTGATAATGGTGGAGGCAATTTCCCTTGAAAAACAGGTTTTTCAGTCAATTTTTTAACTTCGTCTGGAAGCAATGAATAAGGAGTTACTTTATAATCTGGAGGAGATGAAGGAGGGTTATAAAAAAGCTCAGAATTTAACTCTTTTTGTAACAATATTCCTTCTGGTATAGGTTTTAACTTTGGAATACGATGTCGTGGATGTTTTGTAGAACGAGGCCCTGATGAAGCCCATCTTATGTATTTTAAGAAAAGATATGAATTTGTTAATATCATAATTATATAATAATAAAATAAATTGAAATCGATATTAAACTATATTAAAAAATAAAGAATAGCTTATATTATAAGCATGAATATTAAGATAAAACAAAAAAATCATGAACATCTTATAATATGTTATCTAATATTTATTATTATAAAAACATTAATAGAAACAAATAATAAATAAATTTATGCATTTTTTATTAATTTCCATTGAGATTTGATCAGGTTTAAAAAAGCATCATCATCTATTACATGTATTCTAGAAGTTAAAAGCCTCATAGCAGTTTCAAAATTAGCCTTCATAAGTGTATCTATAAAATATGAATTAATAATAAAAAACAACAATAATAATAAACCTTTCATTCCCAAAATTAAAGACATAGCCGTTATGTGCAATATTTCTAGTTTATTTTTTTCATTAGCATCATACCAAATAAATACGTCCCAAATCCGTAACTGAGTAGAAAAGGATAAAGAATTATTAAAAAGTGTTAAGTACCATTTTGTAGTAAATGTAGATATATCAATTCCAAGAGAAAACTAAATAATGAAAATAAAATAAAAAAAAATAGAAACTTACTAATTTTTTCCCAACTTTTGTTTTTAAGAGTCTAGTCTGTAATTCATTAAAACATAAAAAAAGGTTCTTAAAGCTATTAGAAAAAATAGATAAGATCCCTCTTTCTTCCCATAGTCTGACAGACATAATAAAAGCAGACTCTTCATCATAATAACATAAAAATGTAGCAGCCAAAGAAGCCATTCCTTGTATATACCCGGCTTCTGGATAAAAAAGAGATAAAGCATGTAAAACTCTAAAAAGAAGTCGTTGTCTTAAGTCTTAGCTCATAAATAAAACAAAATTAAAACTAATACATACCCATCTCGATATTGTCTTTGAAAAAAAACATGTCCATTTATAGTACGAGGAACATCAAGATCAATTTGAAAATCATGAGTATATGGAAGTTGAAGAAGTTCCTACATCAATTAATTATTTTTTTTTTTTTTTTTTTTAAATTACATGATATTTCAACTTTAATTCGCAATCAGTATATTTGCTCTTATTTTTTTTTACAGAATGCGACAAAAATGCATACCATGCAGCTGATCTCCAAGAATCTGGTATCCCTTTAAAAACTCTATTGACAAGCTAGAATTATTAAGTAAAATTTCAATATTCCAATTTAAATACTTTTTTTGTATTCAAAAACGAATACTCAGTATTTCCATTAATCCGAAAACTTTCCGCCATGCTTCTCCATTTCTCAATTCTGTTTATTTCCTTTTTATTAGCATCATATCCCTCTTTATACCATGTAAGATTATCTTGATTCAATAATTGATCAAAACAAAAATCATGAGGAATCTCAAGAATTATACGCTTCTTTCTTCTAAAAAACCCATTCCCAAATTCTAAAAATCTTAACTGTGAAATAATTTTATTTTTTTCTTCTGGAAGTTTTTGACGTGTTGAAAAAAAACCATATCTTTATTTATTAATATCTTCATCATACATACTTCAAAACTCATATATACCTATCGACATTACTATTATCAATCATGTTTTTTTCACTACTAGATTCCTCTAAACATATTTCTTCATTTATCTCATAAAATGACTTTATTTGCAATGAAAGTATAATATCATCATATGAACTTCTATTCTTACAAACTAAAGAAGATCCTTGACCTTTTTCTTCTGATTCATAGTCCTTTGAAGATGTATCTTGATACAAAGATCCCGTTTGTTGTATTTGTATAGGATTTGTTTCTGCCATTAAATCCTCTAATAATAAATACCATATAAATAAAGAAATAAATATTTATGTATATTCTAAACCTATTATTGAATCTTAAAAGCCCTTCAATATTGACTTAAACATCACAAAACTTGCTTTAATAACTAAAAAATCCTCTTTCTAAACCTCATTATTAACTTTTTAAAAAAATAGTATTAATTATTCATTAGATTATATATATTTTTTACAGTAATCTTTAAGCGTAGGGTCATTTCATTTATAAAAATAAAGTCAAAATAATTTTTCTATAAATTTTATACAATTAAAAATTCAAAACACTTATAAGCTATTTCATCGGAATCTAAATAGTCAGCCTTCGTGGCACAACTGGTCAGCGCGTGAGACTTTTATGTGACACTTCCTAAAGAAGGAATCTCAAGGTTGCGAGTTCGAGCCTCGCCGAAGGCGGGCCTCTTTTTAGAGATATTGAATAAGTGTGTAATGAATTAGATATAAAGTATGAAAGTATATTTTTTTAAAGGGAAAAGGATATGTAAATATTATGAAATTGATTTTAAAAACATTATGAATGAATTTGTTCATATACAAAAATGTATCCAGAAGATCGTCGTACTTCGTCCCAAGTTGCAGGACGTGTTTCAGTATCATTAGCAAAAACCCATTGTCTGATTGGATTATTTGAATTGATTGAAGATGTAGACATAGATTCATGTAATGGTTGAATTTTATGTGTTAAAATATAACATGCATAACTATAATATGATAAATCGATATATGTATATATATAGATACTTACTGGCCATGAGTGTAATTTCCTATATGAACAATTACACCGGTTAATGAATATAATAAACCAGGACCGTACCGCAATCTAGGCGTTACATAATCAGTTAAATCAAGCGTTGCAGGAAAATCAACAAAAGTATCAATTTTTTTTAAAGAACGAACACGACCAGTTTGTTGAAAGCGTTTAAGATGTAGAATTAAAATAGGTGGTAATGGCATATCAATCAAAAAGCGTTTAAATGCCTTAGAAAGAAAACTTTTTGGATGATTAGAAGAGTGTCGGTCATCAAGTGAAGAATGAATCGAAGAATTAGGTAAATTGAAAAAAAAAGATCTGGTCTTACATTTAACATTAGAACCATTAGAAGCATGAATGCAAAGATCGGATAAGTGACAGGAAAATTTAAAAGAGACATCAGATCGAATCAAAACTTTGCAATTTTTAGATAATTTAGAATCAGGCAACTGAAAATCATGCCATTTTTTTTTTGAAGAGATACAAATATCATTTTTTTTACCGGAATGAAAACGCTTTGCACATTCTTCACATGCAAAACTATTTTCATTTTCCATAACCTCAACACTTGTAAACTGTCTCAAACTATCTTCCAAATCCCAGGAACCTTTTTTTTTATAATCAACAGTATTTTTTTCGAAAAGTAAAAGATCAATATATTTAGATGTTTCATCAATTGCTGTTGAAATTCCGGAAATCGCAAAATCGTCTTTATACATGTCAATCATATCTTTCTTAAAAGAATCGACAGACAATTGTTTAAAATCAATACTTGTTTTTACTATATTTTCTAAACTTTTTGGCGATAAAGATCCACCTTCATCAAATACATCTAATATTATGAAGTTAATCATTTTTAAAAACAACAAAAAATAACTATACTTTCTAGACAATCATTTGAATAAGAACGAGATATTTGAGAATTATGATGTAAATGATTCTTATCTTTTTTTTTAGTTTTTTTAGGCCAATTACTTTTGCGGTTTACTTGATTCTATAACAATTGAATTAAAAATAACACAATAAAAATCTTACAGAATCATCCGTTATAAGAGTATTTATTGATAATGATATATCTTGAAATTTTTCATATGTCATGGAAACCTTTAAATAAATATAAGAAGAGTTATTTAAAATTTTAATTATACCGATTTGCATGTATCGCAAACAACAACACTGGCTAACCTTCCTCCAAAAAGTTTGTCAACAAATGTAATATTTTCCTGTGTATCACTATTATTTTCTGTTAAATTTTCATTTTTAATGGACGTCATAAATGTTATATCGTTTTTCCCAAATGCCTTTTGTTTCTGCCTTAATGACTTTTCAGTTACATTTTTATTACATGTATTAGAAAGCTCCTCCATATTCAAAGAATCAAGAAAATAACGTAGTAGTTCATGTGCATCTTGTTGTTCATATGATTGAAACTGTTTATGTCTATTTTGTACCTGACTAAAAAGTTTTTGTGGTTTAAATATTATATTCTTAGATGTACAAGAATATACAACTTCAAGATATTCAATAAATGCAGAGATAAGTGATCCTTTTCCATTTATTTGTGAGAAAATCGGCGTCGAAAATGGCGTAGAAGATATAATATCATGAAGTAAACAACTAGCTGCCAAAACTTGCATAACCTTCACATATTCATTAGATATAAAATCCCATTCATATTGAATCATACATACTGAATTAAAATAACACGTGTTACCCAAATTTTCAAGTCCAGGAACTAATGATATATATTTAAATGAACATTCCTTACTTTTAACACATTTTTTCTTATTTTTTACATTTTCATCAAAAAACTTCCGCTCAATAATCCTCTGTAATTCTTTCACTTCCAAACTCTTATTTTTCTCAAATGATATTTCATTATTACAAATACAACAATCTAAAAAATATCAATTTATCCTCATAAAAATACCTTCCTCTACAAATACTAATATTTTTCGTATTTATAAAAAGATAATGCATAGGTTTCTTAATAATATGGTTATATAGATGACTCTTATCAGGTCCTGAGCAAAAAATATCCCCACAATGTAAACAAAAACAAAATTCATCAACATTCTTCTTTGATTTATGACATTTCTATATATTTATACCATAAAAACCATAAAAACATAAAAAAGATACCAAACATTTATTCTTCTTTTTGCTAGAAAAATCTAGAATACGAACAATTTGAGAGATATCAACCAGACTTTCTGAATGAATACAATTACTCATTAATTTCTCCAATAAATCATATTTTAAGACTGAAACTGAATCATGTTTAAATGATTTCACTATATATCCAGTTAGTAATCTTCATTAACTAAAATATTATCTTATACAAGTCTTTTTATTAGTATTATTCATGGAATATAGTTTATTTATTAAAAACAACAACGTCTAGCTGGATATCGTAGTTTTTAACAATAGATATAGTAAAGGATATTACTTAAAGATATTCTAGTAGATTTTAAGGGAAATAGATATATTTTTAATATTTTATGACTATATTTTTAAAAAAGACTTTTTTTAGTGAAAAAATAGGGAATTTTTGAGGAAAAAACTAGGAAAAAAGAGTAATATTAGATTTATTATGTTTGAAGTGTAAAAATCCATTTTAAATAAGAAAAATATAGAGGATACATTAGGAATTATAAGGACAAATAGTTTAGTAGACTTAGATTTTTATTATGGATTTAAAACGAAGCTCAAATGAGTACTATTAATTTTTTTTATTATATATTTTTTATCTGGATAATAGAGATACACCATCATCAAAAAAGCAAAAAGGATCGGTCAATTTATCTGGACAAGCGGTTTTTTCGCCACCAGTTTCTAAAAGCAATTCATATCTATATAGCGGATCTAAAGGAGCTGGTATAATGAATTATATATCATTTTATTTAAATGTAACATGATTTTAAATTATAGTTAATGCAGCAGTTAATACGGGGAAAACAAGGTAATTTGTGGAAAATATTAATATATATATAAAGAAATATTCAGTGATAACCGACAAGATGCTGAACAACTTCAAGATGCATTAATATCAGCAGGAGTTGATATTAAAGTAAAATATATTTATTGTATATATTTAAAATGATAATTTATGTATTTAGGAAGAAGAACATAATATGAGCCGGTCTTATGATTATGTATTTGGATCGAATGTAATTCCTCTTGAGGAAGATCGAACAAAAATGACGGATTTTCTGAACCCGATTCCATTGAATGATCTTATTTATAGAATTGGTATGTTACGATTTTTATTGAAGAATCATTTAAAAGAAATAGCAATTTCAAACTCTCTTAAAACTATAGATCCAGATATAGGACCTCTTCTTGCACTTTCATTGCGTGATAGAATGGCAAATCTTTTGTCAGACATGATAGTTTTATCTAGACATCGTACTGCGTCACTCCCTGTTAATAGAAAAATAATTGACAATGTTGGAAAAATTCTAGAAGATATAAATATTAAAGAAAAAGATAAGGAAGAAAAGCGAAGAGCTCAAGTATTATCAAAAAAGCTAGAAGAGGAGAACAGAATGGACAAACAGACCTTATTATCTGGAAATCCAGAAGATATGGACAAAAAGAAGAAAAAGAAAGAAATATTATCGAATTCGTCTTCGAAAAATCTTTCAGAAGATGCGCAAAAACGAAATACTGATACAACAGCAGCAATAATGATGGGATCGGGACCCAATGGGCCAGGTGGTAAAAAATATTCATGGATGACATCGGCATTGCCATTATCTCCAGGATATATTACAAAAACACCACGAGCTACAAGTAACCACTCACAAACAAATCCAGAAACTACTATTATACAAACTGTTGAGGAGATAGGAATTATTACAATAAGAGACGCACTTAATGTTTTAGAGATGGACAAAGAAGGCGCAGGAGAAATCTTTGGAAGGGGAGCACGTGCCTTATCCAGAGGATATATACGCTTAAAAGACTAATATATAGCAAATATAACAGTTAGACTCAGCCTACATAAATTAAATAATACTATTATACAGAATTCATTCAATAAAAATGACATCAAATTGCCAAATAAAGCCATTATAAACTTAAACTAAATCACATCTTAAATCTAAATGATAACAATCATTTCATTTAGATAGCTAGATTATTACATGGATTTTTCTTTCTTTCTGTTTTCCTTATCAATGTCTGCAAGTGCCTTGGCTGCATTAATCATTTGAACAATATTAATAATCTGTTTTCCAAGGCAAATAGGAAAACTTACAATGCCAATTAACACAGGATATGAAAGTGGAATATTAAAGACATAACCTAAAAATATTTAATCATAAACAATATTTTCAAAAGAACCCTAATAATACCAAGTCGTGGTGGAGATTTTGGAGGAAAAGAAAGAAGATATAACGCTACAAAGAAAAGCTCATTTGCAGCACAAAAAACAAAAAGAATAATCTATATAAAATTAAACTATTAATTATTAATATTAAAAATTACATTATTTTGATAATATTGTCGAACAATCCAACTCTGATCATCAGGAATCTTCTTATGAGAAGAACTCCCCTGAGATAATGTTGAAAATACATGCATGTAGTGACTTGCCAAATCGATAGAAATAAGAAACTGAAAGGTAAACGTATATGCTGGGTACGCGGAAGATAAAAAACATAACAAACAAGATGTAGTGCATCTAAAAAATTAAATCATTCTTCATCAATTTTAAAACTTTACCGATCTGTAACCATATCTAAAATAGCACCAAATTTCGTTGCTATATATAATCAAATTTTGCCTTCCATGAAAAAATAATCAAATACATACATTGACCTAACCATCTGGCAGCCATCCCATCAAATGCATCAAGCAAACATGATAAAATATAAAGCCATGTACAATATCTATTAATTTAATATTTTAGAAATTTAATTATTTAATAATTCCATTTACTTAGGATGATATGGCATAAATTTTAAAGATGCAGCTGCCAGCAGAATCCGAGAATATCCTGAATATACCTTAATCTCATTTATTAACATATTTACCCATCATCTTTTACCTATTAAGTTCGGAAGAAAAAGAAAAATATTCTCTTCAAATCCATAAAACTTAAAGGCATCATGCGTCTGTGCATCCTTTCTATTCATAGAATGAAAACATTAAATAGCGCCTTTATAAAGGCATTTGAAAAATGCAAGACTCTATATATAAGATCAACCTTTTTTAATTAGTTCTGCTCGGTAAAAAAACAAAAACACAACCTAACCCTGAAGTTCTCAAAAGTTTGTTTTTAGAAAAAAAACAATTATATTGTTTTTTTTTCTCTAAAAAAAGTGATCAAAAATGTTATATTTTATTTACTTTCACTTAATAAATAGAAATAAAAAAACATCAGCCGAGCCAGATGGGACTCGAACCCACAACCTTTGGTGATTTTTTTCTTGTTAGCCGAAAACCAATGCGCTAACCATTGCGCCACCAGCCCAGATATACGATTACTATCATATTAAAGAAAATTATTAAGCCAATATATAAAAGTATATAAAGCTAAACATTTAAAATTATCCAATAATTTTAATAATTTATATAAGAATGTAATGATTTATTCAAGTTGAGAAAGACGATAAAGCAAAGAACGTGCATCTGTGAGATTAAGTGTATCAGAGTTATCATTTGAATATATAGGAAGTTGTGTTAAAATAGATTTTTCAATGTATAAAATACGTTCAGATAAAGATAAAGGTTTTTTATCATATGTTAAAGCCAATGTTTGCAAAGAATTCAAAAGAGATTGCAAAGTTAAAGTTTGATTAACAAGAAATTCAACGGTTTCAGGCAAAGGTTTAACTAAAAAAATAAAAATTTAAATAAATTTAAAATAAATACAACATACCTTCATGTTCTTTTGAAATATCAGATAAAAAAGCAAGTTGCTTCGTAAAATCACGAAGTTGTTGAAGTATTGATTGATTTAACAAATCTTCATTTTTAAGAGTATGTAATACTTTATATGCCTAAAACAATCATTTTTTAATGGAAAAATAAACAAATATATACAAACATACCATATTAATTTTATTTTTTAAAAGAGAAATTTCAGACTTAATTTTTTCAAAATCTTGTTCAGATTTAGAAAAATCAACATCCTAAACAAATTAATAAAAAACGTATAATAAAGAAGTCCTACCATTTGATGTCGTAACCTTATCCACCCTCTTATATTCTCCGGAACCATAAAAATATTACGTAAAGCATAAAGTTCAAATGCATCAAAATTTCTATCTATTGCATTCTCTAAAAACGTTTCAACCTGTTGAACACCCTCATCAATCTCTTTCTCCGATATCATAGAAGGCGGAAGATGTTGCATATACTGTTCTATAGCCCCAACTGCTTTATATAACAATGTATTAATTGTATTAATAACATCATCAATTAAAGATAAAGGAGGATATGTAAGATGCTCAGTCAAAAGCTCATTATTCCATTCATAAAGAGTTTCCATAGATAATAAGATAAATATCTAATATTAAGAACTTGTTTTTTTTTTTCTTAGATTTACGTTGTTTTTTTTTAAGTCGAACATCTTATATAAATAAGACTTTAATATAGTTTCTAAAAAAATATAAGATATTCCCTTTCCCTTTAAAACCTGATATTTATTATGAAGAAATAAGATCCTTTTCATTAAACTCATCAGAATATAAAACCTTAAGAGCATTTGAGTAATAAGGTAATTTCCAAAGATCAGAAAATTCTATTTCCATACCATCAAATGCAATTCCTAGCCTATTTTGATTATTGTTATCATTCATTATAAAATTTGGAATTTTTGGATATCTTTGACTAAAATGAGTTAAAAGTGTAAAGTTAGCATTCATCCTTTTTCCTATATCAATTGCTTCGCTGGTAGTACTATGTTTTTTTTTAATTGCCTCCTCAAGTTTATCATCATCAAGAGTTGCTTCATGAATCAAAAGAGTTGAATTCATTCCAAGTTTGACGAAATTTTCATTAGGTCGAGTATCGCCAGAATAAGCAACTTTCCAACCATCTAGATGTGTAAATTGCATACAAAAAGACCATGGACAATGTATTGCATTAACAGTAGAAAATGAAGAAAGAGATAAATCTTTTAATAAATTATTTAAGCTGCAATTATAAATTTCATAACTAAAAAAAAAGGAAATCAATACTTTACAGAATTCATATGTAAGTTTGAAGGACCTTTTTTTAGTGTAAAATCTTCACATACATCTCCATTTGATATTGTTCTTACACGTCCCCATCCAAAATCCTCTATATTAGAATATTCTTGAAGAAAGCAAAAATATTTCCAAGGTGCAGATATATAAATTACTTTATCATTTTCATAATTCACCTTATTCCATTGCTTCAATATACGAATAGTACCTAAATGATGATCTGCATGAAGATGACTTATATATATCCATTTTAAATCCTTCAAAAAAGAATCCAAGTCTGGTCCAAATTGTCTTGATAGCTGTCCTAAAGTGCCCTCACCAGCATCCAAAATCACTGAACCATGACCCGGAATCCTAAGAACAGTTGAAGAAACTAATAATTCATCAATTAAAATCATAATTTCAAAATATCTACCATTTCGATAATGTGATGGAAGAGCAGAACCCGTTCCAAGAGTAATAACTTTAACATTTGACCCAGGAATATTCGATTTAGTATAAAACTTTTCTTGATCACGAAGAATATTTTCATTTGCTTCTTTTGCAAGAGATAAAAAAACATCTAATCCTCTGAAATTTTCAGGAGATTTTAAATCAATAGGCAAAAGCACTTCGTCCTCTATAAATAAAGGATTAGGTTCCAAAATAAATTTCTGAAGGGGTTTTATGTCAGTTATATGTAAATTCTTTATATTTATTCCTTTTTTTTTTGATTGAAAAGTCATACATTGTGGCAAAGGAAAATGATTATCAGATAATTTATTTAATTTCAATTGTTGCAAAGCCACTTTTTGATGAGTTATAAAATCAGAACACAAAGATGGACACGAAATAATATGCTGAACATTTTCACTAAACTGATGCATCCAATTAATGTATCCAGGATCATTTAAAACATCTTCATTAACCATATGAATCATCAACTGAACCCTCTTCGTACCTGATTTATAGTAATCATTCCATATATCTTTTCTAACTAATGAATCAACATAATTTTTATCTGGACAATCTACTATAATAAATATAAAACCAGGACGAGATTCCCCCAGAACTTGATATGGATGAACAACATTTCCATTATCAAGAATGATACTTTCTCCTCTAGAAAGTCTTCCAAATTGAGGTCCAGGTGTAACACCCAAAGTTTTGGCAGCAATAGGATTAAATTTACCAGGCTGTGTATGTCCCTCACATATATAAGTTACTGAGATAGGAAAAGGAACAGTTTGAAGCATATTCTTAACATTTCTTTCAATATTTATCATCTTAAAATGATCTTTTTGAGAAGTCTTGGACTTGGTATTATCAAAATTAGATAAAATCTTCTGAATATCTTCAAAACATGAAATTTTTACTTTACCATCATTAGAATAAAACACCATTTCTTGTATAGACTCAAAATTATCATGAATATCTTTCACATACTCTTCAAAAGATCTCTTTTTATCACAAAATTCAATTTCCTGTGATTTATTAACTAATTCATAATTACATGGCGCACAAATAACAGGACTAATAGTAACATTCTCATCAACAAATATATCCTTTTCTGACTTGAATTCATTTATTTTAATCTTAATATTAGGCCTTTAAAGTTTTTAGCTTCAATATAATAAAAAAACTTAGCAAACCTATAAATAAAATGCCTTAAAGTTAGCATCAAATACATAGTATTTCTAGGTCCATGAACAGTAATATCACTTATAAAACGATTCTGATCAGCCATTGTCAAAAAGAGCCCTAAATCAAATTAATCATTCAAATATAATTTACATTAAGATGAGCTAATTCATAAAAATAATAAAATATACCTGGAAATCCACCGAAACCTTCCCATACTCCTCTCGAACCAAATGTCAAAAATACATCATGAATTTTCCTAGTTTTAATTTTCCTGCCTATACATGTTCTTTGAATTGCTTCTCCTGCACCAAATAAATATCTTTTTTTATCACAATGCATAAGAATAGATGGTTGAAAATTAGTATCAGCGCTAGGAATCTGAACAATTTGAACAAACGATTTCATATGTAGCTTCGTTGAATAGCAAAAGCTTCGAATGCCTGAATATACCCTTAATACCGCCGTTTTTTTAAAATATCTCAAAGCCTATCCTATCTCCCTTAAACAGGAATTAGGATAAAACAAAGGGCTTTATATAAACAACTATTTTCCTGATATTATTTCAATATATACCTTATATAAACAACTAGATGATCTACAAGGCCTATTTATATAAAATTTAATGATTATCTAGATTTCTGTCAATAAAACAAATAAATAACTCATATAAAATAAATTACTTATATAATTTAAAGAATTTTAATTCTACAATCATCCACTTTACCATATAATTAATATAGTTTACTAATAATCTTTGCCCTTTTGAACCCAAAAAAGAAAAAAATATAAAAAAATATAGTTTTATTCTAATTTCATAATAAAATTAGCCAATTTCTTAACTCTTCAGAAACTTTTCTGTTTTTTAGAGATTTTATATATATTTTAGAGGGCAATATCGCTTAAACCTTAGAAACTGATCGCAACCGTCCTCCAAAAAAATAATAGATCACATAAAAAATGGTAAAAGCAGCTACCTCTGCGCACAATAAAGCAGGTAAATCAATAAAAAAACATTTTTAGAATACAAAACCTTTTTTTCCGGAGAAAATACCTATTTTTAAGAATAAAAGCTAATTTTTTGTTTTTAGGAAAAGCTAAAAAAAAATGGTCTAAAGGAAAAGTAAAAGATAAATCAAACAATACAGTTATTCTTGATAAACAAACATATGATAGGCTTTATAAAGATGTTTTATCATATCGTTTTATTTCAATATCAGTATTCGTTGATCGTTTTAAGATTAATGGATCACTTGCTCGTAAAGCTTTAAAAGCACTTTTTGAAGAAGGAATTATTAAAAAAGTGGATATTCATCATGCACAAACAATTTATAGTATGTTTAATATTTTTATTTTATTTTTTATTCATTTTTTAGCACGAGCTACACCTGAATAAATTTAAAGCTTCAAATATATTAGTAATATATTCGACATTTTTTTTAAATATCAATTAATGTTTAAACATTGATTTAATTCATATAAATCTTAACTTATTTAATAATTAAAATTATTTTTTTTAAAAAGCATAACACTTCTATTAAAACATATTTAATTATAAATAATATGTTTCCTATCAGAATTACTTAATATATTAAAATTTTGATATTATTTTATTTAAAGTATCTTAAACTTGTATTATTTTTAAAGCTTAACGGCACCGAAGCCAAAGCACCGCAAAATACGGTAAAATCTTAAAAGATAGTTCTAGAGATAATTATTATCTTAAAAAACTATATAAAAGGGGGGAAAAGAGTGAATATATCATAAAATATAAGGTGTTTTTGTATAATGAAAAAAATGTATATTTCAAAGCCGTCAAAACCAATTGATCGACAAAAAACAACACCTTTTTTACTTAGAATTTTTTGTAAAATTGGGGGATTTCACTCGTAAGATATACTATGTTATTGATTATTAATTATACTTATTGGCTTACTTTGTAGAATTGAAGAATTTCAGCCAGAAAGCCAGCCAGTTGCAGATGAAGTTCAAATTTATACATGGTTTAACTTTTTTTAATAAATTATTAAATCTTATATTGACTTTATATTAAGGAAAGATGCAAGTCTTTATGAGCTTGCTCAACTTCTTGCTAAAGCAATTCCTAATAATAATAGCACACGATTTTCATTTCGTCTTATCTATAATGATAATTATAAAGAAAAATATTTAACAAAAGACATTGGTCACGTTTTGCTTTTCTCCAGAGGATTAGAAGCAAATAAAACCCTGGATGATGTTCGATTTGTTATAGGAGATTGGATTGATGTAGCTATCAATAATGATGAAGGACCTAAGACTCGAACATTAAATCGAGGTTTTGGAAGAGGACGAACAAATACATTAACAAAAGGAAGAAATCATCCGTATCCTGACTTGCCTCCAGGAAGAGATTGGAGAAAAAGAGATACTGATGGAAATCATGGACGCGGACGATTAGAACCTTATAAAGGAAGATGGTGATTTTTTTTTAAAACATTGTATTATATTTAACAAAGCATTCTCATTTACAAACAATTAAAATTTACATTTAGTTCTCTGTTAGTTTGTCCTTTATACCTTTACCTCTGAAATTCCATCTTCCCTCATTTAATATTAACTTTTTTTCATTCATTTTAAAAATATTATACTTCAGTAATTAAAGCAAGATATCCAATACAACTTGGAACAAAAATTCCCAGTACTAGAGATGCTACTACTGTCTTAGGTGTCCATTTAAAATATGTATGTTGAGATGCACGCATCTCTAAAAAAATTTATTAAAATCTAACTTTTTTTTTTGATTTTTTTTTACCAGCAAACTGCTCAATTGCCGGATCTTTTTTTAACACTTGATAGTTGTTAACATTTTCTTCAAAACAAAGCTTATTTTCTTATAAACTTACTGAATAACTTGCTAAAAGAAATTGATTTTTCGTAATTTGTGTAAAAACGAGTAAGAAGTTGGAACAAAAACTCTATATTTCAATAAAAAAAAGCTAAAACACAAAATGAACCTCTTAACAGCAGAGATATCAAGAAAACGAGAAGAAATTAAGAATGTAACAAGTCAAAATTCACAGAAATATATTAAACAAGGAGATCTTGAAAAAAAAAGAGAAAAAGCTTATTATGAAGAAAAAGAAAGGATGGATAATGAAAAAGAAGTATTAAAATAATTGATTATTGAATGACAAATAGTTAATGAATAGGAACAACGAAAAAAAAAACGAGAACTATTAGCTCAAGAGGAAGAAAAGAGGGTATTATTTAAAAAAAGATATCAAGAGTCAAGATTAGAAAAACAAGTACTTATTTTATTATTTCTTAGAAAATAGGAAGATTAAAAAAGATAATAGAATGAACTCTTAATGAAAGATATATCAGAAGAAGAGCTTATAAAAAAATTTAGAGAAAAAAATCAACCTATATGTTTATTTGGAGAAACATTTGAAGATAAAAAAGAAAGATTAATAATTTTAGAATGCGTAGAAGAACGAAAAAAAGTAATTAAGATTATTATTATATAGGTTTTTTATATTTTTTTAGAAACAAGACGAAATGTTAGGAAATGTAGAATCAGAAGGAAAAGCTATAGAATTAAAAGATGAGATAGAAGCACTAAGAAAAGAAGCAGAAAATGACGAAAGTGTATTAAAAATTAATTTGAATGAATTAAAAAATAATCCAGAAAATTTATATAAAAAAATACTGGTTTATTTTGAGGTATTTTAATAATATATGTCTTTATAAGATCTGAATTATCTTAAGATATTAATTGAATTGTGGAAAAAAACATTAGACGAACGTCCAGGTATAGATGTATATGTAATTTTTATAAATATATATAAATATTCCTTAGATGAAATCAAGGAATCTAAACAGGGAAAATCAGTATCAGCAAATCAACAACAATCACAAAAAGATCTTCAAGTATTTTTCAATTTATTAAAAAAGAAATCTATGAAAAGTGATATATTAGAAGGCGTTTCAAAAATTACATATCATTGTCAAAGACGTGAATATATAAAAGCAAACGATGCATATCTTCAACTTAGCATAGGAAATGCGGCATGGCCAATTGGAGTAACAATGGTAGGAATTCATGAACGAAGTGCACGTGAGAAACTTCATACAGGACAAACAGGTATATTATTTTTTAATAAAATTTTATATTTAAAATATTATATTATAGGTCATGTTTTAAACGACGAAGCCACTAGAAAATGGTTACAAGCAATTAAAAGACTTCTTACATTCATACAGACAGTAAAACCTCCTAATGATCGAAATCAACTCATGGGTTAAAATAATAATACATCAAATCTAAAGTAAAAATATACCATCTATTTGATGATTCAATATGGGTATAAACTGTACATAAATTAAAATCATACTGATATTAATTTCATAAAGATAATTAATAACCTATTTAATTTTAAGACAAAAAAATATTAATTTCTAATTTTTTTTCTTTTTCTCCTTCTTCTGCTTTGATCGGTTAATATTACACTTTTGTTCTTTAGTCATATCTTTGGAGAAATTTTCTAAAAATTCATCACTAACTAATGCCGGAGAATTTAACGGTAATATATCTCCCATTAAAATTCCTTTAGGAATATCTGGCAAAGAAGGTGGCTTATTAAATCCAGAAACAGGTACTTTCATAGGAGACATTTTTGTTGTTGGATTAGCTTGAAGATAACTTGATAACGCTAAGTACAATGCCTTTTCTATGCTGAATAAGAATAATTTTTGAGTCAAATAAAAATATACTTGTCTTCAATGATACATGAGAAGGAATACCATTTTCTTTAAATAAAATACGTATACGGCCAGGATTAGCCCAATCTTTAGGATGTGTTTTATTAGGCTATATTAGATCCATTAAGAAATTTATAAAAAAAATACAATAATAAATAACCTCAAAAATACAAGAAAAACCAAGAACTTTTGCACCATTTGCCATTATATTTGCTAAGGGATTTGTCACCGCTTTACTAATAGGAACTTTTCGTCCAGCTTTAATAGAACGTCTTGAATCAAAATATAAGGGATATAAAATACTCCATCTACGAAATTCCTTTGTATTTTCAATATAAATAATTTTAGATGTATCTGTATCCTCATAAAAAATTTTATTAGAAGATACATCTTCATTTAAAATTTGAGATTTTGTAGAAGAAATTGAATCCTGTTGAAAACTATCTTCAATATTCGATCCCATTTAATATTTTTTTAAATAAAACTTTATCAAAACTTTTAGAAAATTCAAAATTAACTTATATTTTCTTTTAACTCGACTTTAAGATTTGAATAACAAAGTTATTCAAAATATTAATGGATTTTAAAATAGAATTAACTTTTTATAATAATTTTATTATAAAAATAAAATTATTTAAATAAATTATTAAATAAATTATTAAATAATAAAAACAATATACATTTTTAAAAAATATTCAAATTTAATATAAAAAGATTAAAACAGAATTTTAAAAAAAATTAACATATAAAAACCTAAAAGATTATAATTGATATATAATGTTATATGATTCAAGATCAAAAATATCAAATCATTTAACAGTTAATTTCAAATAATATATAATTTTTATAATATTTTCATAAAATCAAAACTCTTAAAAATTTCCTATATTTCTGTATTTTAAATTATCAAAATTATATAAACTAAAAATCAAAATCAATATTCAAAAGTAGTGGAAACGAATCTAAGAACACAAACCTATTTTTATATAAAATAATATAGATTTATCAATAACTTAAAACTAGACTTTACGGATTTAAAGTGCTTCCTTCTGTAATTTCTCTTAAAGCTATAGTAGCATATGATGAACTTTCAAGCTGCATTTTCAACTTCACTGCTTTAAAAGAACCATCTACAATAATTTATATATAATAATAAGATTTTTTAAGATTACCTTTCTTATTGATCGTATTATTTAAAACATGATTTTCTATAAGGTCAATATCTGTAAGAGAAAGTTGTTCTTCTGGATCGTTATAATTTATAATTTCCCATTGCATCATTTTTGGTTTTGATACAATTAGTCGATATGAACCTGTCAAAGAAAATTCTTTTATAGAGCGAACCATATTCAGACCATCCAGGCCATCCTTTTTCATAAAATCCAAATAAAAATCCTTAATACAATTTTCTGGATATAAAATATCATGCCCTGGTGTAGGCAAAACAATATCATAAATTGAATAATTTGAAAGATCATCCTTTTTTAAATGTTTTACAGAAATAATCTTAGAAGACTTAACAAAATTTTCTGATTGTAAATTTGAACACTCCGAATCTATCATATCTTCATTTGAGTCGATAATTTGATCACAAATAACCAAATCACCCTCTATAGGAGTAAATCCAAATCTACAAAGACGCTCTGTAACCGCAAAGTTCCATACATAAGATTGATAAGCATGAATATACATTATTCTTAAATTTCTAGGTATCTAAAGATATTATATTTGCATAATTAAATTCTAATATAATACTTTCTGAAGAGCACCAGCATAATTAGGCGATTTAGATGACTCTTTAGCCAATGAAAGCAAAACAGAATACTCAGAAACATTTTTCTGAGAAGTATTTTTCAAAGCAATTTTCACATTTTCTATATTAGACCAAATTCCCTTTAATCCAATAGATTCATGCATTTCAATAGATTCTTTAATTTTTTCTGAAGCCTCTTTAAGTAACAATTCTACTGCTCCTTGCCAATCAGACTTAAGAAGTAAAATACCAACTTCATGAGTTGCAATAGCTGATGTTCCAAATCGTTGTACTCCATAATAATTAACAAAACCATTATTCTTTAATAAATTCAAACATTGATCTACTAATTCATCATCTTCCTTAACATCACTAAGAGACATTAAATATAAAATATAATAAAACTATTTTCTACCGCAAGATAATTGTAAATTCATTTCCTTTAAGATCACCCAACTCTAATTTAGTATTCGTATAAGAAAAATTCCCTAATTTAAAGCCTCTAAGAAGTTTATTCAAATTACAAAGTCTTTCTGCCTTTATTTTCCATGCAGTACACTGTTGAACAGTACATCCTCTTTTATCTTTCGTCCCAGCAAAAGAAAAAATTCGAGGTTTAACATGTAAATACTTAGAAAGCAAATTTATACATTCCATTGTATCCATATTTTCCTTATATAAATAAAACAAACAATATTCTCCACCAATATCTACCCAAAAATTTCCATAAGAACGGCAATTTTCTAAAATTATTAATTATACATATTCAACAAGAAAATAAATCACTTTTTGAAAATGTTATCTTTATCTTTTCTTCAACTGTAGTCGTTGTATCAAGTACACCTTTAAAAACCTCTCTAATAGCTGTATGAATAGCTGTACGGTATAATTTGTCTTTAAAAACCCCTGTTAAAACAAAATTTAAAGGACTCCTTTTATTTTCAAACATATGAAGAATATTTTCAAAAATATCTTCACCTATAAGATCATTTATCCTTTTAATTTCGTCAAGCTAATCAAAATCATCTATTTATTCCTGTTTTTTTTTCAAAAAAAAACATATTTACCTCTAAATTACAATTCTTAAAAGCATTATCATTCAATTCATGTTTTTTCATATCATAAAAGCTTGTATCTGTTATATGAATAACTTTTTCCTGATTATCCACTTCATTTACTAAAAAATCTGTATATCTGTTTTTAAAAAAAACAATCAAAACCATCCCATTGTCATAAATACATTAAGTAACCTTGATTTAAATAAAAAGTGAAGCTTTTTATGTATAAAATTCATCCGACATATAATACCAATTGATTCTTCTTTTTGATACTTTTTTTTACCATTTTCTTCAGTTTTAACCTCATTTTCTCTTATTTCTTGACACTGTCTTAACCTTTTTAGCCTTGAATTAAAAATCATATTGAATATTTCTTGATTTTCTACCCTTTTTTTATCCAGATTCTATACGTTTTAACATCAAAGTTAAGAATATCCGAAGAACTATTAAGAACTTTAGAATGGCTTTAAATGTATTTCCTAATAATCTCTTCCATTGTTAAGACTGGAACTAACATCTCTAAGCACGATCTCTGTATGATTCCTATGTATAGTTATCGTCCACGTCTATTATTAATGGGACTGAGAAGGTAGTACTAGAAGATAGAAAAAAAGAGTCTAAAAAGATAGTAGAAGTGGAAAATCAAGTACAAAAAGAGTGGTATTTCACAAGGTAAAAGGATATAATATTAAGAAAAAGGATCAGTAATTAAATTGAACATTAAAAGATGCCTCCAAATGAGACGCTTTTTCTTGAATCAACAAATCGAATTAATAAAGATGATATAAAGTAAGATGTTAGAATAAGATAGAAAAGAAAACTTATGGGAAAAGTTCATTTATTGATTTTCAAGTCTGGGATTTTCCAGGACAAATTGATTTTTTTGATTCTACATTTGATCTTGATGCTATATTTGGAGAAGTAGGGGCTTTAATATTTGTTGTTGATGCTCAGGGATTTTTTTATTGAAAAGTTTTATATTTAGTTAATATCAATAGGATGAATATTTGGAAGCACTTTCTAAATTACATATTACAATAACAAAAGCATTAGCAGTTAATCCAAATATAAATATAGAAGTATTTATTCACAAAGTAGATGTTCTTTCAGATGATTATAAAATTGGTAATATTTTTTGTATTAATGGTATAGACAGCTTATAAAATATAGATACACAAAGAGATATACAACAAAGAGTTCTTGACGAACTTTTAGATTCAGGATTTGATAATGTCTCTATATCTTTTCATTTAACATCGATATTTGATTATTCTATTTTCGAGGCATTTTCCAGAGTGATTCAAAAGCTTATTCCTCAATTACCAACATTAGAAAATCTTCTTAATATATTTTGTTCAGTAAGAAAGAAAAAAAAATAAATATTCTTTTTAACGTCATTAGAATTCTGTTATTGAAAAAGCATATTTATTTGACATCTCATCTAAAATATATATTGCTACTGATAGTTCTCCTGTAGACGTACAAAGTTATGAAATTTGCTCTGATTATATTGATGTAATTTTAGACGTTTTTGAAATTTATGGGTATTTTTATTATGTTTTTGATAATTTTACTAACATAATCAAGTTATGAACGGAAATATAATTCAAATAACGAAAATACTACAGATGAAAGAGAAATATCATCTGTAATTCGTTTAAGTAACGGAATGGCACTATATTTTCATGAAATCAACAGGTATCCTTCTGAAGTTACTTCAACATTTCTAATATTTTTATAAGATATCTTGCTCTTGTTTGTCTCCTGCGCACAGAAAATTTAGAAAAACAGAGCTTACTTGAATATAATGTACAATGTTTTAGTAAGGCTATTGAACAAATCATACACCAAATGACTTATACCTGCACTTAATGATTTTCTATTATTTTGCAAATATTACTAAAAACTGATACTTTTTCAAAAATCGTTAACATATTTGATTATTTTGTTAAATATATCTACTAAAAAAATTCAAACATCATAAACGTTCATCAAAAAAAAAACAATTCTATTATTAACAAATTTTTAAGTTTTATATAGGATTTTATGTAATAAAATTCATTAAAATTATTAAAACGATAAGATAAAAATAGAATTCATACAAATCAAATCCTTTTATTTTATAAAAAAATAGTAGAATAATTTCATTTTTCCAAGAAAACATAGCCTTTTAATAAAAATCTATTAATATTTTTTACTTTCAATAATGAATAAACTAATATAAAAATTCAAACTGAAAATATAACAATTATAAGTTTTATAATATCTCCTGATATAATTCTTCAATTCTTATACACTTATATTCTCTAAACCATAATATATTTCTATATCTATATCTATTAAGTCTAAACTTTTTGAAAATTATACACCAAAAACTTTAAAGAAGCTCAACGGAAAGGACAATAATAAGACTTTTATAAGTTTGAAAGGAAATGTTTATAATATTTTATTAGGAAAACAATTTTATGGGTCTTAAGAACCTTATAAAAGTATTACAAATAGAAATACCACTAAAAAACTTAAAAGAGAGCTTTAATATAGGTAAAAAATTCTATAAGGTGTCTGTAAAGTTACATATTTCGATATACATAATTACACCTTTAAACGAATCAATTGATAAACTTTTTGACCTTATAGATAATGGAAAACCTTAAATGATTAAAAACAATATTTTTAAATGAATTACAAATATCTTTATTTTTAATTATTATAATATTTCTAGAAAAAATATATTATTGTTGAAAAACTTGTAGAAAATAATTAGAAAACATTATAAATAATATTGAACAACCTCTTTAATTATATAAAAAAAATCATCATTTTTTATAACATCAAAATGTTTTCCTTTCACTTTTTTCAAACTAAATGTAATATTAGGATTCTGAATATGAGAAATAGCCTTTGCCATAATATTTGTTTGTCTCATACTTAAAAGTTCATCTTCTTCAGATTGAATCAAAATAATTTTACAAGCAGACGAACCAAGATAGTTAGATACCAAATACGAAGGACTTGCAACAATCCAATCTTGTCGATAATCACCAAAAGCCAGCTTTACAAAATCCTCATAAGAAGGATATTCATTTACCAATTCCAATAAATCATATATTCCTTCCACACAAATAATACAATATACAATATTTTTTGCCTCATTATCAAGCATAAAATATTGTATACCTAATGTTGCACCAGCAGAATGCCCAATAAGAATACATCGGCTTAATTTATATGATTTTTTAAGAAACGCAATTGCCTCTTTTATATCATTTAAATGTTCAGGGTGAACTACATGGGGTGATAATCGATAATTAATACTTGCATAAACTACTTTAGTTTGTCTATAAAACTGACTACGAAGAAAATTAATCAAAGCATGTCCATCTTTTGAATCATGCTTTACATCTCTCCTATAATACATATTAATGAAAATGCATCTATTTTAAATAAAAAAGCATTCTTTAAACATACCATGCACCTCCATGAATATAAATCACCCATAAATTTGATGAATCATCAATATAACCATCATCAGAAATAAATACATCAATCTTCTTTAAATTTTCAACCAAATCACCATATGATAAAACCAATTCAGGCATAATATTCTTACAGATAACATATATATTTTATATGATTCAGATAAAGTTTTCAAAAATATAAAAAGAAATTACAATAAAAATTTCAAAATAAATATCTATAAAACAATCCCTCATTAAAACCTCGTAAAGCTTAAGATTCTAAAATATCTAATATAATATTTCCAAAATATTAATAAAAAATATAAGAATTTATCTTTTTTTATTAATATAATAAATATTTATCTAAAAAATCTCTAAAATCCAAAATATCCTATATAAATCATACTCTTTCTCGTATAATAGGTATTAAACAATATATTAAGATATTTATATCAAAAAAATTAATATTTATGAAAAGTCTAAGGTCAATTGACCCGCAATTCTAAAAAACATTATCAATATCTTTAAATATAGAAACAATACCTTTCTAAATCTTCCACTCCTAATGATATTTGTGTATTTTCATCTTTATTTTCATGTTCACGTTTAGATGCCGCTGCCCTCCAGATCGCTTCCTTACAAAAAATACGAATATATTCTGAACATAAAGTTAATGCTGATGCAGAGATTTTAGTCGTTGGATCTGTAAAAGCCAATGAAAAAATCTTAGCAATTGTCTGAGGAGGATAGGTTTTTTTTGCATCCATATCTCTTTGATCCATTATGATTTATTGAATAAGTCTTTAAAAATCTTTCAAATATTGTCTGTTTTTTAAAATTAATACTGTAATCAATATTTTTTTTTAATACGAAAACTCTTAAATTTAAAAAGAAATGGTCAAAAACAATTTATTGTGTATCTAAAGATACCTTATGTTTTGTTATAGGATGCATTTTTTTAAAATATATAAATATATATATGAAAATATAAATGAACATCAAAAAAATCATAATAAACCTTAAAGAATACACAATACAAGAAAATCCTCGGTATAAAATGAAAAAAGTACTAACTAATCAGATAAACATGAAAAATCCATTTGAATTATAATTGTTAAAAAAAACAGATAATCAATAATTATAAAATTGAAAATACATTTCTATTAATAATTAATGAAAATAAAGCAATACTATATAATTAACCTTTAATAATAAGAATAAACTCGGATATTTTAGCTTATATATCATCTTCTCTAACAGGAGTAAAAAAATAAGGATGAGAAAGTGCTTCTTTTGCAGTAATCCGTTTATTAGGATCGTATATAAATATTTTGGTAAGTAAATCCAAAAAATGAGTTTTTAAAGGAGAAGTAGAAGGAACGATTTCCTATAAATAATCAATAAGAAAAAAACCTAGAAATAAAATTACTTTTAGTGATCGCATTGTTTTAACAAACTTTCTACTTGAAGGCGATGTATCTTTATTAGGATAATCTAATTTTCCACTATGACGAAAATATTTCTGAGCAGATTTCCTAATAATCATAAATATTATTCTTTAAAGATTAAATCAATTACGAAGATTGTCTTATAAATTTCGGCTCCAATTTTCCACAAATAATTTCCATCATAGAAAGATGTTCTAAATTATCATGTGTCTGAAAAAGAGCTTCACCTGTAAAAAATTCTATAAGAATACATCCTATTGACCATATATCACAAGGATAAGACCATCCCATTCCTTTGAAATTAATATATACATTTAGCCGAAATAAAATTTACCCAAAATAATTTCAGGAGCCCTATAATGTCTAGTGCTTACAACACTTGAATGATATTCATTTTCAAAAGTAGCGCTTCCAAAATCGATAAGTCTTATTTCCGTGTTATTTAGTAATCGTTTTACTTTTACGCCTAACTTTTTAGTATAAGGAACGGTACGAAATCCCGCATGAACAAGAAGAATATTCTCGGGCTTAAGATCTGTGTGTATTAAATTAAGATCATGAAGAACTATTCACACTATATTATCATCTCCATAACGATTAAAAACTTACATGCAACACTGGTAAAAAGCTGATACGCGAAATGCTGAATATGTGAAAGAGGAAAAGGAATAAAGCTATTGTTTTTTAAAAAATCGAAGACTGACATTCCAAGAAGACCCATCACAATACATATATGATTTCTATAATCAAAACAATCTCTCATATGAATACATTTTCTAAATTTATTGGTTTTTTTTTTTTTGAAAAAAAAAAAACAAACCTCAAATTTTCAGGATCATTTTCACTGATAGTACGCAAAACCCGAAGCTCTATCATACTCGCATCTCGATATTTTTGAATAGACCGTATTACTTTAATGGCACAATAATCTTTTTTTAAACGATCATAACATTGAATCACTTTGCCAAATGTTCCTTGACCAAGAACTTTTATGATTCTATCTTCAAAACATAAGAAAAAAATCTTATAAAATATAACTTTTACAGCGCGGTGTCAAGTCGGAATTAGGAATAACAATATAATGCCCATCATCATCATCGAATTTTACTCCATCTGTCGGATATAACTATAAAAACTAAATATATATCCAACAAAAAATCCCTTTTTCATACATCTTTAATTAACTTCACATAAACCTCTTTATTTTTCAATGTTTGTTTTTTTGACATAGTCTCTCGTGATAACAAAGATACTCGTTCCTCATCCAACCATGGAGGTGCCAGTTCACTTAATCCCCGTCGAATCATTTTTGTAGGTGCTAACGGAGGATATGTTGGCTGATATAATACCGGCGGTCTCGTAAAAAATTCTGGATATCCATATGCTGCCACTCGAGATTCTGTTAAACCATATCCTCCTGGTACTTCTCCTATCATTCTAGACCTTCAATACTCTTTGATAACCAAAACTAATATCTATTTTTACTTTTCCTCTATTTTTAAGCTTATTAATTTTCCCACTTAAATCTCTTTAAAATCTCCTATTTTTAATATTTATTAGCCTTAACCTTTTTAAATACTTTTAAGATACAATCTAAGACCTTTCTTAAGAAAAAAATAGGCCTCTTAAACTACTTTTTAACTTAATCATCCACTCCGTTTTTTTTGCTGTTAAGACTCCTCCACAGCTGCGATTTTTTTAAATACAAAACCCAGTATTTATTTTTAAGGGATTTATACAAGAAAGAAGCAAAAACATAAGAGGTTTTAAATATTTATAAATGAATTTCTTTACAGTTTAAAGAACAAATAAAAATTCAGGATTTAAAAAGGATTTAAAGAAGATTGAAATAATAATATAAAAATATATGAGGAAATGATAAGAGTTGATAAGATATATTAGAAGGGAAAAAGACGTTATTTATATAAAAAAGAGATTTATTATTCTTTACGGAAATAATTTTAAAGGAATCAAATATAAAGATTTAAAAGATATATGAAAATATTGATTAAAAAGAAGTTAAAAAAACTTTGAAATTAATACAATATTATTTGAAAAACAAGAAAATATAGAGTATTTTAGTAACGAAATTTAAGACTTCAATATAAGAATATTGAAAAAAGGGAAAAAAAAAGAATTATAGAGAAATCAAAAGAAAATCTTGATATTTGTTTTAAAAATTTGCAAAAAACAAATTATTATGATGAAATCATCAATTAAACTAAAAGATGAAAATGAAAGATTAGAAAAAACAGTAAGTTCTGAGGGTAAATCGATAAATTCAAAGAAATCAGCATCAATATCACAGACAACAGAAGAATGGTTAAAAAAAGCCCAAGAATTACCATTTTTTATGAAAAATTATGATAAAACAAAAGATAATGTAGCAATAGATGCAATTACAGCTTTACAATATGAAGGAGAGCCTCTAGAAATCGCAGAAAACTTTAAATATCATGGAAACGAATGTTATAAAACTAAAAAATATCAAGATGCTATAGAATATTACACAAAAGCATTAAAAACTAAGGCAGGAAATGAGATTGAAACAGCTTGTCTGTTAAGTAGAGCAGCATGTCATATGGAACTCAGTAAGAAAGATATAAGATGTTTTCATACTTATTAGAATCCAGAAAATTATCGTCAAGTGTTAAATAATTGCTATGAAGTTTTAAAAAAGGATCCAAACCATACAAAAGCGTTATATCGTTCAGCAAAAGCTTGCTTTTTTTTGGATAGGCTTGATGAATCTTTAAATCATATCAATCATTGTTTAAAAACAAATTATAATAATGATATATTTAAATCACTTAAACAGAAAGTTCTTGAGCGCAAAAAATATTTAGAAAGAAAATCCAAAGAAGCGTATGAAAGAAAAAACATCTCTTTTATAAAAAAAACGACTCTTCAAAAAGCACTTAAGGTAATTTTATTACAAATAAATAAAAAAAAACTTAAATTTATATAGGAACGAGGAATAATAACAAAATCATCACAAATTGAACCAGATATGGGCGATATTGAACTATGCTTATCATCTCCTTTGGATATTACATCAACTTTACTATTCCCAGTGACTTTTTTATATCCTCTTGTTTTACAATCAGATTTCATCACACAAGTAGCAGAAACTAGTACTATCCAGGAACAATTAGATTTAGTATTAGCTTCAAAACCTCAATGGGACAAAAATAATGAATATTCACCCTCAAATGTTGAAGTGTGTATAGAAACAAAAATAGGTGAAATAATTAAAGTTAAAAAAAACGCACAACTTCTTGATGTTCTAGCAAACAAAGTTGAAGTACTAGATGGAATCGTTCGACTTTTAATCCTACCAAAAAACAAAATTGATTTATGGATAAATGAATGGAAAACAAAACAAAAACCATAACTATCAGGTGAACATAATTTTAAATTCAATAAAAGAAGCATAACTACTTTATAAATATATGCAATAATAAAGAATATTAATATGGAAAAAATAATACACACATATTCACTATCTTGTATTCAACATTAGAACACCTAAGTTTTATAACCCATTATCTTTGCATAATTTTCTATTTCCTGCTCTGTTAGTCGGTCCTGACCTGACCAATTAGCAGAAGAACTTCGTGATCTAAACCGCATATGAGCTCTATCTTTCCCTCTAAATATTTCTTCCATTTGTAAAGGTTTCATAGGACCAAAAATTTTATCCGGATCTATCTTTGCTTGCATTCTTAATATTTGTGTCAATTCAGGAGATTCTGCCCACTGAGGCAATGTTGTTTTAAATCTTTTCTTTAATTCGTCATCATCAGAATAGCTAATAATAATTAATAAAAATAAGTAGCTTTTCTCATTGATCACTTACTCACTATCAATTTCAGGGAGTTCAATAGATTCAGATTGTGGATATTGATGAGAAACAGGAACTGTTTTAGAAGATTCTCCACCAAATCTAATATTATCTGTTGAAAACTTTACAGTGTCTACTATAGGACCAGTTATTTTCCCACTTTTCGAAGATGATATTTGTTGATTTCCTTGATATCGACTTTGTAGGAGTCTAGTATGTTTCTGGGGCATTGCTTGAATATTTAAACACGAACCCTTTTCTCTAGTCTGAGTTCTAAGAACAAATGGATCCTTATCATCCTTCTTTACGGAAGATATATGAATAGGCATGTTGGATATGCTTTCATTGGAAATATCGTCCGTTTTTCTCTTTTTTACTTCTTGAAACAAAGATTTATTTGAAACAGAAAAAGAATTCCAATTTTCTTGCACTAAATCATCTTGAAGTACCCTTTTAAATGTTTTAGCTTCCATATTTAATGTATTCCTATTCTTCCCATCGCTATTAATAATATCTTCAAGAGGTCCTCGCTCCTTTCAAGAGTTAAACAATCATAAAAATGCTCAATAAAATGACATACATTATTATCAGAAGATATTGTACAAATCTTTTTCGCTACAGATGACGAATGTTCAAGTCTTTGCGGTAAAAGCTTCTTTTTTGTATCATTAATCTAAAATATCAGAACATTATAAATATATTATTAATACTAACTTTTTCAGAATGGACTTTTCGCTGTAAATCTTCCCTATGCCATTGTTCTTGTTTTTTGTTTTCCTCTTGTTTCTTAAGATTTTCTTGTCTCTTCCGTTCTATTTCTTTTTTATGTGCTAATTTTCTATCCTTTTCTTCTTGTTCCTAGTATCATTTAATTATAGTAATTATAAATTCATATTTTTCAAACCCTTTTTCTAGCAAGATTAGCCGCCGTAAGCGCTTTAATTCCTTTAGATGGTATTAACCGTTTTGCAGATCGTGATTGAGACAAAACAGATAATTCACGAGAACAAGAATCATTGAATTGCATAGAATCGGTTACAGAACAATTATCTTGATTCTGAGAAGTTTGACTAGCGAAACTTTGTTGCAACGAAGTTGCAAAATCTGTTTTCTGTACCTTATATTTATTAATAAATATTTTATTTTATAAATAAAAAAAATTACCTTCCTTTTTTCAGCAAGATCAGCCTGTCTTTGTGATGCAGTAGTTACTCTTATGGAAACAGGTTTATTTTTTGCTATAGAAACAGAATTAAAACTAGTTAATTTTACTGGTTGAGAAGGCTGGATCTTTAAATTTTGACATGATAGTTCTTGAGAAACAAATTTATTTGCCATTAAACTTACTTCTTCATGAGAAATAGAACTAGTCAAAGCAGAAGATTTTTTAGCCAAAAATCGAGTCTTATTAATATTCGTTTCTTGGCCATAGTCACATGCTTTTATAGAATTATGTTTTGTTTCAATTATATTACTGGGTTGTTCTACTTCAACTTTATAGGTAGTATTTTTCGAAAGTTCATTGTTTTCCTCTAAATTCACTTTAAGATCAGAAATTCTTTTAGAATCCAAACATGTATTTTCATCATATGAACTATTAAGAACCTTTAATGGTCGTTCTACAGCATTTTCTATAGAATTTCTTGGAAAAGCTTTTGACGATGGACTAAAGAAAACAGATGTTGCTTTTCGAATAGCCTGAGTTGCAGAATTCCTTGCAGCTTGTATTGCACCAATAACAGAAATTGCTGGAATAGTTATAATAGATGTTCGACGTTGAGATGTATCTTTCAATTTGTTAGGAGCTGTCAAACCTTCATCAGAGTCAGGTTCATTTTTAATCTCATTAATGTCATGAAAAGGCAACTCTTTTTCTTGTTTCATAAGTGTATTTACAACCGGCCTATTTAAAATATCGACTTTGGAAACCCAATATTCCTCATTTTCTATTTGTGAAGCTGTTTCATGCAAACACTCACCAGAAGAGACATTATTAATAGTATTAGAAACTTTATTAAATGCAATTAAATTATTTTCTGGTTCAAATATTTTTGTTTCTATATCAGGTTGTTGCTTTTGTTCTACAGAAGCTAGTTTAAAGTGTCCAGAAGTAGGCTTTGTAATGAGAAGAGAACTTAATGCTTCATGTATTCTTTGACTACCGCTTGTGAATACAGTTTTAAGTCTTTGCTCACTGATGTCATGCTTATCGATTTCATCAAAAACCATTTTTTTTCCAGATATTCCTTCTGAAATATGCTGTTTTTGTAAATCTTCTGATAGCCTATTCTCTAAAACAGAACTATCTTCTTGATTCTCCTGCTTTAGCATTTCATATAATTTAGAATCAACAATTTTCTGACTTTTTACAGTTTCAGAAAAAGATCCATGCCGTGAAACTCTTTTTCCTAAAGACTTTTTTGTATTAAGAGGTTCCCTTGGAGGAAGTGAAACAAAATTTAATGATGACGATAATGTAGGAGGCGAAAACGACACTTTATTAACAGTATTATCAATAGGCGGAGAAAAATAAGAATGTATTATAGATGTAGATGTACAACCAGTATCAAGACCAGACATTATTTTGGAATCCAAATGATGAAGTGAATCCGAATCATGAAGAGGAGATATAGCATCTTTATTTTCTAAAACAATGTCATAATCCTTCTTAAATTTAACTGATTTTTCAATATCTATACTTGTTAATAAATTTCCTGAAAAAACAAAAACTCTAAAACCAGATTTAAAAGATTTTTCTTCAGGAGATACAATATTATCTTTTTTCAAAACACATGGAAACTTTGTTTCTAAGTCATCATTCCTTGATAACACTTTAATCTCAACACTATCAAGAACCTCCTCATCCACTTCATCCTCTTCAGTAATCATTTCCATAACTCTTGTCGATGAAGAATCATATTTTAAATTTATATTTTGTTCATTAGATTCCATAATAGAAAGACTACTATCTTCACTTTCACTTAAAATATCATCATAATTAATATCCATATTCTCTGAAATATCCATGAATTCATTTTCTTTTAAATCTTTTAATGGTGAAGGAATCAATTTAAAACTTAAACTTTTAAGCAATAAAGATTCTTTTCCAAAATTTTCTTGACAAACAAAGTAAGATCCCTTAAAATCAATAAATAAACCATAAATAACAATAACGTCTCTTATAAATAATCACCTTTTCACTAACCAAAGGAGCCTCTGAACAAACAAAACCTGACTTAGAATAATCACAAAAAGTGCTATAAAAACAATCAGAACCGAAAAAAAAATATAACGAAAAACCTTTCACAATTCTTAACAACATCTTCCATATATTGATTAATCCATTCCAAATTTTCTACAATTTTTAAAGCAAAATCATTCAACTTTTCATTCGATAAATCAGAAAGATATTTTACTTCTTGAAAAACCCATGATGAACTCCCAATTTCATTAATAAGAGGTTTCATACTAAAAGAACGACATTAATCCTCCTATAAATCCTCTATTTCTAACCCTATTTAACTATAAAATTTTATATTTATTTGATTACGGTCGATTCAAAACATATCCTAATCACGTGAGCATCAAACTTAAAGAAACATTAAGATAAAATACTTGAAAATTCTTCAAAATTTTCTTTAAGAACTATTATTCAGTTAAAAGATTATGTTTATTCTAAAAAAGAAAAATTACTTTCTGAAGAAGTTTATTTTCATAAGAATTGATCGAATTTTTGATATTATGTTAAATAACCACATATATAAGTGTATTAGTGAAAATTAAAAAGAATTAAAAATTGTAAAATCCAATACATATTTCAAATGCAAACAAAAAATGGTATGGATAATGATATTGATTGCCGACTATAATATGAATGTATAGAAGTTTTTGTATTTATATTTAATATATACATAATTATTGGCTAGCATTAAGACGAGCTTCATGATTTAAAAGCCTCTAGACCTTCTGGGAGTTTCGCTTCCTTTTAAGCCTTTTCTATTTAAACCAGGAGTAGCTATTCTAGCAGCAGCAATTGCAGATTTTTTTGTACGCAAAACCTCCTTTTGTCTTTCTTCTTCTAGTTGTATTTGTCTTTCTCTTTCAGCTTGAATTTCAGCTTCATACTCTAATTTTCTAGAAATAATACGTTCAGTAGCCTTCTTGGATATACTAAACCCTAAAAACAAGTCAATTCATATTTATTAAGCTATATCTAATATTATAACCTTTTTCTTTAACAGAATAGAACATTCCGCCTAGTTCCGCTAACCAATATGGATCAACTGATGTAACAATACTCATATATTCCTTTGATGTCAATATTAATTCATGATATATTACATAATCAGGAAGATAGCCTAATCCATAAAGAGAAGATGTAGGATGTAAATGACAAGGCATTCCTGATCGAATATGTACATATTCTCCTATTCCTTTAACTTTTGCAGCATGATGAAAGTACCCAGAACAAATGCATTTTCGAATAACGTCCCAATCTGATCCACAAGAAATAGATTTCATCTTCCGAAATTTCATAATATCCACCAATTGTTGACGAATCTCCCGCGCTTAAGATATTAAATATGATAATTTAACCTAACACTAACTCACCTCTACGCATTACTTTTGGATGCAAAAAATGCTTTGTACACCATTCATCACGATAACCATTCGATTTCCATTGAGAATATACATGCAACAATGTCAAATGATCAGACTCTGGAACAAAAAATTTTTCTCTAGCAGCATCACTTTCTTCTTGTCTTTCTTTAGGCCTATAAAAAACAGAAGGAACAGATAACATTGAAACTATAGTTAGCATTTCCTCTGTACATCCATAATCCTCAGATGCTATTATTAACTTCGAAAGAGGAGGATCCATAGGAAAAGAAGACATTCTTTGTCTAATATAATTAATAAAATAAAAAACTGATAATCAAAATACCCTAGAGGGGTCAAATTACCGATATTATCTACAGCACCCAATGTCCAAAGATCAAATAAACTTGACATTATTGTATCCTCAGGTGGAGGATCCATAAAATCAAAATTAAGTAAATCCTTAACTCCAAGAGATTTAAGTAGTAAAATTGTATTCGCTAAGTTGGTGCGTTGAATTTCTGGTATAGTTTGTATATAAAGTTCATTTTGGAATGCTGATTCAGTATATAAACGATATGCAATCCCTGCTCCAGTACGACCTGCCCTTCCTGATCTCTGGTTTGAATTCGCCTGGGATATAGGAGTTATTTGAAGTGCATCCATACCCATTCTCGGATTATAAACTTTTAATTTACAATATCCGGAATCAACAACATACATAATCCCATCCACTAAAACAATATTAAAACAACAATAATAATAATAATAATAAAATATTACATGTTAATGAGGTTTCTGCTATATTTGTTGCAACGATTACTTTTCGAGCACCATTCTCAGCACGCTCAAATATTTTTGCTTGAAGATCTGCTGGCATCTGTGAGTAAATTGGTAAAATTAATAATTTAGGCGGATTATCAAGTTGCTCTAAACGTTCCGCGATAACTTGACAAGTTATTTCAATGTCTTCTTGTCCTGTCATAAACACCAATATATCGCCTGATGGATGTGACAAATGAATAGTAAGCACCTGTTTAACAGCACTATCTACATAATCTTCACATGGTGATTTAGAAAACAAAATGTCTACAGGGAAAGTACGACCGGGTATATTAAATTGAGGAGCATTACCGAAAAACCGTGAGAATCGTTCAGCATTTAATGTGGCAGAAGTAACAATTAATTTCAAATCCTTTCTTCGAGTCAATATATTTTTTATTAATCCAAGCAAAATATCAGTATTAAGTGATCTTTCATGTGCCTCATCCATAATAATACATGAATATTTACCTAAATCTGGATCAACAAGTGATTCACGTAATAAAACACCATCTGTCATATCTAAAATAAATTAATAACTAAAATACAACTTAAAAGGCAAAACATTTAATAACTGTATCAGAACTAGTACAATCTTCAAAACGAATAGCATAACCAACAACTGTACCTAACTTTACCATCATTTCTTCACTGACACGCTTTGCAACGCTCATAGCAGCAACTCTTCGAGGCTGTGTGCATCCAATCAAACCATAATTAGAATAGCCATCCTCATGTAAAAACTGAGTTAATTGTGTAGTTTTTCCTGATCCTGTTTCACCTATTACAATTGTTACACGATTTTCTCTTATAACATTTAAAAGTTCTTCTCGAACTGCAAAGGCAGGCAAATATTCCCTTTGTTCTGTTAAAGACTTCCCACGAGAAAATTCACTCGCTGCCTCCGATTTTTTCATATAAGTAGAAAATTTATTACTTTCTTTAATATCCTCATCTTCTCCAAGTTTCTGCTTAGACTTTGCCTTTTCAATTTTATCCTTAACTTCATCTCTAATATTCATCAAATTCCCTAGCGTAGTGCCAGCAAGATTTGCAACTTCTGCACTCGCTTTCATTCTTTCTGAAAGTTCTCTACGTTCTCGCACAAGTAATGATCCTTTACGCGCAAAAACAGCCATATCACTTTGAGGATCTTTAACAGCAGAAACAGAATCTTGCTTGCTAAAAACTTGTCTACCATCAAGAAACAATGGTTTCAGATCATGAACCAAAAGATGTACTCTATTCTCATTTTCATCTTCAAAATCCATATCAACAAAAGAACGTTGAGCTACACCAGATACAAGCATCCGATTCATCTCCCAATGATCATTCTCTCTATTAAATTCTCTTTGTTTTGCAGATATTCTTTTGGTTTTTTTTTTAAATAACATTTCATTCTGATTTCTTTCTTGATCTTCAAATTGAAAAAAAGGATTATGAGTATCATCCCCATAAACATTACCAAACTCATCTGCATTATACCAATCACGATCTAGTTTTGCTTCATTATTTTCCCATTCTACCAAATCATAATCATTTTTAATATTTTCCTGAGAAGTTGATTCTTGATTATTCCAAACAGAACCAGTAACTCTGGGAGTATTAAGATATTTCATTTTATCCATTCCATTTGTATTTATAGGTAAATCCGTATTTCTTTCAATATGTTCCAAATCACCCATTTTATATAACATTTCCGGATCATTAGAAAATGATTTAGTTATTGAAACATTCCTATCAAAAAACGAATAATTATTTTCGTTAAAACGACTATTATGATTATTCGATCTACCATATTCCATATCCTTTTTTTTCTCAAATAATCCTGATAAATATCCTTTAAAAAAACGTTTACATAAAATAATATATTACCTTTCATATTATCATGTCTTGACCTATACAACCTTAAATTTTCCTTAGAAACTTCACTAAGCCCAGAACCATAACTAGGTGTATCAATACGACGAATACGTGCATTATTTCTAGAACTAAAGCTACCATCTACTTTTTTAGAAAGCGGCGCCTTAAATTCAATATTAGGACTCTCTAAATGTTTATCATTTATATCTGAACATAATCGTTTCATATCTTTTTCCATTTTTAGCCCTACATGTTCTCTTTTTTTTTGAGATAACTTATCTAACCCTAAAAGAGATGGCCTTTGAACAATTTTTGGTCCACCCATGTTTGCTGGTCCTGAATTCATTGGCAATAATCCTCCTATCTCAGGATTTAAAGATCCTGGAAGTTGATCCACCTCGGACGAAAAAACTGTTAACTATTTAACCCTATCAACCTTTTCCATAAAAAAACAACTTTATTCTTACACATTCCGGGACCTCTTCCTCCAGCAACTTAGACTTTTCTTCACGAATATCTTTCCATAATGTTTCTGCCACTTCATCACTAAATCTGCCAAATGTTCGAATAGCTTCAGCAAATGAACAAATATCTGCCATCTCAACAGCTAAAGAAACAACCTTTTTTGCAAGAACCTCATTAGGATTCATTAAATTAAGATATCTTGAAAGACGAATTGCTATTGTATGTATAAACTCATCTCCAAACCCTGAAAATGACTTCATAACATTAAAAATAGAAAATCTATCTTAAAAACAGAAATATTAAGAAGATTAAGAGGGTTAATACTTTATTTCTTAAATAGATTTTCTATTCTTAACTTTTTTTTTAAAAAAGTAGGTTAATTCTTAAGAAATTTTCGAAGATTTTTAATTAAGTGTTAAGAATGATATTAAGAAGTTTAAAAGAAAATAATAAAATTCTTAACAAAAGATTAAAATTTTCCTATAATTTAATAAAATTTAATAGAAATGTCTTATATTTTTGTTCAAATTCATCTAAATTTATTAAAGAAGAGACAAAAAAAGTCTATTTTCCAGTTAGAAGATTAACAAAAGATGAAAATGAGATTATTTCTAAATGTATAAGAGTAAATCATGCAGGAATGTTTAGTATTTGAAAGGGGTAGTTTTAATATTAGATTTAGGTGAACTAGGCGCTAATTATATTTATGAAGGTCAATATTTTGTTTTATCAAAGACTAGACCAGATGTTGCACCAATTATTATGGATATGTGGAATCAAGAGAAAAAACATCTTGAAACATTTAATGAGCTTCTTATTAAACATAAAGTAAGAGCTACGGAACTAAAATATCTTTGTAAAACATTGGGATTTGCATTGGGAGTAGGAAGTGCGCTTTTAGGAACAAAATCAGCTATGGCATGTACGGAAGCAGTTGAAACGGTGATTGGTGAACATTATAATGATCAGTTGAGAGAAACTATGTGTCTAAAGGGATATAGTTCAGAAATTGATGATTTACGTGAAAAAATTAAAAAATTTCGTGATGAAGAATTAGAACATCTTGATATTGCGGTTAATTCATGGGATTCTAAAGGATCTTTTGCTTATGGTTTAATAACAAATATTGTTAAGGTTTATAATTTTTCTTTCATTTTGAAATTTATCAAAATGATTTTAGGCAGGTTGTATTGCAGCCATTTGGGTTTGTAAACGAATATAAATAGTCCAAAAACACCTATTGATCTTTAGTTTCTAATTCAATGTATTACATATGAATTTTTCTAAATATTACAAATTTTTATTTGGCTACCATTTTTAAGTAACATAAGAAAAAAAAACATCAATATTTCACTATTATTTTTCTTAACAACTACAATAACACAAAGTACTTTAGATGCCTATATGATAAAAAATTATAGTATAATCTTAAAAACAAGTCAATATATTTAAAAAAATAAATTTCCAAGATTTGATTACTATTATAATATATTTTCTAAATTATATAATGTAACGACATAATAAAGACAGATATCCCATATTTTCTGCCTAAAAATAGAAACCTTAAAATTTAGTAATTTTAATATTTTTTAGGGATTATTCAAACAAAAACACTGTCAAAAACCCAGAATCTACTTTAATTCATCTGAATCCCTATACATATCAATGACTTTAAAAGAATCTTGAGCAGTTTTATCAATATGAATATTTTCAGTAAACATTACACACAACAACATGGGAACAGCGCATATTACAGAACATATATAAAGAGTTCTCATCACATCATTATATGCTAAAACAATAACCATTCTTCCAACCGTGCCCTTAGCAAATTTCACGTGTTGATCAAGCATAAAGGGACTCCCAATAATTAAAAGATAATCGCTTGGAGTTAAAAATAAATTTAAATATTTAGAATAAAAATTTAACATTTTTGGAAGAAGATTAGACCACACAATACCCGAAATTGCAGATCCGATAGCACCACCTACTGATGCCAACTTATATTTTGTCAGTAATTAATATATTCAATAACTAAAATACCGTTAAAAACACAGCAGTGTTAATAGCAACTTCTACAATATTTAAATATCAAATATAAATAAACCATCAACTTACGCTGACGAGTTGATGAAATTTGAATTCCAACTAAAGTAGACATATTATAAAACCCCCCACTAATACCGATTATAGCTTGAGAAATAACCATTTCCATTACTGATTCATCAGTTCTAAGATTATATATCATAAATATTATTCCAATTATATAAATTGGGGAGCCAATATAAACAAAGATCCTATATATTTTATTATATTTCACAAATATACCAACAAATATAGCAACAATAGTTGAAGTAAATGAAAATACATTACTAAAAAAGTTAACAATACTATAGTAAAAAATAAAAAAAACGTACTTTAAATACCCAATTCTCTTGATAGAATTAGATTTGGTAACATAGAGATAAGTAGTGAAATAATTATTGTAAAGATAAAATCCCATAAAATAAAAAAATGAAGAAAAATATCCTATAGTTATTTCCTCCATTTTAAACAAACCCTTACTAAAAATTGGGAATTTTGCATAATGGAATTCCCATAAAGGAAATACAACACATAAAACAATTAATATAATAAGTATCGAAGAAATATATACTGATTTAGCATCATAAAGAACAGGGAATTCATGAATTAACTGAAAAAAAAATAAAGAAAATCCTAAAGATAATATTATAATTCCAACAAGGTCAAGTTCAACGAAAAGTCTTTTTATAAATGCACATATTGTCCTGCTATGATTATCTTCTATAGATAATAAACCCATTTCTTTAGCTTTTAGACGATTTAAATATAATATTGAAACCATAGGAAGAGATACTACAGAAAGAACAATCGCCCATATACCATAACCCCATCTCCATTGTTCACTATCTGATTTCGGCATATAAATACTTTGTGCTAAATTTGGCCCCACCCAAACATTAATAAGAAGAGGTATATTAAGTATAGTATTTAAAAGACCTCTATTTAAAAGTTCAGAGGTATCTTATTAAAAATTAATAATTATATATGAAAAACTGAAATTTAAAACCTGTAATAACAAATTGTTCAAGAACATGAAAACCCGTAGTACCAATTGTATGAAAAATAGATGATATAATAAATGTAATAATATTCTTACTTATCATATACATCAAACATCCTATTTTAAAATTAAAAAAATACCATTTTATACAAAAAATAAACCTATATCATATAATAAAAGAGAAATACAAAACACTTCCATAATACCAATTAATCCGCTTAATCTTAACATCTGCTGTTTTACAGCCGTATATAAAATCCCATTGATTGTATTAATTAAAGGAATTAACGAGTTTTTACCAAAAGAAGATGTTGCAGGAAGAATAAAATTAGAAGTTGTCTGTGATTCTAAAGAAATACAATACATCACAACAAAAACACTATTATATCAACATACGGTATACTCAAAAAAAAAAAAAACCTAATATATATAATAATAAGTGATTGTTTGGTCCAAATAACAGAAATATCCTCAACTCCTTCAACATCCCTTTGAGTTTTTTGCCTTAAAAGATAACTTTCTTCTGATAACCCATCTTTATATTAAAAAAGTGAAAATTCTTTAAAAAACCTACCAGAAATCATCTTAAGGAATATATATATTTCTCACAAAGATGAGATCTTCTAGAGCTATATAAGCTCATAAATCCTTATAAAGAGGCTAGTCTCCTTGAATCTTTTAAAAACAATCTACAAAAAAATAACGAGGACGTAAAGCAGTAAATCTCGAGATCAAATAAAATTATATATGTATATATATTGATTTTATATTTATATTTATATATACAACATCTTTAGATTAAACTATTTAAGAGGCTTTATAAAAATCATAGAAGCATTATGATTCCTAAAAGTATTAATATCCAATGAGTATTTGTCTTTATGTCAGTAGCACTATTTTCTTGTTTCGAAGATTCCAAATCAGTAGGAGCAACCTTAAGCTGAGGATTAGATGATTTTTTTGAAAGATTAGAACTGGAATGTTCGGATTTAAGTAATGAACATAATTCATATGCAGATTCAGTAATTGAGGTAAGTAATGACTTGCATTTATCAGTTTTGCAGAGGGAATTTCCTGTAGATATAGAACTGGAAACATCATTTAAGGCACCAGTATCCTTAGCAGATTCTTTATTCAAAGAGAGACTTTTTTCATCGAGAAATCCCTTAAAATCATCTATATCTTTATTATTTCCACCAGAAATCTTTAGATACACAAGATCTACAGCGTCTTCATTTTTAACACCATTTAAAGAACTAAATTTTATTAGAAATATATCTATAAGACAAATATTTTCAAACCTTTTTAAGTTATTTTCATGATGCATAAATTCTTTTGCTGATTCCGTAGAAAACAGTCGACTGTCATCATGCTTTGAACCTCCCTGCTGATGAAATTGTTCATCTTGATTACCAGGTAATTTATTCTCTATCCGAGATCGTTGAGCTTCTTCCAAAAGCTCCTTTTCTTTCTTCGTCAATTCCTCATCCTCTTGTTTTAATTTATCAACCTCTGACTTCTCATTTCTGTCTTTTCCAGTATAAGCTAATCCTTTAGAATCTAATGTTTCTCGAAAACCAGATGTTTGAACCCTTCCAGTAACAGAAAATTTATGAGTTTTCTCAAAAGAAGAAAACCCAGTAAATGAATTAGTATGTTGACCATTATCACTTGAAAACAAAAATACTACTGCTTCCATATTTTCTGGTACTTTCACTGTACAAAAAGAAGAACCACCATAACCTTGTTCACAGTTTTCACATTGATTAACCGCATGTCTTATAGGATCAATATAACAAGGTTGACTACAATCAACACCTTCACACAATACTTTCATACCCCAACCAGGAGAATGTTTATTTAGATAATCATCAGTTACATAAAAAGGATTCCATCCAAGACGAATAAGAACATGGTTATTTGGATCTTTAGTAACTTCTAATACATATGGTGATGATGCTCCCGTACCAGTCGTTGAAAAATCAGTCGAGCATTCATGTTGTGAAGCTACTCCTGGAGAATTGAAGTAATAAAGAGATGATCCATATGAATTATCAGAAACTGCTATAGAAGAAAGCAATCTTGGTTGAAGAAAATTAGGTGAAAAAAAAGAATTTCCTTCAAATGAAACCTTCTGACAAAAAGAGGATGGAAGCCTAAGAAGACTAGTTACATAAATATTTTGCTTCGAAGGAAGACAAAGAGGGACTCCCGGAGTTAAACCGAGGATGCCTTGTGAATCACATGAAACTTTACCGCCCTATAATTAACTATGAAAAAAAACTTTCTTGAAAGAAATAAAAACAAACCGGAACGCCCATAAGATCATAATTAACACGTGAATCAAGTCGACTCGGCAACTAAAAATTCTAGTCTTTCAAAAAAATAAAATAAAAACATACATATCCACTTTTACAAACATAAAGACAATCATTTCCAGGAGAACAATTCAGCAATCTTGATTCACCATCACTTAACGTAAATGGATGAATAGATAAAGTTGGATCAAAAATTGAACATCTTCCTTGATATACCTCATGAGAATCAGACGAGGTTCTATGATCATAACGTGCCAAAGGATTTATTGCCGGATATGCATTGGTTATTGCCATAAACAATAAGCTAGTACGTATAATAATCATCCATTTTCTTATAAAAAAAAGACTATGTAAAACCATTTTACCAAGAAAAAAAATTGTAAATCAATTAAATAACTTCAAATAATCCCTTATGTGTAAAAGTCTCGTGAAACTAATATTAGACAAATCTTTCCTACCAAATAATTCGACCTGCGAATTAACAGCTTAATGTTTAAATGAATGCAATCACCACAAGAGAGGAATATGACGCCTTTTTATATTTTTTTTCCTATGTATTACCCTTTGAAAACACGAGCCCTCTTTTTAACATTTCTATCATAAAAAGCAAAGATTTCTTTAAATTCATAAAAAAAAAAAATAAAGAAAATAAATAACTTACTTAAATAACTATAATCTCATAGAACATTATTTGACAATTCTCTTAATTTTAAAAAAATTAAATAGTTTTATTGAGATTACTGTATTTTAATTAACCCTAATTCAGTATAGATTTTTATGAGACTAGAACTAAAAAAAATAAGTGTTAAAATTAATAATAAAAGAGTTAATGAAAGATTAACGTTAAATCTTTTATATACTATACCAAATGTATATATTGTATATAATGAAAGAGATTTCTTTATTAAATTTATGCAGCAAAAGAAAAAGTTGTCCGACCTTAAGAATTAGAATAAATGTATTTTAATGTAATTAAAGGCTTACATAAAGGACACTTAGAAGCATTTGATGTTTTAAACCACTAAAATTAAAATTAATGTATATTTAAAGAATCATATAAATAAATACTTTATATAAACATCCAGAATGAAATTTGTTTTTACAAATTGCACATTTTTTGCTAGGTAAAGATCTATCTTGAACTGATATGATTGAAACTAAAATAATTAATTACTTTAAAAAAAAATAGAAATTACAGCATATATGGCAAGCAACAACGCCTTCAAAATGAAGTGAAACATTCCGCTTAAACAGACTTACAGCATCTGCAATACTTCCATTCTGTGTAGTTATTAAAATCCGAGAAGCTAATAACCATGCTCTCCATTGGGCATCTTTGACACCAATTTTTTGTATACCTTCTACAATAACCTGATTCAAAGGATAACAAGCAGGCAACCGAATAACCATTTCTAAATATTGATCATCAATTGTATAAGAAGTCGTAACTTCGCGAGTAGTTTTCGACGTTTTGACGTGTATATTATCATCATTTATTTTTAGTTGTATAGATTCTAATAATACTGAAGCGATTTCATCTTCAATCAAAATAGAAGATATATTTTTTTCCGTAAACCTATATTTATATTTAATAATAAAATATCATAACACTATTACAGACGTTTCCACTGATTGAGTTAACTGCCTATTCTTGCATCCGATCCACCAATCTCTATTCAATATTATTATTTTAAAAAAATAATAATATAAAACTAACCTTGCAAGAGATGGAATATATCTGAGTATAAGTAAATATACATACACCATTAAAGATAGTATTTCTGTTTTTATATTGTCTGCGCTTTTCCATTCTAAAATATCCCATGATATTTCTATTGCATTTATAGGCTTATCGCTTAATAATTCAAGAGTTTTAAATATAAATTCAATTGTCAATGGAATACAATTACTATTTTTCAAACTTTCAATATAATGGGACTTTAATATATATGACTAAAATGAATATGTGAGAATAAAAAATAATAATATTTCATAATAAGATACCGTATTTTTAAAATATGTAAAAATAAGAATCCAAGAAAGAAAATAACCTCGAAGTTTAGAAGATAAATTATTTTCATGATCAATATTATCTAATGAATCATAACATGGAAGGTCTGAAATCATAAAAAGTAATTTTGAAGGCAAATCGATATCTATTTCTTTAGAAAACTCTGTTTCTACAATCAAATTTTCCTGATCTTTTAAAATCCATTTTGTTAACCAATCAAATGTAGTAATTTGCGTATATTTCCATTGAGATAATAAATGAAGATAAAGCTATTCATATAAGTATGAAATAAAAAAATAAATATTTTTCTACCGAATTTACTAATGGCTTTTCTACAATAGCTATAGGAATCTGTAATAATATTCTTGACAAAAGCTGAATGCAAATATCTAAAGGTTGATTTTTTGCATGTGTCTCTATTATCATAAGCCAAGTAAAAAATACTTTAAATATTTAAACCTTTTTTATGAATAAATAATTGAAACAAGTGTGAATATAAAGTCTTAGAATGAATATTCCATGCATCATTAAAAGAATCATTGAAAGAATAACAATTACTTAAAGTCATAAAAAGTTTCATTGAATAGAATTCAAAATTCAAAAAATCTAATGAGGTTTCTATACAAATCTTAAAATATTAGCTAATAATTTCTCTATAAAATCAAATACCTTAAGACATTGACAAAGGTAATCACAAATATTATACCAATAAAGTCCATCAATAGTTTTTACAAAAGGAATTAACTTTATAAATATTTTTGTAATTTCAGCACAAAAATCAATATTTTGGACTTTTATTATATTTTTTTTATCAATTAATTTTAAAAGATTCTGAAAAAGAAATATTATACGTTGTTGTGGAAAATGTTTCCAAAGACTACCATCAAATGGTATAAATACATTAAATAAGACAATTTTTTTCAAATCTAAAAAACAATAAATCATAATATATTTTTCAAAAATAAAAACTTACCTCTATCAACAACAAAATCACCAGATATATCACTACCAATTCTATTTCTTATACCTTCCAATCTTTTTGAAAAAAAAAGCTTTTGTTGAAATCCATTAATAACAGCAGCAAAAATAAATACATCTATTAGAAATAAGTCAAGTATATAGTCATAAACAGAAAATATCACTTTGATCATTTTCTATAGATATATCATTTAACCATGTTTCTACTTCTTCTTGAGAATATTCAATCCTTTTTGTTAAAAATTGAAAAGTTCTAGACAACACACAAGCAGAATAATATGTTTCAGGTGAACATCCAATAGATTTCATCTTTATTTTTTCCAAAAACTTTATATCATTTCTTTGTACAAAATTGTCAATACCAAAAAGTTCAATTTTATCCGAAGTTAATATATCGAAAACAAAGTCATCACTTCTTTCTATCAAGGTAAACAATTCTTGTTCTTGTTCTTTCGTTATTGATTTCCATAAGCAATTCGCATGTTCTAATTCGAAATTGTCCCTAATAAGCTCTTCACAAATCATAATTCCATATAATATTAACCAATGAATTTTCAAAGAACATAAATCCAATATAAGGGAATTGATTATTGTCTTAGAAAAAACAGACATTTTCAATAATTTTGAAATATTATCGGTTTCAATATTTCCTTTTGTTTTAACAAAATTTGAAAATATTAAACAACATGTTTTCAAAGAACTAAACAACTCTAAGTTTTTATTAGGATATTCCGAAATTAAAAATGAAAAAGCTGTATCCCATTCATGTGTTGAAAATAAAAATATAGCTAAAAGATCCATTTTTTCTGATTCTGTAGCAAAAGATAACACTTTTACATTTAATGAACAAAGCGATCTCATTCTAAAAATAATAAGTTATAAATATTATGAAAAGAAGAATTAGACAATGAAAAATCAAGAGAATCTAATAATAAAATTTGTTTCTGAATAATATTCGCAATATTAAATCTTAGATTACTGCCTATTTTATTATTTAGACAATAAATCTTCTCAAATAAATCATTGAAAATAGAGATTCTTTCTGAAATATCCCCCTTATTAATATAAGTAAAATTCCATATTTTTATATGAAATTCTATGGCTCGAAAATTCTGCAGAAAACATGAACACAAATCAAAATTGTCACCTAATACATTATGTAACAGAACTAAGATTCGATCGTCATTGAATATATAATAAAATTCAGAATCATTCGGGCAAAAAACCTTTTCTACCAAAAAAATCAAACTTTCAACAATGCTTTCTTTTGAAAAAACAATTTCTTAATTATTAAAATATTATTCATATTTTTAAATATAATTTTACCTTTCACAGTAAGAAAATCATTTAAACATTCCCAATTTTCAAAATTATTATCAATATTAAAATGCACACAATCCAATAAAACATCATCAATTAAATTAACACAAGGTAAACAATTTCTTAAATCCTCTATGTTAATTTTACTATCAATTATCATTTTCGCTATTTTGTGAGTAAAAACATTTCGTTCTGATCTACTTTCTATTTTCGAAAGATGTAAAAATAAAGATGTCCAAACCAAACCTACACTTTCAGTATTTTTGTTTTTTACAATATAAATTAAAAGAATAGACCCAATAGATTCTGTTAATGATGTAATAAATTTAGGGATTTTTTCCATAATAAAACTTTCAAGTTCCTAATACAAATATAAATTTAAGAATTATTATAGAATAAACTAACCGAAAGAATTCTTTGATTCTTAAATATGATATCCGAAAACTTGGATACAACACAGTTTAATAATTCTATTGTTTTTTGAGGTAAATCTAACAAATTATTAACATAGTTCTAAATCTAATACAATTATACCATCACTCCGCCTAATGTGGCAAATTATAAAATATATTACTTCGCATATAGTTAAATAAACATGTGATTTATCAGCTAAAACAGTATTATCATCTGTTTCTTTGATAAATTCATCAACAGTATTTATCCAACGCAGACAAACGGTAAAAGGTTCATCATAATTTTCTTCACATATGATATTTGATGTTTTTGATAACTTCTCAAGAATACATTGCTTTGATTCGTACCAAAACTTATTAAAAATATCATTTAAGATATACTCATTTCTCAAAAATCCCTTCACTAATGCATGCCTAAAATCATCTGATGTTTTAGTATTTAAAGATTTAATATCAGTAAAATAATTAATAATAATATCCATAATTTTTTTTTCAAAAATAGAAGATATAGTACGTGTATTTTCAAAATGTTTCATATAATAGCACATAATCTTAAAAAATGTTTCAAAACCCGCTTCATTATCATATTTAGTTTTTTTAGATGCACCTTCCCAAATCATTCTTATAAAATCATTTAAATATACATCAAAATGAGATTTATGAGGATTTAAAGGTATTTTTGTTATAAGATTATAAAAACAGTTCCAAAATTGCTTAGAATTAGAATCATTATTTAACATCAATCTTTTAAAATAAGAAAATATTTCGGAATCACCAAAAAAATCATATTCCCATAGTTCAGGACATACTTCAATGATTAATTTATATTCCCAAATAAAAAAAAATATACCTGAAAAAAATATTTCCATAGTTGGAAGAATAATTGATATGAATGATTTTTCTGTATTCTTCATCAATTTTGCTACAGACTTCTTAATCATATTTTTCTGGGAAATTAACAATTCTATAAATATTAAAACAATTCATTTATTATAACAAAAGAAACCTGGCCACTTCTCCGATAGATTTTTAATCACTTCATAAAAATATTTTCTTCCAATAAAATCTGTTTCATATAAAAATTTCCAAAATTTTTCAGATGCCATAATTTCATCATATGAAGCTTCCTCCTTTTTAAGCTCATCTAATTCCAAATTTACTAATAAATATTTAATACGAATATTTAAGAAAATACAAGAATTTACATATAATATCAGCAAACGATGCCAATATAGAGGCAATAATTCTATAATACTTAGCCTTCGAATCCTCCTGAGATATATATCGTAAATCGCCTGAACCTTAATCATCATTCGTCATATAAGTATAAAATTAAATACTTAATGTACTAGGTGATTGTTTAAGAATAATATTTTTATTAAAACTAAGAATATATTTGTGATATGTCTTCTTAACAATCAATCTTTTCTCACGAGTCTGAAATGCTGTATTAAAAGATTCTATAGCCACCTTTTTAACCCCATGATCACTATCAAAAGTTGACATAATCCATGATCCAATAATTTCCTTAATAAATTTAACAATTTTCTTTCCTGATTGAATGTATATTTTTCGATGTACATGATTACAAGACAGACGAACTTGGCGATCTATATCTATTGATAATCGAGGATATAAATATGACTGATAATAAATATCAATTATTTCTTTTTCCTTCATAAAAAAATAAAACTACCCAGACTTTTAAAATATTATTCTCATTTAATTCCCCTCCGTTTTCATTTATCCAGCTACTAATATCATCTAACCCTTTAAGTTTCGTTGTAGTATCTCTTTTACAAATATTCTTAAAAATAACAACAAGATTTGGCGGAACTCCATCAAAATCAAGAGGTTCAATAATAAACGATGATAAATTACATTCCCTCATGTTTCCATATGTCCCAAACTTAAATTTAGAAACATTATTTTTATTTTGTATAGAAACTGATGTCGGGCTTCTTTAATTTTAATCATCTTTTCTAAAAATATAAAATAAATATAACCTTTTTAACAATTCATTGAGACGTTCTTTCTCATTTTTATAGTTTTTAACTGATTGTTTCATAATACAATCAGATTTTTAAATTTTTGAGGTTTTTATAGACCAAAAAAAATCGATACCAATCTAAATGATTAAAAAAATTAGCAGGAATGAAGTATATTTCCCTTATATTTAAGAAATTTTCTAATAAATAGGTTCTTTATTGATGATCTTCCAGTATTATTTCCATATCCTAGGATTTATCCTGGTAATAGGATATAAAGAGTATTAATATGAATTTTATAAATAATATAGAGCAATATTCATATATGTGTCACTTAAAAAAGACATTGGATATTGGAGTATGTATTAATATTGTGTCTTATATAATGAATGTTGAAGAGGATGTAGGGTCATTGTGTATTGGAGGTGAATTTTTGTATATTTTGGTAATTTAATAGAATAATGTTTAGATGCCATCTGGTACAGGAAAAACTATATCCCTTTTATCATTAATAATTTCTTATCAAAAGGTATTTATGAATATATATTTAGGTTTATATATATTAAGAGAATAAGTTCTATCCAGAGCATAGAAAGCTTATATATTGTTCTCGAACTATGTCTGAAATAGAGAAAGTTCTTGTAGAATTAAAAAGTTTAATGGAATTTAGAAAGAATGTTTTAGGGGAAAATGATAAATTTAGAGCGCTCGGGTTGACTAGTAGAAAAAATTTATGTCTTCATTCTTCAGTAAAACAAGAAAAAAAAGGGACTATTGTTGATGCTAGATGTCGTAATTTGACAGCAAGTTTTGTGAAAGAAAGAAGAAAAAAAGGAGAAAATGTTAATTTTTGTGTCTATTATGAGGTTTATTATCATTATTTGTTTATTAATATTAATTTTTTTAAAGAATTTGGAATTTCTTGAATCTCATGATTTAATACCTTATGGAGTATTTACATTTTCAGATCTTTTAAAATATGGAGAAGTAAACAAACAATGCCCATATTTTACTGCACGTAGAGCGGTAATGAGCGTATGATTTACCACACTGTATTAATATATATTAGATACCGATATGTAATGTTGTAGTTTATTCATATCATTATTTATTAGATCCAAAAATTTCAGAATATATTTCAAAGGAATTGTCTAAAGATTGTATTATTGTATTTGATGAAGCTCATAATATTGGTAAGAATTGCCTATTTTATAAATCTATTTTTTTTAATTATATATAGATAATGTTTGTATTGAGTCACTAAGTGTAGATATTACAGAAAATTCATTAAAAAAAGTGTCAAATAGTATTAATAACCTTGAAAAAAAAATCATTGAGTAAATAACTATTTTTTTTAGAAAAATTCTAAGTAATAGCATGAAAAAAAATAATTCAGAAAAACTGCAGATGGAATATAAAAAATTAGTAGAGGATCTTAAGAAAATAGATGAAGAAAGAGAAGAAGACGTTTTTATTTCAAACCCAAGTACTTATTGTCCTGTTTATTATATTTTTTAAACAACGATAGTTTTACCAGATGATTTACTTAAAGAGGCAGTTCCAGGCAATATAAGGAAAGCAGAACATTTCATCGCGTTTCTTAAAAGATTTGTTGAATATATGAAGGTTTTTATTTTGCTTTTTGTGTATTTTTATTAATATCTATAGACTCGAATGAAAGTTCTACATGTTGTTGCAGAAACGCCGTTATCTTTTTTACAACATTTAAAAGAACTAACATATATTGAAAGAAAACCACTAAGGTTTATCCATTAGATATATTTTTCCTTTTTTTCATATATTTAAGGTTTTGTACTGAAAGACTTAATTCACTTATTCGTACATTAGAACTTCCAAATATTGAAGATTATCAATATTTGCAAGAAATAGCGAATTTTGCAACCCTAGTATCAACATATGAGAAGGGATTTATACTTATTCTTGAGCCATATGAAACAGATACGGCAGCTGTACCTAATCCTGTTTTTCATTTTGCATGTCTTGATGCATCAATTGCTATTAAACCAGTTTTTAATAAGTTTAAAACAGTTATAATAACATCTGGTACAATTTCTCCTCTGGATATGTATCCAAAAATACTTCAATTTAATGCTGTGATTCAAGAATCCTATAGCATATCTTTGGCTAGAAATTCGTTTCTTCCTATGATTGTTACAAGAGGAAGCAATCAAGTAGCAATAAGTTCAAAGTTTGAAGTAAGAAATGATCCTAGCATTATTTGTAATTATGGTGATATATTAATCGAATTTTCAAAAATTACTCCAGATGGTTTAGTTGCATTTTTTCCAAGTTATTTATATATGGAATCTATTAGTAGGTTATATAACAGCAATTTACATATTTTTTAACTTTTTTAAGTAAGTCAATGGCATACTTTGGTATTATAGAATAAAATAATTTTTTCATAATTAATAATTCAGGGAATTTTAGACGAAATATGGAAATATAAATTAATTTTGGTTGAAACACCTGATAGTCAAGAAACTGTTTTAGCCTTAAAAACCTATAGAACTGTAATTTTCATAATATATTATTATATATTATCAACATTATTAATTTTTAGGCATGCGATAATGGTAGAGGCGCGGTTTTATTATGTGTAGCTAGAGGGAAAATTTCAGAAGGTATTGATTTTGATCATCATTATGGTCGTACTGTAATTATGTTTGGAATTCCATATCAATATACAAAGTCTAGAATTTTAAAGGTATTTTGTATTTATTTATAATAACTTATTTATAAAATTACAGGCTCGTTTGGAGTTTCTTCGAGATATGTATCATATTAAGGAAAACGATTTTCTTACATTTGATGCTATGCGTCATGCTGCGCAATGTTTGGGAAGAGTCTTAAGAGGAAAAGATGACTATGGAGTTATGGTTTTAGCAGATAAACGGTTTTCAAGAGCAGGTATTAATCATTTATATTTTGTATAATATTAAACATTATTCAGATAAGCGCAATAAGCTTCCAAAATGGATTCAAGAATATATTACGGGTGGCACATCAAATTTAAGTACTGATATGTCATTAGCCTTTGCAGAAAAGTTTTTAAAAGCAATGGCTCAGCCATTTAACATTAAGGATCAAGAAGGAATCAGTTGGTGGGATATTAATAAGCTCCATGAATATCAAGAAAAAGAAAAAATTCAATTACAATCAGAAAATAATAAGAATTTAATGGATATAAATGATAATATTTCTGACGAAATAATTGAAAATATAGCATAAAATGTTAATTTTGTGGATTTTGGAGAAAAATATACATTAAAAACACTAATCAAATAATATGTTGTATGCCTTGTTAAATATTTAAAATTAATATTACGTTTCTAAAAAATAGGAATGATTTAATGCCTAATTATATCAGTCAATTGCATTTTTATATCAATAATTATACATCCTTTGCACTTAGCCTTTTTTTAAAACTATATGTAACTAAATTTGAAATCAAATCCCTAGCTTCAGAAGGGGCATTTGGCAAAATTGTTTCCCATGGCTGTGGATCATAATGAACAAAATGAACTTTTTTGAAATCAGGAAGATCATCGATTTCCTTAAAATATCAATATTATAAATAAACTAAAATATTTCTTACATCCCAATTATCCTTTGTAGGCGTTCCTAATGTTTTAAAAATAGATGACAATAAAAGAAGATCACTATATCCAAAATTATTACCCAATCCTGAATCAAATAAAGGCTTATTTTCAAAAGTAAACATTTGTGCAATTGTAACACCCCATGACCACATATCTAAAGAAGTTCCATAATTCGTATATGATAAAAGAAGTTCCGGCGGCCTATAGGGCCTGTTTTTTTACTTATATAATTTATAAAAATATTATAATTAATAACTACCCTGTAGCTACATCTGTAATTAATTTTCCTTGTATTTCATTTCCCGGATTTTTATATGACCATGCTATACCAAAATCAATTAATACTGCCTTCCCATTTTCTGACAAAAACATAATATTCTCAGGCTTAATATCCCTATGAAGAATCCCTTTATCATGTATATAAACTAATGCAGATGTAATTCCCTTGATTTGTTCTTTAAGCCAATTTTCATCCTTATTCCCTCTTTTAATAATCGATAATAAATCATATGGCAAAAATGGCAAAACTAATACATGATTCTCTCCATATCTAAAAGATCCAAGGCTTTCTACAATATTTTCATGTTTTAACTCCTCCAATAATTGGATTTCATAATCTGGCCGGTGTGGCATACGATTTATAGACAATGTACTAATTTTAAGTGCTACAACTCGGTCTCCTCTAGTAGACCAGATACTCCTGTAAATCTTTCCAGTAGTTCCTTCTGAATGGAACGATTTTTCTTTAAATTCATTCATATAAATCATTGTTCCATTTCTCTGTATATATATTTGGTATTTTTTATATATGTTTCTATGGCAACTAACGTCATTAAAAAACTACCAGACACAGACCTTTGACCAACCCAAAACCCAATGAGTTTTAAAAAACCTATAAAAAAAGCAGAAAAAGAGGGGAAAACAAAGAAATTATATTAGTATTTGAGAGAACTTAAATGTTTTTACTAAAGGTATTTTAAAATATATAAAATAAAGAATAATTATGTTAAAAAATCAAAAAAATTAAAAGAGAAATTGAAAGAAAAAAGGCTCAAAGTAAAAGTCTTTTATAATATACAAGTCTAAATAAGCTTATAAAAATGTTTTCTTAAATAGATTATAGTTTTAAAGGAATTAATATAATGGTTATGTTTACTTGGAAACATGGTTTGCACATAATGAGTTAATGAAAAAAATAATAGATGAAATAGTGATTTTTTAAAGAAAAAAGAATGATACTGAACTATGTAATAATAAAAAAGAAGAATTTGAATATAAAGTAAAATTTTATTTTTTGGGTATAGAATGTCAATTGATAAATAAAATAAAAGAGTGAATATAACAAAAAGAAGTGGAGAAATATTTCATGTAAAGAGTTATAAGGAGGGGGATAAAAGAAATAAAAAGAATGGATTATATTTTAATAATAGAAAAAAATAAAATAATTATAAAAAAAGCAATTTATAAAAAAGTCATTGGAAAAATTGCTAGTTAATTATGAAAGGTTAAACTTAGGATGTGGAGAAAAAATGCTAAAAAGTGCGGAAAAAAATTAAGACTTACAGATACCGTATAAAAAAATAGATACAGAAACTTCATCGAATAATAAATCAAAAATAATTTCAAAAGACAAAGAAGATATGTCTTTTGAACATAAGGATTATCATCTAAAAGATAGTTTGATGATTTTTATGTTTTTTTTAAAGAGTTCAAGATTATACTCTAAATTAAAATTTAGAATAATATATATTTTTAAAAGAAATTCCTATAATCAGATTGATGTTATTTGAAAAAGAGTACTTTTGAACAAATAGATAATTCTGTTAAAAATAATATGAATGCTGTTAGTACTATGAATTTAGCTTCAAATATTTATGAGACTTAAAAAGAAAAAAATGATATTTGTTATGAACAGAATTTATTTGCAACAAATCCTGAGGAAAATATTAAAAACAATTAGATATAAAGATAAAATATTATATATTTTGATAAGGTATTTTTTATTTTATTGTTATTATTCTTATTAATATAGAATAAATTTATTAATACATAATTCAAAAACCATAATTATTATAATTCTGATGAAGAAAATCTAACAATTAAAGTTACAGAAGAATTAAATACAATGCACAATACTGAAAAACTTTCCAAAATACAGTAATATTATTTAAATATTTTATTTTTTAATTTATATTTAGTTTTACTGTGTAAAAAAAGAAAGATATTGAAATTGAAAATGAAAATTCATCTAAAATTTGGGATACTAATGCTTCAAAATCGGATTCTACAACTCAATTTTATGAAATAAAAAATAATTGTTATTCCATAATTCTAATCTTAAAAGAAATCTATTACAATTAATAACAATAATGGTTCAAAAAAACTTGTTCAATATATGATATTTCAAGTCAATTAATGTTAGTCTTGAAATTCTACACTTTTTAATATATCACAAATTTCACTATCAGATTCTTTAGATTATAACATTTATGAGGAAAATTCTATTCTTTCCTTTATAGAAAACAAATTGAGTGTTATTAGGTTATCTCATTCTAATATGTTACTATTAAGCCATAAACATACAAAGTCTACAGAACAGGGCCCAAATTGTTCTATTATAGAAAATGTTAATGCATCTATTAAAAATAATGAGCCTAAGGAACTTAAAATTCAAGAAAGGTTTGAATTTTCGTATGAAAAGAAAAAAATTTCAAAAGATTTCTTAAATATTCAAATTACTGGTTCTAAAAATTTCTCAAAAATATCATTTGATAAAAATATTTTAAAAAATATATCAGCTAATCCTACTCAATATCTCTTAGATTTACAACGCCTATCACAAATAATTCCTGTGCTGAGATATGAAATTATAGTTAATATTAACAAAATCATTTTTCAACCAATTTTAATAACATCTCAATGGAAACATATATGACGAGGAGAATCTATTCTTATTATAAGATACAAAAAAACCTACACTTTTTCATTCAGAGTCTATTCTTGCTTTACATTATTTAGGTTTTATAGTAGGACCAAAAAATATAATAATTAAAACATTGTCAAAGTAAACCTAAAGGAATATTTTATAAAAAATAAAATAGATTAGTATTTTCATTAGGTAATAAAATATTATATGATGAAAAGGAAGGAACTCTTTTAGCAAAATTTGAAACAAGTGCTATAGCTTCTTTTAATTCTTCAATAAACATGATATGGAAAATGTCTTTCAAAAATCTAAACATTATTGATAATGGAGTTATTATTACAGTACCTAACCCATTTCTATTTCTCGATTCAATTTTAAATTTTACTAAAAATGTATCTAATTTTTCTACATCATATCCACTGTTTATAACTAAGGTTATTCAAAGCGGTATTTACACTGTATTTTAATACTAATGCTAAAAAGCTGTATAATAATTGAGAAATTATTTAACTATTATCTCACGAAATTTAAATTTCTGTAGATAATGTTATCTAAAAATTTAATATTTCTTAATTTACAATTATTTATTTAATAATATACATTAAAATTAAATTTAATTTAATCAAAAAGAAATACTTTTACGCTTTTATTATGAATTATAATTATATCATTAATCTTTATATTCTTAAATATATATTATTTTTTACTGAAGAAAAAAAATAAAATTCTAACTTATAAATTATATAAAAAATTTAAAATATAAAATTTACAATGTCTTTATGATATAAAAGAAAAATATTTTTAGTTCATTTTGGAAAATGTTTTTAAAATCAAATTTATTTTAAATAAATTTAATATCATTAAATCCTTAATTCTTAATACTTCAAATATTAAATCAATAAAAATAAACATTATATAATTTGATTTTCATTTCTATATATACATTATTAAGGGTATATGGCCATTAACACTAAATATATCTATCTTATTAAGCCCATCCTTTTGATTGTCCTGTAGTTGATTGTTCAAATAATTCAAGAGTCAACGCTGAAAGCATTCCTTAACATGTTAAATATAAGTAAACTTAAACAACATTATATTATACCTGGAATAGTTTTTCGTTCTTCACACCAAAATTTCACTAAATTTTCTATTGAACCAGTAAATTCGTCTCCTTTTACTAAATGCATTGATGAGGATTTTCCATTAAAAACAAAAGAATGGTCGCCTTTTTGTGAATACATTGATGTTACACGTACTTTTCCACTAGGAAGAAAGTCAATTTTATAACCTAAAAGAAAATACACAGCTTCTCGAAATTCAGATGATTTTTCAGCAAATATCTATAATTATTAAACGAAATCAACATCATCAAAACAAAATATCACCTCTTTTAATCTTTGTATCCGTTTATCTTTATCAGCTATAACTCCTTCCAATCTTAAATTTTCTAATTTAAGACTTTCTAACGATTCTATTGGAACAACATCACCAAATTGTTCACCATTCTTTTCTATTTGCCTTAAAAGTGCAGCATTTTCATTTTTTAAACAATCAAGAGTCGATTGTCTTAAGTTTTCAAGAGCAGATAATGGGTTATCTCGTAATTGCAGTATGCGAGTTTGAGAATTATATCCATTATTTTTAGAAGTAGACTCCATATAAGATAATTGTTGTCGTAATGATTCTAATTCTTTTTTCAAAAGAGTATGTTCTTTATTAACGCTTAATAACTCTTCTGACAATGTTTTATTACGTCGTAACAAATCACCTTCCCTTTCATGACGATTAAATATCTCTTCACGTTCGCGTTTTAATATTTCCGTTGATTTAGACATTGTTTGATTTTTTGCTTCCTGTAATTCTTCAGAGATCTTCATAATTTCAATTTTGTAATCATCTAGTATCATTTCCAAATTCTTTATTCTTTTTGTTTTCTGTTCATCATAATTATTATGCATAAATATCATTTCTTCGGAATTATAAGAATTCTAATACAGATCAATCAATATTATAATGACAATCTAGGCAGACCAGTTGTTCCTGTAAAAGTTCAACTTCTTTTTGGGATAAAACTTCTTGTCTTTCTAATCTTAATTTATTTCTAAGTTCATAATTTAACTTTTCTTCAAGCTCGACAATTCTATTTGACAATTTTTTTAATTCAAAACAAGTAGACTGATGTAAAATATCTTTCTCTTTTAACTCCATTTCTAAAATACTGTATTTTTCTGTTAAAGCAGCATTTTCAATTCTTTGTTGGGCAAGTGTTAAACTTAAAGCTTTTGGGGAATCGAAATCTCGTTGATCATCATCATTTAAATAGGCTACCCAGGCAGCTTTCTCACGTTTTAAGATAGCACGTTCTATTTCCGATTCTCCTAAACGCTGTCGAAGATCATCCATCAGCTTTAATTGGAATTCAAGATCTTTTTTTTCTTCTTGAAGTATTTGGATTGATTTATGAGATTCTCGAAGCTGTTTTAATTCTTTGGATTGTTGAAAGTTCTTTTTTTCAAGAGATTTAATATAAGACAATTGTTCAAATAATTCCCTATTCAATATTTTAATGTCAGTTGAATCATTTGTTTCTACTTCTAAAGAACGTTTTTTTTTTTGAAGATTATCAATCAATTCATTTGCTTCTAACAATGACTGCTGTTTTTGATTTATCAATGTATTTTTAGATCGTAATTCATCTTTTAACCCTTCTACAACTTTTTCTAAGCCTGTATTTTTTAATTCCAAAGTCTCTATTTTCCTATGAAGAAAATTAAACATAGATTTTTCTTCATTTTTTCTATCTGTTGAATTTTCTTTATCAATACTGTTTATTCGCTGAAGCTCTCTTATTTTCCATTCATATTCTTGCTAAATTCCGTATTATTTTAAACTAAAAATACAATAACAATGCACCTTTTGCGCTGAATATTCTTCTTTTAATTTCAGCATATCTTCACTCTGTAATTTATGTTTTTCATATAAAAATCGCTTATCTTTTTCTAATTCCTGAATTTTTTTCCATTAATAAATCTTCTTTTGAGAAAAAAACAATTTACATTAATTTTTTTTTCTTTTTCTTCACTGTTTTGTTCTATTTCATGAATCCTTTTTTCCATATTTGTTTTTTCCATATCCCATTTATTTTTAGCATTAGAATAATCATATTTTAAACTCTGAAACTGAATTTTTAATTGATCTAAATATATAAAAAACAAATTTCCCATGAATAGCTGTATACAACACACCATATTTGTCCATACTTGGACTATTTGGCAAAGGTGAAGTTCCACAAATAGCTGACCGAACATCTGACTAAATTTAATTAATATTCTTCAAAAAAATGCAAAAAACTACAAGACGGCGCAACCGTATAGTTTCTTGTATATCCATGCCATTTATTCAGCCGAATATTTATAGATTAAAAAGATCTTAAATACGTATATCTTTTGATAAAAATGATAAGAAATAGCAGAATGAATGAATTAAGTTATTTCTAATAGAATAAAGCAAACTTATACGTTTTATCAATTATAAAATCTATATATTAGAAATACAATACTTCATTATTAATATTTAAACTAATCTATTAATATATAAAAATATAATTTTTATATACTTTATAAACTATTCATTTAGATACTAGAAGTGAATATCTTCAGTAGTATAGTGGTTAGTATTCCCGCCTGTCACGCGGGCGACCGGGGTTCAATTCCCCGCTGGAGAGTCTTTTTAGATATGATGGAAATTTTACTTTTATAGGGTTATATATTTGTAGGGAAAAAATAAAGTAAAAACTCTCAAGCGGGGAATTGAACCCCGGTCGCCCGCGTGACAGGCAGGAATACTAACCACTATACTACTGAAGATATTTGCTATAAAATCATTTAATATAATAAAGAATAATTTTTAAAAATATATTTAAACAAAATCATTATATACATCTAAATAATTGAAAAGTATGTGGTTGGTAATTATGAGCCTCTAATTGCTGCATAATTGATCTAGAACAAAAATCGGTAGATGTTGATGGTTCACAAACAGAATGTTTTAAACCAAAGGTGTTAAAATGACGATCATTTTTCCATGCAGGAAGAATAACTTTGAATTTCTTGTATGTTTTTTTTTTTTTAAAAGAATATGAATATTCAAATATAGACGTTTCAACGTTTGACTGACATTGTTGCTAAATAAATTAATAAATAAATTAAATAATTAAAATCTCTCAAACCGATCTATCTGATGTACCAAATAAACTAAATGTATTCATTTTTTGAGCTTTTGTTGAATAATATGGCGTTTTAATAGATGACTTAAAAATTAAATCATTACTATATAATCATTATAAATTCTTACTGTACCAGGTGCCGCTGTTTTTTTTGAGAGTTTTTTTAAAGGAATATCTTCTTCATATTTTGTAGTTTTTGTAGAAATCTTCCATAACACATTCTGTACACCTTATTGTATATTAAAACAATGTCTACTACTCATTTTTTATATACGTTGTACGATATATCTAAAAAATAAAAGACTTCTCATGAAAGAGAAAATACTATTTCATTTCTACCAAATATCAAGACACCTTTAAACGTATTATACTTCTGTATAATACATTTTTCCTCCTTTCTTAATACTTAATTTCATAATTTACAATTATATATTTACGATCTATTTTTTATGCGCGATTCAAAATATATACACAAATAATTATTATAAATAAAGTTACTAATACAAATTATTCTATGCATAAGTGTCATATTCATATATATTTAATAATTAAAACATATTTCTTTAGTAACGTTTACACTATTTTTTTAACCCTAAAAAACCTTTATTAGAAAAATCTATTTTAGTTATCTTCCAACCATATTCATATTTCTAGATTTTTTTTTTTTTCATTTATATTTGATGTAAATAACATTAAACCATAAACAAAATTATACCCTTTAAATATCATGATTATATATAAATATAAAATATTATATATAAAAGAATATTTATAGATTATTTTCTTAATTATTAAAAAGATTTTATATTTTTAAAATTTTAAAATTAATCAATTCTGTGATTCACCCATATAAATGTTTTTTTGAAGAGATTTTCAATATTAAAATCAATATTATTCGTAATAAAAAGATATTAAAGGGCAAAAAGAATATAATTTAATGTATAGTTTTGAAAAAGATTTTAAGTTTAATACTCAAATTAAAATTTCTTAAGAAAATAAATGTTAAAACTCAAAAGTGAAATAGAATATTAAATGAGTAAAGATTTGAACAAAGTACCAGCCTCTAACGAAGACAATGTAAATGTTACATGTAAACGCAAACGAACAAACTCATTTGGTCAAGAAGAACAATATATAATTGAAAATATAAAAGAAAATGAAATTTCGTTTTATAATGGTAAAGATTTTACAGGAAAAAACATACCAGTGGTTTCTTCAAACAGAGAAGAATCTTTATGGATAAAATCTATAGAGAATGTTGTTAAGAGTGTTGTATCGATTCGATTTTCACATGTAAATTTATATAAAAGAGTACAAATGTGTTTTTCATTGAAAATTAGGTTTCTGCTTTTGATACAGAATTTCCAGAGAGCGGGGAAGCAAGTGGGTTCATAATAGATGCAAAAAATGGATATATTTTAACAAATCGTCATGTTGTATCATCAGGACCTTTTTGGGGACATGCTATTTGTGAAAATCATGAAGAGGCATTTTATTTATTATTTTTATTTATTATTAATTATATAATAATAGATTGAAGTATATCCTATTTATAGAGATCCGAGTAAGTAAATTCATTTATTTAATTATATATTAACTAATCACCATAGTTCATGATTTTGGGTTTAAACAAATGATTATTATAAAACACAACTAATTTTAATAGGATCTTGAAATTTAATCCAAAAAGCATTAGATATATGCCAGTTGTGGCTATTCCATTGCGTCCAGATCTAGCTCGTGTAGGTACAGAGATTAGAGTAGTGGGGTATAATTATTTTATTTTTTATTCTTTAATTAAATATTATATTAGTAATGATGCAGCTGAAAAATTATCTATACTTTCAGGATGGATATCAAGAGTAGACAGAAATGCTCCCGAATATGGTAATAAATAATATATGTATTGATAAAATTACTTATTATTTGTAGGAGATTTTACGTATTCTGGTACTATATTCTTATTATTACATTTGTTTTAAATAATCGACTAGATTTTAATACTAATTATATCCAAGCAGCTGCAAATGCAAGTGGCGGGAGCTCAGGAAGTCCAGTAGTAAACATTGATGGTTATGCACTTGCATTACAAGCAGGCGGAAAAACACAGGGTATTTCGCTTTATAAAAGTAAAAAAACTCATATTTTTATAGCAGCAACGGATTTTTTCTTACCTCTTGATCGTCCTCTTCGTACTTTAAAATGTCTTCAAAATAATCTTCCTATAACAAGAGGAACTATTCAAGTACAATGGATGATAAAGGTAATATAATTTTAATACTATTTTCTAATCGTTAAAATATAACTAGCCATTTGATGAATGTCGTAGACTTGGATTAAGTCCTGACGTAGAGGCATGTATTCGACAATCATTTCCAGAAGAAGTAGGTCTTCTTGTTGCAGAAACAGTCCTTCCAGAAGGACCAGGAGATGGTTTGATAGTTGAAGGAGACATTTTGATACGTGTAAATAATGAAATTCTCACAAAACACATTCCATTGGAAAGTATTTTAGATGAATCTGTCGGGAAAGAAATACAAATATCAGTCCAAAGGGGAGGGGAGGATATAAATATAAAAATAGAAGTATGCGACAAACATAAAATTACACCAGATAGATATGTTGAATATTCCGGGGCAAAATTTCATAATCTATCATATCAATTAGCACGAAGTTATGCTGTTGCTGTCAAAGGTGTATTTATTTCTGAACCAGAGGGCTCTTTTCGACTAGAAGGTCCAGATCAAGGCTATATATTAGATACAGTCGATACCAAACCTGTACCAGATTTAGATACATTTATAGAAGTTGTTAAAGATATACCTGATCGAAAACATGTTGTAGTAACATATAAAGTTATCCATGATATGCATAGTCTTTGCACTCAAATAATTCATATAGATCGCCATTGGGCTACTAAGTTTCGACTTGCTATTCGAAATGATTCAACAGGATTATGGGATTTTCATGATTTAGGGAGTCCGCCTCCACCAGAAAAAATAGAGCCCAAAACCGCAAAATTTATTACATTAGATAACAATTTTGGCCATGCGGCAAGTTTAGTTAAAAGTTTCGTAAAAATATCATATTTTATGCCTATACGATTAGATGGATTTCCAAAAGGAAGGTATAATCGTGTCTAATATAAATTAAGAGATTTTAATTCTATTTTAGAAAATCAGGGACCGGACTTATTGTTGATAAAGATAGAGGGCTCGCAGTTACTTCCAGATCTATTATACCCTTTGCATTGGGTGATCTTTTATTAACATTTGCTGACTCGATTATTATACCTGGAAAAGTATTTAATAATAATTTTATATTAGAATTTCTGTTGAAAAATAGATTGAACATCTCCATCCTACACAGAATATCGCCTTTATTAGTTATGATCCTAAGCTTTTGGCAGATACTCCTGTTCAGGCAGCAAAACTTAGCAATGAACGTCTTTCTCAAGGTATAAAATCATAATTTAAAAGTTTATCACTTAATTATTCATTATAGGAAGTTCTATATACTTTGTAGGAGTAAATCATAGTAATAGAATTGTTGGCACAAAAACTGTCGTTACAGATGTAACAACAGTTACAATCCCTCAAAATGCAACCCCAAGATTCCGTGCAATTAATGTTGATTCTATATTTATTGATACTAATTTGGGATCTCAATGTGGATCAGGTGTTCTCTGCGGAGAAGATGGAAGGGTTAAAGCACTTTGGTTAACATATTTGGGAGAACGAACATCTAGCGGAAAAGATGTTGATTATCATATGGGTATTACTTGTTCTATTAATATAGAAACATTGTTAATGCAAAGAAGGACTGGATATATCAACAATTTTACCAATTCTAGAGAAATTACGACTAGGGATTACTCCTAAATTGCGAATTTTAAATATAGAAGTTTATTTCATTCAAATGGCACAAGCTCGAAATATGGGCGTTAGTGATGAATTGATTTGTCGTGTTGAAGATGCAAATCCTGAAAAACATCAATTACTTCTCGTAAGACGAGTGGAATCAGGAAATGGACCCAAACTTCTTCAGGATGGCGATGTTATTTTAACAGTAAACCAAAAAATAGTTACTCGAATGCAAGATTTAGACGTACAATACACGTCAGAAGAGTTAAAAATGGTATACTTCTATATTTTTAATAAGTAATATTAGTAAATATTATAGGTTATACTTCGAAAACGAAAAGAACTTACCCTAAACATTCCTACAGTTCTTGCAGAAGCAAGTGAAACGGATCGTGTAGTTATGTGTTTTGGTGCATTACTTCAAGCACCTCATCGTGCAGTAAGACAGCAATCCAAAACACTCCACACACAAGTTTATGTATCTGCAAAAGTAATTATAATTATATTACTTTATTTTAGTTCTAATTAGTTTTTAGAGTAAGGGTTCACCAGCATATCAGTATGGGCTTGTACCAACAATGTTTATTACACATATAAATAGTGTTTTTACGCCCGATCTTGATGCACTTTTAAAGGTAAATACTTTATAATTACAATATTCATTTTCTAATAATAAGGCTGTATTACCCATCCCCGATAATACATATGTACGAATACGAACAACTACTTTTGATAATATCCCTATTGTTCTTACATTAAAACTTAATTTACATTATTTTCCAACTGTAGAACTAATTAAGGACGAAACCTGTGAAAACGGCTGGAGGCAAATTGTTTATGAATCTAAATAACTAATATATTATTAAAAAACGTATAGATAAAAAATAATTATCTATACTTGAAGAAATAACATAATAAACTACTTAGGGAAGCCAACACATCTATTTCAGCAATTCTTATAAGTATTTTGGATAAAATAAATATAATTTAAAATATATTATTTAAAAAGATCTAACTTTTATGACCGCTCACCACGAAGACGGCGAGCAAGCTGCATATCTTTAGGCTGAATCGTAACACGTTTCCCATGAATAGCGCATAAATTAGTGTCTTCAAATAAAGATACAAGATATGCTTCAACGGCTTCTTGTAAAGCACCAATAGCAGATGATTGAAACCTTAAATCCGTTTTAAAATCTTGAGCTATTTCTCTTACTAAACGTTGAAATGGAAGTTTTCTTATTAATAATTCTGTAGATTTTTGATATCTTCTAATTTCACGAAGTGCAACAGTTCCTGGCCGATAACGATGCGGCTTCTTAACACCTCCTGTTGTTGGTGCTGATTTCCTTGCTGCTTTCGTAGCTAACTGCTTCCTTGGTGCTTTTCCTCCTGTAGATTTCCTTGCTGTCTGTTTAGTCCTCGCCATATAAAATCCGATTTTATATTTGTATTTTTCTAAGTCAGAAATTTGGTTTTTTATAAATCCTCATCAAAGATTTTCGTGAAATTTATTTCTTAAAAAAGTAGGGTTTTATACTGCTTTATAGGGTTAGGGATAGTATAACATAATAAGAGATTAAGAATACAAATAATGCTTATTTTGCTGAAAATAAAAAAGTTATAGCTAAACAATCATAGATTTTCTACAAGAATGCTTAATTCCTCTCAAAAGTTAAAATCATTTATTATAAATATTTTTTATTTATAAGAATGCTTATCGATAAGTACTTAAAATGTAATAAAATGAAAAACTTGTTGAAAATTTATAAAGCGGTAGTGAAAAATAGACAATTAAACATATACAGAAGCTATAATTTTTATCCATTTAATATGAATTTGAAAAGGAAATACATTTTTTTTAATATTATTACATTACACAAAAACCATAAAGCTATGTTAATTAATGTTTTATAAAAATTATACAGCACCAAATGGAAGCTTTTGACCATATTCATAGCTTTTTTTAATATGTAGAAAATCTTTTAATGCTTGTCGGTATCTTTTTTCTTCTGACCACCAGCCTTCTCTAATTTTTTCTTCCTTTTCTGTAGCCATAACAAATGCCTCATAAATATCAGCATCTTTTAAAAGGTCGTATTGATGACATAATTCCTTATATTTGTCCCATTTTTGAAAAAATTTTAAATATGTAGAAGAATAGCCCAGCCATATTTGCTGATACTTGATCATTTCTTTAAGATAAGTCGAAAAAGAAGAAATTGTAAAACAATTAGGAATAGAGGGAGACAACAATGGTATAACAGGATCCGGAAGATCAGGAATATTTAAAATTTTAGCCTTTTTTTCCATGTTTGTAGGAATATTTGAATCATCGTTTGTATTCCATAAATCTTGAAGGTGTTTTTCTGTATTTACTTGGAATCGTGAAAACTCAATAAATGAAGGACTTTTAGATGTTTCAACAGATGCAGATTTTTTATTAGTTTCAGATGATTTTGATGCAGATAATGTTAAATCTTGGAATTGTTCTAACACATGAGATTTATTGATTGATAATTTGTTAATATTTTTGTTTGCTTTTTCTGTTTCATATGAAATTTTAAAATTACGATATGATTCAAGTTCTTTTTTAACCCTTTCTGATAATAAACTTGAATCAGCAGAATTAATTTCTACACTTTTCTGAGAAACATGCTTAAATTTATTTTCAGTCTTTTTGTCATACTTTTCATTATATCTATCCTGAAAAGTGCCAGTAATGTTTTTGAAAGTTTCACAAGTATCGTCTAACAAAACTTTTTTTTTGATTTCTTTTGATGATGAATCAAATGCAAAAGGATTCTCTATTTTTAAAAATGACGGTTTCTTTATAGTAAATGAAATTTTAGAAGATGATAATGTAGGATTTTTCTCTAAATTATTATCGAAAAGATTAGAATTCTTCTTTTTTAAGTTCAAATCTTCATTATTTTCCTTTGTAGAATTATTCTTTTCAAAAGTTTCCTTGTTGGAACACCAGTTATCAGGTATTTTTGTAGAAAACACAGGATTAAATCCTGTTTCTATCTGTGAAGATAAATGTCGAAGTGATCTAGTTGTATTTCTCTTTTTGTTTTGTTTCAAAGTGTTTTTAAGTGAGTTAAATCGAATTTCTTTACTATCATTTGATTGAAAAATTTCATTTACATGAGTTGTTTGTGTCCCAAACTTCAAATCAGTCGGTATTGATGAAAAAGAAAAACTGGATTCATTCAGTTCAGTATTTGAAAATTTTTCAAATACAATTGGTTGTTCTGCAGGTTGAGTATTTTCTGATTCCTTTTTCTTACTAAGGGAGAAAGAAAAAAATTCAGATGTTTTTTCGCAAGGAATCTTTTTTTCTGTGAAAATATTTTGATGATTCAATGTATTATCACCTCGTGACTGTAAACATACCTCATCCTTATGTTCTGCTTTCGATTTGATATCAAAAAATGTATGTTTACTAGATGCCTTTTCATCTGATGTTTGTGTGTTTTTCTTAAAGATATCTTTCAAATTCTCTTTTTCATATTGCATCCTTGTTTCTGCATATTTTGATGCAGCAGCTTTTCTAGCATCATCCTTAGCCTTTGCAAAACTCTTTTCCTCATCTTGTTTTTTTGGTATAGGTGATCCAAACGGCGAAGTATATGAGGGTTTACGTGGATCAAATTTAGGTGAATTTCTTTCATAAAAAAAAGAATATGCACTTGTTGATTTGCTAAACCAATTCTCATATCCTGCATATATATCTTCACTTCTTTTAGATTGACTTGTATATTTCGACTTACTACTCGGTGATGATTTGGAAGAATGAGGTGATCCTGGTGATCTACTATGTGCTGGTGTTTTTGGTGCAAAAGAAGATGTAAATGAAGAACGAAAAGGAGATTTCATTCCACAGGATGATTCCTTTTTATTTTGAGTAATTTTACTAGAAAGAACTATCAAACGTGCCCGATCATATGACTTTTTCTTTTCTGCATCCGAAAGAACCTCATATGCCATATTTAATGACTGAAACTTCCGCTTAAACTCCGCCTCATTCCCTGGATTCCTGTCCGGATGATAAAGAAGTGCTAATACCGTCAGATTATACCTTTTTTATTCATTTATCTTACCCAATTTCCGATATTGTTGTCGAATATCATCCGCACTTGCTGTAGGTAAAACCTGTCTGTAATACTCATCAATAAAGGAAAATAAACAAAATAACACACGAACAAACACTCGTAATAATTGACCGAGCCGTCAAGCTCCGGCTTAACCATCGCCGTTCCTTCTCGAACTCGTCGTTTAAAGATTCGTTTGGTTCAAGAGGTTTGTTTAGATAATGTTGTCATGACAACATCAAGTCGAGAAGAAATCTAAATTGAAAAAGATAAATAAATATAGCATTTACTCCGTCTTTTTTGCGCATACAATTCGGATATCCAGGGTCTTTTGATCTTTTATATGTTTACAAGTCGCATATATATGTAGATATTTTTATTTTTTCCTTTAAGTTTATTTACCTTCTTTTATTTTCACCTTATTTTGCATAAAATAGCCCCCAAAGCTTTTTTTTTGTGATTCATATTTTTCTCTATTTATCTAAAAAATTCCGCTTTTTTATCAGCTATTTATCTGTTCCTTATATTTTCGATTATTCAAGCCCATTTTTTATGCGTCCTTTTCATATCTTTAGCGGTTCAACTCATCCGGAATTAACAACACTTATTTGTGAACATTTAGGTTTTAAGCCGAGTCGTTCAAAGCTCAAGAAATTCTCTAATGGTGAAACCAAAGTTGATATCGATACCAGCGTCCGCAATAATGATGTCTATATTGTTCAGACAGGCTCTAGATGGTAATATAATAGTAGATATAGGTGATATTTTTTCTAAATAGGGGACAGCGTTAATGACGCTTTAATGGAATTATTAATTATGATTCATGCATGTAAAGGAGCATCATCACATAAAGTAATAGTAGTATTACCACTTTTTCCTTATAGTCGATATTCAGATACTAAATGTGAACATTCGGTTGAATATGAAAATATTAAAGATGATAGTAAGCCATATCTTTATCGTTCATGGGCAGCGCAGACGGGTAATAATAATAAATCTATTTATGAAGATATATATTAAAGGGTAGGCGCACTAATGTCAAATCTTTTTGCATGTGCAGGATGTGATCATATTATTACTATGGATTTACATGTAAAATGGGGATAGAATTGTATAAAATGAAGGTTAATGAGGATTAGGATCCACAATTTCAAGGCTTCTTTAATATACCGGTTGATAACCTAGTTGCACGAGGGATTTTTCAAAAGTAAAGGCGTAAAAATAAATAAAAATTAACTAATAAGGGTGAAGGTATATTGTAAAACATATTCCTGGATATTTAGAAGCTGTAATTGTATCACCAGATGCAGGTGGAGCAAAACGAGCAACTATTATTGCAGATACATTAAGAATGGACTTTGCATTGATTCATAAGGTTTGAAAAATAAGAATAAAAAGGAATATTTAATATATCTACAAAGGAAAGGAAGTTAGGCGAACAGTTTTATCAAATGGATTCAGAAATGATGTTAGTTGGGGATGTAGAGAGTAAAGTAGCTATTTTAATTGATGATATTATTGATACGGGTAAGAATGTATTGATTCTCATAAATGCATTAGAAGCTCATGAGACAATAACTTATTTGGATATATCTAATCATGTTTTTTTTAGCAAATACATTAATAAAAGCAGCAAAAATGTTAAGTGAGCATGGTGCAATAAAAGTTTATGCTTTGGCAACGCATGCAGTTTTTTCAGGCGATGCTATTGAACGAATTAATGAGAGTACATTACATAAAGTAATAGTAACAAACTCTGTTCCACAAACAGAAAATGCAAAGCGTTGTCCTAAACTTGTCGTTCTTGATGTTTCCTTTATTTTTGCAGAGGTACACCTTTTAAAAAAATAAAAACTATTGATATATGGTTACTAATACTGCATTTTAAGGCAATACGAAAAATTCATCATGGGGAAAGTTTAAGCATGTTATTCGATTATAGTTTATAAAAGAAAAAATAAAATATAATAAAAAATTAATTCAAAAACTAAACAAAAAAGTTAAATATATAACTCTTTTTCTTAAATATATGACCAGCATTTGCTTTTATTAAAAATGTACACTATATACGATTTTAAAAACCTTTTAAGTATATATACTAATACTCTTTAAAATAATATACAAAAGACTTCCACTCATTACAGGAATTACACAATTATCATTCAACTTCCATAAGTCAAGCTGCTCCGTAAATCCTCCAATTAATCCCGTCAATAAAGCTAATCCATGAATATTCAATCGACTCGATGGATGCCATGATAAATTTGGCTCATCGAAACGAGCAATCCATCCCCAAAATAAATAAACTGATAGCATCCCTACAATACATGCCGCAATTGTTCCAATTAATGATTTTCCCGGACGAATTAAAGGTCCATAATGTCCATACATCCTCCCCATCGTCGATGCCGCCGTATCACACCAGGCAAGTAAAAGAATAGATATCACTGCAATATCCTATAAAAAATATTATTATTCATTCTTTTCCCCTATCATTCATATACTTTAGGAAATATTATTAAAACTGTCCATGTACCTATAAGATAAAAAATAACTCCACTAAATATTTATCAATAATTAATTTTAAAAAATATTATATTTTATTACTTCCATGTATTAATTTCATTCTGTCTCATCAATGGCCCAAGAATTGCTATATACATATGATTAAATTTAGGCACTGAAAACCGTATAAGATCACATCCAAATGCTGGTATAAATAACATAACTAAGTATGGTGTAATCATGGTTGCTTCAAATCTTTGCCTATAAAACTCCAATGTAATTACTCCTATAGAAGAATGAACACATTTTCTAGGAACTTCCCACTCTATAATCCATTTTCTATACCATTGAGACTGGACATTCTTTGAATTTAGCTTCCAGACTTTTTTTTTACTGTGGACCATCGATTTTTTTAGGCTAAAAAATCTCTAAGAGATAAAGACAATTTAATGAGATTTGTAGTAAAAAAAAAGAATTTATACAAGAAAAAACAATATAATGAAGGTTTTTTGTAATAAAAATGAAGATAAAAGATTTTGTATAATTAATATTGAAACCTAAACCTAGTATTAGAGGGCAGGGTTGAAGAATTTAAATTTTTTATTTTTTAAAAAAAATATTAAAAAAAAAAATAAATGGCACATGATCAAGTTTGGTTTTCTCGACCTCGTTCATATGGTAAAGGATCTCGAGGATGGTGTGAAAATGTTGTATTTTATTGTTTTTGTAGTTAATCATATATAGTCGAGTTTGTGGGCATGTTGCAGGGTTAATTCGAAAATATGATTTAAATATATGTAGACAATGTTTTAGAGAATATGCAGTGAATATTGGATTCCATAAAGTATGAAAGATATTGATTAATGATTTTTGTAACCATAATAGCATCGATAAAAGGCAAAATAAAAAATATATTGTATTGTAGAAAGATGATGTAAAAATGTTTTTTAATTAAATTTGATTATCTGATTGTAAAATATCATTTGCGAGTTTTTCCCGTTCGGCTTCTCTCATTCGCATTAATATTATATTTTGATAATCCAAATGGTTTTGATTTAAACTGGGCATAGTATTTGAACGTGATAAAGGTATATTTTTTGAAATGTTTGGATCAGGAGTTTCATTTAATGTTACATGTTCTGATATTCCGGTTAAATCAGGTGCTTGTTTTGCCCAAGAAACATCTTTCAAATGTATAAATGGCGTCTCTGCCAGCAAAGACGCTTCAGATATCGCAGCATGCTAAATCCTATTAGAGTTATAAATCAAAGGCGTTTTCATTTACCGCAGAAACAACTGATTTAAATACAATTAATGCTACAATAAGTTTTTTTTTCTTTGTATTGTCCATTAAATCCTTCAAAAGTACATCTTCAATTTTTCCAAATCTTTCAAATGCATTTATTAGTCTATTCTTGTCTAATGTGATTTGATCTCGACGCCACCGCACTTTAATTGTCCTATCTTCCGCTGTAAATCTACTTTTTTCTTCCTTCGCTTTTGACACTTTCTCATCCTTAACACTTTCTGATTGCCTCTCTGCTTCTCTTTGTACTTTTAAAGCTTCTTCCTTTTTCTTACGTAATGCAGCTCCTTCTTCCTGAAGCTTACGTAAAGTAGCATCCATTGCTGTCTCTGACTTAATTTTTCGAAGCTTAGCCTCTTTATCCCACCGCTCAAGCTCTATTATTAAATTAATATATTCCTTATTACATACCATCTTTTATTCATTTACCATCTATCATTCGCTTTCTTTCTTTATCTAATGCTTCATACTTTCGCTTTTTAGCAAGCCAAGATTCCCTACTAGAATCATAACTAGAGCGAGATACTGGATCACTTAAAACATCGAATGCAAGTGCTATTTTATGAAATATTTCTATAGCAGATGCTTCTTTATTCTTATCTGGATGATATCGAAGTGCTAATATAAGCATTAATTAACTACTTTTCTTCGTTCAAAAAATATACCTGCTTTTCTATACCCTCTCTGTATCATCTCATCATTTGCTGTTGATGGAATCCCAAGCAAAGCATAATAATCATCTTCCATCTTTGCTTAATTATAGAGGACGTTAACTTTCAACGGGGAAGTTGTCTAGACAACCGATAATACACCATAGACCTTTTAAAATGATTAGAATATATTTAAATAGATTAATTCACTATGCATATATTAGTATATATCTGATTAAACTTCCTAGTTTTTCTATATATTTGCTTATTCATTCAGTTATCTTTCTTTTAATCTATAAATAAATCGACTAATTTAAATAGTCTAAATTTGTTATATATTCTTGAGATATTAGTAAATATATCTTCTTTTTTTAACGCATATATACAGGAAAATAAAGGTATACTTGTATTTTCCTTTTGTTTGGGGGTGAACATTTAATTTTATGTTAACCCTAACACAATTCGAGGCATAAGACACATACAAGACGCATATATTCATGTTTTTTTTCAATAAATGGTAGATTCTTCATCTGTATGCCTCATTTTGGCACCGCTAAATGATACATTTGAACGAAAATGTCTTTGGCTACCGTCTTGGCCCCAAACATTGAGAATTGGCCGTCAGATAAATTCTCGTACAACACCGGCGTCTAACAATGGGTTCTTCGACTCCAAAGTTCTAAGTCGAGCACATGCAGAGGTTTGGGCAGATCCTAAAACTGGTAGAGTTTTTATTCGAGATATTCGGAGTAGTAATGGAACGTTTCTTAATGGACGAAGGCTTAGTCAGGAAAATCAGACAAGTGAGCCGTTTGAGCTTTACATAGGGGACGTTTTAGTATGATAGTTTAGGTTTTTTTATTATCTTAAATGGATTAGGAGCTTGGAATTGATATTTTAAACGAGGAAGACCGATCTATTCTTCATTGTAAAGTTTCATCCCGTGTTGAACATGCAGGATGGGCAGAAGCAAATTCATCGGATGTTTCTCAGGCTGAGATTAATGCATTATGGGTGGATACAGGCACAGCGGAAACATTTGATACGATTACACCTCGTGTACTGGTTTCTAATGATCCAGTACATTCAAAATCCGTATTAGAAGAAAATAAAATACATGAATGCTTTGGAAAAGAAATGGAAGATATTTTACAAACACTGAATGTGGAGATTTCTATGAATTTATATATATATTAATATTTATAATGGTAGATAGGGCTAAAAACGGCAAAACAGCAAATAAATGACATCAAATTGATCACAAAAGTGCTTAATAATATTCAAGATACAGTTTTTTATGATGTAATTATCCTTTTTTTCCTTCTGAGTGATGTCTTAGTGGAATTATAGTCTAGGAATGATAGTTTGGAAAAAATACAATCAGAAGATATTTCAAAAAACCATTCAGAAAATTTTGAGAGTAAAGGAAACTTTGGCTTGTATAAAAAACGTATGCAGCCTCCTAGTTTGGAAGTTTTAGCATCAAAACAACTTGAAATTGAAGAAAAGACCGCAAAAATCAAGCGTTTAGAAGAAGAAAAGACAAAACAGCAAACATATAAACAGATTATCGAGCACCTTCTGAAAGAACAAAATAATACATTGGAAATGGAAAATACAATTGAAACGAAAATGAATATAGAATTAATGAAAAGTAAATTGGGAAAAGATCAAAACTCAGAGGATGAATTAAAATCATTAAAAGCTATGGTAGAAACTATGAAAAAAGAAGTGGAATTATGGAAATATCGTGCAAAAAGGACTGAAAAAATAGTGGAACAATCAACATATCATATGGCAGCACTATTAAAAACGGAAAATGAAAGCAATATAAATGAGGTTTCTGGAAATAAATTATGGATATTATTTTTTCCAGCATGTTGTATAGTAATGATAGGTATAAGTATAATGTTCTATTTAAATAATGCAATTTTCCCGCCATTTATTTACTCATTGATTTAATAAAATGTCACCTATTTGTTCAGGATTAATACGATTAATAGTACAACCTAGTTGATTTGCTAAATTTTTAATCCAACAGGACTCTACAATTTCAAGTGGAACATATACACCTTCTCGCTCAAAACTTGTCATTTCTTTACCTTTAAGGCCACAGGCAATAATTTTCTTAAAATAACTTAGATCAGTAGAAACATTTAAAGCTATCCCATGAGATGTAATATGCCTTCGGAGATGGATACCAATCGATGCAATTTTTCGTATTGGCGATGTCCAAACACCTATAAAATTTAGTAAGCATTAAATATGTTTTTCTCTTTTACTAGTAAAACCTGTATGTTCTGTTCGCATAGCAGCTATTCCAAATACTTTACATGTCGAAATAATAGAGGACTCAAGTCGATTGACGTATTCTTTAGGAGTTATCTGTAATAAAATAAATAAGTAAAAGGTAAAAGGAAAAATGTTAAATATTTATAAAACATTTCTAAAAGCAAATAAACATGCCTTGAAATCCTTTAAATCAAGAATAGGATAACCAACAATTTGTCCGGGGCCATGAAATGTTATTTGTCCACCACGAAGAGTTTTTATAAAAATAGCCGTTGGATTCGTTTCAAGATATTTTATATCTGAAGGACAAATACTGTTATTTTCACGTCTTCCACATGTATATGTCGGATAAAATTGAGCAACAAGAAGTAATGCTGGAGGTTTAATATAAGTATCAGGATATTGTTTATTTAATAAGAAACGATGAACCCAAGATTCTTGAATTTTAGAAGAAGTTGTATATGGACATGGTGATTTCAGTGACAAATATAGTAACTGTTTCATCTTAAGTAAATATCCAGCTGATATTAAAACCGTATTTTGCAAAAAAAATATCTAACACATATAATATATGCTTACAATTTAATATATAGATTTCAATGTATAGGAAATATCTCATATACAATCCGTTATATCTGATAATTTGCTATAGTGTAAAAAGAGATATTTAAAATTTACTAAAATATTAAATAATATATATATAATTTCTGTTTTTATACATAATATATAGATTCTTCTATATTTATATGTTTTTCATATGTAATATATATTTTATCTACATTTTATATAGTTTTTTAAAAAAATCGATCAAAAATTATTTTCGACAAGGCTGAATTATAAATCGTATTTAGGCTTTAAAAAAATTCGTCCAGGACTATAGTAATATAGATAGATTGCATATACTACGCATACACTACGCATACACTACGCATATATTACATATACGCAGCACATATATAATATTTTAATAAACTTTGATACTTTATATTATTTTTTTAAAAATATAAAGTATAATTATTGAAAAATGCCATCTGTTTTTGTATCAAAAGATGGAACTATTTTAACAGAAAAACCTTTTTCTGCAAGGTAAATAATTCCATAGATTCATAAAAGTTATATTTAATTCTTTAGATTAAACGATATTGCACATCAAATTTATCTAATTTTTATGCTTTATCTAAGCACTTTGTTTACGGTTTGTTTAAAAATTAGGGTTATGTAAAAATTAATAATACTCAGTTTGATCCACAAAAGGGTATTGAAAAGTATCATTTGAAACAAAATACACAAAGAACTACAAATACTTCATCAAATAGATTCTCAAATAATCGGAAAACATGGGGTTATGATTCTTCAAATGAAAGACCTTTAGGACGACGATTAGGTAGTATTGATGATATTCGTTTACCTCCATGTGGTTCATGTTGCGGAGGTAATTAATATATAATTATCGTAATAAATGCGTGTTATATTCATTTATTAAAAAAAAGCAATTCAAGAGAATTATATAACCCCTTTGAGTTCCCCAAGGTTCAATGGAACTTAAATAAAAGACCTGAAATATGGGGAAGGCAGATTATTATGTATGTTTTTATAAAATTATCAGTTTTAGTAGAAGAATTGTTTAATAAGATTATGTTGTTTATGTAAAGGATTTTTTTGTATTTAACAACCTTTTTTGCAAGAAAATGGAGATTCTTTTATATCTTGAATAATTTATAGTGTAAGACAAAGACAAAAGAGATTTACGTGAAGAACAATAGAATAACTAGAAAATGGATTTTAATAAGGTTAGGAGATTTAGGATTTTTAAAAGTTTTTTTAAAAACTTTTAAATCAGAGAAAAAGAAATGAATTTCATTCATATAATGCAAAACGGAAAAAAAAAGAGAAACTGGTGATAAATAAATCGAAAAATAATATTCATACAGTTGCTACAGGGCCTAGGAAATATACGGGTATTTTTGTTTTCATTAATTAATTGGTTTAATGAAATAGTTACTATTGCTCTTCCAGGAAGTATCGTTGCAAATGCACAAGGACTAGAATTAAAAACCGCACTTGTTGGACAAGTTAGTATTAAAAATCATATTTTGCTTCAAAAAAATTAATGATTAAAAGATTGCTAGAGCTTTAGTTATTTTTTGTGTGGATGAAGTTGTTATTTTTGATGATTCTGGAATACCAAAAGAACAAAATATTTTTGAGAGACATGATGGAGTAAGCAATGAAAATGTGTTTTTTATTCATTTATTACGTTACATGGAAACACCGCAGTATGCTTTTGTTTTAAAAAATTATTTTTTCATGAAATAATTTTATAAAGATATCTAAGAAAATCATTATTTCCAATACATCGAGATCTTCGGTTTACCGGGCTATTAAATCCTTTAGATTGTCCTCATCATTTACGTATAGATGAAGATTTTCCATATAGAGAAGGTATCACATTGGATTCCTCATTATACCCAAAGGTTCCTAAGAATTGCACGTTAGTAGAAGCAGGTTTGAGACAAAAGGTACTAGTTTCGGATAGAATTAAACCAGGTGTTCGCGTAACACTGTTTATGAAGGAGATGTCCTCACAAAAGAAATATATCAATGCGGAAGTAGTAAGTCCGTCTACTCCACGAGAAACAATGGGATATTATTGGGGTTACACTGTTCGTTTTGCAAGTTCTTTGTCTGCAGTGTTAACAGAATCACCATATGAAAATGGTTATGATTTAACTATTGGCACATCAGAAAGAGGTGTGGCATTTGAAGAGATAAAAGATAATATTCCAAATTTTAATCATATTCTTATTGTTTTTGGGGGATTAGCAGGACTAGAAGCAGCAGTAGATGCTGATCAGAACTTAGATATTGGAGGAGATCGTGTAGAAGAACTTTTCGATAGATGGATAAATGTATGTCCTGCACAAGGATGCAGAACAATACGTACGGAAGAAGCATTGCTAATCACTTTAGCACAACTAAAAGCAATTATTATGAAAAAGGGTAAATAATAATATCTAATATGAAAATTAATCAAAAAATATTTTTAAATATTTATTGTTGAACATCTATATAATTCATATAAAATAGTCAAATATCGATACAAAAATGCCTTTCACATGCTTTATAGATATTTCCACTAATTTTGTCGATTCTTTCTTAAAATATTTTCAATAAATAGTTCACCGGCTTTATAACTAGATCGGACTAGTGGCCCTGATGCAATATACATAAATCCCATATTTTCTGCCATTTTCTTATATTTTTCAAAGGTATCTGGGTGAACATACTCGTACACCTTCACAACATTAGTTTATATGTTTCAAACTTATATAACATACTTTCATATGTTTTTTAGTTGGTCTAGATATTTCGTTAAATGTCATTAAAAAAGCATATCAAAATTACCTCATATATTGACCAAATGTAACAATATCAACATTTATTTTACGTAGCTCTTTAAGTGCTGCTTTAATTTCTTCTTCAGTTTCACCAATACCAAGCATAAAACTCGTTTTTGTGATTAAATTGGGTCGACATATTTTTGCATATTCCAAAACACTTAAACTTTGACGAAATGTAGCCCGTCTATCACGAACATGTGGTGTTAATGTCTCAACTGTCTCAAGATTATGTGCAAAAACATCCAATCCTGACATGACAACGGTTGCCACGCTATTCATTTGACCACCAAAATCACCTGTTAATGCTTCAATCAGAATATTTGGAGACCTATGTCCAATTTCAATATCAATTTAAGACATCCCATTTGAATAATATTACCTTTTTTTTACTTCGATAATTGTTTCTGCAAAATGTGCTGCTCCCCCATCTTTCAAATCATCTCGGTCTACACTTGTTAATACAATATATCCAAGACCCCAACGAGCTATAGCTTCCGCCGTATGTACAGGTTCTTTTGGATTAAGCGGTGGAGGTGTAGCGCTTGTTTTGACTGAGCAAAAACGACATCCTCGTGTACATATATCCCCCATCAGCATAATAGTAGCTGTAGCAGATAATTTACTACTTCCTCCCCAGCATTCGCTAATATTTGGGCCTATTCAAATATTATTATACTTTCTAGATAATATATAATGCGTATATATTACGCATTATATATCTAAATGCATTACAGCGTGCTTCTTCACAAACAGTATGCAAACCGAGACCACGAAGATCCCGCCTAATACGTTTATAATTATCACTATCAGGAATAGAACGTGTACGTAGCCAACTTGGAAGGCGTGCCGGTACTAGAGATTCTGAAGGCGTTTTACTTAATACATTAGATTGAATAAAATCCTGAAAGGAAGGTCCAGTAGCAAGTCTATCATGAAATATTTGGGATTTAACTTGTGCACTGCGTAATAATCGTTTTGACATGTCTTAATCTGACAGAGAAAGTATAATAAAAATTATAAAAAAACCAAAAGAAAATATTTAAATAAATAAACTATAGGATTGACAATTGTATATTCCAAATTATGTGTTAAACATAATTTGGAATATATATTATTGTTGGTAATATGAGAGTAGACGGATATGTATTTAGTGAATCTCAGTGCTAGTTCCGGACACACTAACTGCTTGCAATCTGGTATTTGAGGATTTATTAAGAGTCCATTCATAGCATTTATAGCGCATATATAACGCATATATAACGCATTTATTCCAAAAAAGTACAGAATCTGGTTTATTATCTTGCATATAGTTGCATTTTTCAGTTTTTCAGTGATTTAATGAAGGTTTTTTTATTTTTTATAAATCATTCTTTAACACATTTAGTGTCGTGTTTTACGTGATTTTCGTAGACGTATAGCTGTTGCTCAGGCTGAGCCTTTACGCCAAGCATTACGTTATATCGTTAGAAACACTACATTACCTGCTCAAGTAAGAATTCGCGCTCAACAACGATTAATTGAAATGCCTTCCGATACACGCACAACCCGAGTAAAAAATCGATGTATTGAATCAGGAAAAGGACGTGGTATTTTTAGAGATTTTCGTCTTTGTCGGGTATATATATATATATTATATTATATTAATCCTGAGCCTTATTTTTAGTATCAATTTAGATTAAATGCACTTGAAGGATATTTGCCTGGTGTTCAAAAAGTAATTATCCTTTATTATATATATATATTTATATTTTAAAAGGCTAGTTGGTAATGTTTTTTTGAAATATTTAAAAAAAACAAATCTGATAAAAAAATGTTATAAATATCTTTATTTATATAGAACTATTACATTTTAAGTGTGAAAAAGTATTATTTTTATTTAAAAATAAAATTGATATAACTATTGATTAATCAGTCAATTAATATTAGAAAAAATATCTTTTAAATCTAACAACTTTTATATTTACAGTCTATTTTATAGTTTTTTAAATAAACTTGATTGAATAAGTATTTATATATTTTTCTTTTATCTGTTCTTAAGGGTTAATCAGGATATTTTAATCTTATCTCGTTTTTATCAACGTTAGTCGATTTTTTTAAAGATTAAAAAAATTAATAATTTATTAACAAAAAATGAGATATTTAAGGGAAAGAAAGGTACCAAATAGATATTTTTTAATAAGAATTAAATGTTTCTAACAAGAAATCAGGTATTTTCAGGTTCAGATTGTGTTTCAAAAGAAGATAAAAGTTTATTAACAAAAAATATGAATTCTCAAGAAAATGAGAATAAATCAGCACAAAAAGTATATATAACACAATCAAGAATGAATATGAGTGATAAAAATTGTAATTGATATCAATTGGAATGATATAGTTTAATTAAACCAGTTTCTGTATCATCAGAACGGTTAAGAGGTTTACGCAAAAAAAAATATTGTTCAGAAAAGAATTGTCATAATAGAGAAAGAGTAAAATACGTGGATATTTTAAGGGATTTCTTCACTAGATCTCAAATTCCAACTGAGAAGAAAGGATCTTTGATTTTATTTGAAGCGGTTGAAGCAGCACGATGTTCTTTGAATAGAGATGATATGGAAAAAAAAAATAAGAATGCAGCTTCTGGGGATAAAGATAGAAATAAGAGTTTCGAAAGAAAAGGGAAAACATATTTAACTCAAGGACTTTATGCATTTTCATTTAATTATACCAGAGAATCTGTTAAGGTCTAATTATATAGTTATGTATATTAATGAATATTAGGATTCAAATAATTTGAAAAAAAAAGAAATATTTCCTCTGCCAATACATTATGGGATTACATTGATCGATCATTTAAGGGATTTTAAATTGCCATGGAATTTATTTGCTACATCAAAGAAATCATACAGACCAGGAGGTTGGAGATATATTAAACAAAGCATAAATCATATTTCTAAAATTTTAAACGATTTTAATTTATACTAGATATTTATGGCAAAGAAAAGTTTAAAAAGATTTTTCGTCCTAAATGCAATTGCAAACAAGGTTCTGACTGTGGAGATGGTTGTTTAAATAGGTTTAAAAAGATATTTAAAAAAAAGAAATTTATTGAATTTTAAAGAGAACTTTTTTATGAATGTGATGATGCTACATGTGCTCTTGATAATTCCCAAGAATGTTCTAATCGTGCTTTTCAAGATTATACAAAAAAAAGAATGGAAGGAAGACTTTCTTCCTTAAATACGGAAATTATTTGGGTTTAAGATTTGTTTAAAAACAAAAAAATATTATTAACGATAGCATAGACAGGAAAATGTGGATTTGGTCTTCGATCTCTTCGTGATTTCGAAGCAAACTCTCTTATAGTTGAGTACTGTGGAGAAGTAATAGAGAAAAATGAATTGTTTCGTAGAATGAATAGTATTTACAAAGATGCTCGGGTAAAATTTACTTAAATTCGAATAAAATATATATTTAAATACGTGTAGAATTATTATTTTTTAAATTTTGAGTCAGGACTCGTCTTAGACGCTGGAATAAAGGGAAACGAAGCTCGCTTTATTAACCATTCTTGTAAGCCTAATTGTAAAATTGAAAAATGGTATGTGAAGGGTATTCCACGTATTGGTGTTTTTGTCGGAGAAGCTGGATTGTTTGCAGGAGAAGATATAACATATGATTATAATTTTAGGAAAGCAAAAGCTCATTGTATTATTATTTAACTATTAATAGTTGGTTTGAAGGAGCAGAACAACAAATTTGTTATTGTGCTTCAGCAAATTGTCGAGGTTTTATAGGAAAAAAATATACTAAAAATAACTTAACAGAAAAGCCTTCGAAATCTTTAAAATAATAATTGAATTACAAAATATATTTTAAAAATATTTTTATTCAAAATAATTTCATTTATAATTATCATAGCAACATTACCAATCAACATACCACTTTTATTAACATCAGATCAATTATAATATCAAATTATATTATTAATATTCTATATATTGAATTTAGGCATTAATACTTGTTAAAATCTAAGTGGTTATATTTTTTAAAAAAAGATGATTCAAAACTTGGAAAAAAACATTAGAAAAACATATCTTCAGGCAAAAAGTAAGTTTTTAAAGACATTTTTGGTTTATACATATATATTAATAAAATTTTAGATCTTGGAACTTTAACATTTACAGAATCAATTCAAGAAAAAATTCAAGAAGATGAGATTAATGTGAATATTTATTATTTAAAGTGTATGCTTATTTATCCTGATAGTTTCAACTCTTTTGTGTTTCGTGTATTAAAAAAAAGGAAAATCTTAATACATCTAATCAACATACATTTATTGATCCTTTTGATCCTCCAGAACCATCACTTTATATTCAAAATGTTGGGGACGAATATTTCATTGTTTTAAACAAATTTCCGATTATTCCAAGACATTTTTTACTTGTAACAAAAGGTACTTTCTAGAAAAAGAAAAAAAAATATAACTTTGATTCAATATAGAATTTAAAAAACAGTCAGAAGATTTATTAATAGATGACATTGCGGTAATTTGGGAATGTTTAGATTCTATGAAAGATAGACATATGGCATTTTATAATTGTGGGCCTCAATCTGGTGCAAGGTACTTATTTATATATAAATATATAATTATCAATGATTTTATACTTTTTTAGTCAACCTCATAAACATATCCAATTTATATCTTTAGAGAATAACATTGTATCAACACTATATCCGGATGAAATTATAAATATTGCAGATAGTATAGAACCATTTAAGATTTTCATTTAATAACATAGACAACAGTAAAAAATCCATGGTCTCATCCGAAAATTCCTTTCATTCATTATATTTTCCCCATTGTTTCATCTTCTCCAAAGGATCTTATTGATATGTTTTCTAAATTATTATCATTTACAACAAAAGCTTCTCAAGCTTTTAAAATGGGTGAGATTAGCTACAATTTTGCGATGAGTAAACAATGGATGTTTATGGCACCTCGTATTATGGAATCCTGGAACAATATAAGTGTTAATACTACCGGTATGGTTGGAATGTTGTTAGTAAAATCTGAGGAAGAATTAAACTTAGTTAAAAATACTGGAATTTTAAAAATTTTAAGACAGCTAGGAATAGATAAAAATATAATACCATCTAACACGTATAACTAAAAATTAATATATAATTAACAAACATTTTTATTTAATGTATCCAATGATTTCAAGTGTTCTTGTTGAAAATGTCCAAATATGTATATCAATTAAAGGTTTTGTATTAAGCATATCTAGCGCTCAATACCATTAAATATAAACTAGACATATATATATACTTGTATTTTGGATTTTGTATTGAGTGCTATTTTTAAATTTACTATATTAAGTATTCAGAAGTCGTTAAATCCATCTCCAACAGTATAGTATATTTTTTTAATAACATTTAAAATAAATAACATGAAATATTTAATCCAGATTAATATTTTCCATATAAGCTATCAATTTCAATATTTCCATCTTTATATCCATCTACAATTTCAGTAAGTTTTTCAATTAAATATAAATCATCTTCAATTTCATGTTCAATCAATGCAAAATCCATATCAAAAACAATGCTTTTTTTATATATGTTATTTTGTAATAAAATATTTAGCAAATATTTCGACTTAATAGAAATATCTTTCTTTTAAACCTTTCACTTTTTAATAGTTTAAGTGACTGATTTATATTCCATAAATTTAAATGATATATCTGCTAAATTAGAAATATGTAAAACATTAATATTATAGAAATTCAATAGCTTAAACAATTCTATTAAAATTTCCACTGATATAAATCTTTAATAATAGTTAGTCAAATATCTTTTTTAATATAATTAATTTCAAAATAAGGAATGAAATATTGAAATTTCTCTAGAATAACTGATAAAAAAACATTTTTTTGTAAACGAGACTTCAATAAATCCTTTAATAAGCTCATATCCTCAAATATTTATATATATTTTTATATTAGAAACAGATTTGTTTATCTGAAATATATAAAGGACATTATTAATAACAGTTTTCTGTAAAAATAATAGATCAAATAAAAATTCCACTTTTCATTATGTATATTATGTAATGTAAGGGTTATAATTTGTTCCAGATATTTATAAGATAATTTGTCTAAAATATTAAACTTTATATAATCGCCATATTTTATATTGTTGATTTGTTTCTATTTAATGTCTCTCATAAGACTGTAAGGCTTTAATAATCATTTAAATCAATAGACTTAAAATAATTTACGGTAAAAGGTACCGATTTATCTGTAAAAAAAATAAGTGACAAACTAACCTTTAATGTTTAATCATATTTTTAAAATTATCAAAAAAATATTTGATATATTTAATATAAATTTAAAAATCCAAAGAATCCTTTCTTTTGAAAGATAAATAAGACTTTGGAGATTAAAAAATTATAAAGCATTTCTCTATAATTATTACCTAAAGATATTTTTGATCTAATAAATCATTAAATTTTCAAAAAAAAATCATTTTTTTAAATCAAAACATAGATTCATTCTTAACATTTTTATTAAAAAAATGTCTTTTTAGATTAATTTAATAAATATACCCTAGTTATATTTAGATGAGTTAAAAATTCTTAATTAAATAATTTAAAAAACTCGAGTACAGAACATTACTATCTATTAACTCTTAGTAAATAATCATTTAATATCACAGGAACAAAACCTTGCTTTTTTTATTAGTTTTTTCAAAAACTAATTAAAGGATATAAAAATTTTAACTAAAAATCTAATAATAATGATAAATTTATATCAATATCTAACCCATTAAAATACCGAATATTTTAAAAATATAAATATGTATATGTATTAACGAAAATATTCCATCTGTATATTACTTTTATAAAAAACATTAATTTTCATCATGATCCACTATTTGACTTTTCATATACTCCTTCCATAATTCTTGATGAACTTCTCTCAAATCAGAGTAATATCCGTATAACGTTTGTAACTCATTTTGCAAGTTTTTAATATATAATTGTAATACCGACTCAGATGCAATAGACTTGATATTATTAAATATAAATCGATAATCATCACATTATTTACCGAAAATTCACTTAAATCTTTTCTCATTAATGTTAAATCATCTTCATACCATGCTGTTTTATTTTTTAATTCATTAAAAACATGCAAGTTCTTTAAAATGGAATAATCATTCATATCTTGAAAATTTTGGATCTTTTTAAAAGTAGGTATATTTTGTAAAGATATTTTATTTTCAAAAAATCCCCGATAGATAACTTTACAACAAATAGATGTTATTGGTCCTGAAATAGATAAATAATTTGACATTACAAATAATATATTTTACCATCTTGCTTGCTAAATGTATGAATTATTTGACGAGTAGCAATATCCCATAAAAATACATCCTTATCTTGAGATCCTGATATTAAAAGAGATCCATCAAAAGATAATGTCAAACATGAGATAGCATTTTTATGTCCTTTAAATATCGTTGATTCATCGTTAACGCTTTGAATAACTTTTTTTGACCCCCCTATTGCTTCATAAAAAGATTCCAAAGATTTCTCTTCTGCAAAGCCATATAAATCAACAAGATAAACATCACCTTGATCATTCCCCGCATAAAACGCTCTTTCTGCTGGATCTATTGCAAGACAAGTTACTGGTTTAGGAAAAACAAACGTCGTAAGAAGACTTTGAGTACTTAAATCCCACACCTTTAAATTTTAGTTTTATTAAAAATCAAATAAAAATAAAACCAACATTTACTGTGCTATCCAAAGAAGATGTAAAAACTCTTGCAGAATTAGCTGTCCCAAACCCACAAACAATGTCTGTAATTGCTAAACTATGATCATTCCATGTTTTTACAGGGCATCCCTCCTTTTTGGAATATAAATCAACTATATCTAACAATCTCCATAAACATAAATGATTATCTTCAGATCCTGTCAAAAAAAATGAATCATGCATCACAAATGTAATTGCTGTTATCTTTTGATAATGTGCGTCATGAACAAACATCAAATTTCCAGATGATATCTTCTATTTTTAGATTTAATACTAAAAAATATATTTCCAACCTGCCAAAGATATATTTTTCCTTGTAATGTACCTCCAACTGCCCAATAAACATCATGAGAAACAGCAAACGCCGTTAATGTTTCAGGAAGAATTATTTTTTGAAATATACTTTCCTTTATTTACCAATTATTTCCTTGAATTATTCAATATTTATATATCTACCTTCTGCCATGAATATATATGAAGAATAGGTTTTTCTCTTTGACTAGAAAAAATATACTTTTCCGTAATAAATATTCCTTTTAAACAACAATCATTTTGTTTAAATTTCATTATTTGACATCCCGTATAAAGATCATAGACATATATATATGTATCGTCTACCAATTTTTCATTTTTATAACCGATAACTATAATTTCTTGAAAATTCCCTTGATTCATAGATTTTTTTCCTTAAAATAATAATAATAAGCAACTCAATTCAATTTATCATCTTTTTTCAAATAAATAACTTCCTGCTTAAAACTATAACCCTAAAAAATCAAAGATATAAGACGATCTTAAAAAGATAAACTAATTTAAGCGGATTAAATAATAAAACATTAAATAAAAATTAATAATAATTCCGAGAAATATTTCTTTTTTTCTAAAAAAAAGTCGATATCAAAACTATTAAAAATCAATCCAAATATTTATATGATAATAAAATATTATATTATTATATTTTAACATAAATATATGTTTTTGTTGCGAATTAGACTCTTAATATTTCATTATAAAAGTATAAATTCTTTAAAAAAAAGTTAATTATAAATTTATTTTAAACTTAACTTTATTATACTTCGTTTTATTTTATGAAAAATCTATGGATTATATATTGAGTTTATGTATATTTGATAATATTAAGTTTTTTTGTTTATAAACTTTTTATATCTTCGTATGTGTCCTTTGCACGAACACCAACTACATAAGATGGATTTTTCCATTATGACCCTTAAAACTTATACCTTTGTCTATATTTTTGGAGGAATTACTTTTATACCTCTTGTTTTTGTTATATTTTTCGTTTACAGCTGGATTGTTTTGCCAGATGTAGATCAGACAGTTTTTAAATCTTTTAAAAAATATTCTTTCTTGAATAAAAAAAATAGATTGAAAACACTAGATTCACTGGATGAAGCGACAGGTGTTTATAAAACGGGATGGATTCGAGTGACTCGTGAGGTGGATGAGATGGATATTGAAAATATTGAAAATAAAATGTCTGGGACTGAAGGAGGAACGGGAAATAATATAGCGGGACAAACACCGGGAAATAACATGAGTGGGGGGATCCTTAATACAACAAATGTAAAAAAACAAAGAAAGGGACCGGCACTTTTTTTTGCAGTGTTAAAACATGGAAATCTTTTTTTATATGATAAAGAAAATCGATCAGATGTAAAATATGTGATTGTGTTAGCGCAATATCATGTTAGTATATACCCTAAAGGATCTAAGGATGGAGAGCTTTTTACAAGGACCCACGCAATTTGTTTATCTCGGGAAAAAAATGAACAAAAAAAATTGAAAAAAGATACTGAAAGTATTTTAGATGAAACAAGACCAAGAAATAAATTTTTGATATATAATTCAAATCCGTCGGATCAGGAGGACTGGTATTTTTTATTGATCCAGGCAAGTAAGACTTTAGATAAGAAATGTGAATGGAAAGAAAATCCGTGTGTATCAGCAGTACCATTAATATTTCATTCGAAACATATGTCAAAGTTGATTCATGCAATTCATTCGACTGATGCGCAGCTTGAAACGAGATGGTTAAATGCGTTATTAGGTCGTTTGTTTCTAGGATTATATCGTACACGTTTTTCACAGGAATATATAATTGAAAAAATAAGAAAGAAAGTATCTCGAATTAAAAAACCTGGATTTTTGTCAGATATTGTAGTTAAAGGGGTGGATATTGGGGACAGTATTCCATATATTACATGTCCTAGGCTTAGAGATCTTTCTTCGGATGGACAATTAAATATTGACGCAATGATTACATATAATGGGAATTTTAGAATAGAAATTGCGACTACTGCGACATTAAATTTAGGGAGTCGATTTAAAGCTCGGCAAGTTGAACTGATGTTAGCAGTAATATTAAAAAAATTCGAAGGGACTTTAGCATTAATTATTAAACCCCCTCCAAGTAATCGACTTTGGTATGGATTTTATGAAATGCCAAAGGTTAAATGAATATTCTTAGTATGTGTATTTAACAAATATATAGATAGATATGACTATTGAACCTATCGTGTTTTCGAAACAAATTACATACTCCATGATATTAAAAGTTATCGAGAATAGAATACGTGAAACTGTATGGGCTTATATATTTTTTCACTTTTTTAATTACCCTTTAGATTCATAATACACTTGTTTTTCCTTATATGGAAGATTTTGAATTTTATGACACAACAGATCAATTTTTTAGAGGAGGAATTTGGGATCATTCAAAAATGCAAGAAAAAGAGTCGGAGTCAGAAAAAGAAATTTCAGTGATAGAAAAACAAGAAAGCAATGAAGAAACATTATTAGATGTATTAGATGATATCAAAGAGAAATCAAACTTATCAAAAATGGTTTCAACAAATTCTGAAAACGAAGCGCCCAATAAATCAAAGCATTCCATTTTGCTCACTACATTGAGATCTTCTGGTTCGGAAGTAAAAAAGAATCCTTTGAAAAGATCATCATCATACAATACGATTTCTGATAATAGTTCACTAGTTGACCTAGAGAACCGATCAAGTACGGAAATTCCCTCGGGAGATAAATCTTTCAAGGATTTATGCGGTAAATCATTTGTTACTGCAGCTGCAATAAGTGCCTTTGGAAAATCTACTGTTTTACCGAAAACATTTAATAAGATATCTCATTTTAAAACTCCTAAATCAGAAGATATAAGTAAATTGGATATAGAGTTGGATAAAAAGGCTATTGATGTTGAGAATGAGGTGAAAATTTTATCTTTGATTAGTTTTTATATTAATAATTATTTAGAGTATTACATCTAGTACTTCTACAAATTCATTTAAATCCTCGTTTACAACTAAAAAAGAACGTCTTAGTGCAGCTTTTGCTACAATGCGGGAAAATACTATATTTGACAATAAACGAAAGTCTGAATCTGGTGAAAAAAGTTCACTATCATCAAGCGTTAGTTCTGCTACAAATACTGTACGTCGATGGGGCGCAAATTATATTGCAAAAAGACATGGTAATCGCAATAGAGATTATATTTTTATTTCTAATAATAAAACAGGGAATACATCTATTGATTCGGAATCGTTAAATTATACGTCTTCACATACATCTCCTTTAAGCTTCCAAGTTAATAAGAAAAAGACATCGTCAAGTAATTTGAACGAAAATCCTCCAGATTATTCAGAAATCTCTACAGATTCTATTGTATATGATTCATTACAATTAAGCGAACCATCATGTGCTACTACAACAGATACTGTTCATGCATTTTCAAATAAACATATTTCGATTCCAGAGCCTCTTGAATCTATGACGGAACAATCATATACTATTAGTAAGCCATTTAGCCAAAGAACGGATTTGGATTATGATACATTGTTACCTAAGCAAAGGCCAATACCTCCCATACTTCCTATGAGACGGGATTTACCCTCACCGCCTGCGCTTCCTGCAAGACGAAATGTGGTTAAACAAATTATTATTCCAGAGCCTTCTAAAACTCTTGACAATGCAAATAGTCATAAAACGAATGTAGATAGTGATGATAGGGTTGTAGATTGCGATGATAAGAATGTGGATCATGATATTATAGCAGAAAATTTATTTCAAGATTCTTCTGAAAAAAATGATGAATCCAAAAATAATAATGAATTAGAAAACAGTATTGAGCAAAAAAGTTCTTTTGAGTTGGATAATATTATTGAATTAGAAAATACTATTGAGTTAGATAATATCACTGAACCTGAAGATACAACTCAACTGGCTGATACCAGTAAACTAGATGGTATTGCCGAATCAGAAAATAGTATGGAATTAGAAGATATGGTTGAATTGGAAGATATTATTAATTCGAAGAGTATAAAAAGATCGACGAATACTATTTAATGATTTAACTGGTGATATTATATTATTTTCCGATATAAAATAGCCTTTTAATATTGTAAGATGTATATGTATTAATATTTTCGATAAAATGTCTATAAACTGAACTTGATGATTAGTTATCCAAAATTAAATCAATGAATTAAAAGATATATTAAAAGAAAAATTATAGAAAACATATGGAATGATTCCTGTTCATTTATTTTCTATAAATTTCTTAAATATTTCTATATAGTGTCTTTGTAGTTTTTACTACTAAGGCAATCAACAAATATGCATTTATATAAAATCAATTAAACTCTCTTTATATTACGTTTTTTAAATTGCTGCATTTTTTATTCAACTATACGAATTGATATAAATTCTTGTATTTATATTATATATATTAGATAAATTTTTTAAAAAATTATACAATATTTAAGAAAAACATTATAAATACTAAAGATTTGATAGAAACATTAAGCAAAAATATTTATTTCAATTCATGACAAACATAAAAAATAAATATAAAAATATTTTTTCTAAAAAAAACAAAAATATATAAAGAGATTAAGGATTCCTTTTAGTCTTATGTCATGTATATAACCCTATAAACCTAGAGAGATGGACATTTTATCAAAATCACGTGACTCGTCGTCAGTTTTTTATCTTATAACATATTAGAGATGGGGTTAGAAGGGAAAACATGTTGTATCCTTGTTGTAGGAATGGCAGGATCAGGTATTATAATAAGATTAATATCTATTAATAAGTATCTTCTAAAAAACCTGCAGGAAAAACGACTTTTTTACAAAGATTAAATGCTCATTTACGTAGTCAAGAAAAAATTCCATATATTATTAATCTTGGTAAATTGTACAGCATTTTTTGTTTTAAATATTTAGTTTTTTTCCTATAAAATTAGATCCGGCAGTTTTATCGGTTCCATACAATCTGAATATTGATATTTGTGATACAATTAATTATAAAGAAGTCATGAAACAGTAGGGATTTTATGTATATTTTATTAGGAATTTTATGTTATTTAGATATAATCTTGGGCCAAATGGTGCTATTCTTACATCATTAAATCTTTTTGCTACAAAATTTGATCAAGTACTTGCAATTCTTAATAAACGAACACCATCGTAAGTGAAACTTATTAATGAAAGATAAAGTTTAATCCAGAAGATATGTTCTTTTTGATACACCAGGTCAAATTGGTAGTCTAGTGTTTTTTTTTTAGTTTTTATTTATATTTTATTAGAGATATTTACATGGTCTGCTTCTGGTTCTATTATAACAGACGCTTTAGCTTCATCTTTTCCTACTTGTATTGCCTATATTGTTGATACAGTGCGTTCTAGATCCTGTACGACATTTATGAGTTCAATGTTGTATGCATGTTCAATTCTTTATAAAACAAAATTGCCAATTATTATTGTATTCAACAAGACAGATGTACAAGACGCAACATTTGCAAAAGAATGGATGACTGATTTTGAGGCTTTTCAGGCAGCTCTTTCTAAAAATGAAGGGAATACAGAAGGAGTAGGGGGGTCTGGTTATATGTCTAGTTTAATAAATAGTATGAGTCTTATGCTTGAAGAATTTTATCGTCATCTAGACGTTGTTGCAGTTTCTGCTGCAACAGGATTAGGAATGGATGATTTTTTGGCAGCTATTGAACATAAAGTGGAAGAATATGAATCTAATTATCGTCCTGAGCTTGAACGACTTATTAAGGAGAATAAAGATAGAAAGAAAAAAGAAAAAATGAATAATTTAGAACAACTTATAAATAATATTGATATTAATGGCGAAGAGGTTCGTACTGGTGGTATTTTATCTACTTTATATTTATCTATATATATTTATTTCTGTTAGTTCAAATACAAACACTATCAGATATTGAAGATGAATCAGACGATAATGCACAAGGCTTTATTGATACAGATGAGATAGATATACCCGACACTTTAAAGGATTCTAATACATTGTTTTAAATTATAAAAATTATTGGATAATTTTAAATATGCATTTTTCAGATTTTTATTAGACTCGTAAGAGTCTATTATATTACAATAACAAAGTATAGAACTATATATATCATTATATAAAATTCTACAAATAGCTTCTGAATACAGTAAATTTATTTTAAAATAAAGACGAACATAATACTGTATCAAAATGACGAATACGTTAAAGAAATATATTACCTAAAAGTATAATATAATTCATTTGTTTTTATTAAATTTGATTTCATATTGACATTTTTTAATATATTGTAATAAAAATATAATTAATGTTTGGTATTTAATAAATTCATCTTTAATCAAATGTTTTACAATTTTTAAAACTAAAAAGTTTTTAAATTAAACATTTAGCATCTTCCCAAATTTTAATATTTTTCTTAGCCCATTCTATATAGCATTTTCCAATATTAATCATTAATTCGCAATAATCTTTTCTAATAAAACTATGAAATCTCTCAAATTCTTCTATTATAGCTTGACCGACAATATTGGAATCTTTTTTTGTAATTTTAAGAGCATTTTCTAACTATTTAATTATCATTAATATGTATGATTTGTTTTATATAATCTACCTGAGAAATTTTCTCATATATTTTCTCAATATTTTTTTTTCTAGTTGTAGAATCTACGTCAATCATGCCTTTTAAAACACCTGTTATTTTTTCAATAAAAGTCGGTATAATTTGTTTAGTTTGTTCATGTTCATTGGGTTCATCAGAATTTAAAGTAGACAAATTAGATTCACTATTATTAAGTCTTGCTAAAGAAGATTCTATTTTTTGTGCTTCCATCTCAGATTTTTCAAGAGCATCTAAGATATTTTTGTTCTGATTTAGTATATTTACAACAATTTCATATTGTAGAACTTTTTGACGTCTATATTTCAATCTAGACCTAGCAACTTCATGAAATTGTGTAAATTCTTTTAACGGTTCTGATAATACAAAATCCAAATTTTTAACCTATTAAATAAATATTAATATAAATATATGTTTTTCTTACTAGTTCATTATTAGAGTGACAGTTCAAATCATTAGCTAATCCAAAACGCTCAATCCCACTTGCCAATTCGCCTATTTCAGATATTGAAAGAATATTATAAGCTGCTCCCAATTCACTAAAATTATATGCTAAATCTAAAAAAAATTAGAAAAAAAAAGAAAAAAAAAGGGTTTTTCCTTCATAATGTTTTATTATAGATTTATTAATTTTTACTAAATCATTTCCAATAAATTGTTGAAGATCTTTAATTTTTCTTTCTATTTCTACAAACTGTATTTCATCTCTATTGTGGATATTTGATAGTTTTGCACCTGAAGGCGGTATGGGAAGACACTGGTAAATAGTACTGTTTATAGAAGAACAGGGGTTTAAAGGAGGGGCCATAAGAACACTTTGTGGCAACAAGGAAATTGGTGGTGATTCTAGAACTTGTGACTACTTTTCTATTAATATATATATATGTAAACATAATCTGATTAATTTCTTACCCACGATATATCCTCATTTAAAAAACAATGAAAAACATGGCTTCTTTTCAAAATAGGATGAAAAGCACAACGATTAAGAAAAACCTGTAACATTCTTTTTCTTTGAGTAATGAAATTTGCATCTTTCTTAACACTAGACAACGGAATTGTTAGATCTAGAGATTATTACATGGATAATCATGTATTATTTAAATTAACCTACATATACTATGTTTTTCTGGAATTGGAGGCACAATTAATGTTGGAAATAATCGTGAAAGTGATTTTCTGAGCGATTCAAATTCAGAATAACGCCGACGTACTTCAAGATTCTATCAGCAATAATTATTAAGTGTTTTTGTTGTATCTTTTATCCATAATTCACCTTAATACGTATCTTATATGTGATAAATCGTCTACCTGCATTTTCACCTATTTTTTCCGTATCTACAATAGAAATAAACGGATCCTCATGAACACTGTTTAGAATAGAGTGTATATGACAACACATAGCCTCTTCCATTTTGCAAGAATTTATTTCTGTTGAATCTTCATCCGTCTTATTTAATGTCGAAATTCGCTCTGATTCATAAAGAAAAGAACGTCCACATTGAGAAGATTCTCCAAAGAAAGGATTGCTTTTTTCTAAACCCTCCATTTCATTTATTTTTGCTTTTTCTTTTTAAAAAAATATACAATATGTTCAATATCAATAAATAGAATTATATATTCACATAAATATCAAAAAAAACGTATTATAGTATTTTTAGGCTCTATTTCTTCCAAGCTATGTCATCATTTTCAACTGTTTAAAGAGAAAAGATCTTGAAATCTTTTTAATAAATAAAAAAGGTATTAAAATACGTTGAAATTCGATTTAACTGATAAGTTACATAAAAAAATACTAAGGAGATGAAGTAAAAGAACAATATATGTAAATAAATATATAATATTCTTATTTAAAATAATTGTTTTGCTTTTTATTTTTTTTAAAAAAGAATAATTTTGAAATATTAAGAATGTTTAAAAAAAGAATGTAATTAAGCATTCAATTAATAAAAATAAGTTATATTCTTTGGAATGAATAAAGTATTTCTTTTTATGTAATTATTGGTAGAAAGTTATAATTAATACCATGTTTTTTATAAATTTTATAAAAAATTTAAGATTAAATATTTTTTATTAATATTTAATCAATGTTTATAAAAACTTTTATATAGTTCATATTAGTTTTCAACTAATAAATATTTTTAAAGGTTAAATGGTTTTTAATAAAAGATTGGTTTAATAGATTTATCCATTTGAAATATAAAAAAGATCATTAAACATTCATAATATAGATGCAATTGTTTTTTTACAAGAGTTTTTTCTATATACTTTGTTTAAGGGATGTTGAATATATTTGGAGAATTGTAAAATTTTTTAATTAACTGAAGATTTAACAATTTTAACTAAAACATTTTATAATATTAATATAATTCATTTGTTATAAATATAAAAGATAAGATAGTTGTATTTATAGGAAATGATATATAATGACTTTAATTAGAACAGAATTTATTTAAAAATGTCTATGCTATTTTTAAAAGATTTTAAAGTATAAAATTGAATATTTTAATAAATATTTTTTTATAATATTAAAAAATACTTTGAAAAGTAACAAATATACTAATCTTAATATTATGGACAATATTTTTCTAATAATCTTGTTTCTAATAGAAATAAGTTTTTTAAAATTCTTAAAAAGTTAAAAATAATATTTATTGGAAATAAGTTAAAAACAAATCTTGTGTATAAGATAATAATGACTTTAAATTAATGTATTATTTTTAAATAAAAATAAATAATTTATATTTTTTGATTAGATATTAAAATATATCTTGAAAATATAAGACGATAATATATAAATATAATTTTTAAAATTGTCATTTCAAATAAATTATAAAAATATTTATATTTACTTCTTTTTATCCAAAATATACATTTTGATATCAAAAAAGTGTTTAGAAATCTTAGAATACAATAAATAATAATAATAATTATTTAGAGAAAAAAATCATTTTGCTCAAATTAAATTTGTATTAAAAAAATTAATCTATAAGAAAAATATTTTAAGATTAATATTAAAATAATAATATTTAACACTCAAACTAAGAAATAATTTTCTAGATAACATAATGAAAATGAAAAATTAAAATTTTGTATTTTTCCAATATTCATTTATATAAAATTCACATATATTCCTATAACATACAATTAACAATAATTTCCATATTTTCATTATCCATTGGACATATTTAAATTAATCAAATCCAAAGTTATTTAATAAAATATATATATAATTTACTAAATAAAAACAAAACATTAAAAACAAACTCCTAGTAAAAAAAAAACTATAAAATATATTATTTAATACCCTTCAATAGTTATATTAATCCTTATTTATTAAAGAAAATACCCTGACTAAATTCATAACACCCCATAAAGAACCTAGAACCCATTGATACAAAAAATAAAAAAACACTTTAAAATTATTACCAACTAAACTAAGACCCCATAATGCTAGATACGGATATATCATCAACTTACTTCTTGGCGTCTAAAAACAATTTAATTAATGAAAAAAAAAAAAAAAAAAACAAGAAAAGGTGGTACCCTAAAATAAACTGGAAGATGAGTATTTTCTTGAAATAGTTTTTGATAATATGGTACTTTATTCTTCCGTGGCATCTTAAAATTTCTATAAATATCATTAAATACCATGTTTTAAATGTAAAAAATATCTTTTTTTTCCAAGAAAAAGACATACCTTTAAAGATTATATTTAAATACTTTAATTTACTATTTAAAATAACAATAATAACTTTTAACGCCTTAAAATTCCTCTAATTTTAACGTATATTGACCTGATACAATTTTTAAACGGTTAGCTGTCGATCAACCGGCTCAAAAACCAACATATATAGGAAATAAAATGGGTTAACATTTTTTAGAGAAAAGACCTTATTTTTAATTAAAAAACTATATTTAGATCCATTAATTACACAAGAGAGTTTTTTTCTTTAAAAAAAGTTAAACTGAAAAATAATGGCATTTCATTTTTCATGGAATAAAGAATTTTCTCCATCATTTATAGCAAAAACAAGTTCTCTTCTTAATTATGCTCTTAATAAGTGTACAAAAATACCTATTATTGTTGACAAAATTGATATAAAAGAGTTAAATATGGGATCAATAGTAATTATTTTTTTTTTTTTAATACAAAAATAAATAAAAACTAGCCGCCAGAACTTGAGATTTTAGAGATTGGGGATCTTGCAGAAGATAGGTTTCGTGGATTATTTAAGTTGAAATATACAGGAGATGCATATATTGTTTTACAGACCAAAGTTCAAGTAAGCTGTCTTAAACTTGAATAATATTATTGATAAATATAAGATTAACCCATTAAATACACGAAAAAAGATGTATCCGAAGTTTACGTGGAGAGGGGTTCTTTCAGCAGATGCACCATTAATTGTTCCTATGTTTCTTCGTTTATCGGATTTTAAGTTATCAAGTATTATTATTTTAGTATTTTCTAAGGCAAAGGGGGTTACACTAGTCTTTCGTAATGATCCTGTTGAGTCTGTAAGAGTATCTAGTACATTTGACAGTATACCGGTTATTGCACAATTTTTACAAAAGGAAATTGAAAAACAACTACGTATATTTTTTCAAGAAGAGCTTCCAGCTATTATTCATAAATTGTCTGTATCTACTCCATACAGTCCAAAAAATAAGGAGTATTCAAACCAATTTGGTAGAGTGTTAACAAACGAAATCTCTAAAACCAATGAATCAATCCCTCTCATAAGATTAGCAGATATTAATCCAGAGCATCCAATTTCTATGACAAGTATGTTACGTTTAGCAGCGTTAGCATCCTCTCAGAAGACTCTTTCACCATTTACTCCATCTATTAGTCAAGCAATTTATAGGTCAAATCATCTTTTATCAGTTGTATCGAATACAAATTATACTAAACATCCATTATTATTTAACAGCCCTGATTTTGGCCCAGAAATGCCTTATATATATACACATCCTACAATTCATACTACAGAAACACAGAATATTCGGCAAAATTTAAGTCTACGGCAAATTACCCTTTTAAATAAACGAAGAACCCAAAAAAAACATAACGTGATATGTATACGTTCAGATTCACTAGTTGTACCAAATTCTAGATGTGCTCGAGCATTGTAGCTTAAGGAAAACAAAATATCTATTCATTCACAAATAAAACATAATACATTTGATGATATTAAAGATAAAAAAGTCAAATAAATCCATAATATAATGGACCCGAAGAATCTGATGAAATGTTTTTAACTTGATATGTTTAATATATATATTTTGATTTATATTATAACTATATCATATCATTTATATGAAAATAATATCTAATATTGATTTTAAATTTACTCTATTTTTTTCACAGAAAATGCATGATTCAAATCTAAATAAATATTATAGACGATAAAAAGATTTTTTATATAAAAAATATTAAAAAACTAAATAAAAAGTCGTTTTGAAAAACACCATATTCCGGCTATTCCAGAACAAATACCGCTGACGATAACAATACTTTTAATACCTCTAGTGCTTTTATAGACAGCACCGGCTAGTGCTCCACTCAGAATAGAATTCAAATCATCATGTTTTCCTCTATAATATCCAAGTGTAGAATTAGCTGTATTATAACCAAGAGCAATTACCCCCGCCGAATTTGCAAGAAAAGGTCCTCTACGCGTCATAGCATTAAGAATACTATTAATTCTAACACGTATCGAAATAGCTTTAGATACTTTAGATAATCCTTCAAAAATTCCCCAGGTACCACCAATACCAAGTGCTATACTACCATTAATCTTATTTCTTAAAACTTAACCACTAAAAACCAGATAAATATACCGTTCCTGTGCCATAAGTAAGATCATCACTCCATCCACGGCTTGGAAATGCTGTTTTTCCTCCTGGAAGATTTGCCAATTTTGCATCTTCTAATGAAAAATAATCCAGTGTTTTTCCAAGACCCGCAAGCGGATGTAATCTAGAAGGATCCATAGCATCTTTATCAAAGATTTCTGGTGTTTCTGGTAATGAATATGACATTTCAACTGAGGATTTCTCACTTCCTCCTTCTGACCGCTCTGTTGACGTTTTTTTTCCAGAAAAAAACCATACCATAGTACTAAAACTCATTAATAATAATACATAAAGAAATGTAAATATAAGAACATATTCTCTGGACTTTTAGAGCTTTTTCAAAACTTTTCCATCTCACAAAATCTATAAAGCTATATATTAAGTGGCCTGACGTCGTTACTATGGAGGTTTCTATGACAACGTAATATCTATTCTGACGACATAAAAATCTTGAGAAACTATTTTCAAGTTTAACGCGTATATATAAGGCTATTCAGTCAACATATAATGAGGAATCTTCACTGGATGAGAGTATACTTAGTATAAATAAAAATACAATTTGTACGGCATTAAAAAGTGGATTTTAGAAAGAGATTTTAAGAAAAAAAGTAAGTATTAAAAAATAAAACATTATGTTTTTTTGAGAAATATAAGGGCCTAAAATATAATAAAAATGAAGAATATCAATGAGGTTTTTGAATGGAAAAAATTTATGTAGATATAATAATTTTTTTTTTAGTTAGATGAGTTGATGAACCAGTTGGATATTGAAAATAAAATTAAAGAGGGAGCAGAAAACCTTTTGCAGGTTTAAAGAAGAAAAAATAGGGGAAAAGAGAAGGTATTAACGAATATAGGTTTTTGATCAAAGAACAGAGGATAAGGAAGATGAGAATCATATAACATTAAGAAAGAAAATAGAATTGGAATTGGATGCAGCTAATTCAAAAATTGCAAAACTAAAAGCTAAAGTTAATATTATAAAATCTAAAACACAAATAGATTCTATAAAATCTAGTTTTCATAATTGAATTATTTTGTAGTTTGAAATCTAATAATTGTAGATACAAAAACAATTAATACATTTTATGAGCAAGATACAAAAAGTTCGGCATTACCTTATAGCATATCATCGAAAAGTGTTCATTCTTCTATATCTATTGGGGAAAAGGATGGTAAGTATTTGTTATATTGAAAATAATTAATATGAACTATAAAAAGAACAAATAGAAACAATTGATCCAATACAAAGTTTACAAATAGCTTTTAAAAACTTATATGAATCAATCCATGACTCGGGTCAATATTTAAAGCATGCTAATCATCTTGTATCACTTTTTAAATCTCATCCTACTTTGAAATATGATTTAAATTGGGAAGCTCTTGGTCATCATCTTCAAATTATGTTTTCTAGTTCGGATACAAATAAAATTTCTAGTGGTTATCGTATTGCAAGATATATGATTTACGATCTGACATCTATATCATTTGTAAAAAAATTTCATGTGGAACATGCAATCATACGGTTATTTAATCTTCTATTTACATAAAATACCCATTAATTCATTTAGATCGTTTGTCAAGGATAACTCTACATCCAAAGAGCGAGAGCAAGCCCTAAAGTTAATCAGGACGTTTTATGGAATCAAAGATGGTATTTCTGAAATATCTAAAAGTGTGGTTAGTGCTATTGTATCCCTAGCTGAATACACAAAAGACAAAATGTCGTTGATATCCATTGAAACATTAGCAGAAATGCGTAATAAAAATTATATTATTAGATCTATGATTAATATATTACATAGTTATATTGGATCCAGCACTTATTGTTAGTGCTGGTGGTAATAAAGTCTTACTTCAAACATTGAGTGATGGTCCATTCGAAATTGCAAATGAAGTTGCTAAATTATTTATATATCTTCTAGATACACCTGCTACAAGAAAATTCATTCGACCAAAAAGTGATCTTCAGGTATTTTTCATTTTATGTATATATATATATATACCAATCATGTCAAGCTTATTCTTTCTAATGTCACTAATTTTCGTCCTATAATGGAAGAATATAGACTAAAATATTGCGGAGATGGAATAGTAAGCATTATGAAATCTTGGTCAGGTACAAAAATTTAGGGATGTATATTATTTTTTAATATATTAGGCCTGATTTATATGAGTATGTATGATATGCAAGCAATTCGCTCTTTAATTGATGTGTTACGTATATCATCATCTAGAAGTCAGGTATTTCATATTTCATGTAAATATATGTATGTAACCTATATACTTATCTTTAAAGGACATAATTCTTGATATTTTGTATAATCTTTTTGGAATAAAATCATCATCTATAACATCAACATTTTTGGCTGGTAGAAGACTTACAACATGGGGTAGACCGTCGCCTTCTCAGCAAGAACCACATAATGAAGGCATGTTTGCGAATACATTTACTGAATTTGGAAGAAACGATTTGTCACAGCAATTTTTAGCACTAATTATCATGATATTTATGGATATTGGAATATTAGATGTATTATATATGATATAATTATCATATAGCTAAACATTATATAGACTTTGATGGCTGTTGCTGAGGACTCTAAAGATAAAATGATCTTTCGGAAAACAACATTATTGATTGTAGAACTTCTTCATCTATCGAATAGAATTTTACCGCTGCAATATGGTGTTAAACTTCAAGTTTTTATATCATATTATAAATTTATAATAATTAATTAGATTTAGTCTCTTCCAAAGTTGTTTATGTCAGCATTAGAATTTAGTAGTGAAGAGCATTTTATAGCAACGTCTGCTATTCTTCAGATTGAATCTTTGAATAGAATAAAAATGAAAACCAATTTTGTCCAGCAAAAAGAACGTAGTACATCTTCAGAGAATCCTTTAAAAAGAGGGCAAAGACAACTCGAACAAGTAAAAATTAAGTTAGGTTTACAAATTGACGATATTCGTTTTCGAACTCTTCTCTTAGATACTCAGGTAATTTTACTTAAATATTATACTTTATAATTATATTAGGTTTTAAATACAAAAAACTATAAAAAATGGAGATGGGATATAGTTATTGAGCTTTTGCATGGTCCTTTATTAAATCCAAAAAGATTAGAGGAATCTATTCGGTCTACAAAATTTATAAAACGTTTATTATCTTTTTATCTTCCATTTAATTATAAATTTTCCAATATTAAACAGACAAAAGTAATGATATTGCGTAACATAATACCTATGAATTAATATATATAGCCTAATCAACGTTATATTAAAATTGGTCGAATGATTTTTACTACGTTGCTTGCCAATCCGGAAGGTATACGTTATTTGTCAGATAGTAAATTGTTAAGACAAATATCGGAATGTCTTGCTCAACTTGATCCGGTTTTATTCTTGATAATATTACATTTCAATATTAATAATTATAGTTAAGTGGTGTTTCTTGTCCATCGCCTTTATTTTCTAAGCAACGCTTAGAGGAGACATTAAGTTCAGGATATTTTGTCTTTCTTGGAACTTTATCGGAGAACAAGGATGGGATTGCGTATTAAATTCTATTACATATATCCGTATTTAATATATATTAGAATGATGGAGAAATGGAAAATATTTAACATGTTTTATCATCTTACAGAACTTCGTAGTCGGGATGACTTAATTTTAAATTTTATAATAAATATGAATTATATATTGTAATGATATAATATCATATATATCTACTAATGTATTTAGTTACGGGCATCCTCGGATAATTCTTTCAAAAGCCCTTACTACTGGGCTAAAGGTTTAAACTATGTTGGTATATTTATCAAAACTAATTTATTAGGATGTGCGACTTTTCGTTACAAAACATCTAGGAACACTTTTATCTTCAAATAAAAAGTTTACTAAAAACACTAAAAGTATAGAATGGGCTATTTCTTTACTTGTTACTCAATTATATGATCCTTGTATCGAAGTATGTCAAATGGCAGTCGAAGTTTTAGAAAAAGCTTGCTACGATTTTGAAAATCTTCAATATACAGTGAAATTACGTCCAGCATTAGAACATCTTGGTAGTATCGGGGCGCCATTGCGTTTAAGGTAGATATTATACTTATATCGTTACTAGTAATTAATTTTTATAAGGTTCTTAGCATCATCTACAGGGTTTAATTATCTTAAAGAATTTGATTATATCGAGAAGGAAATGGATAATTGGTTTCATGTATGTTTATTTCTTTTTTTAAAAAAAACTAAATTATTAGGAACAAAACGAAATTTATGTAAATTATATAGAAAATTATCTTTCATTAGCATTTTCATTTACAAAAAAGTATGTTATTTTCATTTTATTAACTAACAATTAACTTCAGTAGAAATGAATTCGATGGATTAATTCCACCTCATTTTTATGGAGAAATCATTAAAACATCTGAAGGATGTCAACTTTTAAAGAATAAAGGACATTTTGAATATTTTGTTTCTAATATTTTTAAACATAAAGATGAATATGAAGATAAAAATATTATTCTTCATTTAAAAAGTTCTCTTTGGGCTGTTGGGAATATTGGCTCTCATAATAATGGTTTTCCATTTCTTGAGAATAGTGGTGTAATTTCTGAGATCATACATATAGCTGAAAAATCACAAGTAATAAGCCTTAGAGGGTATCTTAATTTTATTTTTTTAACTTAGTTAATATAATAGAACTGCGTTTTTTGTATTAGGATTAATCTCTATAACGATGTCAGTTTCTCAAATATTAAAGCAACATGGATGGATATCTGTTTTTACTAGTTTTGGTATTCCTATTGGTATTTGTGTCCCTAAGGATATAAAGAAAATATTATTTGTATCTCATCCTATTTTATTTTATTTATATTTAAATCCTATATTAGTTGGAACCATGGAATTATTATTCATGTTTATCAGATTTGGAAGAAAATATTAAGTTAGTGTCCAAAAATATTATTCAAGACGAAATTTTAAAGATTATAACCGATTTATCTAGTAATATTTTTGTAACTAAAGCATTAAAATCTCTCTCAAGGTTACAATCAATATTATTATAATACATTTAATATTAGATTGTAGAATAAAATCGAAATATCCAGAAGAATTCAAATCATTAGATCTTTATAAGTCAGTTCTTAAAATTTTAACAAGTTATCGTTATCAACAGCCAATTCGAAAGTTTATTTTAGAGATGTTTCCAAGTGACATATTTTACCAAAATTCTGAACTATTTGACTATAATAAAAGTGTATGGTAATTCTTTTTATAAATATCATTTTATAGTGAGCTATATAATGAATATAATACACAGTTGTGTAGGATGAATCTGGAAAAAAATATAACAATCATGGAAAAAGAACAAAATGTGTTTTTATTAACTGATTTAATAGAACAATATGTTATTATTTCAAATATTTAGTTACTTCATACGAAAAGAAACGAAACAGGACATTGTGGATAAATTATTTCATAATATTTTAGGCTTTTATCACTTTAAATAGTTTTTTATATTTTCTCTCTCGTTCTTTATCCAAATACTATATATTTCACATTTTTTAATAAAAGAAAGATATAAAAATAATGTTATTCACCTTTCGCTGTTCCTGGGAGCTAAGATTTCGAATACGCTCTTTTTTTTGTTTATCTTTTTCAGACTTTTTCTTTAATGCATTCGCTAGTTTTTCTTCATCTTGACGTTTCTTAAGTTTTTTGTTTGCTTCTTCACGAATACTTTTAAGCTTTTGGGAAATATTGGATCTCCAATGTGCTCTTCCAGCTAGCAAATCAACAAATGCGATACATTCACTAAAAATACAAGCAACTTGTTGAGAATAACATAATGATGGTAATTTTACACAAAACGAAACAGTTTTTTGATATGTTTGATCCGGACTATTACTCAAAACATTAAAATGAAAAACTTTCGTTAAAAAACAAACCTTTTTGGACATTTAATAGGCAGGTCACTTACAATTAAATATTCCAATACAACATCAGGCGTTTTTATACATTGAATAAAGCTTTCATTATTTTCCAACAGAATAGATGCAATTTCACAGAATTCCGACATTACAACATATGTTTCTGGTAATATTGGTAATTCCATTACACAAGTAAATGACAGATTATAATATTTTTCACGCAACCAACGCATTTTTGACTTATTCACAACTGCAAATACACATGCATCAAAAACATGATCTTCAACAATCATATCAATATATAAACGGTCATGAGGCATAGGATTATCTGAAAAAAACCCGACAACTACTTGTCTAATAAATGATAAAAAGTTTTGACGTACTAGAAACTTAAATTGAATATATAAATATGCAATATGAATGCGACCAGTTGCATATGAAATAAAATAGCCAGGATCTCGAATATGTAAAGGCATAGGATCATTTCTTTTTATACCAACCTGCACAAATTGATTTGTAAGCAGTGGAAATAAAGTTTCAAACCTAAATAAATCAATATAAAATACTATACATCCGATAATACCATTTTTTTGCTAAAAATGCATTTTTTAGTCGCCCATATTCTGATATAATGACATAAAGCATAAGAAAAAAAAAACAACATTTATCATAAAAAAAAGACTCCATTTATATGGAAAAAATTCTTTTAACAAATTTCCTGGAATACTAGAACTTATTAAAATACTTGTATATAATTTCGATGCAATGATGTATTATCAATCACTAAAGATATACTTTTTATCTATTCACTTTATATGTTTTCTATATCTTTTTTCCACAATCTGTATTATTTTTTTATATTCACTATATTTTCCTGTTAAACTTACTATTAGACTTTATTTTTATAACTCTTATTCTCTACTTTTTTTAATATCTTATTTTTTTCTTAATAAAAATTTTTCTTAAAAATTGAAATATTAAGATATTTTTAATAAAATACTAAAATCCTCTTTAACGCCCTTAATATTTGAAGATTTTATTTATCGTTAATGATGAGCCATGAAAATCCTCTAGATCGTTGGTTTTTGGGATTAAAAACAAAGGTTACATCAAATAATCGTCTTCCATTAAACCTTCTTACCCGAGAACAAACAATTGAACGTTTGTTATCAGCAGAATATTCATACAAAATATTGTATGAGAATCACCGTTCTTTATTTATACAATGGATGTTTGAACTGAATGAAGGATTCAGTCTAATTGTCTATGGATTGGGGTCTAAACGTAGTTTATTAATGGAATTTATTGAAAGATATTTTAAAGATAAATATGTTTTGATTATGAATGGATATAAACCGGAAATTAGTCTTAAAGGAGTGTTTAATACATTAATTAGTAATCTTTGGAAGGACCGGAAATTTGAAAGTAATGCTACATTATACGAGATGACGGAATGGATTCTTGAATGGTTAGAGGAGGATTCATATTTAGAATTTTTAGTATGGGTTGTTCATAATATTGATGGACGAGGATTGCGCTCGAAAAAAGTACAAACATGTTTATCAAGACTTGCAAATGCGAAAAAAATCAGGTTTGTTGCAAGTGTTGATCATATTAATTCAGGATTACTTTGGGATGAGGCAACAGTAGCTAAATTTCAGTTTATCTGGCATGATGCAACTACGTTTGCACCATATTTAATTGAAACGTCTTTTGAATATGGACTATGGAATAATATGAAAGGGTCTCATACAGATGGAATTCAATACGTATTAGAAACATTAACACCACATGCAAGAGAAGTATATAGAATTTTGATAGAACAGCAAATTGAAGCAAAAGAAAAAGCTAAAATAGAAAGTATAACGATTGATCATTTATATGGAAAATGTGCAGAAGAAATGGTTGTTAGTAGCAAAGAAGGTTTTCGAATGCAACTTAGAGAATTTTGTGATCATGAAATGATTAAATTAAAAAGAGATGTAACTGGAACGGAGATTATTTGGATTCCTTTAGAAAAAGAAGTACTTGAATCTATACTTGAAGATTTGAGAAATACTGGATTGTGAGAAAATTCAAGACCTGAAAAAATTTTATAAAAACATTTTTATAAATTAAATTAGTTTAATATTTTAAAAACTAACCGATGAAAACAGGGAAAAAATATAAAAGAAAAAAGAGAAAAAATACCCAACATAATAGTTATATACATTTGTTTTCATATGCTTCTTGTGCAAGCCGTCTAAGAGTATCATATTCTCCTGAAGATTCGCACATAAATCGAAATTCAGATTGAGGATTTTGAAGCAAAAGATAAGGATGATCATATTCCTAACATATATTATAAATTAGAAATAATAACATGTAATATAAATTACCACTAATTTGCCAGAATCGAGAACTAAAATTTTATCATAGTCAATAATGCTATAATTTATAATTAATATATAAAAGATCGAAATTCTAACGAACCTTTTTAATCTATGAGCAACTATAATATGTTAATATCTAACAATAAAATATGATAAACTTACTAGTTAATATAGTAGAATAAGAAAATTCAGAACGTATAGTCTTTTGTATTTTAGCATCCATATTATAATCAATAGAAGCAGTGCATTCATCCATAATAATAATACGTGAAGATTTGAGTAAAGAGCGTGCAAGACATATTAATTGCCTAATAAGCGTTATTGAAGTTTCATAGTATTTCTTAAATTTTTAATACCGCTGTCCATGAGATAAGTTATTTCCACCTTCCGCAACTGAAACAAGTTAGTACTTTTCTAAACAATTTAAAATATAACTTTGTGTATCTAGGTTTAAAAAAATATTAGTATTGGAATTTTTAGATTCATCATTTATTGTTTCAGATCCTATAAGGTGAACTCGACGTAATGCTTCAAAAATTTCCGCATCAGTATAAATATTAAAAGGATCTAAATTATATCTTAATGATTTTTTAAATAATACAGGATCTTGTGGAATAATTGTTAAAGAACTTCGTAAATCGCGAAGGCCAATGGTTGATATATTTATACCATCAATAATAATACTGCCGCTTTGTAATTCGATTAACCGAAAAAATGTTGCAGCAATAGTGGATTTTCCAGCTCCAGTACGACCTACAATTCCTACTTTTGAACACGGGTCGACTTTAAAAGAAACATTACAAATAGCAGGTTGCAATTCTGGCAAATATTGTACAACTATATTTTGAACTAAAATTTCACCTTTTTCTGGCCAATTTTTTCCGGGCCTATTAGAAGGAATAATAGAAGGAGCCTCTTGTTCAATGAAAAAAAAATTCTCGAATACGCTCAACACTAACTAGGTTAATAACAACAAATAAATTAGATAACTTACTTATTAAAGTTCAATTCATTTAGTGTATATAATCGTACTAACCAAAGCATATGATCTATATATTTTAATAATCATAAATAATACTAAGTGCTATTAACCTGTAAAAGAAACAATGTAAAATAAAGTTATGCCTTAAAAATCAATATATATATATAATCACAATAAAATTACCTGCAAAACCCGCATCAAGTTTATTTATATTTAATACTATAAAAATCCCTGCAAATATGGTAATAAGTCCTCCAATAAAGTCTATTCGTATACTAAGCCATCGATTACATGCCTATATATTATTAAAAATAATAACTAAAAATAAAGCACACTGAACCCAAAGATATATAAATGGCCTGTTATTAAGATCCAATTTCTGTAAATTTTCCCTAATAAATATTTTTTCATAACCATATGCTCTAATGGTATTGATTCCCGTTAACGTTTCTCTAAAATGCTGATATATTGGACTCTTAGTAATCGAGTCAAGATCCTTAAGTCTACGAGATGGCCGGATATAAAACAGAGCAATAGCAATATATATAATCATAATAAATATTTCCGAAATCAAAAAACTTGGTATAATATAAGTGATTACAGCAACCAAGAAAATTGAGTTAAAAAAATCATAAACAAATGTCTAATTAATTAGTATATACTAAATTTAAATTTTAAGCAATTACCAGTGATATATAAGATACCTCTTGATCAACAACTCCAATATCTAATTTTAATATTTTAGATAAGCTTTTAAAAAAAAGCAAAAAATACCATTTGAAAATCTCTTCATTATACGACCAATAGGCGTAATATCAAAGAAACTAATATAAGTAAACATCAAGAAACTAACATATAATATTTGTATTAACCGTATTTTAGCACCAAGAACAGATTGAAATAGTTTTTCATGTAATTTAATAGAAACTCTAATGCCACCAGTAAATCTGCAAAATACTGAGCATATGTTAAATGATTATAATAATCTTACGCCATTATTATCCTAAAAAAAGTCGAGAAAATATACAATAACGATATAAGTATATATATATTAATATAATAATTCACATCTAGAAAAGAATCTTGATATTTAGTTTGATGAGCATGATTAGTAGAAGTGTGACTAAATCTTCTAAATGTAGTGATAAAAAAATAATAAATCGTATAAAATATATTATTTTTTTCATGTAACTGATCCTTTTGAAAGTCTCGAGGATAATATGAAGATCTTATAGATTTATCCTGTGTCCATTTCCGAACCCATAAAGACTGACATACATTTAAAACAGGTGGTATTATGAAACTTAAAAAAAGAACGAAAAGAAAAAACTTTCCTCCAAAATATTTCATATATTCAATATAAATACTTTTGTTTATAGAACTACTTAAATAACACTCTTCTTCAATTAATTTTCCTTTACATGGGCCGAACGCATCAAAAGTTTTAGTGTTTTTAATATCATATTCATTTGTTTCATCTTTTTCCTCATATAAATCGAATGCTTGTTCCTTAGAAGAAGCTTGTGAAGAATGGATACTACGTATCAAAGAAGTAGATGAAGATACGGTCTTTAAAGAGCTTTCATGTCTATCTAATAATTTAGAATCAAAAAGATCATTTGGAGCTCCTTGAGCAGAAACTCTTCCGTTATCCATTATAAGAACAAAGTCTGCTTCTGGAACACAAAGATTCTCATTATGCGTTGTCATAATTATAGTTCTTCCATTTGATAATTCACCTTTAATACTATAAAAATTAAAAATATTCATTATATTTTATTTGATTTACCAATAATTAAATATCCATTTTGCAGTATAAGAATCAACTGAACTTAAACAGTCATCAAGTATTACATATTTTGCAGACGAATAAAACGCTCTAGCAATAGAAATCCTCTGCTTTTGTCCACCTGAAAGTATAATACCCTTTTCTCCAACTTCAGTTTGATCACCTCCATCTAGAATCTGAAAATCACGTTCAAGAGCACATGCTTTGACAACCTTATTATATCTTTGAGCATCATATGATGAATAAAATAAAATATTATTCCGTATAGTATCACTCAATAACCAGGGCTGTTGAGCACAATACGCTACCGACTCAGTAAAGCCCGTTTGATGATCAGGAATCAAATGATTTTTATTATATTTACCAGGACAAAACCCTTTGCCACTAAGATTTGTCATCTCTCCCAAAAGTGCCATTAGAAGAGAAGTTTTCCCAGAACCCACTGGCCCGATGATAACTGTTAGTTTGTCTAGAGGAAATTTTATGTTTAAATCATAAATACGAAAACTATTTAAATGAAATTCTGTATTTTTTATAACATCATTCTTTGAAGCCCAGGTGAAACTTGCATTTTTAAATCCTATAATAAGATCATCAGATGATGGAAAATCGGTATCTCTATCGTATTTCTGTATCTCTTCTTCTTTCAAAAATGCATCAATTCTATTCATAGATACTAATAATATTTAGAAAATAGTTATACATTAAACCTCATACCTTTTGAATCTAAAAAACTGGATAGTACTTCTGAAAGCTGTTCTAATGGTGTTCTAAAACTATTGAACAGGGCTAAAGAAGTAAATGCAATGGGTGCAGTTAGTTTATTATGTGCAATTTTTGTATAAACTAAAAATGTAATTAAAGAAGCAATAACAGATGATGCATTCCAGCTTAATAAAGCAAAAGATAAAAGAATATACTTTTTCCAAAGCTGTTTAATCTCATTCTCTCTAATGTTATTGATGTTTTGTGTGACATTTTCTTCCCATGCAAAATATTTGATAAGACGAATATTTTGAAAAATTTCATTTATTAAACCAATCCTAGTATCAGAAATTGACATCATCTCCTTTTGAATTTTACGATATAGCGTTGAAAAATATGTATTTACAGGCATAAATAAGATTATTGTGGAAAATCCAGTAAGAGCGCTCCATCCAAAAATTCTAAATATCAAAATAAAAGCAACAATAAGATGCAAAGGCACGGTAATAAATAAATTATGAATATATGCATATACTTCCGAAATCTTATATGCATCAATTGCTACTAAATTAATAATTGTACCAATACTAGCTTGAAAAGAGTCGATTGTATCATCATTAGACGTAATAACATTGGAACTAGTATGTCTTCTTAATGCTTTAGAATATATTTCTCCGATTAATGCAGAACGCACTTTTATACAAAGTTTGCGACCAATATAATAAGACTGGCCCATAAAAAAAGACGAAATAAGTATTGAGAAAAACATTCCAACAATATAGATCCATACTACTTCTTTTGCATGCTCTTTAGGATTATCAATATACTCAAGAATTAATTTTAAAAGTATAACGGGTGCAAATGACATTATAGAATGAAGTATTTCCCATATAAACTGGATAATAAGTGTTGCTTTAAAATGACGAAGCAATGTATATATTAAATATGACGCTTTCTTAGTAATACAAAAAGCGTCCATAACAGCAGCTGCATGTTCGCCTTCTGATAAATCCCAAATATCAGAAAATGTAAGATTTTTCCTAAATCCTTGAACAATAATCGAATCAACCCATGAAAATGTCAACATAGAAAGAATGGATGAAAGCTTTTCTTTACTAGGTTTAAGTCCATTTAAAGCAATAAGGCGAACTGTTCTATTGCCTTTTCTGCTCAACAAAACAATGACATTTAATACAGATAGTAAAACAAGATTTATAGCAGATAATATAATAAAGATAGTTGGCTCATGAGCAATAATCATAGATCGTAAATCAATATAAAATAAAGGCCAATGAAAAGCATATAAAAAAGAAGTATGATACCATAATGTAGATAGAGGAAAAGAATCTACATCAATTGACGCCAGCCGAATAACAACAAGTATAAAAACGTATACCTTTAAATAATTTAACTAATCATTTTTTTCAAAAAAAAAACCAACCCATGCAAAAATTCTAATAGTGATAAAAAGAGGATGTTTTGATCCACCAAGAAAAAGAAAATATAAAAATATCATAAATAATATAATTATTCCTTCAGTAATAATAACTGACGCTTGCTTTGGTGGTTTAACTTTATACTCTTTAAGATATTGTTTATTTGATTCATCAAATTCAGAATGTAAAAATGAGGAAGCCTTTTTTGAAAAACAAATATCCATAAAGGACATTCCCAGAAAATTTAAAGCATTATCCTCTTGAGTAAGTGAAATATATTTTTTTGAGTTTTTACAATATTTCAAAACAATAACATAAATCCCTGTAGATAATAAAATTAATAATGATATTAACAGATAAAGAGCTGAAATCCATATTATGTATCTGTTAAACACAAAAAAAATTAGACTCAAATCCTATCATTTTATTTCATATAACTTACTTATATTTAAAATATTCAGTAAAGTCGTTATCTTTCCAAATACTATTTGTGTATTCTTCTAGATACATCATTCAATACAAAATAATATGATAAAATAATATCTTCATGAAAATAAGAACTCTTTTCCTTTTTTAATGTATTTTATTTTTCAATTTTTCTATCACTTTTTAACGCTTAAAATCTCGATATTATGAAGCCGTTATATCTAATAATATAAAAATCTATATAGAAAAACATATAGAATATAAAAGAAAAATATACAACTCGACTAGCCCTGTTTATTATTTTCCTTCTAAATATCCAAAATTATTATATATTGTATATTTATTTAATAGATAATTTATCTATATAAGTTAATTATCTATTAAATCAAATGTAAATAGAAATCTGAAAATCAAATCAAGATATGCGTTTTTTAACATTTGGAGTCCATTCTGTAAATTTCGGCAAAACTGTATTATATGGTTTATAAGCTCCACGAGAAAATGTAAGATTTGGTTGAAACGGCTTCTTCCAAGAAGGATCCAATTTTTTCATAGAATTACCACCCGTATCAATCTTTGATGGGGGGACATCCACCATATATCGAAGCCATGCATTCCTATCTGGGTTAATATAAAAAATCTTTTTTAAATATTCGTTTATGTAAATATTATTTTTACCATCCTGGTTCTACCTGAGATGCATCAAAAGATGATGATTTATAATCTACCCATCGTGTACGATCTGTAATACTTAATCAATCCTTTTTTTAAAAAAAAATTATTACTTGGTGCTTCTTCCAAATTTTCATAATACTTATTTCCATAACTAAAAATAACTCTAAATTTATGCATTTTTAAAAAAAGAAAAGAACCTATCTGTTCCTACAAGATGACCATATTTCGTATCTCCAATAGTTTGCATTTGATGGCTATTTTAATTATATTAATACTCTCTTCAACATATACAATACTTACGCGTACGCAGACAATCCAATTTTTTTAATATTTCTAAATGTTCTTAGAAGATATGACACTTTTTATTCATTAATATCTATATATATGCGCTTATTTCTTACTTTCTATATAAATTGTCTTGAATATATGCTTATTTTACTAAGGTTTACGATTTAATTATCAGACTTCCTAGACATTATTTAATAAAATACCATATATTTTAGAGATAAGAAGACATAAAATATAAGATATTCTCAGTTATATGCGCTAGATTTGTTAGATTTAGATGCTTTTTAAAGGGTTTATTGCTCGGGAATTGGTTGATCTTGCTTTTTATGATTTTTGGTTAATTTATAGTAGATTCCAAATGCTCAGAATGAGCTAAAAAGTAGTCTTCAACGTGTTTCTGAACCAGTATTAGAAGATTTATTAGAGGGATTAAGTCAATTTGCACCATCATTTGTTTTGAGCAAAGAAAAAATAACAATTTTAACTGAACCAAAGGAATTCTTTTTTACATTAAAAAATAAGATTCTAAATGCAAAAAGAAGAGTATTCCTGTCTACTTTATATATAGGAAAATCGGAATATGAACTTGTTGGTTTTTCTAGCGTTTTTTTTAAAAATTGATAATTAATCAGTATACTGTTTTACACAAAGCACTTTCATTAAATATGGATTTAAGAGTATCAATATTAATGGATGCATTGCGGGGAACACGTGAAGCTCCGAATCCTACAAGTGCATCACTTTTAGTACCTTTAATATCATTATTCGGGAAACATCGAGTTGATATTTGTATGTATCATACGCCTAATTTTTCAGGATTAAAGAAAATGCTTCCATCAAGAATTAATGAATGTTGGGGGGTTCAGCATATGAAAATATATGGATTTGATGACGAAGTGATATTATCAGGGTAATTAATTTATCTATATGAATGATAGTTAATTATTAGAGCAAATTTGTCTTGTGAATATTTTACAAATCGTCAAGATCGTTATCATCTTTTTTCGTCGCCTCAATTAACCGATTTTTATGCTACTATTCATCAATTTATATCATCGATATCATACAAAGTAGTTCCTAGTGATTCTCCAGAAAAAGTGGCGTTAGTATGGTTAAAAGACACTAACTGTCCAGAACCAACTAAAGATCCAGAAAATTTTAGAAGGCATTCTACTTCTGCTTTACTAAAATTATTAAAACCGACACCTATAAATACTAATGAAGTGTTTTCTACAATAGTTTATCCTTTATTTCAATTTTCACCTATTTTTAAACCTTATGATTTTTCAACAGAGAAGAAAGGAATTTGTTTAATACTGGATACTTTTCTTTCTAGTCAATCTAGTGATTATGATTGGATCTTCACATCTGGTTACTTTAATACACATAAAGATTATTCTAAACGATTGTTAACATCTAATTCCAAGGGCTGTGTGATTGTTTCGTCGCAACAGGTGATTTTTTTCTTGATTATTTTCCCTATATAAATAGGTAATAGGCAAATTCATTTTATAATTCTCCGTGGCCTTCAAAAATGATTCCTTCAGCATATTCATTTTTAGCTGAACGTTTTCTTTTAAATGTTTATAAAGCTAATAAACAAAATAATATTCATTTGGAAGAATGGAAGAATGGACGTTATGGTGAGGGAGGTTGGACCTATCATGCTAAAGGTTTTACATTGATGTTATAATTATTTTTTTATTATCCTAAAACAATTAGGATTGTGGATAATGCCTTCACCGGAAAACAAAGCGAAAGGACGTAAACCATATATAACTTTTATTGGATCATCGAATTTTAGTCGTAGATCACATTCGTTAGATCTTGAAGCAACTGCTCTTATTATTACTTTTGATACAGAATTGCAAAAAAGCTTGAGGGATGAAATTGAAAATTTCCGTAGTTATTCTAAGAAAGTTAATTTAAATGATTTTTCATCTCCGGATAGAAAAACAGGATGGTTCGTTAAATTTTGTGTTTGGATATTAGGAAGGATGTTTTAGTATTTTTAAATAGTATATGCAAATGGTTTATATATTTATATAATATATATAAATATTTTTTTGCAAGAATGCATCTTATTTATTGCATAAGGATTAATAATTTGATTAATAAAGGTATTCTTTTTTAATTAATTTTTTAATGTCTAAATAAAAATATAGTTTACTAAGTAAAGGAGACTAAATTATACCCTCATTTACTTAAAAATAGTATTTTTTTATAGGATTAAAAATATTTATTTATAAACATGTATATGATCAATAATAATTAAATATTATTTATTTTAAATAAGAGTTCATTAAATATAGGAATTATATTAGAAAAAAATCAGAAAATTTTTTGATAAATTATTCATCCTAAGAAGATTAGTTAAATAAAATTTGTATTTTATATTGTTTTAAATTTCAAAATAATATTTTTCAGAGTTAAAAAGCTATTTATTAAATAAGAAACATACGAGATATTTAATCTCATTCTGGTGAAGAAATTCAAACATCATTAAATATATTTATTTATATATTTAAGATTTTTTTTTACCTTTTTTCTAAATATCTCAAAAATAATGAAAATACACGAAAAAGCTAAGAATTTAAATTTCAAGTCCATATATAATAATAAAGAATTCTTAAGAATTTAATTATTTGAATAATGTTTAATATGTTTTGTATTAATTTATCGTACTCAAATGTAAAAAAAATAGGATAGTGTATAAATATTATATATAGAACTATTAAAAAAATAACAGAGAAAAATTAATAATAAGTACTTTATCAACAGATAAAGCAATATAAAACAATATTGTTTTTATTACAGGGATAGTTAAGGTTTTTAAAGTTTTAATACTAAATTAAAAACTAATAAAATGTTTAAATTGAGATTAACATTCCTCTAAAAAAACAAATACAGTACGATATGACCATAATGCTCTTAAAAAGGACAAAAATAAAATATTAATAGATAATATTTCTATACATCTTTAATTCTAATATTCCCACGTAATAAACCAGTACGTCTGGCAGCAATAAGACCCACTTTTTGACCAGCAGGAGCATAACGAGAAACAGTAGATGCATGCCCAATGTGTTGCTATATATTTTGTAAGACATATATTTTTAAATAATAAAAAACATACATGATTACCACCACCAAATGGATGATCTACAGGATTCATTGCCACTCCCCTTGTTCTTGGCCAACAATTTCTTTTAACTCTATACTTATGATAAGCTCTTCCACTAATATTCATGTAAGACAATCAATATTCATTATTAAAAAAAACTACTTACGCTTTAAGTATAGGCTTATCAATTCTTCCTCCTCCTGCTACAATACCAATCATACCACGACATGTAGAATCAACAACTTTTTTCGCACCAGAAGGCAGCTTTATGCGGGTTTTCCCGTTATCCGGATCATGTCCAATGACAATTACATAATTTCCAGAAGATCGACCTAATGAGCCTCGATCCCCCGTTTTTTCTTCTACATTACTTGCTATTGTCCCTTCCGGCATATTTCCCAATGGTAAAACATTTCCAACTGATAATGACGCCTTTTTTCCTACATAGATAAACTGTCCTGTATACATTCCTTCGTTTGCAATAAATGTCTCAATTCTCTTCTTATATCTATATGGATCTCGAAAAACTACCTTAGCTAGTGGTGCCCCTCGACCAGGATCATGAATAATTTCCTTAACAATTCCACGATAATAACCATGCTTTTCCGTATAATCTAAAACACGATGTAGTGCTGCACCTTTTCTCAGTCGTTGATGTGCCTTAAAAATTCCACCACTAATAAAAAATCCATCAGTAAAACGAAATACAGGCATATTTAATAATGAAATAATTATTTTCTGTGCTTCAGCTCCCTTTTTTATACATTATATCCTTATTTTTTATTATTTATATTTATTTCTTTATTTCTTCAAAAATTACTCAAATTTTCTCAAAAAAAAAGCCAGAAAAAAGAGGCAACTAAAACAACAGGATCCACAATTATATTAAAAGAACCTAATTACTTACCATTTCCTCTGAGCTCGAATAACTCGACCCATTTTTTATCTAGTTTTTTAAGAGGTTTAAATTTTTTAAGTCGTTTTTATCGATGTCAAGGCAGTGAAAAATTCATGAAAAAAAAAGTATTAGACTTTGCTCAATAAATAAGGGGATCCTAATATAATAAAGATATATTTGTTTATATTAGTTTATAAAAGTGTAGATTTTTTTTAATTTAATGAGAGAAAAAAAATTTAATATAGAAATATCATAGATAGTATTTGATGTTTGTTAAAGTTTTATTATTTTTATACGAAATCCAGAAATCAATCATATTGATCATGAAATATTTGTTTTGGAAAAGGATATGTAGAACCGCTTTGTCTAATACAGAGTTGTGCTAGCCATATACCACATCGAACAGATTTTTCAACGGAATAGCCTAAAACTAAACCAGCGACGAAACCGCCGGCAAATGCATCACCAGTAGCATTAGTATCTACAATTTGATCATCTGAAATTTTTGGAACAGCAGCCTGATTTATTACTATTTTTTTATTATAAGATTCAATAAAAACGATATCGCCAGATCCTTGAGTAATAACTACAATTCTAGGTCGACATGTATTTTTTTTAGGTAACCGAGCAATATACAAAGCAATATCTATAACATCCTTTGTCTAATAGAATTAAGTATATTTGTTTTGAAGAGATAATTTAAGAAACCTTTAAACCACGTGCTTCAGCAAAAGCAATTGCTTCTGCTTCATTACCAATTAAACAATCCCAATATTGAGACAAAGTGTCCATTACATCTTTATATACATGACATAAATATTCGGCAGATAAATTCATAATGAAAACCTTAAAGCTTAATTTTTTTTTGCTTAAAAAACATAAATACCTTATTTTTTATAGCAGCCTCCTCTGATAAAGAAATTACAGATAAAATACAAGATGATAAATGGTAAGCTTCAACATAATAATAATCTGCATTCTCGACAAGAGCCCATATTTTAGGAGATTTTAAATGAGCAATATTATAATTACTAGCAGCAGCAAGCCGTGTTGCCAATGATCTTAAAATATTTAAACAAAGCAATTTAAAGAGAGAAAAATACCTATCCTTCCCACTCAATATAACAGCACATACTCCTGTAGGTGTAGTAGCGTCTATTAAATATTCCGTCCTTAATCCTTCTTGTTTCGTAACAGATTTTAAATGATCTGCAAATTGATCTTTTCCAACACATCCAACATAGACAGTAGAATTTTCAGGAAGAATATACTATCATATTTTAAGATATTTAAATAGAATATATTAATGTACTTGAGCTCCACGAAGTGTGTTTTGAGCTGACCCTCCTGCAATGTATTGAGCATCAGAAAGTTCTGCTATTTCTTGATAAATTGGCATATGTTTCTCTTCAGAAAGAATAGAATCATTGGGTTTTAATCCATATCTAGCTTTTTTTTTAATAAAATAGTCAATATATCTATTTTATATCACTTTTTAAGAAAACCGCAATCTTTAACTTGGATATCTAATAATGGATTTCCTGAAATAAAATTTTAACCACAATATTTTATTAAATATATGAGTCTATACCTAAGCCAAAAAGAACATATTCTTTAACCATTTTTAAAAGTCAAAAACTTAAAAAATCGAGATCGATATAAAAAAAAATCCCGAGTAGTATAATTGCTAAAAATAACAAAATTAATAGATAAAATATTATCATACTCTAGAATTTTTTGAAATAATTCTATATCATATGAAATCTTTAATTATATAAAATTAGTTTTGTCTATTAATAAGCTGATCATTTTTAAAAATAAAAATCAATATGATTTATTTGTTTCTACCACCTCCAAACCGTATACTTGATGGAACAAGTCGAGTAGATGTCATTTTATTAACAAGTTTTTCTATTTCAAAATCTTGATCCATTTTTTCAAGATTTTCAGGTTTTAGTCTCTTTTTAACATTTTTCTTCGAGACAAGAAGGCTTGTATCCTTTGAAGAAATTCCTGTATAAATCACATCGAAATGATACTCCTATAAACTTATATTAGAAAACATATTGATTATTATCCAAAAATGAAAAAGCTTTTGGATAAAAATGTTCTCTCATCAAATGTTTCTTTCTTTTTTTGACATTTATAAATAATTCTTGACAGTTTTCAATAAAACATTTAAACTATATATTAACCATTAATTCATCTTTAAAAAATATATATAAAATTCTTACAATTCTTTCTCCTTTCTCTTTTTTTAAACAAAAAATAGGATCATGTACTTCTGAAATATGAAGATCCATCATTCTTAATGACGGAAATACTTTTCTACATTCAAAACACACATTACAATGTTGTTTTTGATAATGTGCTTCATAAGCCGAAAAAGACATAAAGCTTGACGGCTGATGCATACATTCTGTTGGAAAATGACACGTTATAACTGGTTTTGCTCTTTCAACTACTGTTTCTTCACTTTCACTATATAAATTAATTCTTCTTTATTTAACATCAAAAAACTCACTTGAACTCCAGTTTTTTCAGCTTATTTGAAGCCAATGATGCTTCGTATATATCAGATGGTTCTTCATTCTGGTTCTCAAGAAATACTTTGTTATCAATAGAAATAGTTAATCCTCTTTTCATTAATTTTTAAGTACGAGGGCTGCAGCTCAACCTCAAAAAAAAATAAAAACCGCATATAAGATGGGATTTTCTTGGTTATACCTTATTTTCCGGTATTTATCAAAGTAGGGAGATAGGAATAGAAGGATTGAAGATATATTTTTGCTTATATGGCTTTTTTAGGTTATTATTACGAGGATTTTATAGATCAATTACAGGTATGAATTTTGTATAAAATAATGGGAAAAAGGGATTAATTTGAGTAAATTAGTGATCCATCATGAAATGATTGATTTCAAGAAGCCTATTATTATTTTTTGTACCCATACAAACATGGGAAGTATTTTTTTATGAAAAAAAGACAAGAGATTGATATATAAAAAAGATAATAGATATAGCAATAGTTGCAGCAACATTTCCTAGGCCAGTCCGGTTTTGGGTAGATTTAATAGATATATGTTAATGAATAAGTGTATAATTAGATGTTTTTAGGCAAAAAGCTCTATTTTTAAGATCAATCCTATTGTGACAAAAGTTCTTAATAGTTTGGGAGTAATTCCTGTTGGTAATAAAGAATAATTAATATTTTTAATTGCTTTTTTTATACTTAATTTCTTAATTATTAATATAGACAGAGAAACAAAGAATAATCGTGTACTTTTTGAAATTACATTTAATGCAATGAAAGAATTAGAAACGTTAGTAATTTATCCAGAGGGTATTTAAAGATATGAATAGATTATATATATTATATTTAATTTAGGTACATCACATACTAGTCCGCATCTTCTTGATCTAAAAGATGGTGGATCATGGGTTGCTCTACAATATAAATATAATATTTTTAATCATAAGGAAAACCCCTCAAGAATGTTTGATAAGCTTAATGATGTAACACTTCTTCCTGTCGGAATAACTTATTTCGAGAAATCTAAATATCGAAGTAATGTAATTGTAACGTAGGTTATATTTTTCTAAGTCTATTTAATTTTCTTATCATTAGCTATGGAACGCCTATTCATATTGGCATGTATAAAGACGATTTTTTAATAGAACCTAAAAATACGGTAAAAAAATTAACTAAAGTTATCCAAGAAAGGCTTTGGAAAATCACCATTAATGCAGAGAATTGGTAAATACAGATAATTTTAAATAACTTATTTAATAGATAAAAGGGATATATTAAGAATTTCCGAATTTTCTCGGACCATATTATTTGGAGACAATAAAAATATTAATGCAAAAGATTATATATCAATAACACAAAGGTGCCGTTTTAAAAAAAGAAATTAATTCTAATACATATTAGTTTTATAAATATCTATGAATTACAACGACTAGATCCTTCTCATAATGATATTTCAGATTTATATAATATTTTAGAAAAAGAGTTGAAAGCTTTAAAATTATCGTGTATAGAAGCTGTTGATATTATTAATTTGCATACAATATCTAGAAGATGGTTTTTATTTCAAATTATTCGAACGACAATTTTTTTGATGATACATATTTTGCTTGTGTTGCCTATAATTCTTATTCATATACCAGCTTATATAATATGTAATGAGAAATGAATTTTTATACCTTTTAATGATAATTTAAGGTTACCTAGTTGAAAAAATGCAAAAGTTTGATGAATCGAAGGTTTTTACTTTTATTTTATATTTTTGAATTAACATTAGTATTTAGGCTCAAAATAAGATTTTAATAGGATTTCTTGTTTTCATAACAATAGATATTTATATCTTTTTTGCTATCCGGAAAGTCTTTGCATTTCATTCATTAAGTGAAACAATTTCTTTAAGTATTATTATCATTACGGTTAATTATTATAATAAAGTATATAAATATACATGCATATTAATATTTTAATAAATATATAGATAGTTGATGGTTTTTACGATAGATGGAAACATTATAAAAAGACATGGAATCTTGGATGGGTTATTTTTAGTCCTTATGGTAAAAGTTATATTCTTGAAAGATTACATGAATTACAAAAAGCTAAGAAAAAGCTAATAAATATGATACAATCCGGACAAGGAAAGGATATTGATATAATAAGGGAAGCATTTGAATCTATATATATAAAACATTTTCATATAGAATAATGGGTTAATATTTATCATTTACCCCAAAAATAATATATGCAAATATATTTCATATAATTCTTTCTAGACAAGTCCCTATATTTATATTAAAAATGATGAAATATCAAAATATCGAAATTTCTAACATGTTTTACAAATTCGTCATATAAAAGTGCGCCTAGACGAGCAGGAGATTTGGATACAATAACTCCAGCCTTTTCCAAAGCAGATATCTAAAACATTAAATTATTATTTTTCTTAGGAAAATTACCTTAGTATTCGCTGTTCCTTTTCCTCCTGTTACAATTGCGCCCTATTTATGAAGATTAGGATATTATTTTTGCATTTTTGGATATTTTACAGCATGGCCCTAAAGATCTGTTAATAATCATATTGTTATATAGAATTAAAATACCATTCTACGTCCAGGAGGAGCTGAAATCTAATAAGAAGTAAAATCAGAAAAAATAATGGATTAAGATATATACCCCAGCAATAAAGGAAACAATTGGTTTGGGTGACGATGAAAAAAGATTTGCCTCCTTTAAAAATTCAGCTGCATTCTCTTCAGCTAATAAAATAATTAGAAAAAAAAAGATATCCACATAGTTATACCAGATCCCCCAATTTCACCAATAATAATAATTCCTTTTGTTTCTTCATCTTTTAAGAAAAATGTTAAGGCGTCAATAAAATTAGTTCCTCTTTAAATAATTAATATAATATAAGAATAAAAGGATAAATTACGGGAATGGATCTCCTCCAATTCCAATAACTAAGCTTTGGCCGAGCCCAATATTTGTTGTTTGATTGACTGCTTCATAAGTTAACGTTCCTGATCGGGAGACGATCCCAACATTTCCTTGTTTGTGAATATGACTAGGCATGATTCCAACCTTACAACGGCCTGGTGCAATAATTCCTGGGCAATTAGGTCCAATTAATCGCGTTTTAGATTGAACTTTAAGAATTTGATTGATACGAATCATATCATACTGTGGAATTCCTTCTGTAATAACTACAACAAGAGGAACTTCCGCTTCAATTGCTTCTACAATTGCATCTGCTGCAAGAGGTGGTGGAACAAAAATAGCAGAGATATCCACTTTAAAATATTTCTCATTAATTCATAATCAAAATAAAAAAATATAATTAATAACACCTTTTGTATTTTTCATAGCTTCTTTAACATCCTTAAATACTGGAAGAGAAAGATGCATTGTTCCTGCTTTTTTTGGGTTTGTTCCTTTATATTTTTAATTTAAAAAAACTTATTTTTCCCATTTATACCTCCAACAACACATGTACCATAATCTATTGCTTGTTGTGCATGAAAAGTCGCCTATAATTTATATCAAAATTAAATACTATTAAATGAGCTATATATGGCTACTTGTTTCCCGGTAAAACCTTGAAATATTACTCTTGTTTCTTTTGTTAAACGCAAGTTTTTCAATGTTTCATCATATAAATTTTGATGAGCAACAAAACATGTACTAAAAGAACATATTCTAGACAAACTATGTTTAAAATAGCTCCTTATAAATCGTCTAGTAAGCATCTTAGCTCTTAAAGCTTAGATTTTAAAAAAATGAGGTTGATATTGAGCGTTGGACGGTAGAAAATATATGAAAAAACATGTAAAAAACAATGATAAATAAGAAAAAATAAGAAGAGTTATTTCATATTTTTATACAAATATATATATGATTTTGAATAAAAGTATGTATTTTATATTTTAAAGATGGATTAGTAAGTTGAAGGATATAAAGACAGAGTTAAATGTATTAAAGAAGAGTGTTGGGGTTAGATATGAAGAGAATTGAAAGAACTGTTATAGGGAATATAGATTATAATTTGATATAGATTTTTAAATTTTAGAAAAATAATAAAAGCTATAATTTTAAAAAATAAGATAGTAATTAAAATATTTAAAGAGTTGAAAGAAATAAAATGATTTAAATTGGGAGATATTTTATTATTTTATATTTTTAGAAAAATTATAACTATGTTTTTTTCAGTTTTTAGAGTTTAATTTTATAAAAGATTGAATATTTAAAAATTTTAGAAAATAAGACTTTAAAGTTAAATGTTTAATTTAAAAAAAACATAAAGTAATTGTTTTAAAAACTTCTTTAAAAGGTTTCTGTATTAAAATATTAAAAATAATCCTGCTATTTCAAAAGAAAAATATATTTCCTAAGTTAAATATGCTCATTCTAATTTAATTTATAAAAACTAAACCAAATAAACATTGTAATTAAAACAATATATATTTTTATTAAACCATTTTTAAATCCTAATATATAACTATGAAAACTAAGAAAAATGATTCTCAAATAAGATGAAACAAATAATGATAAATAAAAATATTCTAAACTTAAATTTTTGGATCAATATTTTTAGAAGATTTTAAAAGAAAATATTATGACTGACGGCATTCAACAGGATCGTGCTTAGGTTTATTATCGTCTTTGCCACCTAAATTATTACCATTATCATTGTCGTCATCATCATCATTGTCATCATCATCATCATCATCATCGTCATCATTGTCATCATCATCATCATTCCCATCCTCATCAGTATAATCCTGGTCAGAATCGTCACTATATTCATCTTCATAAGCTAAAGCAACACCAGTAAACCAATCAATTGCTCTAGGAATCAACTTTACATGATAAGTTATTGGTTAAAAGAAAAACAAAAAAAACACCTTTTCTTTAATATCTTCACCATATTGATAATCTGCTTCAAGTCGATTATCGATATCCGAATCATCAACATTTTGAATATCCGAAATCACAGGAGGAGCAAAAAACCTAAAAAAGCTTTCCGTTTGAACAACTTTCTTCACAACACGAGTTTTCTTTGTATCTAAAAAACATTAACAATTATTGCCAATGCAACCATAAATATTTACTTTTATTACGCTGCTTTTTGATCTCGACTCTCGTTGTCAAATCTTTGCCTGTCTTCCAGTCGATTTTATCTCCTTCTGCATGATCATAGACAAAATCACCACCATAACCCAACTCCGCTCTATAATAATACGTTTTATTAATTATTTTATTAGAGAAAAACTCATTATCTGCAAAGTAAAACTCTAATCTAAACCCTGGCTTATCAAGATAGGCCAGCCGAATATCTACCAAATAACACAATGCTTTTTCATCCTCTGGAGTAATAATTTCTGCTAAAGAAGGAAAATTTTTCATTGCAGTTAGCCAAAACTGAGGAATACCCTTAACATTCTCATCAGATCCATAACTTTTATTCTCAACATCACATTTCTTATTATCTGTATCATAAATTTTCCCAAATTCACGACCTGCTTCAATTTCATCATTTGTAGGTTCTATTGCACCAATAATAATAGCTGAGCGTCTATTATACAAAGGAGAGCACAAATCATGATACTTTTTCTCTAATTCCAATATTTCGTTTTGAAATTGTGCTTCAAGTTTTGAATGTTGTACTTGAAGACCTTGTAATCCTTCCACACGAACTCTCACAGCTAATGGTAATGATTCAATATATCCTGATGATTGACCAACCAGTGACCCTAACTTTCCTTGAATCATGGATATCAACCCAGGTGCACGTGATAAAGCACTATGTGTAGATATAGGAGGATCTGTTCTCTTTATTAAAAAAAATAAACATTAAGCCTCAAAAAACCTTCTCGATCATCTTTCGCTGATGAAACTACCGGAGCAGGTGAACTCGAAGATACATTAGACCCTGAAATAATAGAAATATTGTTTCCTGCTGGGGTATTCTGTGGGGTTGGTGCAAGATGGTCCATTACTTTTTTATTATAAATATTTAAATTTTCTGACATTTTCACCGTTTTTCTCTTCAAAAGAGAATAATAAACACAAATATTAACAAATTCTAAAAATTTATATTAATTAAACGAATAATAAGTACCTTTTCCAGATAAATATATTCGTTTAATTGAGGTTACGTCTCGATAAAATTCAAAAAGCTTAAGCGAGACGGCTTTTTTTCTCAAAAAAAAACATTATTTTTAAAAAATAATTGGAGGAAAATTCACTAATAATATCATTCAAATACACTTAATAGAATAGAAAAAATATTTTTAGTATTAAAAAAAACAAATTATTTATTAATTATTTTTTAAAAAAAATAAAAAACATGGTAAGTCACGTGATTCACAAGTCACGTGACCACGCATATCACATGAGAATCACCTGACTCCACCCAAGATCACATGAAATTCACGTGCAATAATTTCGCCACACGAACAACGGTCATTTATTGTCTGTGCCAAACGCGACGTTTATCCTTACGATTATAAGGCAGGGATTTTGAAGGGATTCTGTTTTGAAGGGAAAAAGTCAAAGCGAAGCATATCTATAAAAATATAATTAAAATTTAATAAAGAATTTGACAGAGTGTTTTTTGAGCGTGAAAAAATAAGCAATTTTGAGTATTTTAAGTTTTTTTTTATTTTAAACTTTTTGTCTTGAAAAATCAGCAAGAAAAGTATAAAGAACGGCAGTAACTATGATAGATGAATCATTTCTTATTGGAACGTAAGATAAATAGGATTTTTTTTTTTGAAAATAAAGACTTTTTAGACGTTGTTGGTTTCATGATGATAAAGAAGCTTGGATATCAGCAGAATACAAAGAACATTCTCTTGATGGGAGTGTTCTGAATTTAATTTTTTTGGATGATAATGGAAAGGTATTTTTTTATCTTTTAAGCATGGTTTAAATCAGAATTTAATAAATCTGAAATGAAACTATGTAAAAAGAAAATATCATTGAATAAAATTAAACATTTTATTGTTAGGAACATGTTGTTACAACAAAAGAAGAAAATTTTAAGGCAATGGAAAATTTGTCAATTCTTCAATTACGGAATCCACCCATGCTTGAAGCAACAGAAGATTTAACCAATTTATCTTATTTGAATGAGCCGTCTGGAAAGTAGATCTATTAAATAAGAAGATTTTCCTAATAATTTTATTAGTCCTACATACAATTAAAATACGATATTCTCAACTTCAAATATATACATATTCTGGCATTGTTTTAATTGCAGTTAATCCTTTTCAGAACATTTCTCTATACTCAAACGATATTATTCACGCATATTCAAAAAAAAATAAAGGGGAACTTGAGCCTCATATATTTGCCATTGCAGAAGATTCTTATAGATGTATGATTCGCGATAATATGAATCAAACAATTGTTGTTTCAGGAGAAAGCGGGGCAGGAAAAACGGTTTCTGCAAAATATATTATGAGATATTTTGCTACAGTTGAAGGTCCAGAAAAGCCATTAAAGCGAAAGCTCAAAAATATCAAATCTGGAATGAGTGAAACAGAAGAACGAATACTAGCTACAAATCCTGTTATAGAGGCATTTGGAAATGCAAAGACTATTCGTAATGATAATTCGTCTAGATTTGGGAAATATATCGAGGTTATTTAGACGATACCTAGCTATATTATTAATATTATTAGATTAATTTTGATGGTGACACAGAAATAGTAGGTGCAAGGATTCGGACATATCTCCTTGAAAGATCTCGTATAGTCTTTCAGCCTAAAAATGAAAGAAATTATCATATATTTTATCAGGTAAATTTTCTATTTTTTTGAAAAACATAATTTATTTGTTTAAGCTTTGTTTTGGGGCAACAGAAAATGAAAAAAAAGAATTTGATTTAAAGCATCCAAATGATTTTAATTATTTAAATCAGGGAGAAAGTTCCACCATTCCTGGAATTAGTGATTTAAATAATTTTATTATGACAAGAAATGCATTAAAAACAATGGGGATCTCCGATGAGGTTCAAAACAGCATTTTTAAAGTATTAGCAGCTTTACTACATTTGGGGAATGTGAAGATTCAAGCATTAAGAAATAATGCACTATTATCTCCATCCGATGCTACTTTAGGATTCGTTTGCAAGTTACTCGGAATTGATAATGTGCAGTTTGCAAAATGGATAATTAAAAAACAAATAAATACACGTAGTGAGAAGATTATCACAGATCTTAATCTGAAACAAGCAATTGTTGTTCGTGATTCTATATCCAAATTTCTATATTCTTCTCTTTTTGATTGGCTAATCAGTTCTATAAATTGCACTCTTAAAACAAAAGATGAAATCAATATCAAAACATTTATCGGAGTACTTGATATTTATGGTTTTGAGCATTTTGATATAAATTCTTTCGAGCAATTCTGTATCAATTATGCTAATGAAAAATTACAGCAAGAAGTTATAACTCTATTTTTTTTATTTCTAATTTAATAATAAATAGTTTACTCAGCATGTATTTAAACTTGAGCAGGAAGAATATATGAGAGAAGAGATTAATTGGACTTTTATCGATTTCTCCGATAACCAACCTTGCATTGACCTTATTGAATCACGACTGGGAATATTATCTCTTCTTGATGAAGTTTATAATCTTCTATATTTTCTCTTTACTAATTTTCAATAGGAGAGTCGATTACCTGCTGGATCTGATGAATCCTTTGTTACTAAATTAGTCAAGAATTTTTCCATTCCAACTTATCAAAATTATTTTAGAAAAGCAAGGTTTGGGATGTCTTCATTTACAATTTGCCATTATGCCTTAGAAGTGACATATCAATCCGACGGATTCATTGAAAAAAATAAGGACACCATTTCAGATGATTTATTAAATTTATTAAATTCGACTACCAACAATTTTGTAAAAGAAATAATTTTATCATCTCTAGCTTTCCAAGAAAAAGTGATTATTTGTTAATCAAATAATTATTTACTTATAGATTTATAGAATCAATATGAATCTCAAAATAACACAACTAGACCAATTAATGCCTTATCAAAAAAACCAACATTAGGCACAATATTTAAATCTTCTCTAATTGGCTTAATGGATACTATAAATTCGACTAATGTTCATTATATACGATGCATTAAGCCTAATGATGAAAAAGTTTCCTGGAAATTTGAGCCAAAATTGGTTTTGAGCCAGCTTCGTGCATGTGGTGTTTTGGAAACAATTAGAATAAGTTCAGTGGGCTTTCCAGGTAGATGGACATTTCAAGAATTTGTTTCTAGGTAGGAAAAAAATTGCAAGATTCTTTTTACTTAAGCAATTAGATATTATATACTTGTTCACTCATCTTCTTGGAATAATGAAGTCAAAAGACTTAGTATAGAAATTCTAGAAAAAACAGTTAACGATACAAATAAATATCAAATTGGCTTAACAAAAATATTTTTCCGAGCAGGAATGGTAATATTTACTTTATTTACTGTTTCCTTATTTAACAGTAATAGTTAGCATATTTTGAACATCTTCGTCTTAATCGTTTAAATGAATGTGCTATATTAATACAAAAAAATATGCTTTGTTATATCTATCATAAGCGTTATATTAGGATTCGAAATTCTATTATTCTCCTTCAGAAGTATGTTAGAGGGTTTTCTATACGCAAAAAAACATATGAAATGAAATGCAATTTAGCTGCTTTAAAATTACAAACGGCCTGGAGACGCTATTATTCGCAGAAATTATACAGAAAAATAAGGGATGCAATTATTCTATTACAATCAAGTATAATTTATATTATTAACTAGTTATAAATTAATGTGGTTTAGTCGTGCGCTGTTATCTTATAAAAAAGAAAATTCTTGCTTTAAAAAAAGAAAAAACAGCTACAAAAATACAGTCTTTATGGAAAAGATAGTAAGTTTTGTCTATTTATTATTATTTTTCAAATAACAATTTCAGTATTGCCCGGAAAAAATATAAAATACAATGCAAACAGATAATTTACATACAATCATGTTGGAGACGCAAAAAAGCGAAAGATGAGTTAAAGAGATTACGTATTGAGGCTAAATCTCTTAGCCATTTCAAAGAAGTATCATATAAACTAGAGAATAAAGTTATAGAACTCACCCATAATTTATCTAAAAAACATCAAGAAAACAAATTATTGTTGGCGCAAATAGAAGATTTAGAAAATCTCAATAATATATGGAAGACAAAAAGTAAAAAATGGGAAGAAGAACGCAATAATCTCGAAAATAATTTAAACAATGCAAATAAAGCATTAGAAAGAGCATTCGATTTGGAAAAAGAAATACATGTATTAAAGAAACAACTAAATATATCAAAGGACAATCTTAAGAAATTAAATGAAGAAAGCAATACTTTAAGGGAATCTCTTTTTAATAAATCGGCAGAACTTGAATCCGCACTTTCTCAAAAAGCTGAATATGAAGATGCGCGTTCCAACCTTGTAATTGAAATAGAACATCTTAAAGATGAAGTTCACAGACTATCGATGGGCAAAAATGTACCTCTTGGTTTTAAACCAAATGGTTCTACAAGATTTATAAACAATACTAAACCATTTTCTACTTCAAGCCCCTCTAAATTACATACAAAGCGGCAAAATATTTCATCTAGTTCTAATAAAGAAAATAATTATTTTGAGGGGAAACTATTATATGAACAAAAAATAGACCATAAACAGCGTCCAGCATCTATCTTGTTTCCATTATCTCCACCAAAAAAACAAAATATATTAAATAATGAAATATCCAAAACTTCATATGCTTCAGTTAAGGATATAAATCATGAGGTAGTCTTTTGTTAGTTATTGATAAGCTAATATTTTTAGTTTGTATATATAGTTAAAAATAATGATCTGCTTAGTGATGAAATTATGGTAGAAGTAATTAAAAATCTCAAAATTCCCCAATCAAGCCAGCAAAGTTCTTTATCTCGTAAGGAAATATTATTTCCTGCTTATTTAATAAATTTTGTTACATTTAAAATGTGGAAGTATGGTCTTATTAAGGAATCTGAACATTTTTTGACAAATGTTATGCAAACAATACAACAAGCAGTGATAGAATATGACGAGAAAGATGTTATAGATTTCGACATGTTTTGGCTTTCTAATGTTCATGAAATATTATCTTTTGTATCCATAGCAGAAAGTGATATATTGCATGGAATTGCTGTAGAAATAACAGATACAGAATGTGAAGAATATAATAGGTTAATGTTGTTAGTAAAGCATGACCTAGAAAATTTAGAATTTAATATTTATCATACATGGATGAAAGAAGTCAAAAAAAGATTGCATAAAATGATAATTCCCGCAATAATTGAGTCTCAATCTCTCCCTGGATTCATTACTACAGATGGAAACAAATTTTTTAATAAATTACTCCAAGGAGCAAATAATCCTCAATTTACTATGGACGATCTTCTTAGTTTATTCAATAAAGTATATAGGGCTACAAAGTCATATTATCTGGAATACAGTATACATCAGCAAGCCATTAATGAACTTTTAAGACTTGTCGGAGTAACTGCTTTTAATGATTTGCTTATGAGGTTAATCCTTCCCTATTTTTTATACTACGTTTTAAAAGTAATTAGAAGAAATTTCTTATCATGGAAAAGAGGCTTACAAATACACTATAACACATGTCGTATTGAAGAATGGTAATCATTAAAAAGAAAAAAAAGTCATCTTAACTTTTTTATAGGTGTAAAAACCATGATTTACCAGAGGGAATTTTACAATTGGAACATCTTATGCAAGTCACAAAGCTACTTCAACTTAAAAAATCAACTCTAGAAGATATTGCAATCATCTTTGATGTATGTTGGATTTTAACACCTGTACAAATACAGAAATTGATTAATGTAAACATTTTTTTTGTAATAACATACATCTGACATGAGATTTTAGCAATATTCTGTCGCAGACTATGAACATCCTATTAGCTCAGAAATACTTAAAGTTATAGCCAATAAAGTTGTCGAAGATCAACATAGTAATACTCTTTTCCTAGAAGCCATTTCTCTTGATGAAAGTAGCATCTATGAAATTCCTGAAGTAAGGGAGCTCTCATATCCTCAAGTTTATATACCTTCTTGTATGTATTTTTAATCAATTTATATTTTCTTATTAATATTATAATACAGGGCTTAATGTTCCTAATATTCAAAAACTCGCTGAATTATCTACATGCGATATTGATACTACAATCTTCTCCATGTCCTAAATTTTTTACTATTTATTCATTTATTACATATTTTCATGTTTCACAAACTACACACATTTATCTATATTTACATTAAAAAAGGATTCTAACCCTTCAAATAACTAATATTAACATTTTCGCTTAAGAAACGTCTTCTTTCATTAAAAATAAACATTTAATTCATCATATTCTACATTTTTTATATATTTAAACATTAGGAGATTCCTGGCAGTCAAGCGGTCCAAGATTTTGCATAGCGACGTTAAAAAAAAAAACAAAATTGATTTACTATATTAATAGAAAATAGAGGAAATAAACACTCATATTTTTAATACATTAGTTATATCAAGGGCCAAGAATGTCTAGCGGATGTAAGTTTCACTAAGAAATATTTTTTTTATTTTTTAATAACTTAATAAATAGTGAGATTTCTTGACTTGGTCAAGCCTTTTACATCATTACTTCCAGAAATTTTATCTCCAGAGGGAAAAATTCCATTTCAGGTTTCCGTTTTTTTTCTTTTTATATAACAATTTAACTAATGAAGTATTTAGCAAAGAATGTTATGGACAAGTGTAATTCTTTTAATATTTTTGGTTATGTCACAAGTTCCATTATATGGTATTGCATCTTCAGATTCAGCAGATCCTTTGTATATTTTATGAATACCTTTTTTTATTCTTATATACGTTAGATTTTGGATGCGTATGGTATTAGCGTCTAACCGTGGTACATTAATGGAACTTGGAATATCACCAATTGTAACATCCGGGATGTTTATTCAACTTCTTGCAGGATCGCAGTTGATTGATGTTAATCTCGATTTGAAATCTGATAGAGAATTATTTCAAACGGCGCAAAAACGTAAGAAATTTTTCAATTTTTTGTATCCAATATATTGCGAAGAATTTACCATTCATAGTTCTGGCACTTGTTATATCTTTTGGTCAAGCAGCTGTCTTTGTTGCAAGCGGTACCTATGGTCAACCAAGTGATTTAGGAGCAGGGATATGTTTGCTTCTTGTTATACAATTAGTAGCTGCCGCTATGATTGTTATTCTTCTAGATGAACTTCTTCAAAAGGGATATGGTCTTGGGTCTGGTATTTCCTTATTTATTGCAACGAATATATGCGAGAGCATTATATGGAAAATTTTTAGCCCTGCAACTATTAACACAGGACGAGGCCCAGAATTTGAAGGTGCCTTATTAGCCTTATTACATCTCCTTTTTACTTGGAATAATAAGACACGTGCTCTTAAAGAGGCCTTTTATCGTCAGAATTTGCCAAATATCATGAACCTTTTTGCAACTGTTTTAGTTTTTGCAATCATAATTTATTTACAGGGATTTAGAGTTGAAATACCTATTAAATCAAACAAGCTTCGAGGACAACATGGCACATATTCCGTAAAATTGTTTTATACTAGTAATATTCCGGTTATGTTAGAAAGTGCTTTAACCTCAAATATATTTATTGTTTCTCAAATGTTATATCGTAAATTCCCAGATAATATATTTGTTAAGCTTTTTGGAACTTGGAAGGTATATTTTTTCATTTTATAAAGTGATTTAAATACTAAAATAATCAAGTCGGTCCCAGGAACAAGTCAAAATCGTGCAATTTCCGGTCTTGCATACATGATGACTCCTCCATTAAATATTAAAGAAGCTCTTCTCGATCCAATACATACTACTATATACGTTTTATTTATTGTTTTTATATGTGCTTTATTTTCCAAATTATGGATTGAAGTATCAGGAAGTGGACCAAGAGACGTTGCTAAACAGCTCAAAGAACAACAAGTTGTTATTGCTGGGCATCGTGAAAAAAGCATGTACAAAGAATTAAAGCGTATCGTTCCTACTGCTGCTTGGCTTTCCGGTGCTTGTATTGGTGCTCTATCAATTTTTTCTGATCTTTTAGGTATTTTTCTCATATAATTCTAAACTTCTATATCTTATTTTTATTAGGAACTCTTGGTTCAGGAACTGCAATACTTTTATGTACAACAACAATCTATAATTATTTTGAAACAATGGTTAAAGAAAATACAAGCAATTCTATGATCGATATATTCAATTAAAATATTTACTAATAAACAATAGCTATAATATCCCTTTTTATATTATCATCGAATTCTCTAATTTTTAAAGATTCTTATTTGCTGATAAATAATACAAAAAAATTATTCATTTTGTTTTCTAGTAATGAGATAAAAAGATTAAGATAATTAATAATTATTAAATAAAAAAAATTAAATCTTTATTTTTTTTTTTAAAATATCAACTATCGTATAAATGATCATAAATATTGCCAGACAGAAACAAATATTAATTATTTTTTAAATAAAATACAATTAATATTAACATTAATGTTAATATTAATAAGGAATATTAAGTATCTATTTTCTTGAAATCTTTTCTAATAACATTAGACTAATAAATTCAAATTATTGATAATTTAAGTGCTTAAAAAAATAAATTATTTGTTTTTTCTTAAGATTCACCTTATTTTATAATTAATAGCACATCATATGTATTTTTGTGGAAGACTGGCACTAAAAATTTATTATTTATATATATTATATACTTATGAAAATATAAAAGATGGAAACTAGAGGAAGAAACTGGGCAAAAGATACACGGGGATCTCGTATAGCTAATCTTTTTTCAAGAATAAAACATATTAAGGCATCATCTAATAAGGGACGTCTACAAAATGAAGAAATAAATAATCAACAAGGAGCAGAAGCAAGACAAAAACGATTTGAAAGAGTTCAATCAAGAAATAGATATGAAAAATTAAAGCCCGAACGTAATTTCTAATTTCTTTTATAAAATGAATCATTTTATAGCTGAATTTTTATAGGAGAACGTGAAAGAGAGGAAGCAACAAGACTTGGATTGATCGATGATCCAAATAAGCCTAAACGGCTTAATCAAGCATTAACATTTGTTGGAACATGTCAAGATATGTGTCCATTATTTGAACGTGAGCAGAGAGAGTATCAAAAAAATCTTGAGCGCTGGGAAATTGTTTGTGGTTAAATGTTTTATATTTTTTTAACTTACAATTAGAACCCATTGACAGGAAGGGTAGATAAAGATCTCGCAGTTAAAGCGTTTCATAGGCCAGCAGCAGGTAACGAACAGGCATTACCATCAGATGTTCGTCCACCACATGTTTTAAAAGTAATTCATATTTCTTTATATACCTTTTTTAATTTTAATAGTCAACACTTGATTATCTTATTGATCGTATTGTCTGTGGTGAAGATAGTTTATCTGAAACACATAGTTTTGTTCGGGATAGGACACGTTCTATACGTCAAGACTTTACTTTTCAAAATAGTCGTGGACTGGAAGCAGTAGATTGCCATGAACGTATTGCACGATATCATATTCTTTGTTTGCATCAATTATGTGAGGTTAAAAGTTTTAGTCAACAGCAGGAAAATGAACAATTACAAAAAGGTTAAACTTTCATTTTTTTCATCGATATTTAAAATATTAGTTCTTCAATCCTTAATTGAGTTTTATGATGATTTGCGATGTCTAAATATTCAATGTCCTAATGAACCAGAGTTTAGAGCTTATTATATATTATCACGTATCCAAGATCCAGATATCACTCGTCAAGCTCAAACATTGCCTACAGATTTATTTTTTTCTTTTCCAATTCAACATGCGTTAAAATTATATGCTTTAGTTCAAAGAAATAACGAAAGAATTGGGATTCATAAAACACCTAATACTGAAGCAGCTCAAAATCTTTTTACTCGTTTTTTTAAACTTGTTGCAAGCAAAGAAACTACATATCTTATGGCATGTTCTATTGAAATGCATTTTACAAATATTAGAAAAGGTGCTTTGAAGGCAATGAGACGCTCTTATCTGGCTAATCATTCACCATTCCCCATTGATGTGCTTGCTGAAATGTTAGGATGTGATAGTATCGAAGAAACTGCCATAAATTGCGAATCATATGGCCTTACGGTTTACAGAAATGCACAAGGATATCCTGTTTCTGTTCATATTCATAAGTCTTCTAAATGGGATGGTGAGATTTTCTAATTAGTCAATTAATTCTAATATTTCTCTATAGAAACCCAACCTCCCATTAAACAGAAATTTTGTAAACGTCTAGTTGAAGCAAAACGTGGTTCACAATCTTTTTCAGATATTATTAATGGATCAATGGGCGAGCCGTACCCTACATATTCTCTTTTTTCAACTCTTGAAAAGCCAGTCAATGAAACATTAGAATGTAAATATTTCCTATCTGTTTATTTCTATAATAACATCTTTTGTCTAGTCTCTGTTCCATATTTAGATTCAAATACGCCTGCTTTTCAACCATCACTATTTAACATAAATCAAGAGACAATTGATAGACTAGATTCATCTACACTCACCTCAAAAGAATTATTTGATAATATCAGGGAAAATAATATTAATAAATTTAAAAATAAAAAAGATGAAGGAACTTTAGATTTAGAATCCAAATTCCCACGGATTTCCAAAGGTATATTCTTCTATTATTGCCACATATTAATATTTATATTTCCAGACATTTCTTCTAACAATATTAAAAGTACAGACAATATTTTTGAATCATTAAATCCTCATAATGAAATAAAGAGTTCATTTTCTAATAAATATCATTTTTATGATTCATCAAGCAATTTTAATAAAAATTTATGTGATTTAAAAAATATAACAGATAAAGAACAACCTAAAAGACTTTCAAAACATCAATTTTTAGATATTTTAAACACATTTTTCTTGGAAATGATGGATAATCAAATAAAAGCAGTTATTGCAACTATAAAAACTGAATTCGAATCTCTTGAAAAAAGAAATAAAATTTTAAAAGAATTTGCACATGAAATTACAGAGTCATTAATTATAGAGATAATTTTTGATGCAGTTTTTGAGTCTATAGCAGAAAATATAGATAAAAAAAGAGTTTTAAAAAATATATATAAAATTATAAAAAAAAAATATAATTTAAGAGCATCTCAAAAGAAAGAACTGGAGCAAATGAGGGAAAAACAGAGACAAAAATTGCTTCAATATTACTCTGCTTTAAAAGAAATAAATACAATAAATATAAAAAATAAAAACAAAGGAGAAAAAGCATATAGATTTTTAAATAATGAAACAGATGAAAATATGGCAGAAACTTTAAAGAAGGTCTAAAATAGAAACTTAATATTTTAATATTTAATAGCATATAGACCCATTATCATATAAACGAACTCTGGAAAAACGAAGATTTGACTAGTATTCTTGTTTCAAAACTAAAACATGAATCAAAAATATCATTTAATTTTTGGCAACTTCTGATTTTTTCTACAGATTATAGAACTCCAACTTCGCTTTGGTTAAGAGAAAAATTTCATTTAAAACCTGATTTAACCGAATTTGTTTGGAGATTAACAACCGATTTTGATTTAAATATTGAAATTATAATGCCTATGTCAGATACTATAAAAAAAAACCATTATAAAAACATAGGTGCTATCGTTTTCGAATGTAGCCCTCTGGATACTCAAAACTCTCTATTATCTGCTAAATGGGATATATGGAAACATCAATTACATACACTAATTCAAAGCATACCTTGTGAAAACATATTTAAATTCCCTTTATTAATTATTTATTGGACAGATCTAGAATTAGATATTGAAGTAAGAAACTTAACTATAAGTTTTAAATGAACTAAACATTTAATATACAGCCTAACCTGCTTTTTGATATACACTTGCTTAAAAAAACTCATACACAATTAACAAATGTCAATTTCTTCAAAATTTCTTCAATACAAGAAACATATTTAAAAACACCATTTCAACAACTTCTTTCTTGCATATCATTTAATTCAAATACACATTTATCTTCAGATTTTAAGGGCATTAAAAGATTAAAACTTGATGATGATATTTTATACAATACAAAAAATAACATTACTTTATTTAAAAAAATACCTCAAAACTTACGAAAAAAAACAAGAAGAAACTCTTTCTCTTTTAACATTCAAAATAATTCTGAAAGCTCATATTTAAATCAAATAAATTCATCTCATTCAATTATACCAACAATTAAGCCAATATCTATTCAAAAGCTACTTCATAATATTGAAACAGCACGGAAGTTATTAACATAATAATTATATAATTGTTTGTATACTCTTTATATTTTTTTTTAACTCGGATTTTTCTAACCGATATTTTACTTAACATCAAAAATAATGGAAACTACTAAGGTTAATTTAGAAAACCATTTAATGTTAGAACAGTCAATGATACGTCTTCCTTATGAAATATTAAGAATGAATTTTAAGATATCTCAGAAATATGTTGAAAAACATTCAAGTTTTCTTTTATCCGAAATTGAGAAATTAAATTTTAATACAGAAGATGAAATGCAAGCATCTATGGAGAAATTGAACAATATTCTTTATAAAACTCAAGAATTAAAAGAAAAAGTAGATTTTTTCTCTAAAAAAAATATTATTTTTAAGAATTTTTAGCTGTTTATGTTAAATCAAAAAGATGTACAATGTTTTGAGCGATTAAAAGCACGAATAGATCATTTAAGAGAGCTTCATGATATAGAGAACATTGAAGATGAAGGCTATGAAAGTTGGAATCAAATTCGATTAGATCGTCTTTTAATAGATTATATGTTGCGTAAAGGAATGAGTGAAACAGCTAAACAATTGGCAAAAGAAAAGAATATTGAAGTATTATATATTTACATCATAAAAAAATACTGATATAAGAAGAATTTGGTAGATATTGATGTATTTGTTCGGTGCAAAAAAATTGAGGAAGCATTAAGAAATAAAGATACGACAAAATGTCTTGCTTGGTGTGCAGAAAATAAAGCCTTTTTAAGGAAAAATAAAGTATGGAAGATTTATAGGTAGTTTATTCTCATTGTATTAGGTTAATTTGGAATTCGAATTGAAATTACAAGAATATGTTGAACTTATTAGAAAAGGCGAACGATTTCAGGCCATTGCATATTCTCGAAAATATTTAACACAATTTTCAGAAGCACATATTGATGAATTTAAACGTTCAATGGCACTTTTAATATTTCCTCCAGATACAGAATGTGAACCTTATAAAGTATTTTATATTTATTTTGCATAATTACTATAGCTTTAACTTTAATTGTAGAGACTCTATTCTCCTGATCGTTGGGAACTATTAGCAGATTTATTTGTGTTGACTCATCATAATTTATATAACCTTTCAATTCCTCCTTTATTATATATTACGCTTTCTGCAGGTCTTTCTTCTTTGAAAACCCCATCATGCTATTCTTCCGAATCTAAAAAAGCAAATACAACTCTTTTTCATTCTACACTTTGTCCTATTTGTTCATCAGAATTGAATTCTATTGCATCGCTAGTACCATATGCTCATACTGCTAGGTCAAGTCTTATAGATTCATTAACAGGAGAAAAAATTCAAAGTGACAACGAACTAATAGCACTTCCTAATGGCAGAGTATATAATCAAAGGAGTTTATTTGAAAAAAACGAAAAATTTGGAATTCCAAAAGATGTTATTTGGGATCCAGCCACAACCGAAAAATTTCCCAGAGAGAAGATCAGAAAGGTTTTTATTATGTAAGTTTTAGGCATTTAAACTAAACTATTTTTATGAAAAATTGTATTTAAGCTTATATGGATCTATTAATTAATTTGTGATCATTTTAATATCTTTATTAGATAAACTTATATCTTTATTAAATCAAATTCATGCATTATTATCATAGCTTTATTTGTCTAGATTTTTTTTTCATTTTAAGGTTTCTATCTTATAAAAACTTGTAAAGACAATTTATTAAATTAAATAACTTAGAAATTCTTATAATATTTGCATTCCTAAACAATTGAATAAGGCATTAAAGGATCCTTTTTTCAAAATCCTTTTAGTTGTAAATATCAAAATTATTCTAACAAAAATAACTTTAATTAAAAACTCAAAGATAATTTTAATATAAATTTACAAAAATATATTATCTATATAATGAAATACCAAATTCAATTATTTTCATAATATTAATAAATAAAACAGTCCAGAAAATTAAGATTAAGCAGAAAGATATTTAATATTAACACCCAATAAACTTCCAATTTATACATTCTTATTAATCAAAATTTTCGAATTTTCCATCGAAATCCTCCTTGATTCTTCAAAATCTTTTTTTGCTTTTTTTAATTCATTTTCAATTTCATCAATAGATCTAAAAGTAGAACCAACAGCTTTCGAATATGCAAGAATATCTAGTAATAAGATACAATAAATCATTATATTTCTACCTTACCAATAGGTTTCCGTGATTTAAGAGCAGTATTAATTCTTTCAGGATATTTTTTTTCTTCTGAATTGAATTTATTTTTTATTTGTCGCTGACTTCTATTTGGAAACATCTTACATATAACACCAAAATCCGTTCCCCATTGAGACAATGCCTATTAATATTTAGAATATACTTTTTTTAAAAAATAAACCTAAACATTATAAAATCTTTGAGTTTCTTCTAAAGACCATCGATCAGACTTTTCTCTTTTGCCCCAGCTAGCACTATTAACTTTTCTTGATAAATCATTTTCTTCAACCAGCTCCATCTCAATATCAGGATTAACATCTCTTTCACGTCTATCGACCTGTAAAGAAGTTTCGTCTATAACAATCTTTCCATTAACTACACGAACTTGTGGTGCCCTTAAAAAATTAATATAAATAAAATGCAAAATCATTGAAATACCCTTTTAAATGATTTTTTGTTACATTCATATTTCCATTTCTTACTATTGGCAAACCCAAATTATGAGTATCCAAGTATGTTTTTTGCAAGTTTTTATCAGCTGAAACATTTTTAGTTTCAGGAATTACCTCTCCATTCACTAATATCTTCTTTGAAAATAATTCACTATTATTTAATTTCATCTTTTTCTTTACAGCTTCCATTTTACGAATCTCATTAAATTTCACACTTTTTCTTCCTATTCGTATATCTTTACATAAATCCGAAATCTTAATTTGACTCGGTTCTATAGTAATCTCTTCACTATTAATTGGTGATGCCGGCCTTTTTTTCTTATTTTTTTTACGTTCTTTAACACTTTGTTCTATATTTCAATCAAATTCATTCAATTATTCTTATTTTACATTTATTTAATATACCATTATTTAGATTAGATACTATAATTTTATGATCCTTATCCACAACTTCATTCTTATTCTCCAAAACTTTGCTGTAATCTTCTTTCTCATATCAGAAAATACCTTATATCAATATTTTCATAAAAACCTTCCTTTTTTTTCAGATCTTCTTTATTCATACATAAAATAGACCTTGATAATACTTTTTTCTCCATATTTTCTTGTATTTTTATCCCATTTTCATTCTCATACTTAATTTTCGTTTCTGAATCCTCTACCAACCTAGAAACCTCCGATTTTGATTCTTTAAAAACAGCTGACAATCCCTTTAGATTAACACTATCTAAATCTTCCTTTTCTTTCAATAAATCCCCCCTTTTTTCTCCTTTTTTTTCATTTATCAATCTTTCATTCTTTATAACAAAAAAATCGGTTCTTACTAAAAATTTCCGGAGTTTCTTTCAAAATACCACATAACTCCGTCTTCAACCCTTCATCTGCACTCACAACAACCTTAGATATAGGCTTTTTTAACTCATTTTCAACAAAATTCTCATTTTTGCCGTAAATACGAGGTGTAAATCTTAACCTTGATTTAACTATTTTTTATCAATAAAATTAACACTTAACAAACTTCGTCTAACATACTAACAGATTCTGTAATAATATTCATCATATCTTCAAAACAAATAACTTAAACCATGATTTTTAAAAAAAACCTAAACGAGCCGCTCTAGAAACCTATTTTTTTATAAAAATCTGCTAGATTTTTGATTATACAAAAAGATCTAAGATAATCACAAGATAATCTAAGGAAATAGCAGCTAAGTTGCTATTTTTTAATAATGGAAGATAAGAAAAGACAAAAAGATATGGTTGAAATTCTTTCTTATGAGCCTCCCCTAAAAAAACAAGTTTTTGAAAATGTTTTAGGAGTTGAAGAAGAAGTAGAAGTAAATGAAGGAAATATATTGGTTTTATTATTAAAATTGGGATACAGGATTTTCAGAAGGAAGCAATATGGAGAAGAATGCAAGAATATAAACGAGAAGCAATTAGAGCAAAAGAACGGGTAGAAGAACTAGAAAAAAGGATAAAATATCAAGATGAACATTTGGTAACAATAGATGCATGGTTTGATGAAGTATAAGATGGGAAAAAATATTTTTTCATAGGCTAATATAGAATAATCAGTTTTTGAACGAAATATATATATATTCAGGAGCAAAAGGGACATTAGAAGCAGGAATAATGAATGAAGGAAATTTTCCTGGATTACTATTTGAAAGCGATACAAAGTTTAAATGTCATTTAAGTGAAAAAAAGAGTAAAATTATGAATATAGCGGGATCTATTTTAAATATGGTTAAATCATCATGTATAGAAGATACAGAAATAGAAAGAATCAAGAATTATGCAGCAAAGCTATCATCTGATTTAACGATAGCAAGATCTTATATTGAACAATTAAAATTAGAAAGAGAAAATAATGAAAAAAAAATGGAAGAAATGTTTTATGAAATAATGTCTTTAGAGAAAAAAATAGATCGAGAAAAGAGTATGACGCTATCTAAGATGAAATTGAATGCTATGAAAAAGCCTCAAGAGGAAGGAAGCAATATAAAATTAGTGGAAGTAACAAAAACGTCTAAATTGGAAGAGAATGTTTTATATATTAATCTATTAAATGAAACCTAACAAGTTTTTAGAAATCAAACGAAAATATAGAAGCCATTGAAATAAAATTGAAAGAAATGAATGTTATTAATGAAAAAAGATTATCAGAAATCTCTAAATTAAACAACCAAAATTCGAAATTACGTGAGCAATTATTAAATCTTGAACTTAAAGTAAAGATATTTAACTAGTTCTTTAGAAAAGAGATTAACTATATACAGCTAAAAAATCCATCTGAAGAGGAAATTATAAATTCAGATCTATATTATTCATTAAAATCTAAATATGAACTTTGTGCTGCAAAAATTAAAGAAATTGAACCAGCATATGAATCTCTTAATAAAGAAGTTGAAAAATTGCGTTTGGAAAGACTGGAATTTAAAGAAGAACTTCTTAATGAACAAAGAAATATAATTACTGACATGAGAGATCAGCTAAGTAAAGTAGAACAAGATCTTGCTCGTGTTAGAACTGTACGAGATGAGCTTCTGTCTCAACTTAATATAAAGAAAGCAACAGAGTTTGAAAATTCTACCGCAAAAAAAGAACTTCTGGAGCTTTTAGAGACTCGTAATGTAAAATTTCCATTAAAAATTTTATGATATAAAATTTAACGATTTATAAAGACAAGAATTACTGCTTTGGAGGAGCAACTTCAACGTCTAAATAATCAGATCAAACAGGATTGTGAACTAGGAAATGATGTGAATTTGGAAAAATCTAAAGAAGAGCTTTTAAAACAAATTGAACGTCTGGAAAAGGTATGTTATAGTTATATTATTATTATTTATATATTTATTTAATAGCAAAATAAAAGCTTAAGCTCAGAACTTCTAGCCTTAGAACAAGCTTTTAATAAGGCCCATCATCAGAGTTCATTAAAGGTTAATGAAATTATAGCAAAAGAAGACAAATTTTACCGTTTAAATGCAGATGTATATTAGCTTTTCGTTTATATTAAATCTTAACATTTCAATAGAAAGCTAAAGCAGATCAAAAATATTTTGATGCTATGAAAGCTAAAGATAAATTGACAATTGAAAATAAAACTTTAAAACAACAGAATTCTAAAGCAGGTGATATTATTATTAAACTACAGGAAGCTGAAAAGATTACAATGCAAAAATTAGTATGATTATTTATTATTGAATAACTTTTAATTATTTTTAGATAATTTTAGAAAAACAAATAGCTATTCTAAGACCAGCTAACGAAACTCTTATTTCAAAAGTTCATGAACTTCAATTAAAAATTGAAGAAAAGGATCATAATATAAAAAATATCGGACAACAAATCTCTATGGTGATAATAATATTATTTTGCTTATAAATTAACATTTTATATTAGCTAAAACAGCGATTAATAGAACAAGAAAATATTACTAGTACAGAAATAGATTCTAAAAGAATTGCAGAAGAAAAAATCGAAAAACTTAAAATACAAATTCAAAGAAATAAAAACCAAAATACAGTTAATGGCGATATAGACGAATTAAAAATATATAAAGTATAGTATTTTGGAATTTTAAAATAGGTTTAATGATTTTAGAGTATGGCTAAATGTTCAGTATGTGAAACTAAATGGAAAAATACAGCGATATCCCTTTGTGGACATATATTTTGTAAAGAATGTATAAATAAACGCATAGAAACTCGACAACGTCGTTGTCCTTCATGCAATCGGGGTTTTGGTTCTGGAGATATACTTCAAGTTCATTTATAAGTGTATTATTAATGTTTATCAAAATTAGAATATATAAGTAATCTGTAAATTATGAAAATCTTCCATGTAACTTATTATATATTGGTTATGGTTTTATTATTTTGCAACATATAAGACTTAAATTATAATGAAATTAATATATAACTATTAATATGTTAATATTTATTTTTGCCATAAATATTCATTTAGTTCTATTAGATTTTCATTTAAAGAATGTTTTAAAGCCATAGTAATATCAGGCCTATTAAGTTTGTCTGCTTTGACTAAATCTTCAGAATATTGTAGCTGAAGAAGAGTTTTTATTTCGTCATAAGTAAAAATATTTGAAGATTTTTTGACTTCTTTAAGAACATTCTTATTTCATTAAAAAAAATAAAAACTTACAAATAAAATTACCTTAGGACCTAACTTTAATAACTCATAAAAATGAATCGATTTTTCAAATTTAACATTTTCGACATCTCTAATAATGTTTTTAAGGTTCTGTTGTAAAATCATTATATTTAACAACATTTTTTCTGAACCAGTAATATTCATCTTTTTAATATTCTCAGCAGCAAGAACTAATAAATTATCTATCAAATATGGTAATCCATAAAAAACAAATCTTAGAAAGATATTAACATAACATTTTTAAAAACAAGACTTACGAATATTCCTGATATTGCAGACATGAGTCTAATTGTTCATTGTATTCCAAAAGTTCAGTATTTAGTTCCAAAAGATATAAATCCGGCTTTGGTATAGAATAATCTAAATAATAATTCCCATCTCGAACAACTTTTTCTATATAATACATAACATGACATCTTATTTCAATCCTAATATTAAAAAGAATTGTCTTTGAAAGTTCTTTGAAATTAACTAATATTACTTCCAATTTCCTATAAAAGAAATCAATATAATTATGGAAAAATAAAAAAAAATACTCAATAGATTCAGATTTCATATAAAATTCTGAACTATCAGATTCATTACGTAAAATAGATACGACCTTATTAGACTGTTTAAAAAAACTTTTTAAAGTTTGTTTCTAAAATATTTTAATATTTTTTCAAAATCCCTCTTTTTTTTTTACATGTGAATCATTACCCAGATTCATTTTAATATTATTATTTGAAGTTATCATATCCACAATCCATTTCTAGAATAATAAATAAATATTTTTTTATATATTTTAAACAAACCAAAGTATGATAAAGTATTCCAAGAGATTCAAGAACCTGTTTATCCCATTGAATATCGTTATATTTCAACGGAACCTTATTTTTTAGTGAAAATTCTTTCTCAGTTTCCTTTATAAGTTAGAGAGCACTATTCATTATTTAAAATAATTACCATAACAGAAAAACCATCCAAAGAAATAGAATTATCCAAAAATTGTTCTAATAATTTTTTTAATTCTTCATTATCAGACCAAATTTCACTCATTTTCTTTATGCTCTTTACAATGGTTTTATCATTACCAGTGATATGATTAGATAAAGAAATTAATTCTTTGTATTTTAAACTGCATTTATTAAAATATTTTATTAAAATATCCAATAAAATATAGCTATAATCTTCATTATTATAGCTAATAGAATTAAGAATTTTAGATAAATTTGCGATTAATGCTAATAAAGAGACAGCGCTCTAAACAATTATTATTTAGCAAAAGTAGAATAAATTAAAAATACCTTTAATACAGGATGTGTTGAATAAACTGACCAGTTCTCATAAACTTGAAGTACATCAAAATTTAGTATGCTCTGATTACTAATTTCTTGAATAATATCTTTCAGTTGAGGAAGAAATGTGTTTGATAAGAATTCATCCAAAAACGGCATTATGATTGAATCTGGAGCACGTAACCTAATAAAAATAAAAATCTTATTTCAATAAATAATTCTTACTTTAAAAACATAGTATCTTCACATTTTCTCAAAAATGCCCATGTAGGTTTAAATAAAGCTTCAATATTAAACACAGATGATTTAATTAGCATACGATGAGCAGTGAAAGATGTTTCCTTCAAATCATATGGAATTGGATTCATTTTATCTTTAACATTTTTTCCTCGTAACATAAGATATACAACAGAAGAATTTAAAATATTTTTTAAATCATCAAGAGCATCATTAAAATCTTTAGAATTTTCATTTATGTTATGTATACTAAACATCTAAAAAGTACTAAGTTAATATAGAAATAATTGTATTATACCTTTATTCTTTTTATATCTTTTTTTTCATCAAACATATCATTGAAAGAAATAAAATTAGATGAAGTAGATATTATTTGATGCGACCCATCAACAACATAATTAGAAAGAAGTGTTTGAATCTTTAAATGTTTAATAAATAAATAAAAAATAATGAATTAACCTCTGATTTAATTGGTTTCCAAATGTTTAAAAAATTAAAAGAAGCTAATTTAGCCGTAGTTCCCTCGTTTTCTTCAGATTGAATACTACTTAAATCCGAAATATAGATATACATGATATTATATCCATTAAGTACAGCTACTAATTTAGAATACAATGTCCAAAAAAAATCTTTCAGGATCTCAGATTTCATAATATCTTCTGAAAAATCGGTGTCAATGATATTTAGTGATTTTTGTTTAGGAAATATATTTTGAAGTAAATTTAAATCCCTTTGCTCGACTTCGTTTATTGTTTTATCAATTAATTGATAAATTTCTACAGGCAACCTTTGAACGATAATATCTATTGCATCAGGAAACACGTCTAACAAATGCAATGCCTTAGTTAAGATCCGTATATATTCTTCGGAATCAACTTCAGGATTATAAACGTTATTCTTAAAGAAGTTATAAAAAAATAGATGTTTATATTAAATGTACCTTTTTAACTTCTTGCTGAAAATTTTCATTATCTAAATAATAAAAATAAATGATGTTTTGCACAATTGGGATTTTAATACCGTAAGAAAAATATGTTTTTGATTGTAATTCTTTATTTCTCTTCAAAGCATTTGGAATAGGCACTATTAAAAGTAAATAATAGTTTTTACAATAAAAATTTTATACATTCTTCTTGTCCTATAACATAAGGTGCCCAATAAGCATCACAATACGGAGATTTCAAGTATAAATGATTATGAAGTTCCTCGAGGATAATATCCATTAACGACTATTTATTTATTAAAAAATTCAATTTAAGAAAAGAAAAATAACATTTTTTTGGCCACTTATGTATTGCTTAATGTCTACTAAAGCACCGATTTTAGACATTTCATATTTTTCCGTAATCTGTTGAGCTTCTTTAAGAAGATTAATAGCAGTTAAAAACCTTTTTTCAGAAATATGTTTTTCCAAAATCTCTGGAATTTTTCGAAAATTATCACTTGAAAATAAATTAACTCTTTCTCATAAATATCAATTAGGAAATTTATATACATAGCCTTTAAGATTCTCAATGTCTCTTTAAGCTGCAAACTATGTTGATATATATGATATAAATCATTTTTCTTAAAAGCAAATCTTTCTTGAGATTCCAAAATCATTTCGTTTATTTCATCTGTTTTTTTCAAAGATTTAGTAATATTTTGCATAATCATTCCAAATGTTCCAATTGAACAACTAAATTCATCATAATGTTCTTCATTCATATTAATTCTTATCACTTTAAAGACTTCACCATACCATTAATAGTCGATTTAAATGCTTTCTGTAACTTTTGATATGTTTCTTTAAATGCATTGTAATCTTTACCGAGAGAACTTTTATCAAAAAGTTCCAATGCAGCCACAACTGAATTACACTAAAACATAATTTTAATAAAGTACATTATTTATAACCCTGTTTTATTCATCTAACCTCTTCTTTTGTCAAATCATCCCATTTTTCTTTAATATATTGTAAAATATCTGTTTTAGCTAAATACCTAAAATAAAAAAATAAAAAAAACAAACCCTCAAATTCATCTGAAGATTCTACTTTCTCTACTTTTCTTATTATATCTCCATGATTTATACTCTTTTTAAAACTTTGTTTCCAATTTTCAGCGTTCCGTTCATTTGAATCTTCTTGGTTTTCTTTAATATTATTTTCGAAAATATTAAGATATTCTCTGTAATAGTTCATTTTATACTAGAAAATTCAAAATTAATATAAATCTATGTATTTTTATATCATTTTTTTTGATAAAAATGAAGGCTTAGAAAAAAATAAGTAATATCGTTGTCATCGCAAGTACTACTAGAAAATAATATATTAATATTTATGAGGATTTATAAGAATTTATGAGAGAATTAGCCGAAATACAGCGGATATTAGTAATATATATTTAGTTTTATATATTTTTTTTCTTATCATGTTATTAGATATGTAGTATTGGGAATCCAGGTGAAGCTTATCGACTTACAAGACATAATCTGGGACATTATGTTTTGGAAGAAATTCGAAAATATTTTGGGTTTTCAGTGTTTAAAAAGCATTTACTAGTCTCTGGATCATATGCAGAAAAACGAGATACACCGTTTTTGTTGTTTCGGCCAGATATTTATGTGAATAAATCAGGTATAGCAATATACAGGGCATGGTCTAAATTTTGTGAGAATCTTGCAATTCATGAAAGGGAAAATCGTTTTCTTGTAGTTATTCATGATGATATTGAAGAAAAATTTGGTATTCTTAAGGTAAAAAATTGTGGAAAGGGAAGGTACAGTGTATCTCTTAATATTTACGAATTGTAGTTAAATAATGGAAAAATAGAGGTCATAATGGTATAAAATCATGTATTGAATCATTAGGTACAGAAGTAGGTTTTCTTCTACGAAATAGCTATATATATAATATGATTAAAGTCATTTATTCGTTTCTCAATAGGATTAGGAAGGCCTCCAACACGAAAATCTAAAGATGTAATCAACTTTGTGATGCAAAATTTATCAGAACAAGAGCTTAACTATGTTCATGAAAGAACTATTCCAGAAGTAGTCAAGGAGATTTATAAACTAATAGAGAAAATTAAAAACTATTAGATTGTGACTATTTTACCTTTTTGTTCTGAAACAAAATTTCAGATATAAATTACACATTATATTTTTTGACCACAATGTAATTATTCATAAAGCTTGCATTCATAAAATAAAATATTTATAATTTTGTTCATTAACAAACATTTTTGTAAGTCATATTTTTGAATAATATCATTATATATTTCATAATCCAAGATCGATATCTATCAAAGACAATATGTTTTTAATTTAAACAATAAATATAACTGTAATTATTAAATATTCCAGAAAGACGTCTCCATATTATTATCAATAAAGCTTTTATCTATACTTCGTATCATAGTACTACCACAAAGTATACACTCTGATGATATTATATCATCCAATTCTTTTGTTAGTTTTTTACATTGTTGTACTTGTTTTCCAGATATATCATTTTTAAATTTAGATATTAAAGATTGTAGATCTTGAATCCGTCTATATTGCCAAGAAGTAGTATCTTCTGAGACTTTTAAAAATAGACAATCTTTATGAAAGCAATGTTGGCACGGGAAAACATAAAACTGTTCATTTAATAACATATTTCGGCAAATATTACATTCTTCTTCTGCATTCAAAATTACGAACCAGTTATTATGATCTTCTATACTATTACGAATGTTATCAGCAGATTGAGTTAATTCCTCCATTTTTTTAAGCAAAAAATCTATATTAGAACTATAATCTTTTAATACAGAACATATATCTTCCTATTAACAAATATTAATCTATATATAAGTTTACGGATTATAATACTTTGAAATCATCAATTTTTATAGAATCAGGATACAATGGAATTAAATCTTCAATACTAAGCCTATTGTTTTTCATTAAAAATTGTAATCTAAGTTTATTATTATATTCATAGAAAATTAAAAAATTAAAACCTCTTAGCATCTCCGTCATATTGAATAATTACTTTTTTTGCAATTTTAATCCATAATTTTTTTTTCAATATATGATTATCTTCAATTTTATCTGCCAAAGTAGTTGCCAAATCTATATTATCATATTCTAAAGCCAAATCTATAGCTTCTTCAAAGAAATTCATTTCAAAATATAAATAAACAGAACTTAAAATTCTTTTATACTGAATACAAGTACGTAATGCGAAATCCTGACTATAATAATGCTTGCTTTTTTGCCATTCAAGATATTGTAAGAGGGTTGCTTCATCTTCATTTTCACTACTTGCAAGTAATGATAATAATGTATTATGAATAATAGAATCGGTTATAGATGTCTGATCAATAACAAAAAAAAGATAACGAATTGTCTGATTCTTTAAAATATTAGTTAACTAAAAATAATATATAAATCATACATGTTCTATTAGAGGCTTATACTGTTGATTATAATCAATAATAGCAGGAATAAGTTTCAATGGATCAATATCAGAATGCAACATCCATATATCTACAGTTGCTTTTGGTCTTTGTAGAATCAATATAGATGCATATTTATAAATTAATTCAGGAGAATCTTGTTTATTAAGAACGTCAAGTGCTGAATCATAATTCTGATTTCTTATCCAATATTTTAAAATATATGCATAATCATTAATACTTTCTGCATATGTTAACAATTCATTTTGCCTGCCATGACTATTAATAAGATAATAAGAAGCCTCTCGATTTAGATCATACTATTTCTATGAGATATAACTTTCCAATATTTAAATAACTTTACTTTATATTTATCTATAAATTCCCGGAATTCATTTTGAATTTCCTTATTTTCTGTCTGTGTCGTATCAGGTAAATTAAAAAAATTCTTTTGTCTTTGAATATCTTCTAGTAGATTCATTTTAGTTATATATAAAAAGAGTAACCATGTAGATAATATAGTTTTTTGTATAATGGCCTATATAAATTATATTTTATGATAATAATAAAAAGAATAACCTTACTCCCTTTTTCATCATACTTAATTTCTCAAGTAAATATATTCTCAATGCATCATAGTCTTTCATGCTTATGAATTTCAAGGCAATTTCTTCGATAGGAAAAGTAGTTTTAGCTAATATTTTTGCAGCATCATGAACTTTATTCTGTTTAATCAAATCCATGCCATATTTTCTGTAAATAATATCATAATGAGAATTTTTCTATAAATATAATGAGATCATTGAATCGATTAAAATTAAAAACACTACTTTAGCAAACTTAAGTGCTTTAATATAATCATTATTTTTAAGAAACAGATTCCAAATATTACAATCTTCATTTGAAACAACAATCTCATAGACAGAGTCTTTCGAATAAACCCAATAAGAGCTTTTATATGTATCTGTGACTAAACCTAATATTTTTTCCCCTAATGCCTATATATCGTAAGATATATGTATTCATTAAAATCAATTTACCAATGGTATCTTTTCTGAAAAAACAATTTGATGATTTAATCTGCTTAAAAGATAAATTTCAGATTGTTTTACAACAATAATATGATAATGTGTAAAACAAAAAAAAAAAGGTAAAGTAAAATCCTTCTTAATTGTATCCCTATCATATCATTAAGAAAATAACTTTGAAATTTGTAACCAACATTAACAAATGTGTCAATGTAAAACTAAACTTTTCAGAGACATTAATATCAAACATTTTTAATGATCCATAAAAAAGATTACATTCTGATATCCATCCGATATATCTATCACTCATATTATTACAATATTCATGAAATAGAATCGGAGATATTGAATATTGAGAATTCTTCGTTTCAAAAACTTGAGATCCCTTTACATTTGATAAAAAAATATCTAATGTTACTGGTGTATCGCCCGATATATTTTTCCCTTTTTTCCCCATAAAATATTCAATTTTCCTATCTGTAATTACAACAATATAATGATAGTCAACATTATTTGACGATTCATCCATATGAAGTCCAATAATTTCCGATTTTTCGCTTACTTGATAGACAGATTTTACATATTTATTTTGCTTATTTAATACTTGTATATTCGTCTCATAAACATTCCCATTATAACTCCCTAATAAAATATCCTTTGTACTAGTATCTGTTGCTTGACTATTCCATGCAATACATTTAATACCAAGTCCCTTAAGCTGTGTTAATAATTTTCCTCGTGTTGAATCACCATGAAAATATATATATTCATCTCCCCGTATTCCTACAATCAAATGTTTTCCATTCGGAGAAAGAAAAAGCCGTTCAATCACTACATCTACATACTTATGAGGCATTTCCAAGTCCTGAATTTCTTCAGGATGCTCTAAATCCATACGTAAAAGACGTCCTCCACATAATCCCATGACAAGAATATTATGTTTAACTTCCATAACAGAAACCGTCAAATCATAAGGAAATACTACCTTTTCTAAACTAAAGGTAGGTGAAGGATCTCTATGATCCATAATTAAATGGCAAATTAATGTATTCTGAAAAAAAGATAGGAGTAAAATTAATAAAATAGCAAATACAATTAAAAAAAACAATGTGTAAATACAAAATAACAGTGCTTCACACAAATGTATATGTATTTTTAGATTTAGTCTCGTGGTTTGGCACCCTGCAACGGATGTTTAAAAAGATATAAAAATATAAATGAATAAAATAATGAGTAAAATTTACTCTAAAATAACTACTTTTGAGAAAATATATTGTCTTTATCTATGTATTCAGAATTAATATTTTTTCTTGGATTAAAATCTTAAATATTTTTATTTTTAAAGATAATCCATGAATTATTTAAATGAAGTAAAGTTATGGAGTGAAGAAAAAGTAGGAGAATGGCTTAAATCGAATAATTTTGGAGACTATGTTGATATTTTTAAAGGTAGGGGTTATTTTAAATGGTTTTAAATGGGTTAATGATATAAGAAAACAATGTTAATGGGGATATTCTTTTAGAATGTAATGCAGCATTATTGAAGGAATTAGGCATTAAGAAGCTAGGTGATCGTATTAAACTTTCAGTATGTATCAAGAAATTGAGAGAAAAGTGTATTGAATCAGCAAGAAAAGCTAAAGTATTAAAAATAAAACGTTATTTATTAATTAATTATGGTATAGATGAGTTTTTTAATGATAGATAATCGGATATCAGAGTTTCCGTTTACGTCTCAAAGTCCTACAGATCCTTTAATCCCAGTTAAATCAGGAGATTTAATTTCTCCTACATCAAATTTTCAACTTGACAATCCTTATAATGATGCATGTTGTTTTGATTCGTTAAACAATTCTCATTCTTTTCTATCAAATGCGTCACATTCTACGAAAAGTTTAAGCAAAGATTCTTTTACTAGCACACAAAGAGTTTTTGAAAAATCACCTATATTTTCTGAAATAAATATTATGCAATCTAATTCTATCAAAAAGGCATAAAATTCATATATATCCTCATTTTTTATTTTAACTCATATAGAATTGTCTCAAATTTATTGGAGAAAAAGGACAAACTCGAATTGTAAATATTAGTCGTTGTCATACAGCAGAAGCTATTTTGTCTAAAGCACTTAAAAAATTCAATATAATTGAAGATCCTAGTGAATGGAGAGTTTTTATTACAAATGAGGATGGATCATGTCATTATTAAGTTTTAAATATAATTTAAATACTAATTTTTATTAGTTGAATGTATTTCCAATGATACACTTTTAACCATTTCTCGTCAATTATCAAGGCCAGAGAGAGAACGACTTATTTTAAAAAGAAAAAGTGATCCATTAACATTAGAAGAATTTAGAAAATCACAAACAATTGCAAGAGAACAACAAGATGCTATATATCATACTGCTGTAATGGCAAAAACATCAGGTAATTTGAGAAAATTGGAAACATTTTTTGGAGAAAAACTTACACCGACATTTACTTCATCTTTTACTACCCCATTACCTTCACCATTACCAAAAGATAACAAATATGGGAATATAAAGCATATAAGAAATTTTTTTGGCCAACGTCCTCCTAGCGAACTTATTAATTCAAATTTAGCAGAGTATTTTCCTGGTCATGAGAAAAAAGTTTTAGAACAAACTATTAAAAATTCTATTAAATCTACTCATTTAAATTCTTTTAGAGGACCAAATTTTAGCACATCTAGTTCTACTTTAGCATATGATATTTCATCTATTCCTACGGTTGGAGAAGCATGGATTCAATTTGAAGGCCAAAGATTATCAGAGATTGGCCGTACTTTTTCTTTATCACGTTTTATTTCTACTCGATTTCCTACATTACTTGAGTCATCTATTTTAAAGGAAAATAGTTCTCATCACACATTATCTTTATCAAAATCGAATACAGAAGATAACACACAGGATATCAAACCCATTTTTTGCAAAAAATCAGAAGAAAAGGCTTTTCCGAATGAAACTTTCAAGTCAGAATCTCCTAATGTCCTAGGTGAGCCTTTAATACTTTCCGATATTTATAATACAAGTTTGGAAACAGCTAGAGATGTCTTGGATGATAATATTTTTGAAAATAATGAAAACAAGGACTTTAACTTTGAAAAAGAAGTAGAAAATAATAATACCGGCCCTACAAGATGGATTAAGGGTGCTTTAATAGGAAGTGGCTCTTTTGGAAGTGTATTTTTAGGAATGAACGCTTTAAGTGGAGAATTAATGGCTGTAAAACAAGTTGAAATACCGTCTTTTGATATTCAGGGATGTAAAAGAAAAAAAGCCATGTTAGATGCTTTACAAAGAGAGATTTCACTACTTAAAGAATTGCATCATGAAAATATAGTTCAATATCTTGGTATTATTAAAACATAAAATGTTTCATTTTAATTTTTTTAGGCTCAAGCATGGACGAAACCCATTTAACGTTCTTTCTTGAATATGTTCCTGGGGGATCTGTCACTGCATTGTTAAATAATTATGGAGCTTTCGAAGAGCCTTTAATTAGAAATTTTGTACGACAAATTCTTAAAGGATTAAACTATTTACATAACAAAAAAATCATTCATAGAGACATTAAGGGCGCAAATATTTTGGTTGATAACAAGGGAGGAATTAAAATATCAGACTTTGGTATATCTAAAAAAGTTGAAGCTAACCTATTATCCATGACAAGAAATCAACGCCCATCCTTACAAGGATCTGTTTATTGGATGGCTCCTGAAGTTGTAAAACAAACTTTATATACCAGAAAAGCTGATATATGGTCACTCGGCTGCTTAATAGTAGAAATGTTTACAGGAGAGCATCCTTTTCCAAAAATGAATCAGTTACAAGCCATATTTAAGGTAAAAATTTAAAATTTATATAGTATTAGATATACTAAGTTCAAAATAAGATTGGACAGTACGTGTCCCCTGAAATACCAGAACACTGTACATCGGAAGCTAGACATTTTTTAGAAAAAATATTTGAACCCGATTATCATGCACGACCTACTGCTGCAGATTTACTTAAATATAGTTTTTTAGGACCTATGGTTTCTAGTCCTCTGACCGATGCAAAAAAATAATTCCCTTTTCTATATTTTTTTCTCAATATATACATTTTCAGGTGCATATTACTATTTATAATTGCATTTTGCACCAATGTTATTTTTATTTATAAAATAGTGAAATATAAATATCATTAGATTATTAGTTTATATTATATAATTTTGCAATATTGGATCATTTAGGTTCTATTTGGTACTTCAAAAGGAATTCCAAAACCAGAAAGAAGTAATCTACATTCATAATCTGTTTTAGCTGTTGTATTTATGTTAACATGAAAACCTGTTATTTTTGGAAACATATCATAATTTGCTAATTATTAAAAATAATGTTTAAAAAAATAATTCTACAAACCTTCAATTTCAGGAAACAAAGCCATTGCATCTGGTGGGAATCCAAGAGAAATATTACCATTAGAATCTCCTGAGTTAGCTTTAAATCCAGATACAAAATCCCTCATTCTTGGAAGAACTAATTCTACTAAAACAGAAATAAATCTATACATTTCTGGCCCTTTAAGGGTTACTTTTGTTGCAATTGGCATTCCTTTTTTATTTTAATACTATAGAATATTATAAAACATAATAATACCTGATCTTAATTTCCACGGAGCAACACCTGTTTTTGCATTTATAATTTCAGGTTTTAAACCAGTAATACATTGTATAGCCATAACCATAGATAAAAGCGCTGTTTTATTTTCAATAGCATCTTTAATCATAGAATGAATAACTGCACTCTCTAAAGCTGGAATATTTCTATGTGTTCTTATTTCTTGAATAGGCTTCACAGGTTTATTTCCTCTTGGGAGACGAGCAGGTCGATTTCTATGATATGGAGATGAATCATCCCAGTAACGAAGAAAATTTCGCTTTTTTAATTTAACTTTTGTTTCATGAGCATATGTCAAGGTCAAAATATCATGGCATAATGTCATGCGATAATAATCTATCTCTTAGTCAATATACAAATCCTTAAATATTAACAAAATTATCCATTATCTATTGGATCTCTTATAATCACACAATTTTCAACTAAAAAAAACAAAAAAAAAGCATTATACCTAAAAGTCTGCACGGAGATGTTTCTAATGCCACAAATGACGGAGATAGAGGCGATGAAGGTGGATATAAGTGATTTTTTCCTAATAATTCCTTAGTTGAAAGATTTGCCGAGTTTTTTCTCGGAAAAAAACGGTATAAACGAAATCCAATCCCATTTCTACCTAAAACATTCATATTTCGTTCATATATTTTGCTGTTATAGCTTTTAAAGCCTATAAATTAACACTTTTTTTAATATCTTAATCATGTAGAAAATCTTAAGGTTGTCTCGATTAATCCTACTTCAAATATTTAAATTTAAGGGTATTTAAATTAAAAATAACATTAAGAATAAACTTTTTACTAATATTTTAATTAGAAATAATTTGTCTTAAGGTTTTTTAAAGCTTAATCTCTTTTTTTCCTAAGAAAATATACAAAAAACAAGTAAATTATGAGGTTAAAGAAATTTAATCAAATAATAAAACATAAAAAAGTAAAAACCATAATTTAGTTAATTAATATATCAATTTTTAATATTTAATATGAAGAAAAATGCATTAAGACCTACATTTCATTTATTAGAAGATAGATATTCAGATATATATGACTGGGAGGTTTCAGAATCTCAAGTAGAAAAAGAAATTTTAAAAAATAGATTAATAAGATTAGATTTTAGAGGTTATGTCAGAATTAGAGAAATATGGTTATAATTTAGATTATTTAACAATTATGAATGTATTGAAAGGAAATTATGCACGAGGAAATGTAAAACTAGCGGTTGAAGTAAATTTTTTAAAAGAAAAAAAAAGTATTAAAATAAGCAGTTTTTGATATATTTGAGTGAAGCGAATGAATTGATTGTACATGAAATTGAGCCTAGCATTGAACTTCTTGGATCGGAAAATTTGAATGGTGTTACATGTTATTTAGATGCACTTTTGTTTGCTATGTTTGCAAAGACCAATTGTTTTGAAGCAATGCTTTTTCAGGAAGGGAAAGATCCTGTTTCTACAAAGCTTTGTACATTTATTAGATTATGGGTTAATATGGTAAGAATTTTTTTTAAAAATAAAATATAAATTTAAGTAAAAAGTTACGTGATGGAAGATTAATTACAAAGGATATTGTATCGGTAATTTAATATTTCTGAATGATTTTATGAATTAATGATTTATTAGCAATTATGCGACGTTTTGATTGAATGTGGTTGGAAAAGTGCAAGTAAAACGCAACAAGATGCATCTGAAGTATATGTTTTTATTACGTAGATAATTATTTCTATTTAGAAAAATCTATTAATTAATTAGAGAGAAACTGAATTTCCCTTTATTAACGTTTAAAGTTGTTATAGCACATGGAGGGAAGTTTAATAGTGAGGAGGATAATAAGGTCTTTTAAAAACAGTTTATTTTTATGTTTTTTAATTTGTTTTAGTATATTCACGAAAGATTACTCTGTGTTCCAATTCCTGGCGACTTTTTATCTTATGAGACCCCGATATCATTAGAAGATTGTCTTTCAGAGTACTTTAACAATAAAATAAAGGTCAAAAGATGCGTTGAACAATCGTTTTCTGCAGAAAGCAGTAAAAAAGGCTCTCAGAAATACCTTTATAATCGTAACATAATAGATAACGATAAAAATTATTATGAACAATTGGATGAATTTTATGATAATGATATAGCAACATTATATCCTCAAAGAGATCTTTCTTTGGTTTCAGCATGGCAGTTTTTTCAACTTCTTCCATTTTATGTATACAAGCAACCTGATAATTTAAATCAACATTTTTTAGAAAAGCTTCCCATAGTGACTATTTGTCTCAAAAGATATACTTGGACAGTAACAGGGGAAGCATACTGTAACAATAGAAGGGTTTTAATTCCTCTTGTTCTTGATTTGCCCTATTTTATATCACATGAAGAAGTTTCTTCAAATAATTCAATAGAAATTAAAAAATATAGACTTGTTTTGCAATCGGTAGTTTGTCACAGGAATGCTGGATTTACTATTGATTCTGGCCATTATATAGCTTTCTCTAGGGACTCATTTTCAAAAAAGTTGGTTTATATTGTTTATATTTAACATTAAAATTTTATAGATGGTTTCTTTTTGATGACTTAGCCTACCAAAAGGTTTCTGTTTTTTGTGACCCCAGTGAAGTTCTTAATTCAGAAATGCCGTAAGTTATATGTAAAATATGATATTGTTAATTTTTTTTTTATTTAGATATATGTTATTTTATCAACTAGAAAGTTATATACCAAATTTATCACAAGAGATACCTAAAATTGATGCATTTAAATCATCAGATGATATTCAAGATTTTTCAACATTTTCTAAGCCTTCAAAGCGATTTAATGAAACAAAATATTCAGAAAAGAACTGCTTAATACAATAAACTATTATAACATTTTACTCAATTACATAAAAAGAAAAATTAACATTTATTTTTAAAATATATAATCAAAATTGAGTATTATATTTCTATTTTTAATAGAAATTTATATTATTTCAAAGAATTCATAACTCTTACTGTAACCTAGTATATTATCATTCTTAATAAATCTACATTTATATTACAATATAATTTCTATTCTAATATTTGTTAACTCTTAAGTTTCAAGACTTTATTTTCTTATTATGTATATTTTAAATAGACATACTATTTATTCGTAATATTTTGTTCTTTAATTTCATTAATATTCATTAAAAAATTTTTAGATATAATATGTTTTCTAGTAAAATACAAGATTCTAAAATCCATCTAGACTCAATAAATATTATAATATTTAACATAATATAACAATATTATTGGCATGATTTTTTTATAAGTCCCAATGGTTTATATCATTTTGTACCATCTACATTTTCAATGTTTTTATTTATATGTGAAAAAAGACTATTAAACAAGCATTCGAACTTTAAATTAATAAAAGGTTTTAAAATTTTAATTATATTACCTCAGGTATAGATTTTATAAATGGCAATGACCAAAAATTATAATAAGAATTTTTTAATAATTCAATAAATGTAATAAGGAGACCCCACTAATAAAAATATTAATTTTAATAAATTTAGTGAAATAAAATACCGGATGTGGACGATTACATATAAATCTTTCTAACAAAATTCTAAAAGAAATTTAATCTATTAAAATATAATAATAAAAAATATACCGAGTAATTTGCTCTTTCATTATATTATTTTCATCTGTAGAGTTCTCGAATAAGGAAAGTAATACAGAACTAAAATAATATGTATGACTATTTGGATATCGTAACTGATTAGTAATCGCTTCAAGAAAATAATAACGACCTAAAAATTTAGTAAAAATTATGCAAAAATTAAAAAATTACCTTCAAAATCTAAAGTATTATGTAATTTTACAAAAAGAGTCATTGATGTAGATGTAGGTGAAAATATTAGTTGGGCGCCATTATTTTGCGATTGAAAGTCCTCAATAGTTTTCATTCCTATATATAATACCAAGGAATTTATAAAGGGTACATTAATTTTGCTCCTTGGTTTCAATTCTTGTTTAAAAATAGGTTCTTCGGAAGTTCGTAGTTTACTAATTATATCGGCAATGATATCTTTTGCATTTTCTCCAGAAAGATAACTATTTATTTGATCTCTTAGTCCAAATTTCTTTAAAACTGCATCAATATCTGTACGAATAATAGGATTCTGAGAACTTTCAGGTAATTGATCTACTTTTAGGCCAGATTGAAAAGGATCAGGCAACCTTATTGTTTTAGGTGATGCACTCAATATTAAATTACGAAGCTGGATGCAATTTGAAGGAATAACAGAACAAAAGGAAAAATGATAATCTGCTAAAAACGAAGGAAAATCATGAAGAAGAACCAATAGTAAACGAAGAGTTCCTTTATAAAGCATTCTAGTTGTATTATGCAGTTCAGTTTCTTCTAACAATGGCGCGATAAATTCAAGCAAAGTAATAATGATCTTATTATAAATAGGATATCCCTATAAAAATTAACTAAAATAAAATTTATCTTCTTTTTTAAAAAACCTTATAATCCGGTAATAAAAGAAGCGATGACATAAAATATCTATGCGAAATCAATGTCATCCATGCAAACGTAAATTTTGGAAAATGTAATGGCTGCAATGCTAAAAATGTTTCACTATCATAGATAAATAAAATTATATGTAAATTAGACCATCTTACCCTAAAGTTTCAAGAATATCATACTGAATATCTGAAAAATATGTTTCATTATTAAATTCGTATAGCATGTTTGCAAATAGTTTATAAAATGGTTTTTGATAAAAATTCCTCCCAAAAGTTTCATGATAGTTTGCAAAAACCAATGTTATAATAGACAAAATACTCGAGAAATATTTAATTTTTAATAAAATATTTGGCTTACTATCTTTTTCATCAGAATAATACTTAATAAGTAAAACTATTAGTTTAGCAAGTGAATCTATTGGAAGATAATTTGGATTATTAGATGATCCATAATTTTCCAACTGTTTTATAAGATTATTAATACTAAGATCTATAGCCACTCTAAAAAATGTATATGATAATTGTTCATCAGTTATAATTTTTTCGCGTTGCAATTGTAAAATGAATGCTATATAAGTTTTTTCATTTGAGGCAGGATGTGTTGACAATCGAATCCATTCTGCAAAAATATATGCCAATTGTTCTTGTACAGTAGTCTCATTCATAGAAGGCAATATATTTGTTTTTGTCTTTTCCATGTTCGAAATATGAAGAATCTGAAGAAGTTCTGTCACAGAATGAGGTACCTCTCCCCTTCTAGAAAGAATTTCAAATGCATCAAAACAATTAGAGAACTCTGTTTGAAAATTATATGTAGAAATAGATAATAGGATTTTTTTTATAAGGGATACTGTAAATTCAATAACAGCACTATTTTGTTTCATTATTTGTTTTGAAAGTTGAATATCCAATTCAGAAAGTGTTACAAGTCCTGCTTTGATAAGGGCAGCCATAACATTAGCATCTAATTTTCGCTTTTAAGATTATATTAATAAAGTTCTCGAGAAAAAGACTCTAAATCTACCTTATCATTTGAATAAAGCAGCCAAATTTCAACATCCTTAGATGTTTTAGGAGATTGTTCAGAAAATTTTTTCAAAAGAACAGATAATGTTTCAATCATAAGGGTTGATTCAGTACCCTTAAAAAGTAATTGCAAAACCCTCTGTGCACAAACAAGAATAATATCATCCTTAATAGAAGCTTTTAATTGACT